AATGCAACGTCCGGTGCACCCCCACCTCACCATCCCAGCCCGTCTCGTCTCGTCACGTTACATGGCGTCCCATGAAGTCCCGCCGCATCGGAACCTCCTCTTACGAACTAGGAAAGCAGTCTCAGGTGGACCTCGTCTTCGGGTAGTCACGATAGGACGCTACTCCTTCAGGGTAAAGGGCACTCCTGAGGATCATTATAGTAGAATTCGAAAGGATATTGAATTTGAATTCAAAACCGTGGATGACTTCTATATCTCATCACTATACTGATATTCAATTATTTTTAAGGGTAGCTTTGACAGTGTGACAGTCGAGTGTGGGTGATTGTGTTTGCCACGTTCATTGACGACAGACTGCCTGGGGATGAAGAATCCTGCAAGTGCATTGAGCACAGTGAACCTGTGAAAGAGATATTTGATTAATTATCAGTGACTTAAGAATTGGCATTAATAAAGTAAAAATGCACGCGAGGATTGTTCATCGCGAAATTTTACGAATTCTTGAATAATTGGAGAGTTCGTTAATATTTGACTAGTATGAGTATATAGGAAACGAGTTTTTCGAAAATCGTAGACCGGAAGCGGAGTGGAGTAAGAAACTTCCTAGAGACCATCAAGTGGATATCCGTATGTTCACAGACAATCCGTCGTACTTCTCGCTGGCAGGCGGGGGTACGTCCTCTGGGGTGGTGACACCCTTACCAGGATCATCAGCCACTGGTTCTACGTCAGCGGTGAATAATACGACTTCCGGTTCCGTGTCTTCTCACTCGAGAGGACTTGCCTTCTTCTTTCGAAGGAGACCCGATAGGATGGGAGTGGCATCTTCTGGTAGTACAGTGTCTACTTCCACCACGAGCACCCTGATGCATCACGAGAGTAACAGGAGCAGCGCATCCGGTGCATCGGCACCGTCCACGCCAACGGAAGATTGCGCACTGATGCTTCCGCATAATGTCAATGGGAATCACGGGAATCATGGTTCCGGTTGCCAGCGGAGAAGCTTTAGGAATTTATTTCGTTCGGTCAGCGCGAATTCCGAATCAGAGAGGACGCAGCAGATCCTGAACGGAGATCCCAGACCTTCGGATGTAGCACCCCCGTCGCCTTATCTACCTCACAGATCTCATTCGCATTCGGAAAACGATCGACGTCGACCCGGACGTCGGAAGGTTCTAAAATCAGCTAGTGAACTACTCTCCAACGATATGGTATATTGCGGTCTACCTGGGGAAGATCCTGGTGCTACTGCCGACGATGATTCAGAATCCAACGAACCCAATGAAGTATTCCTGGGCGTTGATGACGCTCGCTATTACAATTTATCCGCCACCCTGCCATCCGGTGCAACCCCCGGATCTGCCGCTGCCGGCAGAAGGAGACACTCCATCGGGACGTTCCTGGGCAAGGATAGAAGTCTCACTAGGAGTCAGGGAGCTTCTGCCGATAAGAAGCATAATCAGAAGCAACCTTTGGTACTGCGACAACCCACCGCTATGGCGCCACCTGTGCCTACCGAGATCGCCATTAAAGATGACAAGGCAAACAGGAACAGCGGGAGGTCGACGAGACGTAGAAGACATAGAAGCGCCTCCAGTAAGGGTGAGTTCTAAAGAGCACTAATTTTATTCTATTAATTTCAAGTTATTTATTCATAGAATTAGAAGCATCATTCCCACGGCGCAATACTGATTCGCACAGCGAAGCCCGCATGATCATCCCTCCCCAAGCCATGCATGTACTTCGACCGACAAAGGACTCATTAGAGTTACAATTCAATAATTTCTAAGAGCTCTGACCCGAAATGGACCGGCATTGCTGCATGAACTCCGACCTATTCTTATCTACCAGCAGACTTTCTAAGAGTGCCAAATTCACTTGTAAGGTATCTATCATTCTATTGCACATATGTATATTAAAAGCACGATCCATAATGATCGAATAGAGGAGGAAGTCAGTAGCGGAAGTCATGAGCGTCCCAAGACTAAACCTCGAGGACGCTCACGTAGACCTCTGTCGGCCATTGTAGATGCGGCAGATAGGGGTTCTTTGGCTACCACGGAAGTCGACTTAGTATTCGTGGAACAAAGTCTTGCTTTCCGACGATCGATAAGTGGCCTGTCGTTAATAAATCTAATGTCTACCGAGGTCGAATCCGAATTCGACCATTTCCAAATCGTACCGGAAATTACGCGCTTGCCATTTTGGTAGCGTCGAGGACCTCCCAAGATTAAAATAATGAATTTATGACCAATTAAATTATACCGATTGAGAACGAAGCCCGGTGTGAAGCAATTGCAGCCAATGTGAATACTATCTCTGACGAGCTCTGCTCTTCTCTGTAGGAATGCAAACGCGTAAACACAGTTTGGCCGGAGGCCTATAAAACTCAATGGTTTGCGAGCGTCCCGCCTCGCTCGCGTTTTACGTCGGTGAGACCTCAGTGTAATTTCGAAGAAAGAACAGAACGTAACATCCGGATGAAGGGAAAAATAGCAACGTTCTCCAAAAGCCATCCCGAGCTCTTGCACTAGCGCTAGCTAGAAACGCATACCGGAAGCTTTATGGCTCGTGATGAAGAGAGAATCGCGGGAACGTGCCGGAAGTGCGTGGCGGAACTCATGATTGCAAGTCATCGACACGTGTACCCTTATCCCGAGAGTTCATCATAAGAAAAATCACCGTACATAAATCAATATTCACGTTTATCTTCAAGGGATACCCAGTGACATTTATTAGATGATCCAGGGACACTCTGATATCTAAAGCTACGAAATACATAAATGATCCGCATTGACGATCGTACGTAATTCTCTTTTTCTCAGGGAAAATACTTTCGCAGCATTATTCGCCTCTTGGGAAGTTTACGAAATTCACTGAAAAGGAAGAGTCACATTTGTTTCATCTGTTTCGTGACAATCCTGTACGCATTTGGAGTAGACGCAGGAGGAAAGAGGGGAGATGGAAAAAGAAAGTAAACTGTATATAAAAACGGCAGACAAGCGATACATCCGGTCTGCGGGACCGGAGGCAGGAGCCTGGCTGAAACGTCTACGAAAGTATACAGACGATGCGTTACTGCGCATGCGCGGGACGTAGCAGGAAAGGAAGTCGAAGTAAACTTTTGACAGCTCTTAAACTATCTTCGGACGGATCGTTAACTGTTCATCTTTTGGCAATAGTCTATACCGATGTGTATATATATATACATATATATATATATATATAGAGGTATCTTTCTTGCATCAAGTTGAGTATAGTCGTTAATTCTGCTTGGGTGGTAAAATCTTACTTGGTACTTTTGAAACTCTTTGTTGAGAGTAGAAAAAAAAACTTAAAAATTCGACATCAAATCAATGAATACTTAAGGAAGAGCAGAGATTCAGGGTATTCGAATGTGGCCGGTACAGTCAAGTATCTAACGAGGTTTGATTGGTCAATCCACGATGTCCGGCAGTACGATTTGTCCGAGGACCGGAAGTCCACTCTGATAGTTGCGCAAGGGTAGTACGGATTGCACTGCGACGCTATCGATGCTCAGATATTCAAATGAATTGACTGCAGCGTTACGCATGGTGATTGAGACTTGCTGAGTTATTCTTGTTCTTTGCCATTCTTACAGGGACGGAAGTGCAAGCGGAAGTTTCTTGGCGAGACCGTAGCGAAGGGGTATTTCCGGTATTATTTTTAAGCCCATAACTGCACACGGGAGTCTAGAGAAGCGCGCGTTCATTAAAACGCACAAAGTGACATCTTGGTTATCGAATGAAAATCCAAGAAGTAAACATGTCAGGCTAACGATCTATTCTTGGGATTTTATTTTATTTCGCCATTTCTTTTTTATTTAGCCTTTCTTTTTCTAACGACGAAGTTTTACACGTCGTCGACGATGTTCCTCGTGAACTCTGTCGTAGCACTCTCCTCGAAAATTCCTCAGGATGAGCATTGCGAGTAACGTCTCCTCGGCCAGAGCCTATTTCTGTTTTTACAGCCGTCTCTTATTATTTTTATCCAGCCGCTGCTTATTTTCGTGTTCATATGCATTTTCCTCGCTGCGACAACTTTAGGGACGCTTCTCTATTTTTGTCCGACGCCATGACACCGTCTCGATTCGTCTATGCGACGTATAGCCGTAATCAGACCTGCGTCCACACCCAACTAAATCGTCTTTTGGACCACTCGACTTCCAGAGGTCGCTCAACTAGGCTGATATACGTACATGTATACACTGCGATTCTCCAAGTGGATTCTCAGGATAAAAAAAGCTCTAGCCTAGAGCCTAGCCTGTCGCTCTCACGAGAGACACTGATAGTCCTGGTGATCCGTGCCCTGGAAGGACTTTCTGTTTATTGAGTAAATAGTCAGCCTCAAGAAGTACGCTTTTCCATTTCTCTTTGGGTATCGTTTTTCCCTTTTTTCTTTCTTTTTTTTTCTTCCCCGTCACCGATAGGAAAATATTGTTTGCTTTGAGGAAGGTCGTGTATCGCGTTACGTACGTATCTTTAGAAACGTTTATCGCGAGTTCTATCGCTGCACGAGACGAGAGGAAATTTTGTAAAAATATTTATACTCGGCCGTAAAACGTCCCCGGGAGATTCTTCGATCCCTTTTTTATTCTCGTGACTTTTCCTCGTTGAACGAACGCGAAATCGATTCGCTGGCCCGAGTGTGTCGAAAAGCGCGCGAAAAATTCGAATCTCCCCAGGAATTTCAAAGCCGGGATTTCGTTACACGAAGCAAAATGGGGCTCGTTCGTCTCTTGGCGGACGTGTGAATGAAACCGAGGGTATTTTCGCGTACGGATTTATTTCTAGAACACCCGAGGAATCTCATGTATCTCTCGATTGTCGTCATGTCCCCGTGTCGTCACAAGGTAAACGACAAGATTCAATGAGCCGTAAGGCTTCTGCGCATCGACCTACGCGCAGCTTCCGCTTTTTCCGTAACAACAGGCGAGACTTTTAAATTACCATAATCACTCTCATTATCGTAGATCTCTCTTATTCTTAAAACTTGCCTCGTCGAGGATCCACTAAGCTTCTTAAGCAGTCGGACTATCCTGCTACGTGAAAATTCAATAGTAACAGAAAATCAAGAGCTTGACGTGTCAGTAATCTCATAGAAAAAAAATTAGGTACCACACCCTTTGTAATCCTCTCGAATTTGACGTCTCCCTCGAGCAGAATAATACGTCTGACTTTTAGTTCAAGTAAATTTACGAACCCTCAACTACTCGAGTAGTCTTGAGAAAATGACTGAAAGGAGTATACGAAATGGCTTGCAGGAGATGGGATACATAGTGCTCGTACTCCCTCGCGCGCAGTAACGAGATCTAAGAATAGTATAGTACTCGAATCATCCACGGTACAGTATACAACATACATATATTCATGCATAACCCAACGATCTGGTCTGCAGCTGATTGATTATTGCCAATTAACGTAGTCTTACGTGACACGGTTATCGACTTGAACCCCGTAGTACTTGGGTTAGGTACACAACATGGCCACGCCCATGGATACGATTACCCCAAGCCTCGCCTATTATGTACCTACTGAAAGCTGGAAAAATGGAAGAGGCAAGAAAAAGAGAAAAGAAAAAAGTAAGTACTAAAGTTCCATTTCCTCGAAGCGACCAAATCACTCCTTTTCAAGCTGCCATCCATCGCAGCGACTCCTCGACCCTTCCTCTACGACCTTATCATACTTCACGTAGTAATTCCATCATGCTCATTTTACAGAAGCCCTTTGAACCCATGCCGCTGATCCTTTTTGAGGAATACCAACGTGCATGCTACGAGTCCTACGTCCGACACGTATCGGACGTGAATGCCGAATGGAAGGAATCGCGAGTACCATGTATATATACTCATGAGAAAAGTGTTGACACTGGTGGGGATGTTATCTGGTGGGGAGGATCTCTTGATATATCTACCGGGTGGCGCTGTAACAACGTATCTACATATATCATATATATCTATATTGTCGTTAGTGTAGTATATACTGTATGTACTATATACAGTGTACGTAGAATCTTCTCAGGACAAATTGACCAATGCCCTCCTTTTGGCCTCTATGGCCCCCAATCGCAGTGTCGACTCTTTATTACTGCATCTCTCTCTCTCTCTCTCTCTCTTCTATACTCCGTACCCTCTTTTTCTCTGTTAAGCGTAATGCTTATTCTCTGTCGCTCTATCTCTCTCTAGCTTTGTTATCGGGGCTTCCTCAAGCCCCCTGCATCTTTATAGGCACCATAGATAAATTTGACGAATGCCACCCGTCGGCCACAAGATTCATGAGGTTATTACTTTCTAGAGATTACTTCCCCTTATGAAAGACACTCGGTCGCTCCGCTTAGGGACTTTTACTTAGCTTCATAACGAGCATTCTGGTCTAGACGTATTACGTATGTATAAGTGCATATAACTCGAATCTTACGGCGCTAGAAACGAAATATTTATATTCGGCCAATCTGTCGCATAGAAATATCTTTGATAATTGACGCCTTGATAATGAATAAGCCACAGAAACATCCTTCCTTTTTCGGATCAAAAGTAACTCACGTAGATGAGCAATGCTTCTATTAGCTTGAATCATAAAATAGTTTCGTTTAATTTTTAAGAAAAATTGTGAAAATATTTTTTCTCGATTGTTATAACGGCGAACGAGGTTATAACCAGTACGCGGTATTACGATGTTGGATTTATCGTCAATCTGTACACACGCAATTATATTTCCCCAAGTACTTAACAGTGCTACCAGAGTGACTAATGGCGATGTTTACAAGGAATCGTTAGTCATATTTCGTAGCGTCGAAAGATATATTGAATTTTTAAGGCGTCAAACACTGAAAAAGCTCGAACAGGATACTACCATCGTTCTCTTAGTCGTCTCGACGTCGACGTCGGTTCCGTCGTCGCCCATGACGTCGTTGACAATGTCGCTGACTCATTCCTCCTGACAGGCTAATTGGACAAGTACAATTTCTGTATTATAAGACCCAGGCCTGTGTCTCTGTTCGATAGACCCCCCTAAATCTGTAAGGTTACCCTGGACTGCCTATAGAGAAGGACGCCTCTTCTTTTGGTACGCGGACAAGAAACAAGACGAGGGTTTTCGACGGACGGAAGTAGCCACTGCGATAAGTGGCCCGTGTTAAGCTGCTACGTGGAATTTGGATTCTCCGACTGAATGGTCCTCCTGTGTGGTTCTTCATCAGCATCCAAGAAGCCGGACCACGTCGACGTCAATCTCTCCAACTTATATATATATCTTAGAAATATTCGTCCTGACTTAGGGCACTGTGTGAGAGGTCCTTGGAAATATTTCGTCGATAGCCGGATATGCACGTGAAACATCTATTCCAAGTCGTAAGACCAATATATTACGGAAATGTGTCTCTTTACTAAATATATACCTACGACTTAACAGACGCTGAACCCGTCGCTCTTGTGTTTGTACAGGATTTATAGATTTTGGCACGTAATCGTATTTCTAGATAATGATTTTTTGGGTTCTTCCAGGAATCCTAGTTAACTACCTACTCACAGTCCAGGTTACTATTTTTCTGAAGCACCGTCCAAAGCCAGTCACGATTTTTTGGATCGACAAAAAATATTATGTATATTATTTGTCCTTCAAGATCAAGCTAGCAACGGGAAATTACTATGGGCTACCCTTAGTTTGATTTATCAGACTGGTCAAGGGACCCTCGATCATGTAGAAGACGTTGGGACGCCTAATAATCGCATATATACCAACTGTGTGATCGTGTCAGATCTCATAAGAGACTGCTACCCTTCTTATTGGTCATTGCTATGGTAGCTACCAGTCGAGGAAAAATGCTGGAGGATCGAAGTGGAGAAAGCACTAAAGAGTGTACGAGGGAGAGTACAAAACTAACCAATGAGGCAATGAGTCAACCACGTGGAGCCTGAAGGAACGTTGCGACGTCTGGCGCTCAGTTCGTTGTCGCACTACACGCGGTACGATTCGGAGTTGCCGACTGTTTCGTGAAATAATTTCAAACTTGATCATTGAATATATAACGGGTGACAGTGTCTTCTATAGGATCAATACAATTTCACTAAATAAAATATTCAATTAAGGATGCTTATAATGATACCTGAAGCGAGCCTTGGATCCCGTTTGATAAATTGGAATATATTTTTTTTTACTACTGTGAAGATATACTTTTTTTAATTTCAACAAGTGACAAGTGTTACCAAAGTTATTCGTATTAATTCGGTATGCTTGCGCCGGCATTTTAATGTGAGAATACGAATTTGAAAAGTGGATTCGACGTCATGAAGATACGAGAGGAAAATCGCTCTGCTAAGAGAAGCATGTCTTACTTTGGTAATGCATTATTTTTTTTGGCTTAACATCGAATGTCAATGCCAACGTTGCGGTAGAGGAAAGTTTATACGTTCATTCTTGTGGAATTTAATGGCGGTGCAGCCAACGACAAGTCTTTCTTAGGGAACCGTCATTTATTATCCTAATGCACTCCGGTCTATGCAAAGAGTATGCAAAGAGCCTGCGCCACAACACGAATACAAATCATTAGTCTATAGAGTCTGCCTTCTAGATATACCGTGTGGATTATTCTTTTATTCAGCTATCTCTTTGTTCGGTCTGTTAATACTATTTTTCCGTATCCGTTATTGGACGTGATCTCCCCCATTTTAATTCGAATCCTACAGGTTACAAGTGGGTTTCGAAATTCTGGAAACGATGAGACAGATCACCCAAGAATAATTACTGTAACGTCATGCGGAATTTCATGTCTTCTTGGATATTTCGAATATCTGTTTTCCTATGTTGAATTGTGAAATCACACAAAGAGGCACATATATATATAATAATATACAGTCAGCTATCTTACACAGTCTAATCACGTCCTGGTAATTATGGGCGTCTCCAAATTCGATCATGGTGCTCCTCCAACGAACAATAGTGTTCGGTATGGGAAGGGGACATACTGAACTTAAGATTCCACATAAGGTTAACTTGCGATCCCTCGACTGGTTTAACCATTGTGCTTCCTCGACTTGTTGCTGCACGTTATCAGTACCATTTCATCCTTCCTTGAGGTTTGAAGTAGCCTTGAAGAAGTCCTTGACTCAAAATCTAATAGTGTGACTTGAACTCAACAATTGGCATCGATCGATCATTGAATTCAAGTAGTAGATCCTTTTTGCAAGATCATTGACAATCATCTCGTGTATACAGACATACCTAGAATTATTATCGAGGATTTGTTGCGTTTCATTGTCCTCGATCGTTTCTATCACTAATGGCAACGTCCCACGAGACACCGCGTCTGAAAAGACGTAATCGGCCGACATTTCTGGATCTATCTGGAATACCCTGCCGTGAGTGTTTGTGTACTTCCTGCTTGAATACTTATCATACGCAATCAAAAATAATTATTTATCATTCGTGTTACATCGGTAGAGAACGATTTCAGGCACAATTTGATTAATGTCAATGTTACGAACCCAAATAATGCAATACCCCCCTCGTTAGATCATACGAAGAGAGATCGATCTTTTTTTGAACGGGATAAAAGTCTTGCTCTTGACATACTGCCTGACATACAAGACAAGAAAAGAATTGAATACATTGTAATACAAAAATTATTTCAAATCAAGGATTCCACTAGCTCCTGTCAGAACTCTGACATAATTTCTGCTCGCTCGCTCGTCAAGGTTTTTTAAGGTTATGAATAAAAATTTTTCTTTTGGAGGTTAAAAAATTTTCTGATAAATCGTTATAACGAACCTTAATCTTTAGAGTTTTCTTTTTTAACGGATATCTTTTATAGAGATAGGTCTAGTGTAGTATTATATTAATGTAATCGTACACATGTATCCCGTTATTGTCCATCCGCATTAAGCGGAAGCGCCACGTGTGTCACGTGCCAGTTCTCTTCCTTTACTAAGATCAACGGTTAATCGACCTTGGCTGGCAATGAGATTAATTTTACCTCCTTTGGACTGGTGCATCTTTCCTCATATAGATACATGCTCATCGACTTCTTCATTGGTTATCTGAATACTGGTGTATATATAATGACGTCGATCCTCGATTTCCACATTGCTAGAGCACAATGGATCTCTTGTGCAATTATATTGGGCCGCTATCGGTTTTCCGTTAAGAATGATTTATACTGCACGAAGCAGGCTCATGCTGCGATGAAGATTTTTGTAGAATATCAAGACAATTTTCATTTCTTGTTTAGCACGATTTTTTAATGAATATTATCATAGCACGTAGTTACGTTATGCTTGATGGTATAATTAAGAGTATCTTTCTCTGTTACTGTTTCTTTTTATCCCATTAATCCATTCTGGGGAAAACAGTATCGCGTGTCTCGCCACATTAACCACCACACGTGTCGCTATTGTTCCTGCACGGAAGTTAAACACGCATTTGCCATGAGTTAACGATCCCATGACCGCTGCACCTATCCATGGGTAGATCGATGGGGCTTTTCCTTTTATGGGAGTGTCGGCACTAATGTTTTCACGGTGTAACTATTCTCACTGGATGCCTTGTGTGTGTTTAAAAATTTCTTTTTTACTTTCTAGGTACTCGAGGTGGGTCCTCGGGTGTAGATGTTACCGCGGCTGCTGAGGACGATGTGATCTTGGTTTCCAGCAAAGACAGCGAAGCTTCCATTTTGTGGGTGGATTACTTGACTGCCTGTTTCGAACAGATCAGCAGACAACAGGGCAGACCACCGTTCAGGTAAAATTCCGTTCCTCCGTTCAGATTCCTAAAATATAACGTGCCATAATTTAAGGACGTACATCCGCCGCTTAATGTGCGAAATTTATTATAAAATCACAAACCTTCTCCGGTTTCACTGGTTCGTTCATTCATACTTTGTCCCTTCTAAAAATATGACGCCTCGCCACGCACTCGGATAGGCATGTAGTATGTACACGGTTCCAGTGAAAAAGAACGATAGGCGAAGAGACAGCTATGGCACCGGGCTGGGGGAGTAGTTGAGAGGGGATTGAAAAAAGATTTAAAAAAAGAATGTTTAATTTTCAGGGTACGTGCAGTGACCGTGGAAGATGCTCTTCCACAATGTGGCGAGGAGAAAATTGGATCAGCCCGCTTACAAATCGTCATCGTCTGTCCTGTATTTCTTGAAAGAATCCTGGCACGATCTGGGCAGGCTGCCATTTTGTCAAGACAATTTACGCCTGACAAAGTTCTGGCGATGATGTTAGGTGTTCATGATGGTCACTTGACTGCAGCTCATAAAGCAGCACTGGTTTCATATCCTCAGTGGAAGAAATACTTTGTCAAGGATCAGGATGAGACGTTAGTAGGCAATTTTCTTGGGGCCGCTGTAGCCATCCTGGGTACAACTTCTTCTGTGGCTCCGAAAAGCGACAAGACTGCTTTTTCTGTTCTGCCTAAAAAAGTCAAAATGGTAGGCACGTTAAAGTGGTTTGAAATATAATTATTTGCAGGTATGATGTCTTTTTTTTTTTGTTAATTAATATGATTTTATGTTACAGGGACAAAACAGGGTCATTGCTCTGTTGAATGATCCACTACTACCAGAAGATAACGTTGCTGTCATTGTTGATCGTTGCGGTGAAGCTATAGATGTCAATCATGTTAGAAGACGTAATCCGTATACACTCCAGTTTTCCATTCCTGAGAGATGTCTTGATGTATCCATGCTGGTTGGCGTGAGAATTTCAAAAAATGGTACTCCACTCGGTGTGAGGCAGGTCAAATGTGAAAGCAGACTCAGGGAACTGGATCAGATACTCAGAGCTCATGATAATCCCTTGGAGTTCATGTGTCAGGTAAATTTTTACCGGTGCTTAATAATACGGTTTAAAGAGTATATGTAACCCTAGGTGCATTTCTTGAAATTCTTTATAGACATTTGGATTCAATCCTGGCGACCGAGAGCAGCTGGATAATTGGATGGTTCATGCCTTTCAACGAAACATACCACCACACTTTAATCTTCTTTCTACACCAGCTGGGATGGTGCCAGCACATAGAAATCACAGTAGTAAGTAAATTTGGAGTATGCTAAAAGAGTATAAATAAAAAATCAATAATTTATCAAAATTACACGCTAACTCATCCAGAAAGATTGGTTGGTAAGATCACCGTCCCAAAGATTGCATAAAGAGAAATAACTGCATACTTAATACTGCATTTTGATTCCAGGCCCTGAAGAAAATCCTACGTTACTACACTTCGCAGCTCGATTCGGCCTTGAAAAGCTAGCTTGGCAACTTTTGGAGTGTCCTGGCGGTGATCTAGCCTGTGATCTGCGCAACGTATCTGAACTGACCCCGGCTGATCTTGCAGAACAGGCCGGGCATACGAAACTCGCTCACCAGCTACGTGGCTACATGGTATACCCGTGAACATTCTTAAAACAAATTTAAAGCATCGTCATACCTCACCTTTCATTAATTAACAAAACACAAGATAGACAACAATTGATATCATTAATAATCAGCGGGTGAGGATGGGGGAAGCGCGAACCTTGCATCAGACAAATCAATGAGAGTTCGCCTTTGGCAGTAAATATATTAGATGATAACTAAGCGGATCGGTGTTCTCTTTGCGTTGCATGTGGCGGGTGTTTTACCACCTCATCCTCCTCGGAATCACAGCAAATGAACGAGTTCACCAACATGTACAGCTACCTCAAGGTCATGAGTGAATCGACCTCCGGTCCACCCGTACCATCGGGTAAGATTCGGATCCCCGAGTCCCCATCTGAAAGATTTTTTGAAGCAAGGTTAGAATCATTGACATTGGTAATCCTTATCTACAGGTTACGACTGCACCACGACGCTGAACAGTCAGGAATACGACGAGGAGTACTGCTGTCCACGGCCGTTGAGTGAGGCCTACTGTGTTCCTCCAGCAGCCAGGCCAATTACTTTAGCTCCATCCTCAGCATCGTCAACGCCGATACCAGTACAATTACCACCACCCAATCCAATGGAGTCTAATTATTCTCGGGTGCCAACCCCGACACCCCTTATCTTGATGTCAGCATCTTCAAGTGCATATTCTAATGACAGTAATAACGCGAATGATAGTCCGACTGCGGATACTCGGCTTGGGAGATATATGGAGATGCATCCTGCCGGTGTGTACTAAGATACTATGTAATTTATTTGTAACAATGGGGTACGATTAGATGAACATGGATAACTCTGATTGTAGGTCTGAAGCCATCTGGCTCGGCAGCATCATCTCGTCTTGGTACACCAACCCTTGGGTCTCGTTTGGATAGTGTTGTGGAACGAGCCCGTGAAGAGAACAGTCCGACTCCAGGACTATCCTCAAAGGCAACTAATTTTACAAAGTCACGAGATCAATCAGGACCTCAGGACGAGCTTCTTGAGATCATTAATGACTTCAAGAATAACGTCTTCACTATTACTGAGGTCGAGAGGCTTGTTGAGAATTGGCGAAATCGCAATGACGTTCAACAGAACTTCAAGGATAAACAAAGGCAGCTGATGGCTATGCGTGAAGAATACGATAGGATACAAAAACATATGAAGGACGAAATGAAGATGCCTACTCCTTTTGATCGGATACGAAAATTCTTCACGAAGGGAAAGAAAGGTCAGTGGCATATTTAAATATCAGGAATTAAGACAGTTATGGTTTTGTATGAAAAATTTATATAGGTTTTTTATTTATTGTTTAGATTTAAAGGAATCAGCCAATACGAACGAGGGTTCCTCGAGCTCACCTTCGTTGTCTGCTTCAGCAAATAAAACTGAAGGTTCTAACGGAAATGTTTTATCCAATCATCGACCAGTCAGTAGCCTCAGTCTTCACAGTGTCTCCAGTAAGTTCGAGCGATTATTAATTAATAACTGCACGATGCAGTTGTATTATATTCATAGAAGATGATATACACAAAAATTATTGGGTCTTGAGAATAAATGATTTCTCATTTTCTTAGGCTCTTCATCATCCGGTCGTATGAGTACCGTCAGTGGCTGCAGTGGCACCAGTCTAGGCGACAGTGGAACCCATTCTGATCCAGAGGATAGGAAGGTTCATATCGAACAAAAATTAAATTCCAAAATTTGTGACCATAACATTCCGAACGAGTACCATTTCCGTTTCCAGAATACTTTGCAAAATCAACGTGAAGGTAAAAGCCACATAATGTCCTACGAAATTCCACCAGCTCCTAAGCCCTTTACTGGAACATATTCCCCGGTCCGTCACATGACATCTCCAACAGAATCATCGACCAATAAAATTCGTCCACCACAGCCAATACCCAGGCCGGACGACAGCGCCTATTACATAGCTTTCAGACCTTCTGGTCTTCCTGTCCATCGTAAGTATATAAGAGAATTTTAACATTGAAGAAATTTAGGTTGATCATTTATTGTATTAAAAAAAAAAATTCTTATTTTGTCTAGTTTACAAAGCTGACGGTACCATGAGAGAACCGCAAACCCCAAACTCACCTAGTGAAGAGCCAGAGTATTTGGATTTGACTTCGAATACTAAAGATGGACCAGATGCAGAAAGTAACGAAAAAAATAATAGTTATGTTAACTTAGATCCAACTACCGGGAAGCCATCGATTTCAGAACTGGTTCCAGTGACGACAGCGCCACCTGGAATGTGTATACCGACGAATTACATGAACATAACACCAATCCAGTCAACTGATAATCATCCTAAAAATTGCAGTGATACGAACTTTAATCAGCAAGAATCTAAAACTAGCGACAAAAATAATTTCAAAGATACAATTCAATCTTCCGAGGAATACGTCCAATTTGACGCAATCAAGGACACCACGACGGAACTCGCGGATATTCAACAGTTTCCGGAATATGTGAATGTAGCAGCGTCACGTCAAGACGACGAATTATTTATAAAAAAGCAAAGAAAAATGTTACCACCACTCCCTATTCCACTAAGAGGTGATGGTTTTTCGGTTCCTGTATCCTCATTGGAGGCTTCCGGTAACGATGAGCCCGTTCAAGATGTCAAGAATTGACCCGAAAATCCTAGTACCATTGGAAGGATTAGCAATTTTGTTAATGATGAATCATAAAATTTGTGTATCGCCTGAAACGAATACGCAAAAGGCTTATACGAACTCCAGATGGTTCGACGCAAGAATAATTACTGCCATTTCCGGTAACTGTCATAATACCGATTTGTATCTCTTGACTGGGTATTCTTACCCTTATGTGGCATAAATGAACATGCGTAATCGAATCTATATGCTCTTCCTCGAAACGCACTTACGTCACAAATTCGCATTCTCAAAGCACGAATCATGGTACAAATATGGATTTACATCCGTATTGCATCTGCGCGTGTATTTTGCAACGTGCACTATATGTTATAGAAATAATAAAAGTAATATGATATTTCTTTGTTCTCTACAAGAAGCTATTAATCTTTAGAGAACAGGGGAATTTTTAAACATCTACAGTTTTTGACTTAGAACTTTATAATATGTCTGCCAAAGTGATACTGTAGGAAAACTATGAGACCGACGTAAAACCAAAAAGTCAGTTTTCCGTTTTCTAGAGCTTAAGGATATCACACGCATGTCAATGAGTCTTAAGCGAGAATTATCCTCTGCAATAGTTATTAGTAACACAGAAGCACACGAAATTGACCTCGAACCCTGAATTCTCTACTACGAGAACATCACTGCGTAGGAGAAAAATTTATGATTCTATTCTAGAACCTTAACGTCATCGTATTTAACATTTTCTTAAGTAACACATATATCCACTTATAGGCGTACCCATAAGAGCAAACTCGACATTAACATTCAAAGTGCCAGCACTAGGAATTCTGTCATTAAAGAGTTAGCCTTTGAGTGAGAAAATATTAAGTTTAAATGTCCAGACAAATTGTAAATACTTCATGCACGCGTCATTTATCCAACTTTCATTCAGATTCACAATTTTACTTACTACTAGAATTTATAGATATACTAGATTTTAAGGATTTTGCGTATCACTCGCTAAAGACTGGGCCGGAAACCGACATATTCGAGTACCGCTGTGTATCTTGATATGGAAAAATCGACTCTCATAGATATATATTAATTATCTTTTGTTCTTGTTCTATCTTTGTTCGCCCTTATTACGTAGTAAGTATCGTCACGATAGAAGGATCGTGTTGGAAGAAAACAAATGTGCCTATACAGTTTTTTATGGCGATCATCGTACGTTAACGTAACTCGCTAATTACTGGTTACGATAACAAAGAGACTGCGATCGATCAGCCTCACGTCTAAATCATTAGTAATTAAAAAAACAAGATGCATGATGTTAATTGTAGTATTTTTAACGTAAGTGTTAGATGTAGTTGCGTAGAATGTAGATTTCTTGTACTATTTTTTATTAACTTTTGCTCCTATAACTTATCAAATTTCTCGTCAATGTTTTTACACTGTTCGCTTCGAGTACCAATGATGCATTTATCAGCCGTTACCGTTTTATTATTGTTACTGTATTACGTATATCTTATATGTACTCATGTAAACCGTTCAAATGCCGATTACAATTTCGCGCGCTATCTTAACGTAATGTCAGATTTTTATATTTATGTCGTATCAAAAGAATAAAACAGAAGTACGATACAGTAATCGCTGTTTGTTTTCCGCTAGTATATAGCCCATCACGTTTCAAAATCCCACGCAAATTAATCATATTAATTTCACGAGGAGAATTAAACGGAAGTAACACGACCGCAAAGATTAAATGAGATAATAATACCATTGAAAATTAGGTCTACTATTTCATAAAGATTGCCCTCAATATTGTATGCCTAGGAGAATCATTTATTCAGCATAAAATAATTATGATAGATGGAAGACATAAATATTGAATACATCAATGAAAGAGATTTGCGACAAGGATTAGGACTATCGTTGAAAATTTTTTTATGAAATAGTCAAAATAAGGAATCTAAAACCTCACAGCGTTATAAGAAACTGCACTACGTGGAAATGAAGTCTTTTGATAGCTATCAGTAACCACGTCCTTCCTTCCGACATTTCAACTCAATACTGGCGCACAGGATGTGTTTTCAGATTCAGATAGTGGTTTTCCCTTGTACAGGTTAAATTGAGGTCATACAACCCCATAAAATCGTTATAAACTCCCATGCGTCAGGAAAACCGCAATAATTACAATAGCCAGTTTTGAGAGGCGTGGGGATATCTATATATACGATGTATGAGAGCGTAAAGGATTCTGTTGACGCAGAGAACGATCATTTATTCCATTCAAGGTGCGCTTGTCATTCTCAACACTCGACAATCGATCGTAGTCGTAGAAACAGTAGATCGTCAGGATCAAAAATTACATTTAAAAAGTCACTTTGTCAGTTCAGCTATTAAAGTTGCTTTTAACATTTTTTCTCTTATATAACCTATTCGTCCTATACACATCATTAAAAAACAAAACACGAAAAATCATATTCGGTAATTATTTTCAGTTACGCAGATCGTCTTACACCAGTGTCGAAAACAGACGAAGCAAGAATGTCAAGAATTGTGAAACTCTTATCGTTATCTCTCATACTGGCCATCACTAGAACCGTGTTATGTCAAGATTACAATTATTATTCGCGTAAACCGGGTTCCTGTCCACCAGCATTACCTGTGCAAATTTGCTCAAAATCTTGTGTCGTGGATGAACAGTGCCAAGGCATTGGTAAATGCTGTCCAACCAGTTGCGGTGGATTCGTCTGTTCACGTCCGGTCACTATGAGAAATCCCACAATGAAAGGTAAGATTTTAATATCAATAATTAACCATTATTAACATTCTCAAAAAAAAGGATTCATTGCTTGAAAATATTTTGTTCATACACAGAGAAATCTGGTTCCTGCCCTACTGTACCGACCGGGCGATGGATTTGCTCTCCAACATGCAGTACTGACGGTGACTGCAGAGGGGCGCGGAAGTGCTGCAAAAATCGCTGCGGCGCGCTTACTTGTCAGAAACCTGAAATAGAGGCACCAGTCTACGACTATAATACGAATAATCCAAACCGTTATTATGCATACAGTAATTGATGTACCGTGTCTGAAAACACTTCAGAATAATCTTGAAAGCCTCGGTACCATGTAATTGCAGAGTCAATGGTATATGTACCCCGTGTATGTACTTAAGTATTATTGTAAGATGAGATCACTAATAGCACAAGAATTGTGTGTGTAACAAAGTGAAACGCCTGAATTACCAGAGTACGAGATTGGAATAAACCATTACTTCTGTTATTACCTAAAAGCACGTATATATTGATTAATACTCTCTGCAATGTAAATATAGTCTCTAGTTAGTTCATACACTAGATGTTATCCTGTCTGGCGAGAGGTCCCCGATTTTTTCTTTTTTGTTACGCTTTCTAATTATATTTGAAGTTTTGAAGAATTTTGTACCCCGAAAACTTTGGGGGCAATTGATTATTATACTTGTCTGAGGAAAAAACGCATTTTTCCAATTCACAATTGGATAATAAATTGTCAGTTTGTTCGAGGTACTAATAACAAGACTTTTTGCAAATTATGAGACAACAGATAACTATACTAAGTTTTAAATCGAAAAAATCTGTTATAATTTGTTTAAACAAGTATAATAATGTATTGCACTAAAAGTATTCGAGGTACCCAGTTTCTCAAGATTTCAAATATAAGAAATTTTTTTCTTTAGCTGAGTATTAGTTTGTATAGTAATTTTCCTCCACGTGATACTTCGAACGTCATCCGGCAATCACAAAATGAAGTCAAGTACAGTCGTGATTATTTCATAAGAATTTTATGTGTTTGTAAATCAGGTTTGCCTGATTCCATTGAATTGGCTATTTCGACTCTGAGAAGATCAGGAAAGAATCATATTTCATAACAGTATCCAGAAACCCCCTTTCGCTTAGGATTAAAGATGGTTGTACGAGTGGGGATAATCATATAATAGAGAGGTCTTCTTAAACGCGGACACGATTCTTGCGTTTCAGATCTGTAGTCGCTCTTGCCAAGTTAACGTATCTATACATAAATTTCACATTGCCATGAACGGTGCGTATTACTCTTAATCCTCACACTATTACCAAAGAGAATATTAGTAAAAATTTATTTTTTATATTTTCTCACAGTCAAGGTGACTTTTATTATCCTGTCTGTGCTGTTGGTTGCAACATTGGCACAAGTATCTCGTGAGTATATTTGGCATATATGAAGATTATTTAAATAATTATAATTTTTCAAAAATTTCGAGTAAAGTTCCATCCGTTTCTCTTTTAACTCTCTACATTGAAAGTAACCTTCCTATTTGAACGTCCTGATTTATCGTCAAGGGCAAATACGTGGTTTCATTGCATGCACCTATACTGTGTGTTAAGAAATAAGACGAAATGCACTCCGCTCAAACTGCATAATCGAGTAAATATTATCGCGAGTGATGCTGCAAAATTTTGTCGTTCACGCAGAACAACACTCGTGGAATCAATTATTCTTGATGCATCAAGCTTCTGATTTACACGAATAATATTCGAGTGTGCGTTAACGAGGATATCTCATGATAAATACATATTAGCCATTACAAATCTTCATAATAACAACTGATTTGTACGTAAAGAAAAAAAGGCGCAGTTCTATAGAACAAGTGTGTTACTAATAACTTGAGTAATGTCGCGGAAGGATGTAATTAATTAATGTTTTAGATAAGGAGGGAAACTGCCCATTGAGAAACAGTGTCAGTAAATGCAATCCAAGCTGTCAGAGTGATCATCAGTGTAATTTCAATCAAAAATGTTGTCCTAACAAGTGCGGCCATTCGTCCTGCGTTACTCCTAGTGCTGTCAATACAGGCAGTGATGGCGGATACAAAGGATCTAATAAAGGTAAGCCGAAAATAGTAATTAGATAATTTATTTTTTTTTAATTTTACCAAAGCGTGGAATCTATAGTGCTGAGAATTTCTTTGATTTTTTTTTAGACTCTGCTGTTTACTGTGCTGGAGTGCGATGCAGTGCGTTTGAAAAATGTCAGCTGGATCGTACTACTAAACGTGAGAAATGCGTCCGTGCTTAAATATCATAAGTAACGTAATCATAAAAAGAAAAACGATTAGAAGCTGAGAATTTTGCCTGGAGTACAGATCAGAATAGAGAGTAATAAAAGAAGCAAGAAGAAAATTGTTGAAATAATCTATAAAATAGTAATATCTTTGTGGATATTCAATAATGCATTGTATAAAGATTATTAAACGGAATATATAAATATTATACGATTAAGAGAAGCATTACAATTCCTAAAATTAAAGTACATTGACGTCATACGGGACTTTCCTTGTGGAAAGCTATAATGTGGAATACATAACTATAGCTGTAGTGTTGTTGCAGGATGATTCAAGCAAAACAATTTGTCGTATGGATGAGTGATATACTTTCCTACAAGTGTACCAATTAACTATGATAATTATCAGTATAATATTGTTTCTGACTATCGTATAATGATATGGTAGTTATAAGTTTGTTAGTAAACTCAAACAGTATAGAGGAACGTGTAATCTAGTGTATTCTGTATTAGGTAATATTTATTTCCCTGAGCGAGTTATACTGACGACCTACTATTATTTCCTTGAGCGAATTTTTGTAATTTACACAATTATCAAATTGTATTCTTATCGTTGATGATAGATTTTATCAGCACCACCGGTATTACAGTTGCTGATCTTACAATTGTACACAGAACAATATGGCGGCGACGTAATCTCTTGCCGCAAGAGGTTAAGAGATAATTGTGTTTTTACTCGGCAACAATAGTACTGCTGTAGGAATTTTGTTTTATATGCGCTTGTCGAAAATGTAAGGTGTTCGTGAAGATTTCTTCACCTGTGAAGGGACGACAGGGTTCCCTGATTTGGGTCCTTATTGGTCTCGTGATCTCCCATTCGGTGCACTGCAAGTGACCGAGGTTATACTCTTCAACTTTTGACGTCTCGTTTAATAACGACACTAAAGGAGGGAAGTAAAAACTAGCAACAATGGCTGTGGAGTTTTTAGTGAATAGAATGAAGGCCCTATTTGTTATCTTATTAGGCGTTTTTCGAAGAGCTATGTGCTGTTTCCGTCGACGAAGAAGATCATCTTGTGACTCTATTCCTCTGTCAGCTGTAGGAGTTGTTCCAAATATTGTTAATGAACGAATGGTAAAGATAGCAATAGATCATTGTGTAGTATCAATGTTAGGTCTTGTTTAAGATTTCTGATAACTGAGTGACACTGTATTATATGTACATTCTAGGAATCGGAACAGTGGGATCAATGGGAAGAAAATCCAGTGGTCGTTGTGCCAGATAAGCCTTTGAATATAGTTCAGACAAAGATTGAACAATATAGACAGCAAGTGACCAAATCTCCAGAAACTCCAGAGGAAGAGCATCAGTTGAACTTCTTTGAGGATATGACTCCAAAGATAACAAAACAGACAAGAGTTCTTGTAAGGGATAAAAGAAAGGAGGATGGTGAATTGAATTCTTCTAAGTTCGCAGTATCTACTGATCCTGTGCCAACAGTGAGTTTTTATTTAAAAATTATTTAATTACTGGTAAGAGTATGAACTGTTGAATTATATATAACATGCCATTGTTTATTAGAATGAGCTTCGTGAATGGGAAGACAATGCTGCTGGATGGGAAGAGGAGACAGTGGAAGAATTTGGTGATCCAACAAAGGCATTAAGAGAACAAAGAAGGAGAGAACGTGAAATGCGTATGTACATGCAACAACAAAAGAGAGTGGAACGCAGTTTAAGATCACAACCACTTGGAGCAAAGATAGGATCCTGATCGGACATTCCTTTTGCGGAAAGTAACTCAAAGTGCAATTATTTTCCGTTGATAAAGCTATTTTATGTATACAGACGTACAAGTCCCTTTGCACACAAACACAGACCCCATCGAATCCGGGCGCATGATAAGCGCAATGAAATTGGTAATTATAAAATCAAGAGAATTATATGAAAATCAAATATAATCAAACTCCAATGTACGGATTCGTCAAGCGGACCAGTTTGATATTCAACCGTACTAGTAATATGGAGGCTACTGTGGTATTACGCTCATTGCGCGCACGTTTATTTTTTATTATTTATAAATCCAAACTTCTGAACTGAGAGTGCATATTACAATGGCATTTAAGCAGAACTTTTTTGAAATTTATACGCAGGCTCGCATCAACGAAGAATATTCCGTGTATCATTGCGTCAACTTTCTGGTTAGGTGTCTTCATGATGGAAGTCCTGCGTATAAATGTTTTTCTTTCTGTTTTTAACGAATTGGTTTATTGTACTTTAAATATAATGACAACGCTCATTCAGAGAATTCTATTAATCTTTTTTTTTTATAAAGAAATTGACAATAGTATCTGTTTATTCGTGTCAAAAGGATTACTCGGTACTCAATCAAAATTTGTTAAATAATGTACCGCTTTAATGATTTAGAAAATATTCGAAGAAGAGTATTGGTGTTAAACAAGACTTATTTTCAATTATTTATATCTTCTGATATAATTTGAGCTGTATAGGAAAATAAAATGGCTATGTTAGATTCCCGTAACTATACATTGTATTTTCATTAAAGTGCGTGTGAGAATTAGCTCTATAATCCAAAGTTGTTTGTTTCTAATTATAATTAATGGGGTTTACTTTAATCGTATAAAGTAAATTTCTCGTTAAATATTTTGGCAGTAGTACGGCAATATATGTAAATCTGTTTTGTTCATTGTAAACTTGAGGATACAGTCAGTTGGATTTTCATTTTTTATTAAAAAATCTGCTAACTTACTGAGTCGATAATTTAATCCACAAGTTTAGAATTTCAAATTTATAAATAAAAAATAATTTTTAAATCGTTCATGAGATCTCATGTCAGCGAACGCGTAGTGGGCCTCTAAGTATGTGAAAAACACCATGATCAAACCAGAGATAAAACGCTGAAGTAAAAATTGGATCGGCTTATTGGCAATCTCCCTACTCATCTCTGATTAAAGAGTGGGTAATAAGTATTCATAATTTAATTATGCATTTGTATGGTACATGTATTGAATTTGAACTGGCAATGGATTCAAGTTATATTGTTATTTTATTTACATCAAACAGTGCCCATTATACTTTAAAAAAGTAACGGAGTACTTCAATAGATTCTAACCACATAATACCAGTACTTTACTCTTCCTTTTACTGTACCTTTGAAAATATTTTTAATAAACTTTAATGAAAAATAAGTATGTAGGGAAACTAAAGCAATAACAAAATCAACCGCAATTTGTGTAACAGATAGTTTGTAATTTATTATAATGTACAGTGTTGGGCCTCGCTGCTGCAAAGTATGAAATTTTCTAAAGCCTCAATCATTCAAGATCGTAAGTAACAAAGAATCAATTAAGCTCTTAAACCTTGTTAACAAGCCTTGAGTGACGAGGCTCATGTCGTTTGGGGCTGAAAAATTGGTTCTGTATAGAAATACACGACTGATAATACTTTATCAATTTAAAACGTGAATATCGCGTACCATTAATATTTGTATGAAAATTCACTAATGAGCTATACAATGCATACTTTGAAGAATCTCGGCAGTTATGTGAGAATATTATTAACTAGTGACTTAACGTAACCTGTATAACTCGTGCATAATGAATATTCATTCATCTTTTTAATTCGGCAAAAATTATGTACCTAATTAACCTATCAGGTATGCTATTAATGACAAATTATTTTTTAATTTTTATAACTTATCTTCGTTGAGTTGCGCAAAGATTCCCGAAATAACAATACAGAGGTTGCTAAAAACTTCGGGTCTGTGTTCAATTTTGCGCAAACAATATCCATGGTAAATTTATCCTGTCGCGGTTTTTATTATTTCTTTACAATTGGGTATGATTAGGATTCGCGGAAGCGGATTAACGGTTTGTCAATAATATTGACATATAACTTAATTTATACTACAAGATTAGATTCAACGACTGATCGATCAATTAGGCGCACCTTCTGGTATTATATTATTTACAATTACTGAGAATCATATACGTAGGATACTGTTTCTCACTTTTGTACGTAGGGGAAAGAGATCGTAATTGGTTACGAGTCAGCTTTACCCAGAAAGGTATGACATACAATTATTTTATTCATATATTTACGGCAGGTCCCAGCCTGGCGTGAGAAAGAGGATTGAACGGTGTTGTATTACGAATTTCTGTCTCCAGACACTCAGCATATATATCCGTGGTCAATTCGTTCAATGGAATTTCCTTGTCAGCCTTGGCTATCTTTACAGCATCATCGACAGTCTTCCTAATTTCGGATTCTAATTTCTGTAATAAAACAAAAGAATAGTAAAATAACCTGAAGTATTTTTTTGTGTATTCATGATTAATGGACTAGATAACGAACCTTCAGTTCCTCGGCAGAAACTAAGTTAGCGTTCAGAATTCTTTCCTTGAAACTTGTAATAGGATCGCGGGTCTGTCGAACTTCCTGGATTTCTTCACGGGTTCGATAACTAGTGCCAGGGTCAGACATACTGTGACCGCTGTACCTATAGGTGGCAGTTTCCATCACAATGGGACCCTTACCGGAGGTACAATGGTCAACGGCAAAGCGAGAAGCTTCCCTCACGGCTAAGACATCCATACCATCGACCTGGTATAATAGATATTTACTATGAAGATTCCATTGTGGTATAATTTATAATTAAACTATTGCATATTTATAGTACCCAGATTCCAGGAACGTAATCTCCTCTCGTATAATATTCCGTGCTTGCAGAAGCACGTTCTACGCTGGTGCCCATACCGTATCCATTATTTTCGCATACGAAGATGCAGGGGAGATCCCACAACTTCGCAATATTATAAACTTCGAATATTTGTCCTTGATTGGCGGCTCCGTCGCCATACAGAGCAACGCAAACGCCACCAGTGTTTTGGTATTTATGAGCAAAAGCTATTCCAGTACCCAGAGGTACCTAAATTTAAAATGCATAGCACTTTTTTTATTTTGGTAATCAATAATAGAAATCGCTTAACTTTAAGTTAACTCAATTTGATAGTAATTATTAGATAACTTACTTGTGCACCAACAATGCCATTTCCTCCATAAAAATTCCTGGCATACATATGCATGGAACCTCCTTTACCCCGAGCATTACCAGACTGTCTTCCGGTGAGTTCAGCCAAAACACCTACAGGATCAATTCCCATAAGATAAGTCCAACCATGGGCACGATATGCAGTAATTACAGAGTCCTGATCTCTGAGTGCAGCTTTAATTCCTACTGCACATGCTTCCTATAAAAACAAGAGAATATCACTGTATTAAATATTTCTATATTTTTCACACTCTGAATAAGAATATGTTACCTGTCCAGAATACAAGTGACAGAAACCTCTGACAATTTTTTCTTTGTAGAGATTACCAGCAGCAGTTTCCATTCGTCGAATCGTATGAAGTTGTTTGTACAGTTTAAGAGCATCTTCCTTAGTTACCGATACATGAGTAGATGGACCACTATCCAATTTATGCAAACGAAATGGTTTGGTCTCAAACGAAGCCTCCGTTGCATAATTATTTTTTCTACTCGAGAAAAGAGATGCTACCTGAAAAAAGAAGACAAAATCATATAGAGTAATAAATAGAAAATTGATTAAATGTATGACTGGAAGCTCAAGATTATTTACAATATCGCAGTGACAACCTTTTGAAAGTTCATCTCAACAAAATATTAATTACATAAAAGCCATTGAACAACCGACAAAATTAACTATCAGTTGTCAATTTCATAAAACACCATATTCATGGAAACATATTAACTGGCTGTAATGACCGACTTTTACATTATGAGAATATAGGTTAAGCACTAAGTATCACTATAAAATATTACATTATAAAACATGAAATATTGCTAAAAATTTATATAAAGAAAGTTCAACCGTAATTAGCCTCTATAAACTTTTTTTTGCATCGAATTACAATGAATTCCAAAATAGGTCGTATACTTGGTATGTGTGGAAGAAACGCGAGGACAATCAAGACGAGGAACAGAACACGAATGATTGTAATATCTCGGTAAAAGGCAAATCCAATCCCCAGCCATATTTACCTTGCTCCAGCTTCCGTACTGGGCCGTGATCGAAATATAAAAAAAGACACATTAATATATAACACCGTACAATGAAGCGAATCGACTCCGAAATCGCGTTATGGTGACTTAAAGGTCATTCATCACTAACAAAATTGCATGATTTTCACTCACATTTCGGTGAGATGACTGCCTGCTAAGGCTCCTGATACAACCGGGGATCATTTTCGTTAATTTTCTAGTCAATTCACTCAATCCTCTTGGCACAATCTTCCCTAATATCTCGGTCCAGCTGTTATTCTAGAGAACTGCCAATAATGGACGGTGTGCTCCCAGCAGACTACAAGAGGGCAGCGGACTTTTAGAGGAGAACGGCGCTAGTCGTACACCAAATTCAACTCCAACTTCCTTTCCTTATCATCAAGGTCACCTGTCACGCAATTCCGTCTACACACGGAGAGGTAATCTTAAATAAGCGCGTCAACTTGTTTCAGATTTTTTCGCTTTTCGATTAACTAAAATCTGTGTTTTACTTCATAGAGTTGATTTATAATAAAAGATACTTTACATAAAACTTCTGCAAAAAAATGATACTTTTATGAATTAACTTTTGGTATTTATCTCTTCATAAAAATGACGTCGTTACATAATAAAACAATTATAATTGCAACAAGGTAACTGGCATTATCGGGATTATTTTAGGTATAGGTTATCGTAAACTTTCGAAACTATATCATAATGATAACAATGATACATGGGAAAGCATGAATTATATTTTGCATATAGAAGTCAGTGTATAATGTAAAGAACATCAGAAATATTGTCTCCTATCTATCGTACACAAAAGGTATACAAAAACTGGTTTGGTGTCGCATTTACACTCAATCTAGGAAAAATAATAGATATAATAAGGGGATAACGTTTGCGGTGGTAACGTTAGATTCGTCTATCTAAAATATATAAGCTGCTCTTTATAAACTTTGACTTTCATTATGTAGAATGAGAACATTACTGATTCTCGATTCTGGTCCTCCCGATTTATTAATACTATACGCAAGTCATGCAAATAAGTAGTATGCGTCTTAAAGAGCAAGATATTAAATCTATTTTAATACGTCTGTATCTCGTGCAGATTTTTATACTTCTAGATTTCTCTTTTCGTAGTTGTCGTTCTTGTCTGTCTTACAATGCAGTATGTATGCGTATACTGAAGTATGTAGAGAGGGACTGAAATAGGGGACGAGATATTGAGAAGAGAAATGGAAAGAGAACTAGGAATGCGATAAACAATCATTTATCGTTTCCAATTTTTATGCTGACCTCAATGATCTCATCGCCACGTCTACACCGATCAACGGAAACGGTAGACGATGTTATTGGTTGTGCGATTAAACTTATTCACGAAATCATTTGGTAATACAATTTTTTTCTGTTGCGTTGCGCAGCTCCCCAAATTTAATTTGTATCAAGGTGAAGTAATAATTTCTTTGTGACAATTTCAGAATCAGATCAGCTTGAATTTTCAAATTCGTGTCTTTTTCAACGAATTTTGCGTAATATCGAATTTCTCGCTAATTAAATTATAGAGTAATACCAAATCGTCATGCGTTAGTACTCGTTTTACAATAGAAAGTTGTCCTGCCAAATTATGAGTACAGTTTCGTCGTCAATATGAAATTAAGAGTTAACGATTTTTAATCGTATATCGTTCGGGCACGAGGCCGTCATCAGTTTCTCTAGTTTCCAACGGAACATAACCAAGCGTTACTTTGATGAGATTCTTTATCATCCATTTTGTTTCTCGTAGACACCATTCTCTTGAGTTTTTAGCGGTTTTATCGCCTCGATGTCATTCAGTTGCTCGATGTCTCGTTTCTTCTTCTTCACTTTCCTAAAACAGGTCATTAGCCCAATAAGAACATTTCTCAAAATTGACTTTGAAATATAATCTGTCCACGACATCGAATGGCAAAAGTATTCAATATTTTTTTAACTGTATAAAATATTCGTATATGTTCCAGCTATCAATTAAAATCATCTTATTCGTGGACAGACCATAATTTATATAAGAAACTTTATATCATCATTTATCTTACTTTCCGAATTTCTCGCCATCTTGTATAGACTCCGGTAATTTTTTATTCAGAGTCTCCGGTAGCAACAAGGACATTAGTCCGCCCAAGAATGCACACGAGCCAAAGATAACAAGAGGTAACGGTGTCCAAAATTCAGACTGTTAAATAATGAGAGATGTACAAGTCAATTAAATAGAATAATTTTAGCATACTGTGAATATACAAAATCTTACCAAATGATTTATATAAGGTGCGATGACTCCTCCAATTCTGGCAAATGTCGAACTGGCCCCAAGTCCAACATTACGGATAACAGTGGGATACTGTTCAGCAGTGAACACATAAATAGCGCCATACGAGGATGTAATGGCTAGTTTGGCAAACATTGCCAAACCCACGAGTAGCCACGGCATATCTAGAAATAAATGTATAACGTACTAAATAGATTTGTTCAAGCAGATAACTTAGTATACATTATTTACGTCGTGCACGTACCTTGAGGTACAAATAGTGTAGCAAGCAGAGCGACACCAGACATGAGCATGCATCCGCAGAGAATGACCTTCCTGCCCCATCTGTTAAGAGTGAATATCAGGAATGTATAAGCAGGTACCTCCACCAGACCGGATATTACAAAATTGAGGTACTCGTTGCCACCGAGATTTGATGAGTTCCATGAGAGTCCATAGTACGTTCCACTATTGACCAGCCTGAAAAGAAATTTGTTATGTCATTGCTGATACTGTATTATTAGAAGTCATATTGATCCAGAGAAAAGACGTACCAATTGAAGAACAGCAAAATACTTTTGCGCCGAAGATTAGGATACCTAAAGAGATCAAATAACGATGGCTTCCTCACATCCGGCGTGCTCTCGCTATCACTGCTCAGAAGATCATCCAGTGTATCTCTAGGCAATTCAACGCCATTCTCTAAAGAAGCTTTTTGTAATATATCCTTAGCTTCCTGATGACGTCCTTTAGTCAATAGCCAACGTGCAGACTCAGGAATGAACCTGGAAACAATAGATACATATTTCTGTACCACAATCATACAGTGCCTCTATCTACGTAAATTAGCGCGCACATACCACCAGTATAGTAGAAATGCAAAACTGGGTATAGTAATGGCAATTTGAAGCATTCTCCAGTCAGTGATGAAATATGCGAAACCAGCAGTCATAATATACCCAGTGGTGAAGAATAATTGACAGCCGACACCGGCAACCAAACGCTTCTTGGGACCCACCATTTCCAAAGCTAAAAAATCGTGATCAAGCAACATAAGTTAGATCGTTTAAGTAGCTCGAATGATCGTTAAGCGTTTCCCCGTATGGGAGAGACTTCAGTGCTATTAGAATATTTCAAAATACTTTACCGATGACGTAGGCTACCAAGAAGACACCGCTTGTAGTCGAGCCAACAATTAACCTGAAGATTATGTAGGAAATAAACTCGGGCGCGACAGCGACCAGAATTCCGCCAACCAGCTGAATGACTAAAGACAGGAAGAAAATTGGTCTACGTCCAAATCTATCGGACAAACCACCGAAAATCATCGAGCCAAGCATGACTCCTACCATGAACAACGAGTCCCCCGTAGCTCTCAGCCACGCATCGTCGCATACCAAATTCCACTAAAAAGTAAAATAAAAAGATGACCAAACTCGTGTTTCTTCAGACATATATATTATATCATAATATTAAACAACAGATGCTCATTGTCATGTCGAAACTCACCTCAGAAGTTGTTGTGCTTTTGTAGCTTCTTCTGTCATACACGTATGTCTCACATTGCACTGGCTCACGTCCCACGATCATGTCAGTCAGATTGGCATCCTTCCATCTCTCGCATTGGGACCAACCATTCATTTTTTCATCCCATGGGTAGCTAATGTTAATGATCTCCGGCGGTAGGAGAAAGGTCACGTTTTCCGGATTCTCATAAGGCAGCAGACACCTGGAATCCATCTTGGCGCCAAGAAACACACCAGCTAGCTTGTGAAAGGCGCAAGAAATTGCTGGTAGACACAGCAGCAAGTATATTCTACGCTGATAGCGTCCAAACTCCCCCATATGTAAGATAACGTCATCATAAGCCATCTTCTTGCGTTCTCCAGGTTCGCCCTGGTCCTCGTCGTTCAACTTCTTCTCTAAAAACTTGGTGGAATCCTCAAAACCGTTGTGACGCTTTATTGAGTTCGGTGATTTTATTTCCACTGTGTCGTCGTGGGTCAGGATAGTCTTCTCAGTGATGAGTACCTCTACAGGACTTGACAGTCCATCAGGATTGTCAGACTGAACTCCTGCACAAAGTGGTTCCTTGGATTCTGTTGCAGAGATCCCGTCGACGTTTACTTTTGTTACTGTTGTATTATCACCCAATGCCAAGGGCGATGACGGTTCCTGCCTCAGCTGCAACTGTAAACCGAATGAGGAAAAAACAACTTTATCGTCAGTTTTCATCTTCTTTTCAGACCACAGATTCACATGTATTTTTAAATGACCGATAACGCTTTCATAAACTCTTCAGATATCCTACCAATAGATCAATGAATATAAATAGGAATAGATTTGTCAGATGGTTGTTGCGATTTGCAATAGTAAATTGACAGCAGTCATAGAGGTCGGTCCATTGATTTACTCTGATTATGCTTGAATTCCTCGCTTATCAAACACAATTAAATTGGCGCACGTGTGGCTGAAGTGAAGCTGGCTGATGCAAAGACCACTAATAATTTAGCTAAGAGACATGGCAGGATAAAAGATGTTATAAATACAATGAAATTACTTTTTTTTTTGTTATTCAAAATCATGACTTCTTTCTGTATCTAGTACTATGAAAGCTTTAGGAATTTTATTAAAAATTTCAACTGATTGACGTACGATATTTCCGTCGTTAATATTCTCGTAATTATAAAATAAAGAAAACAAGGATGAACTCAAAAGTATACTAGTCCTCGCGGATCGACTGACTATCCGATCCGAGGTTTCAGCAGCAACTGACTCAAAGGCGTCTTTCCCATTTCACAATCTCCTTCTAGCCGACCTCTGGTTGCAATTCCAACCTCCCACCAATCACCATAAAGTCTACCAACCCCACGGAGATCGACTGGCGAGGACGAAGTCGAGGACGACCAGAAGAAAGTTCCCAACTTCCCTTCTACCTATAATTTCTATCCAATCAAACGTCAAGTCATATGTGTGCACATATAAACAGTGAGAGAGAATGCAGCGTGTGCTTATCAAACCATCTTGTGTGCTAAATTAATCAGCCCAAGACTGTATATATATATATATGCATCTATATAAATACATATTCCTTGAATAAGTACATAGTGATAGATCTACAATAGCAAAGATACTCAACCGATAAATATAATCTGATAAGCTTAACAGGCTTGTTTTGGAAATCTGATAGAACACGACGTAACGGAACATGGAGTAAAATCAATCAATGCCAAACATAAATTATAAGTCGCAAGATATTCTAATAAATGATATTAACTAAATAGAAGTAAATATAAATATAAAGAAAATAATATAATAATTAGGTATGATGTACTTCAAACGGGGACTCATCTCCTGGGTAATATAACGTTCCACGGTATGTGCAAAGTAGATTGCCGCGACAAGGTAAGCCAGTCAAGTAAGCAAGAATTTCCTCCATAGCATGCAAATCAAATGAAAACTAGACAAACGAGAATGGCTCATGGCGCCTGATTTCTTCTAAAGTATTATTCAACATCTATCAGTGATCCTATAACTATTTGCCACGCGACACTGCCATCTGCATACATAGTAGTCACGGTGCACGAACAACATCACGTATTGATCTAATCGCTAATTCCTTTGTCCCAAGAAATTCAAGTGCTTCCTATGTCCATTTCGTTATGCTTAGTTGCCACCGGTTATTATAATAATCTCAATAAATATTAGAATACAATTCGTCTTGATGTCGGCATCCGTTTTACAAATGGAAGAAAGTACAGATGCGTTTCCGATACATCTAAAACCATAAAATGTATTAGTATCAGAATATATGCTATGTATACTAGATGTAGATATGTGTATATAGGTACCTGGACATGTAATGACTGGGAATCATGCACGAGTAGACTACCTATTACGCGTTATTCGAGTCTTTCTTATTAGGATGCAATCGTATCGTGTAGCTGCGACGGCGCTAACCGCAACTTGTCGGCGCCGCTACCTGATGAAAATTCTGCACGATTTAGCACTTCGTGTCTCATACATGACTTGAGGTAGTATACACTGTACAGGGACGTCAGTCTCGGTTTCTCATGTTGCAGTCACTTGGTGAACGGTTCCAGGGAATCGTCTATGTTACGGCTTTCATGGACGTTACTTCTTCTGCGGTTTTAGTACACGTTGCCAAGAAACATGGATGGGCTCGTGTTTCTTGGACGATGTTATAAGTTTTATATGAATATCTTAAATTGGCAGATATTTGATTCAGGCGCTGTTAAGGCGCCATTTGAATGTCCAATTATTGAAAAATATTGACTCTGTATGTATTTGGTATTTTTACAAAATATTATCATTTAGAGTAAAAATATTCAGGCGAATGTCGGCTTTTGAAAGACTGTGTGTGTCGTAATAGCTGTTAGTGTATATAATACGCAAAATAATTATCGTATCGATAATTCTGTGTGAAAAAATTAATATTCAGGATATGAAAAAAAAGCAGTAAAAGATTGTAGGAAAATTCCTTAATGGGATATTCTAGAATAATTAACTAAGATGTTCTTCTTGGGATAAGCTTGTGTACTGTATAATAGTCGGAGAACGAATGACATTTTTATCGCTGTAATTTTCATTTAAGATCCTATTCTATTGTTCATAATTTTCTCGCACGATCGTTCTTATGCGCAACTGTAGCTGCGTTGCGTAATGACGTAACAAGCCATCGAGATCCGTAAAACGAATATAAGAATTCCTTATCCGTGTTATTGTAAATATTTTGTATCTTGGTTCAACGGTGGAAACTGTTTCAGGGTGGATTATGGTGGTTCGGAGATTCACCTCGAGTGCGCGGCCTATGTGGTTGATCCTTACTAAGCTCCTGCATGTTTTGTGCTCCTTTTTTCATACCCCCCATAAAAATTCCTCACCAAGCCGATGGCTACCCTTTTAGCTATTTCCCGCTGTGGAACCTGCATAATGAAGGCTATTTATAGATACCGGCTCCACTAGTTCCCACCGCGCGAAAAATCGCGACTGGTTTTCTTCGACCAAAAAATCCATGGACTCATCCCGGGCGCCTCTACACTAACTCGGCAAGATTCCCAATGACTTTATCTCTTGTAGAGGTGCTCACTGACATTGGAATGCACTGTAAGTCTTCTTACCATTACATAAACTATTACTCTTACACTTACTCTCCTCCATAATCTATCTTATCTTATTCATGGTGGACAACCTCTGTCGTTCCTTTTGCTCTTCTCAGTTCCTATTACTTGTCTTAAACATGTGTCTGTTTCGCACGTGCGCGACAATGACCACGAGAATGTCCTCTAAACGAGGAGTACGCAATTGATATACTCGATGGATCAACATACATTGTAGAGGCGATTAGTAAGAGTATTGCGAGGTAACGTTAGACAGAATGTAATTGATCGACGAGAAATAAATTTTCTATTAGAGCGCCATTATGCTGCATGCCACGCCATCTGTCGAGGAAATCTTGACAACAGAAAAATAGTAATGATCTGTGTCTAGTCATACATCTTATCTTTTTGTAGTACAGAGGACGCCGATACAAATGCAGACTGAAATAAAACTCGGTATCTGTACCTATTGCGAAATTCAATTCAACAAGGATAACTTATTTAATTAAAGTGTTTCTAGGACCGACATGCTTGCGAAGTGTCTCGTGTCGGATAAGTAAGTTTCGAGATAATAATTCAGAGGAAATGATGAATGAAAATATGCAGCCCCATCATGAATACGTACGCTAATTTGTTCCTTGTCCATGTTGAGGCTCCGCGGAACTGTGACGTTGTCGTGAGTTAGACGAACTTTGCCATGAAATTAACCAGGCCTTTGGAAAACGTCAAAAATGTGTAGGAGGATGCCGGTTCAGTGTTGGGTGGTTTCCACAACCCGAAGAAAGATGGCGTTGGGAGCACTTAGCTCCCGTAAACCGTGGTGCTCAATTAAACCATCTGCTGAAGTAATCATCCCGAGTAATTATGAAATAGGAATAACAAAAATACTTAATGTAAAAAAACAAGGCATTTTTTCATCTACCCTAACATTGAACAACCTCAAATCTAATTTTGCCACCATATTGTACAATCATATTACATACTTTTTCTCACAATATTATTTTTTCTAATTTTCATATTTGAATACAACACTATGGAACTTCCAAGCTGGCGAGAATGATAATGAAGTGTCTTTCATTGGAATAAGTTTACACTATTCATTAGCATGTTTCTATTAGCAAGATATACCCAGGCACGATGTCGCAAAAACGGTGTTTACCTGTCCTATACAAAAATAGTTAAAAAACATTTTCTACGCATTAACCGTCTATATATAAAGATTGAACAATAACGTAAGCATTTTTTTTTTTCGTAATAAATATTCACCCGGATTGAATACATAAGCGTCATACTATTTCAGGTTCATGCATAACAAGCTTTTCGTTCGTATGCGCGCGTACCTGCGTCTTCTGCACTTTTCCACTTTCACCTGATGACAAAGAGGACAACATTTTTCGAAATCCTTTTCAAAATTCTCGCGTCGGAGCAACGGACGTCCACTCAAGTTAGAGTGCTAAGTGACAACTGGAAATAATATCGTTCAGTATTAGAGGCAAGTTCGTTCAATGGGCCACAATTACGAGACCATCAAGCTGATACGACGTATCGCTTTAGTTCACCCCTACCTCGACAATGTTATCTTCTACATATATTATTATACATCACTGGAAGAGGTGTGATTTACAGAAGACTGATATAATATTTATCTGATTAGATCCATAGTACAATATCCAAAAATCGTATCACCATGTATGTCGGAGCATTAATCATAGATACAATATACTTGACCTTACTGGATAAACAAAGCTAAGATGCTGAAGAAATCGATTCATCTACACTACATTTCTATGGATATCATGTACAGGTTTTCATTGACATTCGGGATAACTAGCACGATAACCTAACGTGCTCCATTAATCGATTTTTCGCTCCACATGAAGAACGACAAAAGTAGGATAAGAAGTATACAAAGAATAGTATTGTATAGGAGCTTTTATGAACGTCGCGATGCCCATCACATTTTCTGTCGTCCCTAATAAAGCCCGAGGAAGGTATTTTGTCGTGTATGAATAATGAGAAACGGCAATGGGTATTCTGATGTTTTTAGTACGATGGTATATGGACTCTACCTAAAGTACAATATTTCTAAGTGTTAATGAGACTGTACAGTTGCCATTGTCATATAAGAAACCAGCTTTAATGTTAATCTATCAAAACTTCCTTTAGAAGAAACAACGCACTAAGAGGGTTAATAGGCAGGCCGACTAAAAGATGGCGTGGACAAGTGGTAAAGGCGATGCGCGTTTTCAATTTATTCTCAGTGAATCAATATTACACGCGCTTATACGTAACGTGGTATAGTCTTGTTATTTTTATTTCATTTTTTTAGACATTGTAGATACAAAACAACAGTATATAATCGCTCCAACAAGTTCTCGTTTAGAATCTTGATGAATCTGTCTGCCAGTCGAATAAATTAATAGCTACGATTCGTATTAAAAATTCGTTCTTGATTGAGCGGATATGAAGACGGTTTTAGTCAGCAGTATTATAATTTTTCAGAGCACAACGGAAAAGGTCAAGAACATGACCGCGACCTGGAGAATATTATTTTCATTAGAAAACGCTGATTTAAAAAAAAAATAGAAACATTAAGAAACTCCGTTCTTACCAAAAGTGGTGCGACTGTTCTTGCTACATCAGTTCTACGAATTTCATCTGAATTTTCATGACGAGTAGAACGGTATTCAACTACCACTTGACTTTCGCATTCCTAAACAAGCAATCTCCTATGAGAATTGACTTTATCCTCTTTTTCCCACAGAAGGGAATGGACTGATCAAGCTTTTTGCTTACCTCCGCCAATGTCTCCCGGTAAAACGCTGTGATGCCAAACTAAGCGAATCCTACTCGTCCATGTTCACTAATACTTTAGTCGACTCTGACATTGTCTCTTATTGTGAGTAAACCACTGAAACCCGTCGTGGTACAAATTATGGTATCATGTGCTGTGATCGAAAACATGACTCATTTTCAAGTTATCCACGTTTATATTTTATACTTTCTGTAATTAAAATGAAGTCTTGAGTCATATACAAATATACGTATGTATATAAAAAATGAATTTTCAAATATTTTATATCATTCTACTCCACTGGACCATCATTTCACTTTCCGGTGCGCATTTTAGTTTAAAAATTGAATTGACAGAATCTAATTTATTTTTAAATTAAACAATTGGTTCTGGCTATGTAGGTGTTAATATGCTGCTACGTGAAAATTACTCAGCTAGCTGTTGGATGATAATATTGATTTGACTTGTTTCTTTAGATATACACCGACAGGCTGTTGAGTCAACGTTATTTCTCTTTTCAATTTCGTCTCTTCTGTTCTCCGAATTATATCGCCTTGCCCTCCTTTGTTTTAACCACTAACTAGGCGCAACGTAACATGAGTTCACGAACGACGCATATCAACGTCATACGATATACGTCATTTAATGCGTTATGGGGCTTGCATATAGTGAGAATGAAGTAGAGGCTCCAATTCTGCTGTGAATGGCAGTCATTATCGCTTGTACTGTGCGATGTCCATTTTTATAACTTTGAAGTAAAGTGCTTATGGATTGTCGATAAAGTAGATTGAATTGAAGGCTAGTTATGATACTTCACTCTTTAGTACAATTGTGAATTACTAGAAGAATAGTGAGTACGTATTAACTATCTATGTATAACATACATAGTCATTTAACGTAGGCCAATCTAAAAAGGTCTTTTTGACAGATGCGAGAATAAAAGAATATAAAACCTTAAAGATTTTCGCCCAATTGCGGTTTTGCATGAACCTGATTTAGAATTTATATTTTTTGGCGGTGAATGTATATATGTGCAAAACGTCGAAGAATGGCGAGATGGGCCGAAGATCCACGAAGGGATGTCGGTTATCGATCCCTGCCGAAGATTTCCGAAAACAGCCGAAGTCTTCAAAGTGACGTACGTCAGCGAGAGTGGGCAGTTCTGTGTTCTGCTGGTGTCATCGAATTTCGCGAGACGTTTTCGTGATAATCAACGATCCCCAACGCGGTGTATAACGATGCATTCCATTTAGTGATGATTTAGGTGGGTCAACAGTTCGAATAGTTCTTCGGAGATACACTTGCGAAGGTGCGTGTAAGAGAATCTCCCTTGATTTTCATGCATGCTGACACCTCGATCAATCTCAGGTTCTCAACCTTTCCTCGTTCATTTAATTGAGTTTTACCCCATGATTGGATTACGCTGATTTGTTCTCGTATTATATCATTGACGTCTTTGATTCGAGAGTTGGATCACTTTCCTTGACCTTTGCCTTTTTACTCTTGCGGAAATTAGATCGATCCCGACCGCATAACCTTGAAATCAGTTTTTCATCATGTTCCTGGGGATGTTTCATACAAACGTCTTCTTCGGGTTTCTTACAGGATTTTCTCAGTGCTTCGAACATAAAACTAGAGATGGCTGCTGCTCAGGCACTTGGTAAATATTTAAATTAATTGGTTACCTGTATCTGAAAGTGTCAATATTTCTAATTTATCTAATAAGAGATAATAATCATTTAAAGGGTCATAAAAATTCAATTTACGTAAGAATTTCTTAAATGATGATCAGCCTTTAAGAAATGTTTGATACAGAGGAAATAGTAACTTTAATCGTTTATGGCAGATGAAATAACGCATTGTGATGAAAAGGTGACATTTTTCTAATAAGTTTCTTCATTATCAGGTGTCGATCCCTGGGTTATCCAACCTCGGGAGCGTACACGTTATCAGGAGCAATTCAACTCCCTGAAACCAATAAATGGAGTTGTAACTGGAGAACAAGCAAAAGGATTTCTACTCCAGTCCCAGCTTCCTCCAGCAGTTCTTGGGCAGATATGGTATGTGAATATATTGACTTTCAATGTACTTTAAAAAAAATTGAGTTAATTTGTCTTAAGTCTTACAAGCAAGTTTGTGATTCAAATGAATTGAGTAAATGGTTTGATATGCAGGGGACTATCGGATACAGACGCTGATGGAAAGATGGATTTGAATGAGTTCAGCATTGCTTGCAAATTAATAAATCTGAAGTTACGGGGATTTGAGATTCCAAACACATTGCCACCGTCTTTGGTGCAAAGTTTGAAGCCTGCTTCAAGTGGTGAGTTTAATAAAACAAATACCTACAAGTATTTGAATTTCTGGACTCGACTGAACGTAATTGTTACTTTTAGTGAACGTTACATTCGACCATTTTATAGTAATGTAATTAAAACTCTTGAATAAGATATCACAGAGCATGACAATTCATATATCGGGCCAGCGTTAATATGCCTGTAAAGTAATTTGCATTATTGAAATACTTTAGAAAACAATTAACTGTAAATACTGTACACTTATAACATACAGACTATCTTATCTATCGCATACACGTAATCTAACGTACTAAGGGTTCCTCGAGTATATTCACGATCGATTGCATTGGCATATTGCACGTTTAAATAACGTAAACTGCTTGGTAAAGATGGAAGAACTGGTAATCTAACGAATGGAGGCATGATGCCAGCGCAAGCCGGAATATCTTCCTTGGTTAATCTGAATGGGATCGGGCCTAAACAGCCTCTGATGGGATACAGTTCTGCACCCGCAGCCGTAGCACAACCTCTCATAGGCCTAGCAGGTCCACCGGGTCATCCGGCAAGGCCTATACCTGCTATGACAATGCCACTTGGTAAGTTCAGTGAATTCTGAACTGTTCGCGAATCCCAAACGTGCCGTCAAAATTAGTATCCCAATTACAACGGTTGAGCTTAAAACGTGTACTGCCAAATATCCTGCTCCTAGGTACTAGCAAGTACCACCCGCAGCATGTCCAGTCTGAATTGTTAATAACACTCTGTATTTATAAAGCCAGAATGCATTGGTGCTAATGTTATTAGTGTCTCTTTGCAAGGGTTTGACATATCGCCATTAGTTACTCATACTCATAAAATGAACAACGATTCTCAATCGAATCTTATCTTAACATGCTAACATTTCAGCAGTATATACATTGATATCTGCATAATATTACTGACAATTAATGTATAGCACTAAGAGCTCGGTAACTAACTAGCAGCACTGTCTCTGTATGAATCTATGTATTTTACACCACGTAGCCTCACAACAAAGTAGACAGAATCCGGCTGCCAGTACACACGTCACTTCTCACACATCGTCGAAGCCACCCGTTCGACCTGCACCCCCTTCAATGGGTATGTTAGACATATGTCAGAGTCTCCTTGACTTGTTATCTCTAAGTTTCTTAAATAACTGAATTATCAGCGTGTTCGACCAATTAATAATCAGACTGATTGTTTGAATTATTTGTGCAATTTTAACTTATCATTTTTATTTTCTGCCTGTTTGTCATACCCAAGACTTGAGTAACATATAATTCTTTATACCGGACTAATAAGATTCTTGTTAATGCATACCAAAGTTTCAAGATTTTATTATTTTCTTCTGTGCTTATCAGTGGTGAAATTCGTTTTTAATTTCAATATCAGTGTGATAACGTATCTGTTGTCCGTTAGGATTCACAAGTAAAGGGTTCTCTGGGATACCTCAACGACCGCCACCCGTGTCCATTGGTATGTTCATATTATATCTGATGAGACCAAATTACGAGTTCTCCGACATCGAGTATTACGTGTTTTTTATTAAAAAAATAAATTAACTTTCTTCGTGTATACTTCTCTTATTTCCTCTACTTCTCAATATTACTCATCTCTGTGAACTTTCATTATTTAAACGCACTGTATACTGCACAAGTCTTACAACGCTTTGTCTTGTCTTTTGTGCTGCACCAAGGAACTGCAAATAATTCCACGATTGGCAGTGGCGCACCTCAAAGACCTGCACCACCGACGAACATTGGTACGTCCTGGATTGAAATATCCGGACATACACGAGATACAAGCACGCTTCGGCTAAAGTTATACTTTGATCTTTCGCCCGACTACACTGATACTTAATGCTTTTGCCTAACAATCGTTTGTGCTTTATCGTAAATTTGATTTGTCATCTGATCTTGCTGCAAACCTACTTTGCTGTGCCTTCATAATAGAGCTTTGGAACCATAATTAAAGAAATATGAATTTTTAGGTTCCACTCCATTGATCGGTGGTCCACCGCCTAAACCAGCACCACCATCATTTCCAAATAGTCCAGTCGGTGGTATATCACCAGTAAAAGCAGCACCGGTCCCTGCTATACCACCGATACAGCCAGTGCAGCCAATGACAGTCTCATCTGCAATAGGTACGAATACTCAGTTAAAAATATTTACAAACTTGAAAGACGTTCATAATCATTAAATAGAATATAATTATCATAATCATAACAAAAAGTGTAATTCAAATTGTGGAACTCATACATCAGATACCACGTGAGAAGAAATTATATAGCGTATAGAGTGATCGGGTCTCATAGTACTCAACTCTCTTTTTACAGACTTACTCGACCTCGATTTATCCGAAGGTATTTTTCAGCATTGATAAAATAAAATTTTACCAGCAGTAAGCATTGGCCTTTGACCCTTAACGGGTTTGCTATTCAGCCCGTCACTGTCCTTGGTCTTTGTTAAGCGCTTTTTTAAATCGCTAATGCAATTTATCTACGTGTTAATTCGATCGTTGTGACTCTAGTCAAATAGTATATTAAGCGTCGGCATTGTGTTGATTGACACGTCAACAGTGTTTAATTATGCGTGCGCATTTGAGCTAAAAGTATTTGATTAATTTCTAGTTTACCTTGACATTTGCAACTGATTGGTAGAAAAATTGATTCTCCTTTTTTAAAGTAGGTATACCACCATCGGTTCCACCCATTGCACCGATTGCACCTCTAAGTACACCCGCACCGGTTGCTGCTTTTGGAGTTCCTGGATCGACTATGCCAATGGCTGTGGCACCAGGAATTGCTCCACCAATGGCGGTACCTACCATGACAGCCATACCGCCGATGGGTACCGGTATGTTTCACAGTAGAGACAATATTTGCTTGCACTAGGATACCTTTTGATATTTTCAAATTGTGATGTTCAAAAAATCTCCTTACATTGATCGTCAGGAATTGCAGTTGCTGCACCGGTGAACAATTTGCCTTTATCTACGACATCAATTCCACCGAGCGTACCTTATACGTCACCACCTGTGAATGGTATTCACACACCAGTATCAACAAGTACACCGATGAGTACAACCACTAGACCACCTAGCATAGACAGAGTCGGTTCAGTGGATTCCCAACACAGTCAGCATAGCCAGCACTCCGTAGGCTCACCCCAGGTCGAATGGGCTGTACCCCATCAGACGAAGTTGAAATATACTCAGGTGTTCAATACTTGGGACAGGACCAGGTCAGGATTCTTGTCCGGGATGCAGGCAAGAAATATTATGGTGCAGTCACAGCTACCGCAGCCAATATTGGCACAAATTTGGTAACTTGCTTTGCTACTCCAAGTCACTATAGGTATTTAGACTACGTATTTTTGGCGGTTATTTAATTTTCCTTGTTACATCTATAATCAGGGCTCTCTCGGATATGGACTCGGATGGTCGTTTAGGATGCGAAGAATTCGTCCTCGCCATGCATCTTTGCGATATGGCTAAAGCTGGTGAAAAAATACCTTCAGCACTTCCGCTTGAACTTATACCACCTACTTTTCGACGACAACGACAAAGCAGCGTTGCTTCTCAAGGTGCTCCGGAAAATGTTGATCCCTCAGCAGGAATGCCACAGGTGGGTTAGCTATTCAGACGAAGAATTTATTAAACAACTCCTTGAGGCAATCTTTTCATTTATGATATTATATGTTTGTGGATAGACGTCTTTTGAGGATAAACGTAAAGAAAACTTTGAAAAGGGACAGGCTGAATTGGAACGTAGGCGCAAAGCTCTCTTGGAGATACAGCGGAAGGAACAGGAAGAGCGTGAAAGAAAGGAAAGGGAAGAAGCTGAGAAGCAAGAGAAAATCAGGTAATTAAAAAGAAATACTTCTTGCTTGAGTCAAATAGTCTTCATAGAAATTTTAAAAAAATGATTGACCTTTGACCACCCAGATTGGAGCAGGAAAGACGTAGACAGGCGGAAATTGAAAAGCAGATGATGAGACAGAAGGAAATCGAACAGGAAAAAGAAGAGCAGAGAAAAAGAGCTCAGGAGCAAAGGGAGGCTGCACGAAAGTAAGATAATTACGACACATTCTAAATTTTTACGACTCAGAACGTGATCTTCTAGCTGTTCCAACAATGAACCGTTTGTTTTTATATAACATTTCACAGAGAAATGGAAAGGCAACGTCAGCTTGAATGGGAGAAACAAAAGTCTCAGGAACTTCAAGCTCAGCGCCAAAAGGAGCAGGACATTCTCCTTAAGTTGAAAGCTAAAAATCAGAGTCTCACTATAGAACTTGGTACTTTGGTAAGTTATTGCATCATCTTCCATTTGATATCAATACTCACGAGCAATTCGAAGAATCGCTTAATATTGATTCACAGAATGACAAAGTAAAAGAATTGTCCCAGAAGATTTGTGACACCCGAGTCGGTGTTTCTGGCGTTAAAACAACTATCGATGGAATGCGCTCGACTCGTGATGCGCAACTCCAAGAAATGACGGCTCTAAAGAATAAACTCCGTGAACAGAATCAGAGATTATTAGCTCTGAGTCAAGAAAAGGCCAGAATTGAAGCGAAAAATAAGATAAACGCAGCACAGGATGCTGTTGGTCAAGAGGCGATTAAAATGGCCTTTGCTAATAAACAAATTACGTTGAAACAAATGAAAGATAAGATTGCCGATTTGCAACAACAGGTATGTTGCAATTATTTTTTAGTATACATTATGCTCGGAAACCTCAGCGACTCATTGCACTTTTCATCTGTAGATCGACAGCAAGATGTCTGACATCGAGAATAACAACAGCCAATTGGAAGATGTCAGAAATCAAATGAAAAACCTGATTACTGAGTGTAGAATACTCTACAAATCATTTGACAATAAAAGACTTAACGTGCTTGAGCTACGCGCTTCCAAAGGATCAACTGATTACACCACGTCTACATGGGGAGAGAGCACGTGGGGTGATGATGGCACGACTGAACAGAACTCCTGGCCGATCGAAAATACTTCTGTCGTACCGGAGACTCCCACTGTTGCTACTGATAATACTGGAGTAGTTAAATACAGAGCACTATACGAGTTCGTCGCGCGTAATCAGGATGAAATATCCTTTCAACCTGGTGACATCATCCTGGTACCACCAGTGCAGAACGCGGAACCTGGTTGGATGGCTGGAGAGATTCGTGGCAAGACCGGCTGGTTCCCGGAGTCTTACGTAGAACCTCTTGATACTGGTGTTGTTGACAATGATAACTTCATCCACCAAGATAGTGTTGAGAAAAGAACCCTGGAGTATGTTTATCCGTCAACTATTATTTTGCTAACGATAAAATTTGCGTTTGATATTTCAGTATATCAAAATATTTATTATTTCTACCTATAGAGAAATCGTTGAAGTACCAGAAAACGTATCGGATGCTGGATCTCTGGGAGGCGAAGGTCCCGTAGTTGATCCAATCATACCAACTTCAGGTCTTGGTGTATTCTGCAATATTCAAGCTATAGCTTTGTACCAGTATCGTCCGACTATCGAACAACACTTATCCTTTGCTAAGGGAGATGTCATTGACGTCACGGAGCAACAGGTTAGTTATTTTATTGATAGTTTGGAGAATTTAAAAAATTTCAATAATGAAAATAATGAGCAATCGTCAACAATTGATAATTTCAGGAGCACTGGTGGTACGGTGAACTTAACGGTGCTAGAGGATGGTTTCCAAAGTCATATGTAAAACCTACGACGGCAACGACAAATGGCGGTGAACTGTCTTCACCCGCAGTTACCAGTGCGACTGATCTAAATGAGTATTACATGGCTTTGTATCAATACGCATCGAACGAAATAGGAGACTTGAGTTTCAACCAGGGTGAAGTTATACTCGTCGTCAAAAAGGAAGGCGACTGGTGGACAGGTTGCATAGATAACAGAACTGGCATATTCCCATCAAACTACGTGGAAAAGTGCGAAGATCCTAATCAAGTGAGCAATTTCATCTGCCTCCTACTATCCCAGCATGTGTTCTTTTAGCAACCTTATCATCACTCCTATTTACTATTCTGTGTGATCATAATATCTAACGTGTGCGAATTGTCAGGCCGCGATTGCGCCCACTAACATTTCTGATGAGAGTGCGATTTCCGCACCTGCAGAGATCATCAAGGCGGAATTGGAAACTGAAATTGCTCAACAGCAGACAGCCCGTGTGGTCACGTCTTCCGCTGGTTCCTTGCAAGGGACACCGCCGGTGTGTATATTTCCTAATAATTTTTTTTATTAGTACTTGTTACTATTACGCTAGAGAATTTACACAATGCTCCTTACTACCTATGGATAAATTATTGCCAAATGTTTATATCCAAAACGGCATAATTTTCCGCGCTAACATAAGCTCCAATAACAGTAAGCTAGAAACGTGGCACATGTGTTTAGCCGACGGAGAAAACTGCGGAGCAGCTTGAAGATGAAAGGGCTGCTGCAGAGGACAGAGCGGAACTTCCTGATTTTGCTGCCATGTCCGCTCAGCAGGTATACACATGTACCAAATGATTATAATGTATCTCGATATTACTTGTACGCACATACAATATTCTCACCACCTTATCTCGAGTTGATTGTATATATTAATATATGCGGATACACTCGTTTTTCTTGGATGCTGCCTTTATCGCTGAATCCACCAAAGTATCCCAAGGTATATTCCACACTTTGTGTTTGTTTTCTGTCACATTGCTTCTACTGCCTGATCATTAGCAATCAAACCCTTATTGTAGTGTCTCATCGTGTGAAATTTAGTATAGTTAGTCGTGTATTATTTTTTTACTTCATTATTGTAAAGATACTCTCACGTTTCTTCAGTACAGTTTTCATAAATCTAATAAGCGTGATACAAGTGCACGTAAACTTACGTATGCTTACTTAATTTTATATGTCGTCTTATATAATCTGCCTTCACAGGGACGTGGCAAGAAACCAGAAATCGTGCAAGTAATCGCACCTTACCAAGCAACCAGTGCTGAGCAATTGAATTTGCAAAGAGGGCAACTTATCATGATACGCAAGAAGACCGAGTCAGGATGGTGGGAAGGTGAACTACAGGTTGGGAGGATTGATCAATTGAAAACGACTATCATCGTAGTAGCATAGTATTATAATATTTTTATTTCTTTTTATCCTATAGGCTCGTGGTAAGAAGAGACAGATCGGATGGTTCCCTGCGTCTTATGTGAAACCTTTGGGAAGTAGCAGCAATCGTAGTACGCCTGTGTCTCATAGATATCAAGATTCGCCAACTGATCCTAATGTCGGTAAGTAAAAAGATATTATAAATAATTGCATTAATTCCTTTGAGTCAATATAAATTTGTGAATTGAAATTAAATATCGATATTGAACCATGACCGATTTTTGTTGGAACTTGTTTATTAGATACACATTCGATGAGCACACGTTAATACATATGCGAAAACTGTTTTCTTCCTAACAGAACGAGTAATGGCACTGTATCCATTCCGTGCACAAAATGAGGACGAGATTAGCTTTGACAAGGGTGACGTAATATCAGTAATCTCAAAGGACGACGCATCTTGGTGGAGAGGCGAACTGAACGGGACGTCAGGAGTTTTTCCTAGTAGCTACGTATCTCCCATGTGTAAGTAGTCCTACTTCTAGATCTACGTTAACGATAGACGATACGATGCGACGATTGAATAATCGGAGAATGAAAAAAGAAATCAATTTTTTCTTGCTTCGCGTGTCTTCGATCCCCACGTAGAATTCATTTAATTCGACGAAGACCAACCAAGAGATCGTGGATTATCAAGCAGAGGAGCGACGTCATCAAATTGAATCTTCATGTTTATTTTTTGTCTTTCATTTATTTTTTTCCATATCTTTTATCTCTTGTCTCCTGTCGCTGCCGGATAATAGCAGTCAAACGAACGCCACGATCTTAATCACACGCATATAATTCTAGCAATAGGATCATACTTAGCTTCTCTCATAAGCTCATTTCACATGTTGGTATATTGTTGCGGTTGACACGGGCTGTTTTTTTTTTCAAATTGTTCTTGTAACGGGTAAATGGTTGTGGCTTACGTCTGTCTGTTGTTATAGGAACCAACAATACTGCCGGTGTATACTGCCCAGAACGCGAATCCTTGATCGATTCCTAGTGCGTGTCTACTGCGCAAATGTAAAAAGGCAGGGACCCAACCGCGGCGCGGCTCTGTTAGACACGCTATTACATCTTATCTCGTCTATCGTGGTACATCTGTCAGCAAATGTTACTAGTAAGCCGTCTACTCTGGAAGGAATCGGCCTCAATACGTCCCAAGTAAATCTGTGAAACTTTCAAACATTCTCTCCCACTAAAAAAAAAAAAAAACAAAAAAAAACAAGACCTATAGTCGACAATGTGCTTAAATTGTACGGTGATGGAATCTCCGGGTGATCTTACGGAATAGCGCGAATCTCATTTTGTATCCCCGTTATATTTTCTATCTCTTTTTTTCTTTCTTCTCTTTCCATTGTATCTAATCATCTCTCGCGAGACTCGAACGATGGGTCCCATGCCAATGTTTATCATTTTTTAAATCAATAGACGAAACTTTATTAATCTTTACGTTGATAAATACTTAACTCTCAGAATCAATACACTGCATGGAGTCTATCGCGTTATAGATACTTCGTTAAATATGATAATAGAGTCACTATTCTGTTTCTGTATATAAAAGTCGAGTCATCATCACTTGTGATGTACATTGTTATTCTACGTGCCCATCGAATAAATGAGCTTGTTACAACGACCTGCAAATACGCATTTCTACCTTCACGTTGGAAACTCTACATCCTTCCGCTAACTCTCTCTCTATTTAAATAATCATTTTTCTATCTCGTTTAACTGTTCTCGCTGAAAATTACTCTCTGTGTACTCGTATACAAATACTCCGTGGAATTTACGGTTATGGTTCCCTAAGCAAATGCAAACCTGTACTCATCCTGTCGTTTACTAACAGTAGTGTGGTTTTTAGAAGTTTCACGTGCATTTAATGAAACGAATGAGAAAGAATGAAAGAGAAGGAAAAATAGAGAGCCAGAGAGAGCCAGAGAGAGAGAGAGAGAGAGAGAGAGAGAGAGCATGTAATCTCATCGATCACAGTATTCACTGTACTAATTGTCCTGTGTCGCCTCTCTACTTCACACGCAGCATAAGGATAGCAATGGCGGCAGTCCAGCGGCCGAGAACGATACTAATCCACGTTATTCACGAAAAAAAGAAAAAAAAATTGTAGTTATCTCTTGGCTCTTAGCCTCGCGGGATGCATACTGCGAGAAATTTCAACGTCACATATCCAGAGAGCAATACTGACGGCCATGTTATAATAAACCCTGCAAAAGTCACGGTGGATCGAGATGCAGAGAGAGTTTAAATAATTTAATTGTTCTCTCTATATATATAACGTTATCTGTCTTTCTCTGCGTCCTAGCATCCTACCATGGAGCGGGGTAGGTCGTATAAAAAAAAGATTGAAATTTCTCGCAACCTCGTGACGCTAACCCGACTCCTCGATCGACCGGAGAGTAAAATCATTAATATTAACCGTATGTATTTATTACCTTGTTCGTAATGTTGTTGTCCATTTCCCTTACCTAACCTCCCTGTCCGGCTTTGGCTACTTTTCCCGTGACCGATCAATCGTTCCTATATCTTGAAGTACTGTACAAGGTATAGGACAATCCCGATCCAGTCAGGATCTATGTGCTGAATCCTCTTGGGTGGTGGGACTGCTTATGCGACGTGCGATGTAACACAGAGTAGATTTAGAGGATAAGCGGATTTGGTACGTTTTGGCGAAGAGCGAAAGTGTCAATTATATATTGTAATACCTTGAGATAGCGTTGGGTATGTGCACTTTTTGCTCTTTGATCATACTTTTGTTCTTCGGTATCACGTTACGTCTCACTATGCTATTTAAGAGAAACTTTAATAAGTAATTCGAGCAATTTGTTAAAAGCGTTTTGTATTCTTTGCGTTCGACTCGCAAGCGCACAATTGGCACCCGATGGTTGCGTAGCGCGAACTAGAGATGGAACTCTCGATTCTCCACGCTCAGAGGACAATCTTGGCAATTTGTTCTGGAATGCAATATTGTTCAAGAGACGATTGATCGTTCTGCGATGGTAACCGAAAGATCTTTAGATACCAACTTCCATTCGAATCAATGCGATTCGAGTGAATGCGCCTGTATTACTACTACTACTACGAATCACCCGCATTCGAATCGTATTAGATTCATCGTCAAGCCTCTAGTCGCGTTACGTTCTGAAGTATATGATACAAAAACGAAAACAATAAAAATAGAAATATTACGCTTGTCCTGTAGTAGCGCTAACTGAACCGTATATACTGATAAGGACGGGCCTTGTTTTTTCTACCTTTGGTTAAACTTAAACGGGTCACCAAAGCGATTCGGAAGACCCTAGATACGTAGACGAGTACAAGGAGCTACTAGACCATATACATAGTCGATAGAGAAATTAGAGATTAATTCTGAAAGGGTTGAAGCATACCTTCTTTTTTTTTTCTCTCATGTGAGTCCTAGTCCTATTTTTTTCCTGGCTCTCCAGGACGCCTCGCGCTACTGCTTGACTTACCTCGAGGACGTCAGGATGATCATGACAAATAAAATAGAGCGAATTGATATGCAAGAGGCCAATGGGCTTAGCATCGTTCAACCCAGTCGAATGACAATCGAATCAACATAACACCGGACACCACTTCTGTCACTTTGACAGTTCGCTCTATTTTCGTTGTCACTTTTAGATCCGATTGTCTTTGCTTTTGTCAGTCTATAAAGGTGAACAGTAGTATGCGTGCGAATTTATATTAATATTTCCCTGAGACCTCATTGCGTCACTTCATTATCCTTCTTCTTCTTCTCTCGTGATCCTCGTAGAGTGACGGCTTAATGAAGAGGATAAAGGAAGAAGAATGAATGGTGGGAATGATGATAATAATATTAATAATAATAATTATAATAATAATATCTTGTGCGCTCAGATACTTAATACTTAATCAGCGCTCTGAAACTTTTCCCATATAACGAACACGTATAGCCGTATTGTATACGTGCACCGCGGACCAGGCGAGCCGCAATGTAACTGAGTATGTACGTGTAAGATTTTGAAACGCGTAGATAGTGCAAAAAAAAGAGAAACACCTGTGTGTTTATGTACCTATTATTATGAAGACAAAAAGTGTAGGTGGAAACGCAAAGGCGCCATTCCTCAATTTGTTACGATCGAAGTATCCCTATTGATTGTTCGATGTTATAGCGTGAGAATTTCAATAAGAACCGACAGCGAAGTATTGTGAAAGTGTGAACAAAGCGTGGAGATGATGCTCATCCAGGATGCGAGGGTTCTTGTCAATGCGGGTTTGTTTAGTCGACGAGAATATCTCGACACCCTGGGCGAGATCTTCCACGTGTCAATGTTTTTGTTCGCATTCGTTACGAATCTCTCTTGTCGTCTGATATATATATATATATACGAAGAAAAAAATATAAATATAATTATGAATATATATATATATATACGAACATATATATATATATATACGATCGAACAAAATAAAATATCTATCTATTGTAACGTATCGTTCACTCGCCGAGTTTTCATCTTCTGCACCAACGTAAAGCTTCTTCGAGAAGGTAACGGTATAGGACCTAGTGCGAAGGAGAAACGCTTTAGTCCCACCTCATATCCTTCTCACAGTCCTCTCATAGTACCAGATGCGAAAACTATTTCAAGGTTAAAGGAGCGAGAGCGAAACTCGATTATGAGAATACAGAGAAGGGTTGACGTCCTGGGTGAATAAGTGATGCGGCGAGCGAGGGGAGGGTACAGTGGGAAAAAACTTGTATGCGTTTTGTGTGCAGCCACTGAGCCGACGAGCGATATCCTCTTGGCGCGACTCGAGCCGACGGAAAGAAAGCGTCAGGAATACATCAAGGAACTCATTGCGACCGAACGGGCTTACATCGAAGATATGAGGCTCGTGCACGAGGTATAATATATATCGAACGAAACGATCCATGAAAATGATCCTGTAGCGACGAGGACGGTCGTACTGACCCACTCGCGCTATCGGAAATCCTTTTCGAAAATCGTTGCGTATAATCATTCTAACAGGTCTTTGAAAAACCTCTGCTGGAAAGTTTGGTACTCACCGTGGACGAGGTGGAGAAGATCTTTGTCAATTGGAGGGACATCATTGCCTGTAACGACAATTTCTTAAGGTATAAATAATGAAAGGTGGGATACTGATACATGATGTAGTCATGGACACGCTTTGATTGTGAGTATACGCTAATGCTCTTTAATGGTGGAGGAGAAGAAGATACAAGAGATAGATTTGGGCTGTTGGGAAGGTGGTTTTGTCTTATTTATTTTTTATTTCTGTTTAGCTAAGCTCACGATGCACTTGTATTTTATTGCTATGATCATTGTTTGCTTGGCTTGATTTCTGGCTTTATTTAATTATTTACACTCTTCAGGACCTTGAGGATAAGGCGGGATAACAGTGAGGGAGGAATTATTAGGATGATTGGTGACATCTTATGCGAGAACGTATGTATCAATGAATTGTCTAGTATTTGTTATTTGATTAAATGCTGTAGTGATGTATTCTTTTTTTTAGATTCCAAGAATGTCGGCTTACGTGAGATTCTGTAGCTGTCAAATATCGGCTGCTGTTTATCTTCAAAGACTTACCGAGACCTCGCCGGAATTTCTTGAGGTGGCTCAAGCTTGCCAACAGGATCCACGTACCAAAGGAATGCCACTTAGCTCTTTTCTTATAAAACCGATGCAACGTATTACAAAGTATCCGCTGATCGTTAGCAAAGTACGTTGGACGACATAAAAGTGTGTTTGTGTTCGGGTTGGGTGGATATGACGTGGGTTTACTTTTACAGATTTTAGAATATACGCCTCCGGGTCATCCTGATAGACAGTATCTTCAGGAGGCGCTTGCTAAGGCTGAAGAATTTTGTACCCAGGTTAATGAGGGCGTTCGTGAAAAGGAAAACAGTGACAGACTCGAGTGGCTACAAAAACACGTTGTGTGCGATGGTCTCGAGGAACAATTGGTGTTCAATTCGCTGACGAATTCACTGGGTCCACGAAAATTCCTTCATCATGGAATACTTCACAAGGTTGATCGTCGAAATAATTAATTAACATTTGTGTACTCATTTTTGAACTGGAGACAATAATTATATTTTTTGTTTTGATCTCCAGGCGAAAAGTGGCAAAGAACTTGTTGGTTTTCTCACAAATGACTTTTTACTTTTCGCCCAACCAACGAAATCACTGCCAGTTGGACAGCAATTTTCGTTTGAGAGAAATGAAAATCAAAAATTCAAAATGTACAGAAAGGTACGAAATCGTTTAACTTCGTTTTCTTTATATTGTATTGTTCTCAGAGTTTTCAGATACTGACCAAGTTTACTTACAGCCAATATTCCTGAATGAGCTGTCAATCGTCAGGGAATCCGAAACGGGGAACAACGACACTTCCGATCAATCGAGAACGATAAGACTGCGTGATTCAAAGAAAATAATAGTTCTTTTGGCACCATCTTCAAGTGAGTGTTCACTCTGGATCAAGCGAATAAGTGAAGCGCGTAAAGAGTTCTTGGAGAATGAAAAAACTCACTTACAGCGACAACGATCGAGTAAGTATAAACCGTGCACATAAAGTCGCAATATTTGATATCTTGTCCTTGCACAATCGTCATTGTTATTTTTCAAACGATAAGACCTGATGAATTTATTAATTACTCCGTTCGAAGAATGTTGCGACAGTCCTGTCTAGCACATAGCTTTGTCAGTGTGAACATGATATTACACAGGACAACACATCTGTCTTGAATTTTTTGATAAGAGAGACACGCGATAACGTGTTGTTGCTTAATAACATTCATCTATGTACGCAAACAGAACAGGCTCAATTCGGCGCCTGCGGACGTATCCTCGTCACAGTGCTGGAAGGTTCCAGCTTAACAACATCATCGGGTAAGATCAAGGATTGACGTCGTCGTCGCTGCTCGTGAAAGCTTGGCTGCTTTCCTTATTCTTATTAAAAGCTTTATAAAATTGTAACAGAAGCAAGAGCGTAACCCACTTAAAAACACCTCTTGATCTTTTCAATATGCACGTCACTCTTGGTTTCCTAGTACATTTGCATGAGATTTCCGACAGCCTCTACAATAACAACGAGGGACAAACAGCCACTTTAACTATCCATTACTTCTACTAACACTTTTCAAATGCTCGTTTCGAATCAGGTCATCCTTTACATGGTTCTTAGATCATCTACTAAGCATACATCCAGACTCCATAACACCTCTGAACTTTGCATGTCACTTGTGAGTAATTAGAGTTGTGCATGCTTGTAGTTCGTTGGAGACCCCCAAAGGGCCGCCTATGGCTAGTTGTAGTGGAAGCAGAAGATTTAATCATTTCTAAGCAAGGTAAAGCCATTAGTGTGCGACTAATCCACTTCATAATACTCATTAGCATTTGAAAAAATTACTAATTGATGTATCTACACGCACGCCTTGTATCTGCAAAGAAGCAAGCACTGTTTTCTATCTCTCAACTATTTTATACTTCATCCTTATTCGTAATGAAAAAAAGATGGTTAAATATTAAAGTTAAATTTTGTCTTCCTTATGACTCAAATAGGCAAGTGCAACACATTCTGCAAGGTCTCTATGGGATCTCAGGAAGAAAGGACAAATGCAGTTTCTGGAACAGACTGTCCCTTATGGGATGCATCAATGCAATTCCAAGTGAAGGATCTCATGGAGGATACTTTGTGCATTACTGTCTTTGATAAGGGATACTACAGTCCTGATGGTGAGCTATCAGATGATTAATTGTACTCCGAAAAACTTAATTATCCTACGAATTCACTCTGATAACGCTTATAATCTTTTTGTATCATTTATAGAATTCCTTGGTCGTGCTGAGATTAGGGTTGCTGACATAATGAGAGACAGCAAAGATTCCTGTGGTCCAATACAAAAAAGAATCAGACTGCGTGAAGTAGAGAAAGGAGACGTTGTGCTAAAATTGGATCTACGTCTGTTCGATGCCAGATGAAAGCATTCCGACGTAACTATAATCACTTGTTAATTGCTCCATCCAAAATACTTTTATACTCGTTAAAGCTTTAGGGAATATTATTTCGCGCCCATGATATTAAAGCACAAAGCATTTAATTCGTTAAACGGATATTTTGTTTACAAACATCAGTATTAGTAGACGAGTCGCGATAGATTGGCATGTGAGAATATTGTAAAATCTATACTCGTCACCGTATTTTTCAATTCTGTAGGCTTTGGGATTAAGAAAGATTTTTTTATAATTCATTTACCTTTATAACATAATACGCACAAATTTATTCTCTAAGTCACTCTTATCAAGTATGATATTAATATTAGCCGAACTGAATATCAATACGTTATTACAAAGTATATTAGTCTAGGGCAGTAAATAAGGTAACATGATGAACAATTATATTTATTTAAAGAAACAAATGGATTATCTCACAATAGACAGTTTTTTATATTCCGCACATATACAGCTTCTATCTACTCTGTCCTATCGCTATGTTACGTTATATTGTTAAGTGAGACATATCGTACACGTTTGACGTTAAATAAATACGTAAATACCAAGTGGGTGTAGTATTGCTAATAGAGAGAATGGGTCAGTGTCTGTGTGCATGTTTATGCAAAAAAATATTTAACTAGTATCATGTGCCTTCACGTTGAATATTCGACAATCCGGCCAGCGTTGCCGGAACGTCGAAGATCGACTAATTATAATAATAATAATAATGATAATCACCGATCTCGAGCAACGCACAATTCGTAATCCCATCTGAAGATTATATTAATCCTCCCAACCACCGAAGTGCGCGGCTCGAATTAATGTCTAAGTTCAGGCAATTTACCTTTTCATTACTTAAACAAAAAAATATACCGTTTATTGGGCAACGAGCGCCGGGCGATTATTTGTATATGTCGGTCGCTAATTCCCAGGATCGCCCGGATCGCTCATCGACCATGGTAAATATTTTAACTGAAATGGTTTAAGTCTAAATAATCTATTATTCATTCGCAAAACCTGATTACGAATATCCAGGTCAGCTCTCAGTCCTTGTTGCAGGCATTGTTGCTGCATCTCGTTCGGCGTCGTCTACAGGGAACTCGTAGATCGGTTTGAATCCCCCGAAGAGTTGAGGCTTGAAATTCTCAGGATCAAATTCAGTTTTCTCAGTCTGTGTCTCATTCTCTGTTGTGTCTCTAGACTCTGCTTCCTTGTCGGTATCCGAACGATTCCTCTCCGTTGATCCTGGCTTGACGACGACGCTCCAGCCGTTCTTCGAGGGCGCTTCTGCACTGAGACTCGCCATAAATGGTGCCATGAAATTCTGTGGGGATGGTGCTGAACTGGATGAACTCGAAGGCTGTTGGGATGGTAGCACAGCTTTCTTATCCATATCTTTGTCTTCGACATGAATCTCCGAAGTTGGATACGGAGATGCTTTTATCGTGGGTGTGTAAGCGTAGGCAATTGGTGTTACCATAGTGGACACTGGAGATCTGTGAAGCGTAGCTGAAATGACCGAATCACTCTTCTTTGCTGAGAAAGGAACGTAATCTTGTAAATATGGGATCACGTTAACACTGGTGTCACGGTCGTCGTCCTTAATCTCTGAACTAGACTCTGCAGGCTCCTTGGTAGAAGTTTTAGGATCCTTTGACGGTACGAGAAGCGGCGTTTCTCTCACGTTTAAGAAAGATGGATCAGGACGTTCTAGAGGATATGGAAAATCTGATGCTATTGCTGGTCCAGGGTAGTGTCTTCTAGGTGGTAAAACAGGAGCGTAATCTGTGTTATGATCATCATCTGAATCCTCTTCAGCTACTGGTAAAGTATCTGGGGGCAGAGGACGATTAGGACCTCTGGTACCTACTACGACACTTTCATCCTTATCTTGAGAATCATCATTTTGTATATTAACAGCAGAATTTACTGGATACACTACGTAGACTGGTCTTCTATGATCCGTATCCTCTTCAGTAGAGCTTACGTCGCCATTCGTCTCATTGTCAGGCCCTAATTCACTTTCTATTTCATCATCTTCCTTATCACCTTTATCAGTGTCGAAATTGACCTTAAACGGTGGTGGCATATTAGGTCGAACGATTCTTTCCTCCAAACCGCCTCGTTGCTGGATCATCTGTAAAGTAGCGATTCTGGGAACATCCGATCTTCGGTTGGTCATAATTGGTCTAGGTGGAATTAGCGGGGGTTCAGCGGAAAATCTTTCACCTGTTTGCTGACCTTCAAGTCGTAGCTTCTGCCCGACGATACGACTGTCCTGAAACCGATCACTTTGACCCAGGTTGGCAGGTGGCACGCGGAACCTTTTGAAAGGTACGTCTTGCTCAGAGGAACCTTCTCTGTCTATCACGGTAGAGGGTGAGGACGATGATAGTCTTAGTGCATGAATTGGTGGCGGTGGTGGACTGAGCCTCTGGAGATAAGGCGGCGGTGGGGGTGGAGCTGGTGGCGGAGGTGTCCTGGACAGCAAAGGCTGTCTAGGACGAGATGGTGGACCATAAGGTGGTCTGGCTGGAATCGTACCGATCAATTCTGCTCCGCGATGTCCATGGGAAGTTTTAGCGTTGGGTCGGAATTGAGGTAGAATATTTGGCAGGTTAGGATCGTATGGCAATGGTCTTTTGAAGGAGTCCGATGTGCTGGGTTTAGAGTGTGGTGGTATTCTCTGTCTTATAGCCGAGTAATATGGTGGTCTTCCTCTTGGTGGCTCGAAGGAGCTACCTGGTTTAGGTACTTCAGGTGGTGTTAGGCTTTCAGACAATTGTGGTAAACCGTTTGATGCTGCAGCTGGAGTTGATAATGTGCCCTTCATGGTTGGTGGTAATTCCTGAACCGAACCGTCTGATTCATTTATTATTATTACGTGTTCCTCGACGGGACCATCTTGGGTCTTTCCTGGGAATACGACATATCCACTGTTTACACCGACGCGTTTAGTGTCATATTCTTCATTTTCAACTTCCTGATTTTCTTTATTTTGTTCGGTGTTCTCAGATTCATTTAACAATTGTTGTTGCTGTAAGTACTGCTGTTGTTGCTGTTGGTACTGCTGTTGTTCGTACTGTTGTTTTTGTTGTTGCTGTTGGTACTGCTGTTGTTGCTGTTGTTGCAAGTGCTGCTGCTGTAAGTCCTGCTGCTGCTTTTGCTGTAAGTGTTGCTGTTGCTGTTGCTGTTGCTGTTGTAAGTGTTGTTGCTGTTGCTGTAAGTGCTGCTGCTGTTTCTGTTGCGTTTCTTGTAATTTATCATAAAAAACTGTATTATCAGGGACGTTCCACGAATTATCTAAAGGTGCTTGTTGTTCCTGTGATGGAACTCTTATACCAGAAAATGACGATAGAGTTCCTTGACCTGGATTCGATGGCTCGATTTCATTAACAATTGACAATTTCTGGGTTGCTTCCGGAGGAGTCTGCCATTGTTGAGAAGGTACAGCAGGAGGTTTCGATTCACTGCTGGCTACAGATGGCAGAGCAACAGGTGGATTTTGCATGAATACAGTTTGTCGATTTCCCTGACCTGGTCGATTTACTTGTGCTACTCCTGAGAATATCGGACGGAAAGGAGCTTCATTCTTAGTACCATAAGGATTCTCACGAATGGCAGTACCAATATAATGCCCGCCATCGACATTTTGCTTGTTTCCAAGAACAAAGGACACAGTATCCTGATCTGGCGGTACTATAACATTACTGGCACTTTCAACAGGACGTCGATGTAATCCATTCTGATAAGACAAGCCTTGATCCAGATTCGGAACAGAATCTTCCATCGGCTTCGCGTTTCCAAAAGATACGTAGGGCCTACCCTTAGAATTCTCATAAATTGGTTTAGGCGGATGATTGACTCCCAACGGGAGTGACGTCACTGGAATCTGTCCCATGACTTCCATCACAGGTTTTTTCAGAGGAACTTCTTTTTCCTCCTCTATATCATCCTTAACATCTGTCGTATCGTTTCTTCTTGTAGGTTCATCCATAACAGGTGTACTAACCCCAGGAGTCGCGGATAAACTCTGGAATGTAGTAGAGGTAATTGTCGTAGATGGTGCTGAAGTCGTTGAAGTTGTAGTAGATGTCGTAGGGAATGTACTGCTGGACAAGAACGTCGTCACGGAAGGACTAGTCTGTGATGGAGGATTCATCTTATCCTTAGTATGTGTATAATCTTGATTTCCCTCTTCAGAAATGTCATAGTCATAACCATCATCGTATTCATCCCCCATGAAGAATGAACCACCAAATTGTGGTTTTGGAATAGACTGGCTACCCTGAGAAGCACTCGAAGGCTTCTTACCATAATCAGGCATAGGTTTAAAAGGAAGTATCTCATCTTCATAGTCATGCGATTCTTCGTCGGTAACTCGAATAGTCGTCGATGGTTTCCAAGTTGTTACTCTAGGTGGAACTGTTGTCGTTGGTTTTGTCGTTCTCGTTGTCGACACGGTAGTCGTAGGCGGTGGTGTAGTAGTAGTCGTAGTTGTCGTAGTTGTTGTACTAACAGTCGTGGTAGTAGGTCTAGTATGAGTACTAGTAGGAGCACTAGTACTTTTCACAGTAGTCGTCTCTGTACTTGAACTCATAGTTGGTGGCTGCTTCGTCGTAGTAGTCTTGGGCAAATAAGTAGCATGAGTTGTGAAATACAATGCTGGCTTTTTCGTAGGTTCTGGATAAGTTCTATGATTATATGTATTATAGCTCTTGAGTCCACTTTGAACCTTGGTATTAGCATAGGAACTAGATATCAGTGGATATTTCTCTTTGCTGTACTTATCCGATGTATAGTGAACAGGTAAATTAAGAAAATCATGAAAACTCGGTGAATACGGATTGATCTCATTAGGTCTGGTATTGGGGTTATCTTTCCTGTCAATATTCTTCTTATACAAATTATCGTTATTCTTAGATATGTTGTCCTCATTAGCATCCAATTCAGCATCCTCCTCTTCCTCACCCTCGTACTCTGTATAATTCAGTGCCTTCAATGGCGGTGCCTTCTCGAAATCAATTTTTCCAGTTATCGGATCCTTTTCCAAGGAAAATGGCTTGCCGCCGTTGAAGGCGAACAAACCGGGTATCCTGTATCTTGGCAATCCATCGGGGATCAAGGCCGTTGGGCTAGCTGCGCTTTCTTCGGCAGTAAGATCAAGATCCAGGTCAGCTATTCCTGAGAGAACTCCATTCTCATTGTTCGTCTTTGTGACACTGCTTGAGTCTTTGTTATCCAAATGACCGCCCATGAGGAAATCTCCGCGGGCAAAGGCGGAGATTGTCAGGATCATCAAGATCCGGATAACGAACGTCATGGTATTCCTAGGAAGAAATTCAAATAATAGAATATCAATTCGTCATGCACTAATTAAAAGAATCAAGAATCGTCTGTAAAATTTCATATTTATATAAAACTTTCTTAAAGCTACCCCAATTTCAGGAACCATGGAACAAAATAATCTGGAACATCGTGACCTCCATAATTTCTTTGGATTAAAACACGAGCCATTAGAATTAATTCGTTATGCACCAATTGTACTGATGTAAGGAGGCCTCATGATTAAATGCACTTTATACAATTCTCAAAGATTTAAATCCAGACTCAAGTTCAAGGTTCGTCAATTAAAAGCTGTCTTTGGTACAGCCTCAAACTAATATATCAGTTCTCCTTAAATTCGTTTTGAAATGACACATAGACTTTCCAACGCCGTAAGGTGACGGCCTTGAGACACCTGAAGAGCTCTATAGGAAGGTCTCGGCGAAGGATAATACCAAGAAGCTGTGCGTTCACCAGCAGCAGTGAACTCGAGAAGAAGAGAAGAGAAAATGTACCGTTACCCAACGTTACGTCAGCCATATCTTCAGTAGGTCACCGGGTGATCGTTCCGACACGAATACCTTTTGTATTGTCATACCGTTTACCGACTGACGCCCTCGCTTCCAGAGGAAGCTTCAAAAATTCCACAGCGTCCTCACACCCGAAGAAAGGTATTACACATTCATTTACTCTTACTTCCTGTAGAAATTTAATTCCGCATCCTATACTCATACACATTATCATTCAAGCAGATCAAGAAGACCGAAATTGCAAATGACATTACATAAGGTTATGTCACCTCTTATCATACAAGCTAGAGTATATAAAAAGAAATCAGAAACCAATCCATGAAGAAAATTACTCTCAAAAGTTTTTCATCCTGAACCAAGAGGAAGGATATAAAAGAGAGTCTCAGTTGCATTCTACTAGGTTTTTCTAAGAGACCAGACGAGGACGCCATACTTGGCGATAGTATTTTGTTACTCGCGCTTTCAAGCACGACACCATTATCCAGGAACTCCGAGTCCTTGATCTATAGAGCTTCTGCGAAATTGCGGATACTACAAAATTCATAAATAAAAGACGTGGGTGGATAGCGGTTACTGATCTCGTCATCAGTCTTTACTCATTCAGTCGACACTGTATATATTGACTTTCCAGGTAAGTCCTCTCAGATACATTCCTACTCCGTGATTTACTCAGTTTGGGGTACCTGATCAAACGAAAGAGTAAGGAAGTAGAATGTGGCTCATGGAGAAACGAAACACCAGCATTGAAATCTAGAACGAATATCGGACCGTGACCATCAACCGTACGATCTACGGTATAAAATGTTATTTTTAGTTATTCTCATGCAGATGCTATCTAGATCTTGGTGCTCTTTGATCTTTTTAGATCCTATGAATGATACCAGAGATAAATGAATGGTGATTTATTCCTTGTATAGGATATACGTAGCGTGTTTGCTCGCGTGCATCTAACTGAATGTCAGCCAAAACGAAAATGTTAATCTTAGGATTGATACTGAACGGTACGTTTCCGCAAATGGCTATGTGAATGCATGGTACCGTTTTGCAAGAGGGAACGTGCACGATGTGAGTTCTAACTGCTACGACATTATAAGCAAATGACGATGTCGATCTAACGGAGTCTCTTGGTGCCGCGAGCTGGGATCAGGGCTCATCAAGTCAAGTCAGTAGCTATATGGACAGGTTGGACGATCGTGCTTCCGTTTGAGGAGTTTAATTTCATAGCGTCGATACCGTACGTTCAGGATTAGATAGTATCTTCATCTTTTTTTATTTTCGTCTTTTTCGAACGGGTATCGTGAGTAGAGTTATGGGATGCTTTGGGTCAAAGACCTTTGAGGTAAGGTCCTTAGTGACTAGGTGAAGGTTAACTGAATGGACCAGTTGACCTCGTTCAAGAAATATGTACTGTAGCTATGATAGAGATAATAACTGGTCATGGTATCTTTTTTTTTTACTTGTATAAATTATTCATGAGGCACATAGATTAGGTGGGAAGTTGTGTTAACAGGTAATACTGATTACGTGGGCTTAACAATTTATCAATTTATTGGCGCTGTGTTACTTAGTGCATGGATTATTTAAATAAATTTTCATTTGTTTAGTGATGTGTTTATGAATATTATGTGACAGACTTACATGTTGCTCTAAATAACAGTTCTCAATGATCACTTTTCTGTCCAGGGATCACTGTCGACCCATGATCTTCTCCAGGTCTTCTAGGTATCCTGTGTTCCTTGCAGTTCCTAGGACCTATCCCTAGGTCTTTTGTTAAAGGAAGGTTCAGTGTATTTCAAATGTTTGTCAAGTGATTCTCGCAGAACATGAAAAGGCACAGCTCAATGCTCAACTGATACTGAGCTGCAACTACGAAGATGATGGACACTCGCGTCAGGATCCTCCCGGATGGGTGGGACAAGCTTGACAGACTAACGAATGGAGTAACTAACGTTGAAAACGACGAAGGAGTACCAGTACAAGATAGTGGAGGAGAAGGAGGAAGAAAAGGAAGAAAAGGAAGAATATCGAAGAGGTGGTGGTTGTCGCCATGCTCTTGAAGAAGGAGAAGGGCCTGATGGCTAATGGACGGGACGGTGCGGTGGAGCGGTACCCGGAACAGTTAGACGACGACCCACATAGAAAGACCTGCCAGGGCAGGGGCCGGCTGTGGCTGGACGGCATCGTACTAGTTTCTACTCGACCAGTTCCCGGCGTGTAACTCATACAGGACGTGGCTTTCAGGAGGAGAATCATCAAATTTTCTTAGTTATTTTGGAAACGGCTATGGGCATCCTTGTTCTGATTATACATAAATACATCTTGTAGAAGACTAATGTAACTGGTTCGAAGATACAGTTATAGGTATATGATGGGAGTGACAGACTCGAAGTTCAATCTTTCATATGCATATTGATATATTGTTTTGCTTTCTATATAAAATCTGTTACATTCTTTGTTATTTCTTCTTTTATGAGCACGTTTATAAGCCTGTGAGAAAGCCAGCCGGATGGAATTCTATTGTATGATGTTCTTCATTATTAAAACTAGCTTCAAGTATAATAAGAACAATTTATGGCACAAGCTTGTCGCGTGCGACTGTGAAAACGGGATTTTGGCCTATTACTATGCATATACGTAACCTCGCGTGTTCTCTATCAAGACAAATACTTTTCACTTTCAAATAATCTAACGGCATTTGCAGTAGAAGTGAAGAGATTATCTTTTATACGTTTCTAATGTTGCGTCCTGGAAATTGAATAGATTTTAAAAAGCGATTGACGAGGAAGGAACGCAAGGATAGACGTTATTAAAAAATCGGAATTATTTGTACAACTAATTAGTATAATATTCTGGGTGCCTAATTTTCAACATATAGTCGCTAGGGCTCATGACCCCTGCGTCGCAGCAGAACTACTTTAATTAAATTGCTATAAATTCTTAAGCTTCACAAATAACAAATAACTTTAGCGCACATTTATGCTCACTTGCAACCGTCGGCCCTCGCGAGTGCTATCCTCGAATTTAATAAAGACGATGCATTTACTACCATCTATCGTCGTTAAGCTTCAACAGTACGTCATTTTTACTTCCTGCTTTTTTTTGTAGGTAAATGAGTTTCGGGGTAATGCTACCGTAAAATTTATTGATAGATGGCGACATCTTTGAAGTTTTTGATTCAACATGGTAATACCTATTTCTAAAGCGTACAAATTTATCAGTGTTCTGTGGAAGGCTATGGTACCGAAGATATCTCCCCGGTGGCTGTAGTTCTTGTCATCAATACAATTTACATGTAAAGTCAGTTGTTACGAAGCGTTACTTGTAATCATCGTGGTAGAAATTATATAAGTTCAAATCGTAGAACTTCTTGTGCGGAACTCTTCATGATGGGTAAGATTATCATTGCGTCTTTTATAATTAACGAGTTTCCATTTCCTTGCCATGATTGAACGTTCATTTAAGAGCACTCTTTTAGTGCTATTGCGCTTTATCATATCTCGTCTAGTTGATAAGCTTCATAACGTTTATTAGCGATGTTATAACATTCTTATTATACGGATAGTATCTTGTTTAGATAATTTTATATTTTCTTGTTAGTATCCAAACCTCAAATTTTGCTGCTGTGGTTCAGGTTTAGATTTTCATTTAATCTTCTGTTTTCTACATCTAATATATTATTGCATAGATATGATTCTTATTAACGAGTTCTTGTGATATATATGTTTTATTGGCTATACTCTTTATGGTTAACTTATGCAGATGATTCGGAAGATGTTATGTTCGAAGATGGAGATTTTGAAGTACTCGACGAATGTGTGGAGGACGATGAAGTACTTATCATTGAGCCTAATGCCAGTTCTAAGACTGAGATAGGTCCGTCTGTAAATACAAAAAGCAATGATATGAAACCTACAACTACTGTGGTAGTAACAGATATTTTGCCTGATGATACATCTTTTGCAAAAGAGCCTGAAAATAATTCTATATCTATGACTACAAATGATAATGACGCAAGTAAGCAAATATATTTCTAGATTTAGTTATTAATTATAGTTTGATAAACTGCATTATTAAATTCTCTTCGAATTCATTAGAGGATAAGAAAGATGAAATCACAGACGATGACATTATGAGTCATTTGGATGAAATTGAGAATATTGTTCTTGAAAATACTAATTTTGCAATGGAGAATGACATTGCTAAACAAGATGAAAAACATGAAGAAAGTTCTTCAGCTGATAAAAGTGTGGATGATTCTAGAATTAAGAAAAATGGGGATGAAATTAGTCAGAAAATTCCTGAGGAAACTAAGAAAGAAGAGGTCAAGCCTTTGACTGATAAGGATAATACAGAAGCAGTTGAAAAAAATAACTCTATCGTAGACACTGAAAATGATTGGTATAATAAAAAGGTGAACAATATATTGGAATTTACTGTTTTTATAATAAATACAATTTTAAGTTATCATCTAATATTCTGTACATTCTTCAGATTGAGATGAAAGTGATCACTGTGAAAGAAAGACTTTCCAAATTAGCTCGTGTGCTGGAGTATTCCTATCCATGTTATAAAAAATGGTTAGAGAGGATGGAAACTTTTAATGGAATTCCTGTTTGCAAATTAGAGCCAGCGAGGCGCTGCACCCTCGAAAAACCGCATATCAATCGTTGGAAGTTCATTTGTAAGTACTCTAATCATACAGCATAGTAGTACAAACTGCAGACATTATTTTTAATCTCCGCGTTTATTATTGATTTACTTCTTATATGTTCGGTAACAATTTTCAAGCAGTTTATAACTAAAAACTATAGGAAATTAAACAAACAGCACGTATTGCTAATGCATAATAGTACTATAAACGTACCGGTAAAAAAAAAGAGAAGACCACGTCAAATCAAGTCCCAAGTTGCAGCTGGATAAAAAGCAACGAATATCCGGTCTGCATCTTAGATCGGCAAAACTTACAATGGAAAAAAAGTCAATAGAAAATTGACATCCTTTACTTCCATCATAAAAACTTGTACAACACAATACAAATTATTACACATGGTGACTGTTTCTCCAACCACTTCCTGTCATGTATCGTATTCGTGCATGCATAGGAAATGTGTCAAGGGAAAATTCTTCGACCAACAACTAAGTGTTACTGCAAAACCTTAATTATCATTATCGTTTTTCCTTCTTACTATATCTTAGCAATATCGCCAGCCTTCCCTTTTCCCGTATCAAATGACAAACTTGATTCAACAAATAAATCACCGTATACTGCTGTTAGAATAAAAAACCTGTCAATATTATCTTCGACTTCTAGGTGTGAAGCGAATAAGAGAAAAAACTAATGTAACTGTAATGTTTTTAACGTAATTTTTAATATGTTTTAGGTGGAAACAACCAATAATTCATATACTTTTCAAGAATAACTATAATCACTTGTTCAAAATTTTCGTATGCTTAACATAACGAAAGATTACATTGATCCATTATATGTTCTTAGTTGCGAAGCCGTAACTTTGTAACATACATTGTGATCAAATAAAGATGACAATTCTCATGTAACATGTTTAGGCAGCAGAAAGCCTGTACAGGAGTCGACAGAGAAGGAGAAGGAGGACAGCGCTGATGTGACTGTTAACAAGAATGTACGAACAGTCTGGCGGCTGGGTCCGAGTGGTGTATGGGGTGCTAATATCGATAATGCCTCAGAATTTCCACCTTTTGTAATGCGTGCTGTTAAGGTACACACAATTTTTGCTACGTAAATGCAATTCAGCACAAACTGCAGCTTTTTCGAAAAGCACATATGCGCGTACGATATAATGACATTTCGCAAGGGATAGACGGATGATTGATTATTGAATGAAAATCAATGCACGATGAAAGCTATGTTACTCGAGACTCTGTGAGTCATTATCGTTCATTTTGTAATGTCCGATATAATTTATTCAAGAATCTCTAACATGATAATGATCAACGTTGAACATTGTACCATTGCTAAATAGAATGGACGACTTCGAAGATTGGAATTTTGTGAAAATTTGATACTGATAAAAATACATGAAACAGAATCATCGATGACTTTGTGAGACATTGTGAATAACATAAACATTGGACATGAGAAGATATAATAGACTGAAGTTTAAATAATGAAAGTAAAAATACTTGTACTTATATTCTTAAACATCTTATGTAATCTTATCAAAACTTAAAAATGAACGAAGAATCTAATGCATATTTAAAACTTAATTTGTTCGTTTGAAAACAAATTAACAAAATAATTTATTGAAGAAAAACAGAAGCATACCGCTTTTGGAATTCACTACCAGTCATTGATCATTAGAATGATTGACTAATGATTGGATGTGCATTATTGATAGTAAACGTAACTCGACTTCTGTGAGAGATTTTTTAAATCACGAATCTCTACCTAAACAGTGATAATGATCACAATTGTGACAATGTTACATATGTATCGAGTATGTTAACAATACAATTGGTTACTTTAAAGGAGCTTTCTGCAAGAAAATTGCAAACTCAAATTGAGTAGAATGTTGCACATGAAGAAATGAAAAAATAATCATCTACGTAAAGAAGAAAGATGATAATGAATAAATGTTAGCCACATGATATCAAGAACAGATAAGGAAGATATTCAGTTTAAAGATAAAGATATTTGGAACTTACAGAAAGTACAGTGATATACAAATTTATTAAAAAATTTTGATTGCAATCAAGATTCATCTATCCCATCTGTCCCTTGTATGAATTCCCTTAGTATAATCAGATTTATAATAATTAGTCTGATACTAAGTGGAATTTTTCTGAATGAAATGGCAAGAAATGCTATGATAAAAGTCTATGACACGGAAACAAGTTATACAACGATTGAGAATAATATTAATGTATAACATGTGTTCACAAAATAGACTAAAAAACTCAATGGGCCTTAAGGATCGCCACGAGTTTCCTTTTGCTTGAGTACAAGGTCAAGATTGTGTCACATAAAATTGACATTAATTCAGGACATAATTACTTACGTCCCATTTGCTTATAAGCAATCTACATATTAGTATATCCGAAATACTAACAGCGAAGTACGAGTATAAGCGAAAAATACATTGATTTTATTGTACTTTTGAGTTTCAAACTATCATATTTTTCGATCGGTATACTTTTTAAATTTGATACTCACGAATAGTTCAATATTAATTTAAATCAAATATTAAAATAAAAATAAAATACAATCTAAGGCGAACGATACTGATGTAACCCTATCATTATCAAATTTTCAAAAATAACGTTTGATATAGAATATGAAACTTATTATATCTTTCGCACCTATATCTCAAGGCAGTCAAGTAATTACATGATAGAGTTACATCAGTCACGTGCATACTATTAAAATATTGAGATTTCTTAAGTACGAATTTTCCACAGATATTTGAGGACTTCATCCAAAGTATTGATCAGAATACTAAAGAGTCGGCTTCTGTTGATGAAACCACTGCAAATGATGAAAACTCTGCTGAAACTCCAAAGTCCGAGGAAGCTAAAGGAAATGATGAGGATTCTGTTACTGAAGCTAAACAGCAGTGGTTATGGCTTTTGGTTCGATCCAATCGTCTCGATGAATTAATGCTTTTTGCAACTGGTAAAAATATAAGCCGCTCAACTATGGATGACTTGAAGCAAGTTTTCGAAACTGGGCCTGGAAAGGATTGCAATGTTAAATCTCTTTATTGCAAATCAATAATGAGGTTTGTTTTCATGTTTATGATATGTGTATGCAATTCAGAAAGAGTTATAACAAAAATAATATTTTAGAGTTGAAAACACGTCGAACACGACCACAACATTTTTAGTGGGCTCTGAAGCATTGGACGAAACTGTGGGTGGCATAAAAATACAATTAGCACCAAAAACAAATTTCTGGTCTAATGCAGCTGGAGCAGAAAATTTAGGTAAAGCCGTTGCAGATCTGCTATCACCAACGCCAAAAACAACAGTGGTTGAAATTGGTTGTGGAATTGGGCTCATTGGATTAATGTTGGCATCCGTAAGTAGAATAGCTGTACACGCATAACAATATTAATCTATAAAAGTACCAGCTGTTAAAAGATTTTTCGATGATAATAGAAATGCCAAAAAGTTATTGGTTTTGATACACCGTCAGAAGTGGAGGAAGCAGAAATGACGAGTGAATTAAATGATATAAAAAATGCTTCTTTCGTAATGGGTCAACCGTCTGAAGTAATTCCTACTATTGCAAAAGTATTGACTAATACCAAAGCAGCTGCCATCATAAACACGAATACAAATATCGGCCGAGGTACCTAAGATTTCTTTTGTCTATCGCCGGCATCTGATGAAGAATCAAAAATTTGAACTGTATTTTTTTCAGCAATTGAAGTGATGACGGGACTTCGGAAGATAAATTCGCTACGACGCCTCGTAATGGTAACTACTTTGACAAAACATTCTGTCCGCGCTATATTAGAATTAACAAGGCCAGCTGATCAAGGTCTTGGTAATCCATTTATGCCAATCCGAGCATGTGTGGTAGATACATTACCGGTGGGACCCCACTTTGAAGTTGTAATATTAATGGAACGTCGAGTGATGAATAAGTTCCCTCAAGCTCACGCACAGAAAAATCTCAATGGCCAAATGAGTGGTCATTTGGAATCAACACAGGGATCAGTATCAGCGAATACACAGAATCATAATAATCCAGGAAAGAAAGTGAAAATGAATCCGAACAAAGCCGGTTTTGCACAGCAGAAGCAGGGTGCATCTGTTAAAAAGCAAATGAATAGAACTGTTGCGAAAGGTGTTTTGGCATCGAAAAAGGGAAAAGCTTTTATACCAGGCAATAAGAAAACCCCACCAATGAAAAATGTAAATCCAAAAATCCCGCAAGTGAAAGGGAAGTTGAAAGGAAAGAGAGTTCATTCTCCGGAACGGCCTCACATACCTCCCAAAAAATTCATGAAAAAATATGACAAGTTTAATTTCAAGCCACAATGGCAGCCTGGTAACTTTGGTGGAAATCAAAAGGTACAAGAGAATAAATACATTCATGGTAAAGAAAAGACACCTGTAATGCCCAGGGAAGGACCTATGAAACGTAAACGAGATTGGATCGAGGAAGGACCTGGTCCTAGTTCTGTTCCTATGAGTGATAGAAGAAGTAGAGAACTGAAGGATCAGGGCGATCTACGAGAAAGATTATCCAATAATAGAATCGAGCCTGACCTTCTTCAGAAAGTCAAAGAGCAACAATTCCTTTTGGATATGGCTAAACAGAAATTAAGTGGTCCCATTCCATCAGTAGACGTAGCTACTGCTAAACAATTACAAAACATGTTGAGCATGGTTCTTGAGGAGACAAATAAGTTACAAAATCAACTTCCTCGATCTGTCTGGGATCGTATTGCACCACCGGAGAATATAGAACATTCTCCAGTTCCCAATGTACCTCCGCAAAATGATCCTCTACTAAAGGGTCGTTATGTGCAGGAAATGGGTACTCAAGATATATTGATCACTACAGCAAATCGCGAATTCTTACAATCAAATGAAATGGCACAAAGAGAAGGTTATAAGAAATATAATGCACCGGGAATGGCAATGCCATCAGGTCCTAGACAAGATCCTGTATCGAATTTTCAAAATCCAATGCCTGAACGCTTTAATCCCCAGGATTACCGTAAACCACCAAATTATGAAAATCAGTGGAATAGGCAGCCTGAGAAAAATTATTGGAACGAGTTCCCTTCTTTGAAGAGAGACGTATCTCCTCTGAGAAGACCAATATCTCCTCCAAAACATCATATGCCTGCTATGAATAGACTGTCACCAAAACGTCCGCTCTTGTCTTTACCTCGGCGACCATATTCACCTCCACGAAGGCATATATCTCCCCAACAGTCACAATTTAAACAGCATGCTTCTTCAATGAGACGTCAGTTATCACCGCTAAGACGTGAAATATCGTCACCCTGTAAAGAGATATCGCCAAGCAGCCGTCAAATGTCTCCACCAAGAAGAGGAATTTCACAATCAAGACGAGAAATATCACCCCAGGGTCGACGTATCCCATCGCCAAGACGAGGAATATCTCCAAATCAAAGACCCCCGATATCTCCTTCAAGGAGACAATTGTCGCCTCCTCGAAGAGTGGCTGACGAATGGGACATTCCTACTAGAGGTGCTGTTGAGCAAGGTGTATGGCAACGATCCAATGAGCGCGTCCCAGAAAAGCTTTGGCGCAATGACAGACCATCGCCATCGACTTCTAACTGGGATCATAGTTCAAGTAATGATAGATACCGTAAACCTACCAACCAGGATAAATGGAATGCAAAGGAATCTGGTCAGGAAGGATTGTGGATGGGTGGTGGTGGTGGTGATGTGTGGAATTCTAAACAAACCATGGCAAAACAACCCAATAAGGAACAATGGACACCTGGTAATGATAATAGATGGCAAAACTCAGCTGCTGGATCTAGTGGAGATAACTGGAATATTAGAGGAAAAGATTCATTCACAAAACCTAATACAGATGTATTTATAAAACCTAATTCACGCGATAATCCTTGGATGGATAATAATAAGCCTAGATGGGAACCATCATCTTCTAAGGATTCGTGGAATCAGGCAGACAAAGAAGATTGGAATGATCTTCCTGAGGATGCTAAAGATCCTTGGGGTGATGATGGGAACGTCGGGTTGAAAGATCGATGGCAGAAATTTGATAATTTAAGTAATACACCTTCATGGAATAGAGATAATGAATCTGGGGATTCTTGGATAAAATCAAATGAAAGCTGGCAAAGTAATAAGGGTATGTCGATGAATAATAAACCCCAATGGCAAACAATGTCGAATCAAAATACAAATGAATCTCGTTGGACTTCTGCAGCTGATATAGCTAAGAAAAATCTAGGATCAGGCAATTGGCCAACTACGACCAACGTCGGTTCCTGGCAACCACAAGGTTACCCTGGTTTCCAGCAACAACGAAACTTCGCAAGCAACACATTTAAAGACAGGCGTTAGCTGAATTCCTAATGATGTTTCCCTGGGTGTTTTGTGACATTGATGTTTCATTATGGACCATAAAGTGTTACTAGATTTACATCACATTTATTATAGCTTAGTATAAGTTTGATTATACGTTTCTCAGTGTATTTATCATTATTTAAGTTAATGATACTGATCAGTTAATTTTTTTTTAAGGTGATGGTAGAGAAATGATGTATTGTTAGTGGCTATCTATGAGTCATATATATTTGTTTTTGTTTACAAGTACTACAATGCTGATACCACTAGTGTCTATCAATATTTTTGATCTTTTTTTTTAACATTATTCTTACATTGTATCCAAGTTACTACCAAAATGATTATGTTATATAGTGTAACATTACTGGAAAATCTATTATTAAGTATGAGAAATTATAAACCATATATTACTGTATCGTACCTTATTATCATATAGTGGAGATGACTGAACATTTCTACGTAAAGCGTTTAGTGCTTCTCCATTTCATAAATACTCTGTAACTCTAAATATCTAAGATGGTGTAAAGCAGAGCGACTACAATTATGTTTCAATGATTTTGAGTTATAATGCAAATAAGTTATGATTCTGTGTATGAGATCACTTAATTGTATGCTTTTACCTAAAATTTATATATTACTCTCCTTTTCCCTTTAACTATTTGGAACTCAATAACAACTATTAAAAATTATTAAACTGATTATTTAGATGATAATTCTATATTATTTGTTTAAACAAAAAGTTAATTGGCCCACAAATTTGGAAAGGATAACTGTATTATATTCTGGTTACTGCAATTTACTCGTTACCCATTGCATGCATACTTAATATATTATTGTAACTATACATGTAATATTTATTATGTCAAGACCCTTGTATTTATGATTTTTTTAAAATTCTTAAAACTAGGTATCCATTCAATTGAATCAGATTCATATCGCAAGAGTGCGCTAGTGAAAGAATAAATTCATATACACCCATCTTGTTCACCATGGTTCACCGTTTCTACCGACAATCTTGTAGTCAGGTGTGGGTTTATTACGCTTTTGCATATAATAGAATATTTGATAGGTTAAATTTTCAGGTGAAGATAAATTGAACTATCTTTGTGTTCTTCGTGAAAACTTACAAAGATGACAATGTTCCTATCGAAAATTCAGGTATTTATTGCATGTAATAACAATCGATTTTTTTATGACAACTGTCCTTACATATTTATTTTACAGAATGCATCTCGGTTATACCAATTATTTCCTCGAGTATCGTACACAGAAGGATTCCCTGGATTATTTTCTTGCAGAACGTTTTCAGATAATGTACTATCTACAGACAAGATACATGGCTTTTCGAATCTTTATATTATCAGGAGATATGTTATTCCTGCTTTATGCATATCTCAATATTTATATACAGTGTGTTTCTGTTAGTACTTTTTCTACGTTAGTTGTGTTTCATAATCAATTTATCCTATAGGCTGTACCAGATAAGTTATACTCAAAAATAGAAATTGAAGTACGAGGGAATGATCCTGCTGTGTTAAAAAGCTATGGAACTTTTTCAGAAATGGCAGCAAAACATTTGGGCATCACTATGTCCAGAAAGTAAGAAGATCCAATGTTCAATTTTTTTTTAGAAACATCATTGTTAATAATTAGTCATGGTAATTAATAATATTTCTTTAATACAGCTTTACACCAAGAAAACCAGTTCATGAACGTTTAACAGTATTGAAATCTGTACATATCTATAAGAAGCATCGTGTCCAATATGAAACCAGAACATATTTTCGCTTTATGGACTTTCTAAAGCTTACTGGTTCTACTGCTGATACCTTTCTCGAATATCTTCAGAGAAATCTGCCGGAAGGTGTTGCAATGAAAGTTACTAAGGTTAATCAATTGTATAATGCATGTTAATCATAATTTTATTTAAAAAGTATCTATTTGTATCATTTGTTCATACATTTTTCGTTTTACAGGTGGAAATACAAAGGTTACCAGAAGCTGTCTCTACTCCACCTAGTTGAATAATATAGAATGTTAACATCAGTAAGTGTATTATATTTACTTTATTATACTCTTCAAATATAATAACTGTACATAAAAAATTATAATTTCTTCACTGTCTCACATATTTACTTTAAAAAATCATGTACATGCATAACAGTAGAAAGGTTAATATCAAACTTTTGTTTAATCATTATTTTAATCACGTGTCATTTTAATCTAACGACAATTATGAAGCCTATTTTATGAAACGGTAATAAATATTGATTAATATATAGTAAATCCATTACTTTGCAACTTTATGACACACTGATTTTATTTCGATACAATAATGAGATTCAAGAATAAAATTTGTATATAAAACAAACTTATGCTGGCGGTTTAATGACAAAAACGGCTGCATCCATCTTTACCTCACCATTAGAAACATTGTGCGGAAGTTCCGGAAGTGGATCCTTTTTTTTAAACAATAGCGGCCCATTCTTCCGAATTGCTTCTACTCGCACGGTTTTAAGCGGAGTATCCGTCGTGAATTTATCGTTCAACCGTTTAATTTTTATTTGCGCTTCCCCATTTGTGTGATCATATTGTTTATTACCAGACAATTTTAATTTATGTCGTGTCTCATAAGACATAGGAATCGTATTGATCTTTATAATTCTAGATCGATCCTTTGATAGTTCCGGGGGCTGAGTAGGCAAAACGTGAGAATCTTTCAAGTCATTACTATTAATACTAGGAACGTTGAACCCTGGAATTTCCTTATTTCTGTGTTTTCTAGTCAATTGCGCACTCGCCGTACAACTTCGGAGTATATATCCATCCTCTGCACAAAAATTAAATGGCTTATAATTTTAAAAAACCAATTTCCCATAAATCGTCTATACCATTTATATCGTCAAATTATTAGATCTATATAAATGTAAAAAAATATATTTTTACACTCACCCGAACCTTTTAAACGGTACTGGGGATGCAAGTCAACGGTGCCGCTCAACAATAATGTAACAACGAGGAAGCCAAATATTCTCGTCATTTGTAACACCATACACTTCCTCTTCAGATAAAGTATGCAGAAGCGTCGTATTATTAATTTTTCGAAATTTTTTAAAATTGACACGTGCACAAGGACAACAGGATTGAGGGATGTGCTTCGACGGAAGGCTCAGCGAATAATTCCGAATTCTTAGAGAGTCCGGAGAGCTATGAGACGTCGGCAGGCTGTCAGTATAAAATTTATAATTGATCAAAGAGGAAAGGATCTTGGTTCGAGTGGCGTAGCTCGACTAAGGCCATTCAACACTACGAAGAAGCATAGCGCTTCGCGTAACAAAAAAAAAAAGATACAAGAAACACTAACAGTCGTCAGACAGATAGCATTGGTTATTGTAAAAAAAGCAATGTGTAAGAAACTTTCAAACTAAAGAACGGTATGACGGTTAATGACTTTCGAATGAATCTTAAGAAAAGCTATGAAATTTTTAGTTCCGCGACATTTTTTAAATATGACACACTCATCCTGATCATTTGAAAATTACAGAATATGCGCAATTCCCATAATAGATAAGTAATAGACATCATTAAAACACTATGAAAACGACGATGACAACATTCTCATGAAAAAAAAAATATACGTCATGTTTTGTGTAAAGAGTCAAATAATCCATAGTGTATTATTCAGTATATATTCTTCAGATCCGTCCCTGAGGAAGATGTCTGGACCAATCAGGAAGAAAAAGAAATAAAAGCAAATATCCCAATCATGTCAATGCGATTCGTATCTCTTATTTTCAAGATGAATATCATCACGGTCGTATCAAAAATGAGTTTACATTCGCCCAGGTAATTTTGATTCTCAATATTATCTTACTTCTCCAAATGCTTCCGACGTTGGCTGTCCTCTAGTAATTTCTAGCCTGGGGCTAATGGTGACCCAGGTAAATTCGTCGTTCGAGATCAAGGTCTTCACCACTGGCAAAACGTTCGAACAGCAGGGCCGGACATTTTGCTAAGCGATCGTTAAGATCGTTTGCGTTCGTTGTCAAATGCTTACATAGCGTATTATCGTATACTCGTATATGAATTTGATTATTAAACGATAACCAGGAAGTTATTTCTTAGACGTCTTCAGATAGGTCCCAAGTAATACTATTGCTTAGTTAGACAATAAGAGTTCAAATTATTAAAGAGATATGGCATCATGCATTATGTCTCGTAAAACCTAAAGTGCACAGAAATACCCTTTTGCAGATTCTCCAAGCTAAGAATCAAACGGACTCCCTTTGGACGAAACCGGAATTTTTGTTTGGGCGGACAAGGGTGAGGACAACCTGCGAAGGTGAACTTCTTTCTGTGAAAAGAAACTTTTTTCATCCATCTTGACATTCATTTAGTCTATTTTCATCTCCCGTCATTTGGACTTACCTTTTTTTAATGCTTCCTCGCATATACAGGGTGTCCCCACTCGATGAGAGATAATTTGGTCAGATGTCAGTATACCTTTAATTATTATAATTAAATTCTATTTATCTCAATGAAATGAGATGTAGCTCGTATTAACCTACTGTAAATCAGACATTTTATTGCTAACTGTACCCAGTAGCTAGCTATATTTTGAAATAAATAGTAAATACAAGATATTTCGTCATCGGCCTCTAGCGGTAGAAATACGAAAGACGAGATATCTCGTAATCACTCTATAATGTGTTAAGTGTTGATAAATCAACTTTGATACACCTACTTATGCTTTGGAGGAATTATCATTATTTTATGTATTATAATTGTCTCATCATGCTAATCACTTATCTTCTATCTGAAAACGTTTCGAACTGAATACTTTTTTGGCGAAGGTAGTTAATCTACAGGCACCTAGGTCTGGTATAACTTTGTCATAGATATCGTATCATATCATATCAATGATTTTATCAGCAAAGCCTAATCAGGGTATACCTAAGTATCAGTACAGTAATATTGATGGCACGTATTTAAAAATTGGCACAAGCGAAGAGTGAGGAAATGTAACATGACGGCAGTACAAAGAATATTTTGTTGTTTATGTAAGTACATTCTCCTTAATATTGAGCTTTCAAGAATTGTTCAAAATATCATTAAAATTCAAGTATCCTGTTAATTAGATCGAATTTGATTCCCGGAAGTGAAGTTAATTACATACAAAAACAATAATTCCTATCAACATCCTTTTAATTCTGGTGCGCATGCGCTGTTTTCTAATGTCATTTTTGAGGTCAACGTATGCCCGTTCAATTCTTTTTTTTAAGCCAATAACGTCATGCTTTAAAATAGTTATTTATTATTACGTATTATTCAACAAGGTAACAATATAATGAACCAATAGCTTATCTCTGGATCGAACTGGTTTACCTTGATTACCATTATAATTTAAAAAAATCCATTTGATAAACTAATGAAAAAAATTACGTGATACTTATATTTACAAATCTTCAAATAAGTAGTATGATTCATAGTGATACAACTGAAATTAGATAAAGTCTATCTATAGTTAGCTATTGTGTAAAGTTAATAGTATCGCAAAATTCTATTGTAATTGCGAACATCAAAAAGTAAAATGGCATTGATGCAATTAATCAGAAACATTTTTTTTCATATTTTCATATAGCCAACAGACGAAATGGCGTTATGAGTAGTAAAGCTTTCAACCAGGATGAATTTACGAAGGGCAAGGGAAGAAACGATGGTCAATTGTCTTTATCCGGACCGGGAATCGAAGTATTCCTCCATGGGATGGAAAAACCGCCGACCTCGCTTGGCCATTGCCTTATTAATGTTTTCAGAAAATACCAAGACCACATTCTTCAGGTACTTTGCCGCTGGCACGTTGTATCTTATTGTCGAAGAAGATCGTACACGTTCAATGTAGACGTGCACAATGTCATAGATTTCAAATTGTGGAAAAGATACGTTGCTGTATATTGTGTGATAAATGATTATATTAATAGTACAATTATATATGTATGTAGGTAAATGCAAAGACTGGAGAGAAGTTTACCTACAAGGAGGCATTGGATCAAGCATTTGCACTAGCAAGTGGATTAAAATCTCGTGGTATTACTGCAGGAGATTCTCTTGGACTTGTAGCACATCCTACTGATCCCAAAATAAATGTTATACTCTTGGCTTCAATATTTTTGGGTGCCATTTTGAAGCCCATTGATCCACAGGATAAATTTTTTGGTAGGTACCGTGTACATTGCGTAATTGTTATATTGTAATATTAACGATTTTCTTTCATTTTAGAAAGTAAAGTTAATGAACATTGCAAGTCGGGTCTGCGTAATTGGTTTTGTGACAAGGAAAAGATTAACGATTTGATATCGAACACTAAAGAAATTGGACAGATACAAATAGTGTCTTTGGATTCTGAAAACAGCTCAAGTACGAATGAACTTATCGAACCCTTTGATACACTACTAACACAGTCTGGTTTTGAAGAAGCGATGAAACTTTCCTCTCAGCACATTGTGCTTATTTTATCTATTGAACAAAATAGTCAAAAAATAGCATTTAAGAATGATGCTCTCCTAAAATACTCGAGACGAAAGAGTCCGAATGCGTGAGTCATTTTTACTTGAATTAAATTTAATTTAACTTCAGAGAATTGTGCATTTTTAATTTATACTGGCAGGGATGATCCAGGCACAGGTTTTATATTAGATTATAATGACTGGTCCGAGGGTGGAGAGGCATGGATCATAAGAAGAATATTTCTTTTTCGCAGTGGTGGTAATTGTCTGGTAGCTGTACCACCATTTGATCCTGAAGAAACACTTCTTCTTATTCAAACTCACAGAGTAAGCATGTTTCCTTTTATACAAAACCGAATAATGCTTCCATGTTATATTTTTGAAAGAATATTTCAGATATCCTGGTTAGCATTAAAAGCCACTCAGTTTATAAAAATGGCACAATGTTCTTCAATCGTCGCATATGACTTATCTAGTTTACAAGTATTAAACACTCCGCCATCTGGATCAGCACTTTATTCTTTGAATGAATATCTCGACGTTGCTCGTGAAAGACTTCCGGCAACAAGAGTTCTCATTACGGGGTAATTATAACTTACACATGGGTATTATTACCAGAATAAAATTAATAATAATTTATTTGTTCTTTCAGAAGCACGATAGCCACTGCCATACCGTGAAAATTTGAATATGTTTAATTATTGTAATCTAAATATATTTCATGACTTGGAATTCCACAAGGGCATTTCATTAGCAGCCGATGATGTCTCGATATTTTATCACCCCCAATAATCGACTCGAAAATCAAATTGATAAGTAGAATCGCGATTCATTGAATTTATGAATCGATCAATCTTACATATTTTATAAGAGCAAGAGCTCGCATATACGACTTACTCTTATTTCTTCATGAATGTATATATACAAAGCATTCTTAGCCAAATTTTCAATGACGTGTCTAGTGTATAAGTTTAAAGTGACCAAACTCGCACGTAATCGACCTTCAATGCGGTACTATCGGCACTTGTCCAAGTAGGCAACCATTGATTTTTAGCTTGCCAAAATCGCAGCATCGCCTGCATATAAAATACAAAGGGATAAGTTTATATAACAGAAAAAAAATATAGTTTTGTATAAGTAAAAAAAAAATTATAAATAATTAAACCTTGGCTTCGGTGTTTTGCCATGGTTTTTCATATTCTCCTGTGGTTATTCCATCTGGAAATGCACATACGCCGCCCACTCCAACGCCAAGAGTTATATAAAACTGAAAAAATAATATATTTGAAAAGCAAGTGAATCATTTTCACGTGAATCCATATAAAATTTGTAATAAAATTCTAATTGTACCTCCTGATCAAAGGGCGCCATGTTTGTTTCTCCAGATGCATTAGTTGCGTGTAGCCAGCCATTCTGGTTTGGAACTAAGGTACCAAGGTCTTCACCATCAACTTGAAATGAGAATCCATTTTCAGACCATGTTGTTGTATACACATGAAAACCGGATACCCAAGTTCCACTTGTACGCTTCTTGGTAACTGAATCTTCTCGAAGATTCATAACAGATCCCGTTCTCAGGCAAAATCGCAACACCTTCGAACTATAGTCTTTCGATGGGTCATTGACTTTTATTAGATTGTCATTTCCTCTGGTCATACCCAAAATAACACGACCACTTGCATATCCGGGTCCGTAATTAGAGTATTTAGGCTCCAGCCACAATTCTGAATAAATATTAAAAAATTTATTATATCGGAGCAATGATATATGTATATTTTCCTAATATTACATACCTGGATATAGCCAAGCACCTTTCGGAAATTTGGCTCGAATCGAAATTTTACCATAACGGAAACTGAAGCTTCTTTTCGTCGTCAACCGGGCAGAAATTACTGGCGGTAAAATATTATATGATGTAGCCTCACGCACGCACTCATCCGATACAGTGCTCGTACATCTTAAAGAAAAACATTTTCTTATGATATTGCGATTCGATTGCTGTACGAAAACATTATTGCTTCTTTTTTTTTTATAAAATTTGACAATTACTCGGCGAGTTGAACTTTTCCTAAAGACGTAGCACCTTCTCCATACGAATTTTCAAGTATGCTTGGTATAATATGAAGGACGCCATCACGAATTACGGTACTCCGTTCATGGTTATGGTAAATGCAAAATTCATAGTCCTATAACATAGATAGAAGATTACATTTTGATTGCTCTTGTATTATATATTATTATACATTCTTACCGGGAATAGTGGTATTTTGACTTCACGCAACCAAACTGATGAATTTAGGGTATTAAAATTTTCCTCAAATATTAAATTACTTCCTTGAGATACGATAGTGTTATGATCATCTTGATTATTTATATTGTCCCGATCGTTTTGTTTTTTGGGTGCTTCTGCTAAAATAGTTATGCATACATTTTATTATCTATTCCAGTTAAACTCTGAATATACGATCTTCTTATAATGTCTTACTTTTATAAACCCAAGATAAATCATATTTAGCATGTGGCTTCCCTAAAGCCTGTACATAAACCCAGTAGTATAAAGTATCATTTTTTTTCAAAGAAATTCGATCATCTTCAATAGTCCATCGTCCCTTTTGCGGACGAATAACTGTCCTAGAGATTGCCCCTGGTGTATTTCGAGCTATTCTTTCATTAATATTAGCATGAAATCCAAATAATTGAACTCCTTCCTCGTCTGAAAAAGAATAAATATTTGTATCCAAAATTATAGAAAATATTATTTATACGTAAATATTTCTTAGAAGACTTAAGAGCCTGCAGGGAAATCCCCGAATTCCATCAACGCATAAAATACATAATATACACGTATGTATCTAAAAATACATCAATCGATGGAACCGCTGAAAACATGGATTCCGATACTTAATAAGATTAATTAAAATCATTACCTGGTATCGAAATGCGTAGCCCTCGTGGTTGCACGGCTTTTATTTCAACTTGCGGAATAACATATGCACAAGTAGCTTTTATGCGAAATCCAATAAGGAAACCAATAATTGCAAGCACTATAATATTATAATTGCACTTCATTCTTAGATACAGTTAAATGAGTTGGAGTAAAAATTAACAAGATCTTGTTATTGTTCCTACATCGATTTAGAAAATATAATCCAGCACTAATACATCAAAGAGTGAATCTTCTGAACTGATGCAGTCGTATTAATTTCGTTTCCCCTTCCATTGTTCTGCTTGCCCCACTAGATTGACAAATCATTTATGTGAATTCCACTGTCTTCAGAATGTTTGATAAAGCTATAGCCTTTAATGGAACCGTATTATGCATATTTATATGTAATGGTTCTCAACTTTTTCTTAGTTACTCATAATGCACCGCATAAAGCAGTCTGTGATCATAGAGGTTGTATCTATTGACGTAGTCTGTTGTATTTGTAGAATTGTTTGATCGATATACACTTGAATGAGAAAATTTATAATGCTCTCAACAATTACAAGAATTGGCTGGAGCAGAATAACCTCCTGCAGTTCAAAGATAAATAGTTTGCATAGGATTTTGTTGCGAAACATACCGGCAGTTTGTGATTACTGTAATAGAGGTTATGGTGAATCTTTTTCGTTGCAATATTTCAATAAACGAAGTGAAAATACATTAAATAAACAAAATTGTATTGCTGCTTTTTCATCGGATAGTCAGTCCGTTTATTCACCTCAAATGTGAGTACATTACTTTTATATAAGTACTTTTTTAGGGTTTTATTATCATTTTTGGTTGCATAAATGTCAAACTAATTATTTAATTATATAAATTTTGTCGTCATTTTTAATTGACAGAGATCTGAGCACTGGACAATTTGAACAAATTTCTAATGAGACTTTGGAATCATTGACAGAATATTTTGATGAACTTATTGAACAAGCAGGTCATTTGAAAGATGCAGACGTATCATATGGAGTAAGTCAAGCTAACTACAATCTAGTTAATTACAAAAATTAAATTTGCAAAATCTTGTTTATGTTTTAGGATGGTGTAATAACAGTTAAGTTTGGTGAAGGTTACGGTACCTATGTCATTAACAGACAGACTCCCAACAAACAGATCTGGCTTTCATCCCCAAAATCTGGTCCAAAGCGTTACGATTTCATTGATGGAAAGTGGATTTACAAACACGACGGTCAAACATTACATGAACTTCTGAACAGAGAAATTCCAGCTATCATACGAAATCAAGCAATATTTGATAAGTGTTCCTACAGTGGAAGAGAACAACATGTGAGCCTGGATCGATCCTGAATTTATAAAAATATTCCTTTAGAGAACAATTAAATAGATGTAAGATCACTAGCATGATTGCAAGACTTCATCTCATGTATATAATTAGACTTTAATAAATCTAATTTATGGCTTACAAAAATCATAATATCATAAATAACCATTATATGTTCCTGACATATTATAGTCATCATGGAGATTATGGAAGATGGCAACTTAGTAGATCGCGTTAGAATATTATTGCAGCGAGATATGGAATATTATCAGGTATGTATTATATACTCCGGCACATTGCGATATCAAAATAATCATCCATCCATTTGTACGTCAGGAAAAGCAAACTGTACTTCGAGAACCATTGTGCATACGTGTGAGTGGGGGAAAGCTCGATTTTCCGCGGCATGCATCATTTGCCGCAATTAAAATTGTAACATGGTGGGAAGCCGAATTTATATCAGCATTCAAACGTGTCTCGGGATTAAGTTCCACCTGTGATAAGGAAGCATCTAAAGATGTTTCGGAAGGAGTTATTAAAAATATTCAACCTAAGGAATTTATTTCATTAATTCTTGACACATCCGACCAATTATTAGGTATATGGTTTCACGTCATTTAATTTCACTCCAAAGTACTGTGTATGCACTCTTTGTGTACACTTGCCGAATTGTACAAGTTTTAATTCAGTAAAGATGCAACATCAAATTGGCAATTGATAATTTATATAAAACATTTTTAGAACATCTGCATACATTAATCCAAGAAGCTTTAGATCATGCAGACCTAGCAGTATTAACTGCAACTTTAGGGGCTGCAGCATTAGTTCGAAATTGCTTATGGTGTTATAATCAGCAAGTAAAGGATGAAGTTTCCCTAGAGTCAAGGTATCATGAATTTTTTAAATACCATACCCTAATACGGATGTAGCTGACATACTTGCTCACTTCTAATAGCGAAAAAATATATAAATGTTACAAATCGTATCACGAGATGGCAGAGGCACTTGCAGAAAGATTACTCGATTTACATTGTCGTCTAATTTCCTTATACATTTTGAACGAGGCCGATTCGTTGAGCTGGCACGCTGCTAAGTCATTTTTTGAAAAAGAACGCTGTTCCTTCGTAATACAAATGTGGTGGCTTTATATGCAAGGTATGCAAAATTCTAAATAATTATGAAAATATATTTTAATCGATTACTCACAATTCCCTATAGTAAACGTGATTTTTCGCAGGTACCAAAGCTGACCTGTGGAATACCGTACCGCCGAAAATGGCCCAACGTGTTTTTTCTGGCATGTTAAATGAGTCATTGTCAATAATCACTGCTCGATTTATTCACGTAAATGATTTAATTGTTAATGATAATATTAAATTCATAATTTATCCATATTTATTTAATTATTATTCAGGGCCGACCAAGCTTAGCGAGATCGGAACAATTCTGGGCTGATGCTTTCAATGTTTTATGCTGCACAGCATATTTAACTCTAAATGCATGTATGGATGGAAATGAAATGGCTGGATTATATCCAACAAAGTTGTCTACAGTAGCACGTGATATACATGCCAAATGTGATGAATTACTAGTCTGTTTATTGCTTCGTGGAACTCCGCTCATATTGCTCTACCAGGTGCGGCCAGCGCGCATGCGCGAGAAATCATATTTAACTTTTTCGTACTAATAACTTTTACATTACAGACGTTCCGCGATGGCTTACAAAATTCAATAATTTTACAAAAAAGACTCGGTCCAGCTCCATGGCTTGTGATCTGCGCTCCTCATTTACTGAATTACTCATCCGACTCGAAAAGTGATGTACAGTCTTTACCGGAAACTCAGGCAGTCGCCCTTGAATTGAATGTTTTGAAATCACAGCCACAACCCAATTGGCCACAATTAGTGAAAGTAACGATCTCATTGATTGCTCATGACATAAAATCAATGCACTGCTATATTCTTATATTTTCAGGTACTTTCTATGAGGGACAATTCAGTAGCTATAATGTTACTTGAATTATTTGTACGTCAATGCATAGGATACACAGTCAAATTTGAACCAAATCGATCAGGACATAAAATGGACTCCAATGAGGGTTGTGGAGGCTTCTTATGTATTGGTTCTGCGTGTAATCATTCCCTTGTTATGTCACCATCGTTAGGGTTGTACAGTTTAATATATATATTAGCTAATACAACTACAGATCCATTGCATATTATTATACCAGCTCTGAGGCAGGATCCAATGTGGAATACTTATCTTGATAGACAACAAGTAATATCTTATTAACAACTAGTGCAATTCTGATTTCATATATAAATTTAATTATCTAATTGACATTTCATTTATAGGTATGGAATCAGGCACGGCCGCCTTGGCTCAATGCTTTATTAACACCATTGCACTCTATAATGCTTCCAATAGTAGAAACTTTATTAGATGCAGTCAAGGTAAATGATGCTCGCTATTAAATTACTCTATAACTGACTATATATTGCAGTAATGTTTCATAGACAGGTGCTAGTATTTACCAGACGATGTCTCTCACTCTGACATGTCTTACTGAATTATTTGTATGTATCCCAGTGGGGATTTTACGTACAGCTTTTGCCATCGATGAAAATATTCCTGCTCACTGTCATCCCTTAGGGGGTTCAGTACTCCTTCAGATATTGTGCTCATCCTTGTATTCAGTATTATTGAAAGTGTCCGAATCAAGTAAAAAAGATGCAGAGGATAGTCCGAAAACTGCAGTTGAATTTAATGGTGAAATTGGTGCATTTAATCCGCATGATAAATCCGCATCGGCCATAGCTTTAGCCGAAGCACTGTGCAGCATTGATGAGGATAACAAGCACACCTCGCAAATCGAAATATTACATAATACAATCAAAGAGAGGTAAGGGACCATTAATACATTTCTTATTCAAAGATAAGATTTCAAATTTGTTATTGTATTTCGTATTTCAGTATCGAGTTAAGAGATTCCAGTCTGTGCGATACCAGACTTAGAAATATGTCCTGTGTCGTTGAGACATTTGCTGATGAATTATTATTTACTGAAACCGGAAGACGTTCGTTAAAGGTTCATCATAATTAGAATAGTTTTTAATTAATTTTTCAATTACTTTTAATTATCAATATCTTTCAGGTGCTGTATGACTATATCGTTCAGGCCTCTGATTGGATATTAGCATCCTTAAAACTTACGGATAACAATATACGCACGAATTTCATTGCTTCTGCAAATTTTTCAAAATCTACAAAAACACTTCCACAAATTATGTTTCATATAGAAGATGCAGCTTTTGATCAGGTATAAATTATTATACTGTCCATAGTAAGATTTTAATGAAATTTTTTTTTTTTAATTATATCAGCTCCTAACTGGATCCACGAATTGGGAAATGATCTTATCACAACCATTATCCACAACGATTGATCGCGTTCGTAATCAGATCTTGATACGACCAGAATTCAAGGATATTGGTCAGCTTAGACAAGATGAGAGGGAGGCTGCAATCTTAATAAAGAAATTATGCTCAACTGTGAAGTCTGCAAGAATCAAGTAGAACAATATGAAAACGAAAATGATCACATTCATGAATTTCTTTATTTAATCAACACATTGCCTACACAGTAATCCAGTATATTTGTACAATATACAAACAAATGAGAAAACTCCCGATATTAGCACCCACATTACAATATCAAATTGTTTTACGTGAAAAAACTAGTTGCCCAGTACTTGTTTTATTTTCTCATAATTATCGACAGTCTCACCAAATATTTATTTAAGTGAACAAATATCGTAGCTGCCATCGCGTTCAGTAATAATCATATTTCCATATAAAATTATCAATGACTCTTTAACTCTTCTTTAAATTCAATTTGCAATACCAAAATCAACAAATAATCAGTGTCAAAAATTTTCAATTTACGAATTTCTATCAACAATAAAAAGTCATTAATTACCTTCCACATGTGCATATTTCTGCAGCAGATGAAATATAGAACGTATTTATGCTCATCTGAACAAATCGCATTTGTTTCAAATACAATTATTAACCGCGAAACTTGTTGAATTAAACTGCTACTAACAGCTTGTACAGTAGCTATGTTATATAATTGTAAAATATATGTGTGTATTAGCCCAATCGGGAATACGGGAAGGGTATCTATATATATCTCACGAAATCCTCAAGAAATCTGCACTTCCACAATGAATTTCTGTTTGAACATATGAATATTATCTTTAGGTATTATCCACATAGTGTATTATTAACGAGTGTCCTTCAGGGAGAGTGATACAAAATGTTTGTAATGCTGGGATGGCAATATTTGGCACATTTATTAATAACACAATAAAAGACGGTGAGCTGAACAGAAATTTGTCATAAAAAATATATCAGTTAAATAAACGCTATCGTAAAAAGACACTGGTTCATTTTTCTTCACTGTTATTTAATATGACCTGATACCGTTTAGGCCAAACGCCTTCCGTCATACTGTATATTACTGTTTTACTTCAATATAACCTCAATATGTAATTCCTAGTTATTGTTAATTAAATTTCCTGCTACGCGGACATCAAATATACCTCTGACACAAAAACAATGCGTATACATCATTTGGACTAATATTATGCGTATAATTTATAGAAAGAAAGCCACATCCGATTATGAAAATTATTTGAAGGGCCTTTCAGTTGTCTTCGTAATTTGCAGCATCCAGTGCAGATCTTCGCAATACGCCCGCCTGAAACGAGTATAAAGTACATCACAATATAAATATAGATCAAAATGTTGTATCGTAATCATCTTGAATCTGACATGAATTGTTTCGTCGTATTCCTTTCGTAAAAGGTTTACGTATATATCTGTACAATAGAATGACGTAAAGAGCCTCTGAAGTATTTTAACAGAATACTTCAATTTGCAACAGTGTTAAAAGAGACTTGTGTACGAGGCAATAACATTACGGCGTCTTCTCTCCTCTGTATATACAAAATGATTCCTTTATTAAATCCAGAAAATTAGGGAAAAAATTCGCATCTCATTTCGTGACGTTTGTCGCCTTTTCTTCCTCAGCTGCCGACGAGCCACGTGTTATTTGTGATCTCCCTAATAAAAGTTCGAAGAACACGGGTGTCCTGGAGAAATAATGGCAAATTGAGAACAATTTCCGTAAGCCAGAAAATTGTCATGATTAGAGAAGAAGACGTGGCTGATTTAGAGTCGCGGAAAAATACTTGCATGATGAGAAAAATGCCAAAAATGTTCAAGACGTACATTTTTTTTTTTCGAATGGTGATAGAACAATCTAAAAAATTTTCGACCTTTGAGTACGTTGAGAAATTTACTGCCAGTGATGCGAGCATGGTTGTCTTTCTTCCTTATGAATAAAAAGCGCGACAAATTGGACGTGATTGATAATGACTTTTAAAAGGGTACCCTAACGAATTTAATTTTGCCAAATGATAAAAAAATACAGGTCACTTGATGAATTTTTGTTGAAAAAATGTCCTATTAAAACCTACAAAATTCAGGTACAAATGACGCCAGATCATTTTCTTGAACGGTGTATCTTTAGACTGCTTATTGCCCAACTGAAATATTGAATCGGGTACGAAGTGGCGTCTCCTTAACATATACATTGGCAGATTTGTAATAGAAAACCCGTCAAATAAATACGTTACTCTTCTCATCCTAAATACAACACGGTTATCATTTATCGCAGCATTAATATTCAATTGAAATAATATTATTGAATAGTTCGCAGTTAGAAATTGTCCTAAACGCCAACCTCGTAATTGCATGGCATCGAACAGATGCTCCAGCAATTAGGGAAAAAAAGTTAACAGTACTTCCTGCAACGTGGAGATGTTTTCGTATAAATTAATTTAATCCAACAGATAAGTATCGAGAGTCTTTAATTAAATCTCTGTAATATCCGCCTTATTAAAACGAGTTTTGTCTTATCATAATTAATTCACTTGGTGAATCCTCTTTTTCCACTTTCCACGTTTTCCAGGCCATGTGACAAGCCCCCGAAATTAAAATTATTCTGAGAATGTCACGTCCACGTATTTACTTGTCTTGAAGGATACTATTTTCTGTAATGAAACGTAACATAGGCCATAGAAATTAATAACTAATTACCCAAAGAAAATATTCGTTTATAATTTCATAACTTCCTATCAAAATTTATTAGCCGAGTTTTCAATGAACCTTTAGTTAATGACTCTAATTACATCAAGGAGATGTTGGTAAAGAGAATTAGTCTTCGTGTATTCTGTGCCTAATGTAAAATGTTTGTTGTTTCAACTCCTTACAAAACTTATATGTTCGTCCGTGCTCACTGTGCCTACTAGCTGTCAGGCATAAAGTCCCATAAGGCTAGCCCCCTCTTTATGTATCAACATTTCCTCGACACGCGTTCTTACAAATATTTAACCTCAATCGTCAAACCTTCTTAGCCGTTCTTCGAATGAAAAAACTTGCATATATTGATTTTCAAAAATTGTATACACAATCAAAAAATAAATGTATACAGACTTACCGAGACAAGAGGACCGGATCGACCAAATCGCAAGCGAAGTGAAGGTGAACGTTGAGATTTACGAATCATTAGATGTTCGAAAGGGAGTGCAGCGATCCCGCCGTTGTCCAGAGCATTATGTCGCAACAAGATTTTATAAAGTTCGTGAATATTTTCTGCGGACCTCGCTGCAGCATCATCTGTCGTACAAATTCACTTTACTCTTATAATTGCCACGCTACTTCCTCCGTCTTCAGATATAAAGCACATTAAACTTCCTCGCTAAATGTTGCATTCGGTAAAAGAAATATAACAGGAGTACCATACCATATAAAATTGTTTCAGGTTATGATGTTTATGGCAAGATTAGTATACGATTAATCCTGGCTAAGACTAACATCAACTTGTATTCCGTAGTCACTGGCTATCAAGGCAACGATAAATTTATCAATAATATCGCATAGACTACCATTGGCACCGACAATAAATCATTGTGTTTAAAGAACTTGACACATAGTCATGCATAGACGATGCTGTACGTGATTGATGATCTTGACACATTTTTTTCTTCGTGACCACTAAACCAGATCCTTGGAAAGCATTGTAAGAACCACACTTTGATATACTCAGAAATGAATTGTCGCATACGCTCTTTTGCTTAATAGAGGTTAGGATATTTCATTCACAGCGGGGCGGGACATTTGAAAAGCTTTCGCTTTATGCGATATTAAACTGCTTTACGATAAGTAGCAACTTATATATAAGCGATCAGCATTAGGACCAGTATAATAATACGCACAGAAAGCACTATTATATCTCGAAATGTATACTCTCAGTGCTTTGAAAACATATATGATATATATTGCAGCAAATGTATTTCCGGCACTGTATCGCAAGAGAATAATATTCGAATACACATATAGATAGAGTGAATATACAACAACGATATAAAATCATTAAAATTATATTAAAAAAAACAGTCCGATAAATTGTTAAAGGCATTTAGACATATTGTATTTGCCAACAAATCCCTACCGTTAGGACAATACAGTAGATTATAACCTAGAATTGACAGATAACAATGGAAACATCTGGTACAGGGTAGCAATAATGATTGACAGTGTGATAAAATATATACAAATAAAGCAATAGTATAAATACGGTATCAGCCATCCGTATCAGCCCTCAGCATGTTCCCAGTTAATTGTCGTCTCACGAGAGAAAACTAAAGGATAAAATATTCAAACAAAGCAATAGTCTAAATACGATATCAGTTATCCATATCAACCTTCAGCATGTTCCCAGTTAATTGTCATCTTACGATAGAAAACTAAAGGATTGATTTATATTAAAAATAAAATGGCCAGTCGTAGTATAAGTATTTCCTGGGTTAATTACACGTCGCTAATTACTCACCCGGATAATCCATGTAGGTTTCAGAAGCCAACGCGATTCCCAGGACGACAAAAAGGACAAGAGTACCGGCATAGTAGCGGCTGGTCATCATAATTATGCAATTTCTGCAACAAACTATCAATTTCAAACTAATTATTTAAACATATTCAAATAGAGAATTCATAAAAATAATACAGCTTCACGTTTCAATTTTTCAAATTTTTTTACTGTAATTCTTAACATCGTAACATATATTATCAAGCAATCTCTTAGAAAATATAATCAAAGAAAACAATCATATTACCATATACAGCTAATGAAATCATAGGCTGTGAAACGTTATGTCGTACAAACTCCATTATCGTAAAATGAAATATTAAAAAATACAATTGACGTTTGAATATGGTTTCATTGTACAATGGTAGGCTTCATTGAGGGGTTGCTATTATACAATGTCACCTTTGGTGAACGGAACGTAGGTAATAATGTTATGAGAGTGAACTTGTATGGAAAATGAAGGTGCGAGAGCTGTAATACGACAAACGATAGGTATATAAATTCCTATCCTATTCAAAGTTACTTCACGCTTTGTGACCCTATTGAAAAGATTTTATCTCTATCTTTTCCTTTCTTGCAGGACGAACGAGACGTGTAGCTACAATCGGCGAGGACTTGCGTGAGTGCACAAGGGTAAAGAAGCTTGAGGGATGATGTGTGAGAAATTAAAAAGAAAACGATAATACGAATCACTGTATACGGATACGATCCTATCATCATCCCCTAACTAATACCGATATCACCAATGGAAGGGTGTAGCCTGACCTTACCACCTGTGTCAACCCATAATTTGTGAATTCAAGCGTGATACCCCGTGCACATAGACATTCTATATATAATACGTTTACACCGCACCTCAAAATATGGATGAAAACTAACGATTTTTTAAATTATTAATTTTTCATCAACCCAAGAGGACTACGTAATGCCAAGCTAGCTTGCTTGCGTACTACTAGAAATTATTCATCTGAACGACACACTAGAGACATTTTTCTGAGATAGAATGCAGAGGGCTTTTTTTAACTTCTGGCTATCCACCTTCCCGAAAGCATACAGGAAAGGAAGTTATTTAAAATTGATTAAAACATCAGTAGAATCAAGTAAAGTACTATTGTACTAAGAAGCAGGTACGAAAAGAAAAATTTACAGTATAAATTTCATTAGACAGTGAAGAATAATGAAATAAAAATTATAATGAAAAGTCAAATTTATAATAAATTCTCATAGATATATTTCCAGGTATTATTGGTTATGTTTAATATAAAAAAAAATTACATTAAAAGCAGCTTATACGTGGTAAAAAATTCATAAAACATTTTTCGACGTTATTAAAATCATGTTGAATATACATATAGCTAAACGCTGATAAAAAACCTAACTCGTTAAAGTTTCTATATTGTGAAACAATTTTACAAGGACTTACCGATTATGCTCAGTGACTCGATACCGTTGGCTCTTCTCAAACAAGGAAGATTCGTAATTCGTGGGGAACAGTGGTACGCGTTACGGAGGTAATGATACGAAGTGTGACGGTGGCGCCCGTCGCTTTATATATACGCGTCGGTGTTCCGCTTTGATAGGGGGTGAGTGCCGTTGATGGTATTGGTACGAGGGTGTGTATAAAGGTATTTGAAGGTATTAGGGTAAGCGCACAGGTGGCTGCTTGAAAGTTCAGCTCTCGACCACGGGGCGCAAGCGTTCCTTCGTCAGTCTCAACCCCGACGAATTCCTTCGACCACCTTCGTCCACCTTCCGTCCACTTTCATCCATCTTGGGAGACGAGGCGGCTAGTCATTTCGAATTTTTGCAGAAGCTGATGCCATCTTCAATATGGGATCTTAAGGGACAACCATAGAATAAGAGTTCTTAAATTTAATAAGGTGGCTAGCGAGACCTGTGACTTATTTCTAATTCTTTGAACACGACTGCCTCTGTATAACATAAAATTTAAATAAAGTAATAGGGTTACTATTGATGAAAGTAATATTCGAGGGGTAGATTATATGATTCTTGAAAATATCAAAGGCAAAAATTTCAATTCTTGAAAATTTCTTTACTTATATATATTTTTTACCTGAATGCTCGTGAAGGACGTGTAATGGACAAAAGAAATTGGGAATTTGATGGTTAAATCTTTGTGAAGGTTGACTGATGTATTGGTGAGTAATGGACAGGGGTTAGTAAAAAGGTAATGAGGAGGCGGTTGGTATTGTAGTATGGGCAACAGTGGACACTATTAGGGAGACAGTTTTTGTATGGTATATTGACTACCTTTATGCGCCACAATGAAAAAAAGTGAGAAGTTAAGTAATTCGAAGTGCTGCAACCGTCTTCTCAGTAGCTATTGCAGTGGAATTTTTTAAGAATCTGATAACTTCTCCGTTACCGTCCATTTTCACTTGAGATATATTTTTTGGTGTTGCTTTCATATGGTTCTTTGTGAATGATACGAAATTTTGCATTCACTGTACATACAAGAATTAAAGAATATCGACGTACTTCAATATTTTGTATGCCAAATTGACGTTTTCTGAGATTTCACGCAATGCTTCCAATGCCATGATATTTTCTTTGTGTACCAAAGCAATTATGCGTATTCTGTTGGTATATTTTTCTTGCAAAATAATATGTCCTTCCTTGCTTCCCTTATGGCTGCCTCCTCAATGAAGAGATGTGCCAGAAAATAATATGTCATTCTGCTCCAACGTATTTCCATTGGTCTAAAATTACAAGGGTCGCAACTCTATGGGTCATTCGTCAGTCCTAAGGGACTCATGACTCCAGGAAACATACGCCGTGAACTTAGTTACTTATCCTTCTAGCCTACTCATTTGGCAAAGATCAACTTCGTTTTTGTTAAGCAAAACACACCATGTTAATACCGGTTTCCGTCAAACGACGAAGATTATTTTGGATTTTGGATAAATTACCTTTCCAAGTCGTTCATTTATTGATTATTCGAAGGGATACTAATAAGTTAAAGGCAATAATGTGGTTGCAAAGAGTTTAGCCCGACCTCAAATTTGAGAGGCACTGGTCATCAAGCAAGTAATTTCAGAGTAACGTTCTCTCAAAATTAATGTCTCAATATTCTGTCATGTGTTCATGAAAATTAATCCATATTATTAGCATAATGTTCTGGGATGGTTTTATTATTAATTTATTAGCACTCTAAAGAAACTAACCTCAAATTCTATTACAACCGCCATATTGATATTTCCTCAGACTTAACTTCAAATTATACATTGCATAAGACGTCATTTCTACCTATGCAACATGTATACCAAGTTTTATTATCATTTATGATTCATATGACATGTTTTCCATAAAAATTCTTTACTTTCCGTTTTCTGTCCACGATTAAATTAACTTGTACCGCCTTTCTGTTTTATATCACTGCAGCTTCCTTCATTCCCTTTCAGGAAGCGTGCGGAGGCGTAATTCAACTTCGTCATGACTCAAAAATCGATCCAGCCAAGCTACAAAGTTCTCGGAAATTATACACACCTTGGAACATATGCATGCTAATAGAACCATTCGAAAGACGACTTATTTTTTATTAAGTATACGGCGAATCCGTCGATTATACATATACTATATGTATACTAAGTACTAGTAAATGATTACCTTGAAATAACTTTCAGCCAAAAAGTGAGACTCGACGGTCTTTACTACGAATAAACGAGGAAATTTGAAGGACCCATCTAGACTGCACTTCATCCTCTGACAATTCCAATAACGGTGGTATAAAATTACAAGGACGTGTTAATGACGTAATGTCTACTCGAGATGAAGGGTGATGTGGCTAATGTCAAAATAAACATATCTATATATGAACAATAGCCACATTAAATGTCCCTCCTGATAGTATAGTATATACACAGGTGAGAGTGTTCATTATATGTATGTAAGCACATTTATCTTATACGCCTACGTATTACTGATTAGAAAAGTCAAATATTAAATTTTTATTCTTTATTAATTTATCCGCATTCTATTATTTCTGTATTTATTTCTAAACCGTCTCAATAAATAAGTTCTGATGCTGTGATAAGAGTCATGGATTATTATAAGACGACTTAGGCGTATTTCGGATATAATTAATTTTTTTATTAATTCAAGATGCAGACCATAACCTATATGCAGAGTATAAGTTTGTCATATAACCCATCGCGGAACAAAACACCGTATGAAGCTGGATAGGTGCCTTGAATGTGACGCTTCAATCAGTTTATCGACTCTATAAACTTTACACAACGTATGGACCTAATCATGACTGATAAGAAACCACGTGAGACAACACATAACTGATGTACTGATATCCTCATCCCATAACAAAAGCAAGGCATCCTTTTGCTCAATATCAAAGGTTTCGCATAGAAAACTATATTGTCAAAGTTTAATCAATCATTGATAAATACCATTAATTACAATTAGGTACATATTATTATCTATAAATTATAATGAGAGTTGCATGTATATACATTACAGACTGTGAATAAGTGCTTAGAATATTTTATTAACTAATGAGAAATACACCAAAGGATTTAAATGTAAAATTATCATATTTTCACCAGGACTCCTCAAAGTCGTCGCCCCGATTTGGAATCCGACCAGGAGAAGCGTACACAAGCCGTATGCAATTAGTAAAACCACCACCCTGACGCCAACCGCTGACGATAACTACGGCATCCCCCACATTTATCAATTGCTCTCTACGAAGGTAGTCCATTGCACACTGAATCCTTGCGTCCATATCTTTGCACCAATTAGAAAGGGGTGAATCTGTATTGTTTAACGAGTACAATTTGATTATTAATTTTCTCACTCACAGCTAAGCTTGATATTTGCATGCTTAGGGATTGCTATGGACGTTTACCTTGGTACTGCACTGGATGAACGCCAAAATAAATCTGTAACCAACGAGCAACTATTCCGTAGCGAGTAATGGCGATTATGGGACATCGTGGTCTGTAAATTGAAAGCATCATGGCCGTTCGTCCGGTAGTTGTGGTTACAACAATTGCAGCTGCGTTGCATTTCATTGAAGTCTCCACAGCTGCGACTGAGATCGAATGCGTGGGATCAAGAGGGATCAGTGTCTAAGTAGAAGGAAAAAAAATCATAACCTATTTTCCTACTGTTTCATTACTGTCAGGTCTGTTCAGATGAAAACCTTATAGCTGAGTTCTTCGAATAGCTGCCTTTGCCATCTGGCTGATTCTGCTTCCCTGCAGACGATGTCCACCTTTTTAACGAGCTGGATCGTTTCCATCACATCCAGGTTACCTGTCCTCAAGTGAATGCTGTCGGCACCCTCAAGAACAGCGTTCGCTATCTGACTCATATTCCCATGAGAACACTCCTGATTCTTCACATCAAAGGCTACTATCACTGGTTTCCCAAGCTGACACAATAGAAGCATCCTGTAGTTTCCATGACGTCACTTTAAACTTAACTTTCCTTACTCTGTTACATTTTGCAATTATGGATTTTTGAGCCACGAAGACTTTTTCGATTTGTATGTGAACCTCTATGCCAGTTCTGTCTACCATTATACCATCAGAGACTTTTAAGATGTCGTCAAAACAGTCCAGTCCTTGTTGAGTGGAAATTTTTCCCAGGACACAAATCGGTTTCAATCCTCAATACAAATTTACGTCAGTTTATATTAATTATTGTACAATTATACGATTGATATTATACAACTATATAGTTACCCAATTGTTTAGCTCTGTCTTTCACGGCACAGATCATTTTACCATCTCGTGCATGAGAAACTATTAGAAAATCGCATTCATATTCCAATGCCAAACCAATGTCAATGTCATCCTGTTCAGATACTTGTGGTAGATCTATCGAAGTGTCTATCAGGTGCACGATCTTCTCGTTAGATATTCTTCCACCCTTAACGATCTTGCAAGTCACATAACATTCGGCTGAAATACATAACAATTAGTATATTACAAAAAAAATCCTAAAAGTGATCTTTGCAAATGTCCAATTTACTAACAGATCCCAATCACAATCAATTCCACCGTGCCACGGTCTATCAAAATTCTATCGCCTATCTGAGAAAGGCCTGGCAACTCAGGACACGATACCCAAAAACAAGAAGCAGCACCAGCACGTCTCACAGTATTATCGATCATCAGCCTCACTGTGTTGCCCTCTTTAAGGTCCGCATAACCCTGATTAAATTGAACAATTATATGGGTATACATTTTTTAACTATTAACGTCACTATGCTCAATAAACAAAATGGCCGTAGTCAAAATCAAAAAGATGAGTCAACCATGTTATTCTCATCCCCATTAAAAATTCCTGTACGAATTTCCGGTCCTCGAAGATCCATTGTTATTCCAACAGGATATGATTCGGTTGAGCATTTATCGATGCTCTGTTCGGCCTCTTTTATAGATTGCACTGTAATGGCGTGCCATTTTTCGTCCTTGTGAGACATATTTATTCGTAGCATATCGACACCTGCCGAAATTATATCCCTAATGCCGTTCGGATGTGAGTTATTGTCGCCTAGTGGGAATACAAGGGATCGCAATGGACTATCTGCTTGTCGTGTTATGGGTAATTATTTATGTTATCCATTATCATACTATACCCAATGTTATCATTAAGCCTGTGAGTCTACCAGGTCGAGGATTGCAATTGACATTCAGACGCATTTCGTGATCCATTCGTGTAGTTTGATAGGCTGCACCCAGTTGGCTTTCCGGAAGGAATTCATCTCCTAATCTCATTATCTATATTGGAATATGAAATAGCAAATATATCTTGATTTTAGTTGTACCTTGAGATACGTATAATAATGGTGCCATGACTGCTAATTGATTCTATTGGACATTTTGACTTGTAGGACAGTAGGAGTAATAATTTATCAAAAGTGCAATAAGAATTGTAGAGTTTGGGTTAACTTGTTTAATAATAAATAATGTATACATTTTGTGAGTCTATTTTTTGTTTATAATCTTCGGCTATGTATTGAATAGAAAAACGTATTATTTCTCTGTTTGAAAATATTAGCATCGTAAATGATTTCAATTCTATACCGGCCCTTTCCACGAATTCAATTAATTTTCGGTCACATAATTTCCAGCACCTAATACGCTATAATGCTTCGGTAATTGCTTTTCCATTGATGAATTAATATATGTATATATATGTGTAGGCGTAATACCCCTTCCGTGCTTGGTCAACGTGTTACAAGCAATTACATTTTTGGTATTAAAAAGAAAATTTGTACTTACCCATGGCATACGATGGCATTGTGATTTGGTGGTACTAACATTTTCAGAGGAGCACATAATTGCTGTTTTAATTATACGCCGATCAATTTCATGCGATTGAGAATTATTCGTCAACACGACTAATTTATATTAATTTTAAGGCGTTTCATTGTTTTATGAAAATCGGTTATAAACGTGACAATGGCGGCATACTGGAAATACAGGATGTAGCATATAGTATAGTTAAACTAGAAGTCCTAGTCGAGGGTTATTATCAGTTTTTACCGAAATGGATAAATGATTACAACGCGAACCGTAGAATTAATCATTTTTTTCTAGACCACTGACATCTACTCAACAGCTTAAAAAAACATTCAGAAAACAGTTTATCGTCTGAGAAAAGTAACTGGAGGGTCAGTCGTGTCCACATAGATGAAAACAGATGGCACTATTTTCTGTGTCCAAGCGAAACAAGTGGACGTCTTTCGAGGGAAAAAAATGATAAATGAACCGATGAAGAAATGTACGAGAAACTTGGATAATGAAAATTTCTCTATTTCTCATTAATGATTTATTTTCTCGAATGCTTGTAATTAGCTTCAACCAAATGTTATAGAATTCTGACAGATTGAAAAGCAAAGAATGGTTATAGTAAGACTTCATCTGCTGATGTTTTGAGTATATTTGTACGGGATAGGGATTCTTTTTAAGTACATAAATATCATATAATTCATGAAATTGTCTCACGATATTTTATTTGGAAATCTTTTATGTATTTTACAATGCATGTTTCTGCCTAGGTGTGCAGTGCACTCGTGTGTATTCAGTATCAACAGTAAGGTAATACTTGGTCTAATCTAGGAGAAAACAGCGTCACCAGTGACATAATGAAATAGCAATATCGTTGTAATATATAATGTTGATGTACGATTACACACATGTTGAAATATCACCAGACAGCTGATCCTTCATGTTTAAATCTATCCCCAGCTTCGTTCTTATGCTACACCAGACCAGCCGGCAATTCTTCAATCGACGGTCCTGAAAATCAAAAATAAGAATACAACCAAGTGGTTAGATAATTTTTATAGATTTGTAGAGGTTTTTTAACGGAAGTCACAATAACAAAAGAAATCTCAGCATAGAAATAGATTAAAGTATAACGTACTTCGTGCAATTAGACAAAATAACTATACTTGAAAAACAAAGATTTAAACCCAGCAGAACATCTAATCGTTATTCTGCGTACTATAACAAATAAATTTATGTTAACATAACTATAAGAGTATAAAAGTCAAATAATTGAACATGTATTATTTGTTACGTCAAATTCATTCATATAAAAGATCAGTCACAAATTTGCATTAGTGATATGTAAAACTATGTGACAGGCTATAGTAAACAACAAATTGATATAAAAATTTAAAAAATACTGTCATAAGAATCGGTGTCACTGTAAACAGAACAACGGGTTTCATCGTAGGAAAATTCCGGTTCTACGTACACAATACGAAGAGTATTCGTGAAACCGGAACCCTGCTTCCATCCAGTTACAACAACCACAGAGTCTCCAGTTTTCAAAAAGCCACGACTTTTTCCAAAGTTCAGACCAAACTGTACACGAACATCGACATCCTTCAGCCAATCAGGTAGAGCAGCCTCTGTAAAAAAAAAAGTAAGATATACATTATATCCATCTACTAGATAATAACAATAAAGACATATCAGAATTAAGATTACCGCCATAATGCAGTGGCAAAATTCCACGGTACAGATGCGCTTGACGCGCGACCTGGGCGAACCTGGTGACAGCAATAATTGGACAGCGTGGCCTATATTTAGAAATAAGATGGGCCGAGCGGCCGGAAGTAGTAATGACAATAATGGCAGTAGCAAGACACTTGGCAGATGCTTCAACTGAGGCAATAGCCACTGCATGAGTAGCGTCGATTGGTGGTATCGCCTTACTAGAAAGATCCGTAAAGATCTGGTTCTGCCAGATAGCTGCTTCAGCTTCCTTACAAATGTTTGCCATTGTGTGCACACATTCGAGAGGATAGTCGCCCTTAGCAGTCTCGCCTGTAAATTGCACAAGGTACATTGTAAAATTCTAAACACTATTTCTTAATTTTCCACGAATACTTGCTGAAGGTACACACCTGAGAGCATGACGCAGTCTGCGCCATCAAGGATGGCATTAGCCACATCAGATGTTTCAGCACGAGTAGCACGTGGCTTCTTTACCATAGACTCCAACATCTGTGTGGCACAGATAACAGGCTTGCCAACCTTGTTACACCTACTGATCATGCACTTCTGAGCGAGGAACACTTTTTCAGGTGGAATCTCAATACCAAGATCACCACGAGCGACCATGATACCATCAGAGGCTTCGATGATCTCATCAAGGTTGGTCATACCCTGCTGATTCTCAATCTTCGAAATGATTTTGATGTTCTTTCCCTTCTCGCCAAGGATACCGCGAATTTCGGTGAGAGCCTTGGCATCGCGGATGAACGATGCGAAGATCATATCGACTTCCTGGTCGACACCAAACTGCAAGTCAGACTTATCCTTCTCAGAGACAGCCGGCAAGTCGACAGGAACTCCAGGTAAATTAACACCCTTACGAGATCCTAGCATACCTCCATTTTCAACGGTGGTTGTAATCTGATTTGGGGCTGTACATCAAATCGCATCAGATCAATAATAGCTTAATACGTCACAATGACAAAATGTATAATTTGAACTTACCAACGGCCGTGACGACCAGAGATATAAGGCCATCATCAACAAAGACACGGTTGCCCACCTTGAGGACCTTGGAGATGTTTTCATAGTCCACAAAGACGGTAGAAGCGTTACCCTTCTCAGCGTAAACCTTGTCCGTGGAAAGTTTGAAGGTCTGGTTCTTCACCAATTCTACTTCAGCAGCACCGCCCTGTTCAATGAGTATATAATGTAGAATATAAATGGTGCGAGATACAAAAGTTAACAATGATTTATTTACAGAGTAAATACTATAATACTAAGTTAACGTACACCTTCCAGGAGACCAGTGCGGATTTCTGGACCTTTAGTGTCGAGAGCAATAGCCACGGGTACGTTGATACCACTGCGGTCGGAAAGATTCTTCTGGGCTTGTCTCACATTGGCAATCGTTTCCGCGTGATATTCATGGGAACCATGAGAGAAGTTCATTCTCGCAATATTCATTCCAGTCTCGATCATCTTCTCCAGGGTCTCAACGGATCGGGAAACTGGTCCGATGGTGCAGATGATGCCAGATAGACGTACGAAGGATGCACGAGACTCAATATCCAGTGCACACATGTGCTCCAAGTGGCTCTGCGCATTCAGAGCGCTGATGTTTGGTTTTCCAGCCATCTGCGACATTAATTAATACTTCTTAATAATTATAAACAATCATATTATTCACGTTACTACTGAACAGACAGACCTAATACGTAACAATGTGAAATTCGAAAGAAAATAATTTCGACAATTTTTATCCACGTCTGTCGTTTAATTTACAATATGTTTGACTAATTTCTAATTTAATGACGTGCATCATATCAATCAGTGTATCATACATGTCATGCACTATCATGCATACGTGCAACTGTACAGTGGTATAAAAATATTTTTCAAAACCAAGAATACCTTTTTACAGTATCACTTGGACTTGAACACAAAATTGCTCAGCAAAAAGTTAACAACTCGTTACTGCGATTTTCTGACTTGCAATAATGAGTTTTGTATATTCTACAAAGATCATTGATATAGAATGAGCGTTGATGAAAATTATTTATAATAAATCATGAAGACATTGTATATGAAGCAGATTGTACTTAATATCTAAACCCAAAATATTCATAATTTTTAGGAACGATGGATGATAACAGCTTGTATAAAATTCATTTCGTTATCAAGAGTCGGCAATCCATAACGGTTTTAACAATATCATCTTTATCACACTGACAGTTATATTAACAAAATACATTATGTACTGTGCTCCGACTGAGCAAGCTCAATACTCAATAAAATATTTCGATTGATGTCCTTCCAGGTGAAAATATACATGGATCAAATTCCTAAACAGTACTCAATGGAACACGCTCACAAATTATTACTACGTGCTTTATACCTTATTACACCAACAACAACAAAACTTTCGTTACGTCACACCAAACTACCTCACGCACGAATCTAAACAGCAGTAAAATGATATGTAAGTAAGTAAAAAAAATGTTCACGTTCTTCATGCATGTTACTGCTTCGTTACAGTTCAGCTATAAGAGAAAGAGCGACGAGACCGAACGACGTCAAGTTATTCTAACCTCAAATCAAAGTGAATTTCAGTTCGTATTTGTGGTAAAGTCATACAATAATATCCGCCTTTATTCCAACATCTCTTGACACAACTCTCACTAACGTGATTCTGACCTGCTCGAATTAAAGAAGTTGAATAGCGGATCGTCCGGTCTCCTCGCAACTGATTCGACTTTTCCGTTAGAGATAAACAAAAATCACGGGTGCCGAGCGTTAGTAAAAATAGCCTCTCACTATGGCGGTTAAGACAGCTTGGTACTATCGCACCCAAATCATTAAAAATAGCCTTGGCTGCGTTTCGTAAAAAGATGAAAGACGTGAGAGTACTTAAGAAATCAAATAAACGATAAACCACAATTGCAAAATGATGGAAGAAATGAGAATTACGTAAGAAAAAAAATGTAAAACGTCGATTCTCAATATTAACGTGATGGCGGTGAAAACTTGGAAAAAAAAGGAAAATGGGGTACAAGTATAATAAGCAACAAATAGCGTGAATCAAGGAGGTACCTTATCGTCGACAGTATTCCAGACCATTTTGGCGGGCTGCGTAAATAAAGGGGAAACACGGATTAATGCCGATTGTCTGCGTTCGAAACCTTTGTATTGATAGTATTGATTGTAATTATTGTTGGGGTACTGATGCTCGTGTACGATTGTTCTTGCGTGCACGAGCCGTCTATTTTTTGTACGAAAGACGAAGGGCGCGGGGCGCGGATAAAGCAGTTGCGAAAATGAGTTCCGAAGGAACGCATTCTGGCAAAGGAAGAGGACCTCGTCGCAGACTGTGGTGCCCACCGCAGGAGAACGCATCACAGTCTGGCACAGTTCCTTGAGAACGGCTGAGAAAACGTCTTCGACGACATCTTCGAGTTTACAGAGCAAAAATAACTGACTCGCTTGTAGGCTGCAAATAACGACGCGAACGACGCTCCCTTCAGGCTCATTTCGCGACCCTTAAGATATGTTGCCTATTGAAATTAGCGTAACAATTTGGCGGGTATTTCAAACTACCGTCACTGTCTCGTAGAATTATGTAAACTATACTTTTGGGTAAATATATAACAAAAACGTAATGGCTTAACATTTAAATCTATAAAACATATCAAGTTATTCAGATCTCACTTGACAGATACAGTTTTTTTTATGTTCGCTTATCGTCTCAAACTTATGAAAATCTTCTTAACAACGTTTTAAAGAAGAAATTACGATCGTAGAAATCAGTGCACATCAGATTTTGTTACTCAGACGAATTTCCTTCATCAATATTTTTCTTGTTATCATTCAAAAATATAAGGTATATGCTAGGGAAGGCAAAGTATCATAAACACGTCGAGCAGATGAACAAGGTTATCTGCAGCTGCCAATCAATAATATAGTTTTAATATCGCACATCATGTGGATCCGCGTTAAAGTTTTATTAACACTTCAGACGCCAATTTAAAAACGGTTAACTATTATCTTAAGTTTTAAATTATGAAAATGACGTTCTGTCATGAAATTGAAAATCGTCAAGTACTTTCAAGTATTTCAATATATTTTTTAATTAACATTGAATAATACAGAATGCCAAAACAATTTGAGATCAATTTACGTTAAATACGCGTTTGCGAAAAATGACTTATGATCACTCCATTAATTTAGTCTAAAAAAAGTTAGTATAACCTCGAAAGTAATTATTAGTTATATCCAAATACCTAGACATGCTGTAAATTATTTTTTAAACATACTATCAGCACGTAAACCGTATTAGTATGGTTCGAGAAACTGAAACCCACAGGAAAACAATACAAAACAGTTCCATATATATTTAATCGCTATAAAATCCCCAGTAAACGTACACATTTAAAAAATCTTAATATATCTCAACTTTGTGGTTAACGTAACTCGTAATTATAATTAAATACTCGGTGTGTACAAACATTTAACTGGTAGACGCAACAAGAACGAGGTAAACATTGTGGTATTAAATTGCATAACCAGTTCTGATAGTTCGTCGAATGACGACATTATCGGCACCATAGTATCTAATTTCGTGGTATATAATACAATATGAACGAGACTATAGTGTCTAATCAGAGACACGTCCATACAACACTATCACGGGTTATTCACGTGTCTCAACGTACTGTCTAAAGCTATGAAGTGCAGTTCATGACACGAATTTGAAATATACTTAAGTATGTATATCATAGTTAGTCTTTACAGAATTGAAGTGAAGGTCTTGGATAATTCGATTAAACAGTACCTGTATTTCTTACAAGAAACAACGGCGCTATGCCAATTGTATTTAAATAAATATAACTATTCCATACAGCCTTCATTTTCAAAATATATAAGAATTAGCAACTCTTGTATACAGATTATTCGGTGCTAATTAAAGATTTCGTAATGAGATTGTATAGTATCTCCTTTAATTAATCACGATATGAGAAGATGCAATGCCAAGGTTCCGGTTTGCTGTGGGCTCTTTGTTATTTCATTACCGTTTTTCAATCGATACTTTTATATAAGATGTACTTTAGAAGTACAGTTTTGATGCTGATCAATGTGTACTCGTATATTCCATACGAGGAGTCCACGTGTTCATCTAATAGCTGACTCTATAAAGATGCTAGAGAACTATCTATATATTAGACAGCATTGGTCCATCCGAACGGTAGACAAAAGTTTGTCCTAATTACTCCTAATCGGTAACCCGGTCAGCTTCTGTACCATTTGAGATATTGAATGCAAGCCTCTATAAAATCTCACCAACTTTTATGACAGTACCATAGATAAAAATGGAGTCTGTCAACCTGAGAATGACATTGTCAATTTTATAATATAGAATAATTGCTTTTTTCTTTACACCTATGCAATAATTTCACCTTCCTCTATTCAATGCCAGATCATTCAGCCGTGCAAGTTAGAACTAGATACTATTGAACGCTCTCAAGGTCTCACGTAATTATTACACAATTTTAGACCTAAGCCAAGTCCACCAGGTCTCAGAAGTTTGTTCATCTTGAATTTTGGGGATATCTACGTGTCCCCATTTTTCTATTACTTAGAATTACCTATGTGATCCAAACAGGTCTTAAAGTGTGCCTTCTGACATTGATGAACGTTCTTGGCATTACGCTAGGAGGAAATCTCGTGAAAAAATAATATTGTAGAATATTTACCTTGTTTGCACCGTAAAATAGAACAAATGGACAGAGAGGCAAAGAAAATCACTGTGAATAGGTCTGTAGTTTGTGACGAACTGACGTTCGAGGACGCAGAAGGTCACCACTCCCTACCGGAGAGGCAGAATCTACCGGCTTTATATTGTACACAACGCCCTCTACAACGAGCACTTCTTTACGATCGATATTTTTGCGTATGTTCTATGACAGAATATATCCCAAATATATTAGTCACTAAGCTTTGTCGAAATAAAGCAATTAACTACAAAGAAAAAGAAAAGAAAACATAGAGGAAGCACTCATGAGTTCCGTACAATTTGTATCATTTATATTTAAATCTTATTTCTCTGATTTCAGATTAATTACAGATTTAGAAGGATGATATTTGTCATTTCAATCTGTGTTCATGGTGGAAAAACTCATTGACTAATATTTGATATCACATGAAAACTGCGTAACGGAAATATGACGTGAGCAGAGAGCACGTGTTCTACATATTATTTTTGCGTTTTATCGGTAAAAGAACATTTACCCGCTGAGAAAATTTATCAGTTATCACGACCTCAATAAAATGGTTTCACGATATAATTTAGTGACGCTCTCTTCAATCTTGTGGCGTGATTCATTTTTCTGCATTTCAGAGCCTTCTTATCTAGCCATGACCTATAGATATACCTTCTCTTCCGTGCTGATAATAAATATAGTATTAAAATGTTCAGTAAAATCCTGCTCAATTATTATAATAACTGTTAGAATTATGTCATACAAGTGTCAACAATTACTTATTGACATCTGTCAATTGTATAACCTGACATCATCGACTGAAGGAATAGACTGAACATCTTATGGGATATGGCGTCACGCGTGCTTAGGTGTTGGGACACTTATGCTATATATAGAATATATTTCCTATATCAGAATCATGCAGCACAATATATACGGAAATGGAATCCAATTTCTGCACAGGCTAGTTGTACATACACGAATTAACTGTATAGAATTATTACGAGCAGATATGAGTCCCACTCATTACGAATATGTCTATTAACGGTCGCAAATGCGTAATCTATTTATCTTCAGTCGGGCAGACATTTTATCCGACAGTCCTTTCCAAGTCAACCGAGTAGCTACTTTAAGTGGTAGATGACACTACTCGCGTTGAGGTTATACCACAGAATTTTAGTTGAAAGCTGAAATACGTGTATGAAATAGTTTACTGATCTCTATAGATACATTTTCATTCTATTACAACTTTTATTCGACTCCTGTGGGAATATAGCTGGTCTCATGCGCGATCGTATGCACGCGAATGCTTAAAATAAATTCCGAAATTCACTTTCCAGTACTGCAAGCAATATTGTGTCTCACTCTTGCATGCAGTTAAACAAGAACACAATGATATTCGTAATATTGGCAATAAATTTCGAAATTTACCCTTAATCCACTTATTTTCAGTAACGGTGTCTAAAGTCACGTATTACGCGCAGATTGTAATAAAGTATTAGCTGTTGCAATTTTTTTATTTTGTCCGTGACTGATTTGGTATCGATGTAAAAGTATAAACTTTAATATGTACATAAACATTTTTCAAAGAGTGCAGAAAATGTAGGTAACGAAAACAGACTTAATAATTCATAAAAGTGTTCTAAATAGATAACACATTAATAGAATTTTCAAGAGTTTCACTATGTAAGAATATGTATTTTGAATTGTATAAGCGATTTAATAATTTAGACCACCAGATACAAATTCTGGAAATTTTAATAAATCTTTTGCAAGCTTAGAAAGATTTAGTAAATACCTCTGAATTGTCGGATCTAAGTATAGCCTTCATTTTAATGCAATGTCTTGCCCTTTTCAACACAGACTGACACTCAACAAACCAGTGAGCGGATCAATTGCTATCAAAAGATAAGTGTTAAGCTGCTCGTATATTATCCTAAGATATTTATTACCTCTATATACTTTTTTAAAACCTATAGTCGCAGGGTACTTAAATAAAATACAACCTGTACCCTATATTTATGTAACAATAAATAAAATAATTCTGAAGATTGCTCACACTAATTACACAAGTTTTTCTTAACACGAGATAAACTTTTCTCTTTCATTTTACGGGAAAAATAAAGATTAAAAACTGACACGACAACACTTTATTATGAAATAATTGTGGCTTATCAATCATGCTGTATCTCCCTCTGAAATATATACGTTACAAGCAATGACGTATGTATTATCAAGAACAGAATTGATTTAACACATGTTTCTTCATGTAAAACAGTTACCGATTAAATATATTAAATACATTTCTCAAAATTGAAAACGTTATATTCTATGGCAAATTTGAAAGTTCACTAATAATTTGTTAATAAGTATCCTTTAATCTATCTGATAATCTTTTCAAATATGTTTTCAAGTGAAAAAACGATATTATTACAGTTATAGGATATTGCCTAACAAACACACTTTTAGACATTGCAAAATTATAATGAGTATATAAAATCCAGTAAGATCCAGTACCGTCTCCGATAACGACGTATCGGGTCAGCCGCATAGTTATTATCTAACAATAAGATAAAACGTCGCGGGGGATATGTCTATAATAATAAAATGAAGATATTGACACATATATTAGTAGGATAAATTCTCAAAATATTCCACGGACAGAAAATTCCATTGTAGAATACCACACGGGTATTTATTAATTACAATTTACAACAATTTAATGCAATAATAAAATTATACAGATTATTAGGACATCTACATGCGAAATGAGTTCATAATTCGCGGTAGTCTTCCTATAGGCTGAATTCCGGTATATTTCTTCAGAAACAATTATTAACCATCCAATGAGCATTCGCTATTTTAATAATCGGCTGACGTGAGCCGGATATTCACTAGACCTTTGGTATCGGATAGTACTCCAGTATTTCGAACAGAACACATAATAAACAAGATTCTAGTTTTGTAGAAGACAATTCATGTGCGTCGTGTAAAAGTAACAAAGACAAATTTCTGACGGCTCGACATATTCGTACGAGTTGTTTGTATTTGAGAATTGACTGTGATCAAGGTAGACAAGAAGGAGAATTGGGAGTAACGTAGGGAGGGATTTTGATGCAATCAACATTTCTTGACGGAGAAGGGGAAAAATTATTTGCACAATCGTTCGGTCTCTCAGTAGCTTCGACGATAACAGTTGTACTCGACTTCTCCACATTTAGAAAATCTACTACCAAAAGCTGCTCAGCCATCGTTCCGTTATGACCGACCCGGCGAATACGAGTGTCATCAATTTTGGAGCTGGTCCAGCTAAAATTCCTCAGGAGGTACTTATATCAGTGATATATCGTACATATACATGTATTTCGTAAATTTATTATAAAAGTAAAGATATTCTTAATTGTTACTTCGCAATTAATTCCAGAAGTGTGAATTAAGTATTTTCAAAAATTAGCCTGTCACTGGTAAATTGGTAAAAAAATTATTGTATTACTTTCATTGAATATTAAATGTGACTGTTTACTGTTAATATAGTTATCAGAGACAATAAGAATTGTATATCGTTCTTATACAAGTTTTAGATAATTACACGCGCACGATGGTCACTAACGGTTTCTATGATAAAGTCATAATCACTAAGCGGTTCATTGCGTTGAATACATTATTTTCTTCAACGCCAATATAAGAGACAGTTGCAAATGAAAATGTCTAAATCTTCAGTTTATATTTAACTGTCTACACAGTCACTCGTTCAATCAATAACATTCAGATGCAAAACATAATATTTTTCTAAGAGGCGTGTAAATTTAAATTAAACCTGCCGCCTGACATTTTTCGCTTTTTGTTTTCTCTTTGAACATTCTGCCTTACAGTACGAATATTCTGATAAGAGCCGGTGTTGCCAGCTTTTCATAGTAATGTAAGTTACATTCTCTATATGGGTCAATAGAGTTCAATGAACTGATATCGATATATTGGCACTGATAGGTGTTTGCAATGGTCGTTACTGACGTGCAGCTTTCATTTACCTGTGCATTTTTAATATTTTCAGGTTCTGAAGAATGTGCAGCGTGAATTGCTTTCGTATGCGAATACGAAAATAAGTATTTTGGAATTGAGTCATCGGTCAAATGATTTCAAAAAAATTATTGATGACGCCCAAGCCAGTGTCCGTGACTTATTGTGAGTAGCTCCGATTGTAGATCGTTTATTTGTGTAATTTTTTCTAAAAATGTTAATTCATTTATTCACAATACTTTCTCCAGGAACATTCCTGACAATTATAAAGTTTTGTTTATGCAAGGAGGTGGAACTGGTCTGTTTGCTGCTGTGCCACTTAACTTGATGTACAAAAGTGGTACCGCCGATTATTTAGTTACTGGTAAGAATCGTTATTGCTTGTATGGTCAATTAGTAAATACTGATTTATTTAACTCATTCATTTTTAGGATCCTGGTCAGCTAAAGCAGCTAAAGAAGCAGGGAAATACGGCAAAGTAAATTTAGTGCTGCCAAAACAATCCAAGTACACTGAAATTCCTGATCCATCAACTTGGAATCTGGATCCTAATGCTGCGTACGTTTATTATTGTGATAATGAAACAGTCCACGGTAAGATTATATTGAGATGATCAAAGTTGTGTAATATGATTATGAAATCTAATGGGTTTGATGATGAATATTAATTTTTGTATTTAGGTGTTGAATTCAATTACATCCCAGAGACAAATGGAGTTCCTCTTGTTGCTGATATGTCCTCTAACATACTGTCTAGGCCATTTGATATTTCCAAGGTAATTAAAATTACTATCTTCTCTTATATCTTAATCTATCAATGTTATCTTAGTTCGCAGTAATATTTGCCGGAGCGCAGAAAAACATTGGACCGGCTGGCGTAACTTTGGTGATTGTACGAGATGACGTTCTTGGTAATGCAATGTCTGTTTGTCCGACGATTTTTGATTTTTCAGTTATGGCTAATGACAATTCCGTACATAATACTCCTCCTACATTCCAGTAAGTATGTACATGATTCTTGATAAGACTTATTATTGCTTATCAGTTCAAGTCAGTATTTAAGTATGAGGTTGTTTGATTATCCATGAAATTTTGTGTTATAAATTTTAGAATATACGTAATGGGACGTGTTTTTGATTGGATCAAACGTAATGGAGGTGTGGAAGGAATGGAAAAGTTAGCCAATCTCAAGAGTAAAGTAATATATGATATTATTGAGGAATCAAAGGGTTTTTATACCTGTCCTGTTAGACGAGATGTTCGTAGCCGAATGAATATACCATTCAGAATAGGAAATAATGACGAAGAACTTGAGCAGGAGTTCCTTTCTGGAGCAGTCGCACGTGGCATGCTTCAGCTCAAGGGTCACAGGTAAATATTAATTTATTTTATATTTTAGATATGCTTATGAAACAAATTATGATTCAACTTCTTAGAGTTGAGAGAGTTACAAAGCTTTGCGATATTTAAGTAAAACTACACATTTGATTAGATCTGTCGGCGGAATCCGGGCATCTTTGTATAACGCCGTGACAGAAGAGGATACCCAAACTTTGGCCAGCTATATGAGATGGTTCTACCAAGTTCATCGTGAATAAATAAAGAAGATGAGAAATGTAAATAATCTTCATTTTGCAGGAGAAATTATTTTTTTAAATTCGGTAAATGCCTTTTGTAACGTGTTTTGTATGGACAGATATTCAAATGACGTGGAAATATATCTCCTTTACCAATAAAAATTTAATAAATTTTGTTGTATAAAACTTATACAGTTTAGTGAAATATCTTTTCTACTCACAGCTTGGACAGATTTTGCTCAATTATAACTATTTCTCATTTGGCTCAGTACATTTCTGGCAATTTTCTAGATTAGATTGGAATGAAACAAATGATTCAGATTCCTCTTGGTCACAAGAGGTTTCCGATTTTTCTGATTCATTAACACTTGCTGATCTAATATTGTATTTGTTAGTACAATCGCATTTATCCTTGGCTTCTTTTAATCTTTGGACAAATATCATGTCCAATGCTTTTTCTAATTTAGGATTAGTCCCTTGACATCCACTTATAACTTGTTTAGCCCACTGCAAAAATAAAAAGTTGACTGTAATTCTACTTAGACATCATAGAATTATGATTTAACAACATCAAAATTACCTTGAAATATTCTCTGACTCTTACTTCTGTCCAACCAACAGGTGTTGAGCTGAGAAGATCTCTTAAGTTATATATTTTATCGGCCAATGTAACCAGTTTAGCTTCATGACTTTTATTTGGTGTATTTTTTATTTGAAGTAATTTGCGTTCATGCTTTTCTAATTTCTTATCATCAGTGACTTCTCTTACAATTCTACTCACAGTAGGACCAAATTCTTGTTCAATTTCTTCAAAAGTGGTATTTGTATCTTCTACAGTATCATGCAATATAGCTGCCAAGATCACCGCAGGGTCATATACATCACCTTCTTGGATTAAAATATTAGCTACACCTGAAAATGTATTGTGCAATAATTTGTCAAGGTATCCGTGATTAAAACAAATGGATTGTACGATAAGTAAATTGAAATAGTTATCGTCAATGCACCTATTGGATGATTTATATATGGAGTTTGGTCCATATCCTTCCTTCTCTGCTTACTATGTTTTATAGCCGCAAAATTCACACATTTTAAAACAACAGATAATAAATCTTCATTTGGCAGTGCTTTATTAGAGGTTCCACATGAGTCAACAAAACGAAATGGGTCATCATGTTCCTTAATGGGTGCATTTGTAGGAACATCCAACACTTTATCTTGCATCATGCTCAAAAAGGTGCTTTTCTCAACAGGAAACTCCATACCTTATTTAAAAAAGAAGCATTGAAAATAATAACCTAAAAATTCGTTGTCTGTTGCTTAAATGAACCATAAACTATATAATTTTCTTAAGAAAACAACTGTTCTCTTTTTCAGGAAATGATTGATTTAAGACATGTTTCTATGAGAAACTACAAGGTTTTTTTTTCCAATTTGATTTAATTTGGAATTTCTTATGACAAATAAAATTAGATAAAAATAAAAAGATATATTAATGACAGGGTGTATAATAATGTGAATTGGATTGGAAATGTTTGTACAGAATTTTATTAAATTAGTACATGCTAGTTGATGTATGTACCCTATTCGTTTATGTTGGATGAATTTTTAGCTATGCTTTGAATTTGCTTGCTAAGATATTTTACTCGCGTCACTAGTTTGTCCTTTGGATTATATTCAGTAAATGGTACAACCAGGACTTTGTATCCTTTAGCTTCCAAAAGTTTGCTGTACAAAAATGCTATTCCTAATGGGTCCTGTCTCCCTCTACAAAAATCGTGATAATATCGGGGCAGCACTGCTATCCTAATGAACAATTACACATATCATTATAACTTTTCAAAGTTAATATCTGTACAAATTTAATCAATGTCTAAATTCTTTCTGCATATATACCTGTTTGCATCATGGTTGACAGAAGCTTTTTCAATAGACACAGGATTACATTTGCTGTCCACAAAAAACTCAGCATCTTAAATATAAATCAACAAAACTATTAGCTCACGTTGGAATAATATATATTCTTTTCTTAATATGTTTCCAGTAAATTTACCTAATGTGAAGCCCATGCCTGTATTGACGTTTAAATTTAAAAATGATGCGGATGGTAATAAACTAAAAAGCGTGTCTGTTATAGCCTTAGTGAATTCTTGCCTCTCTTTTGACTTCTCGAGAATCACATTAAAAATTTCTGAATTTTCGTCTAGCAGAAAACCTGAAAATATTTGTTATTCCTTGTAACATTGATTGTGTAAATGATATTTAGAATTTAACATACTACAAAAGTATCATGTGATATACCTTTGTAATTACTCAAAAGGAACTGAGCTGCTGCATTTATATTTAAAAGTTTCAACTGCTTAGCCACGTTCAGACACGATGCATCTACAATTTTTTATAACATCAGAATACAAATATAAAGCATTACAATTAATTGACTACGCAGATTAAACTTACCAGACAATTTTGTTATAAACTGTTTATCCAAAACTGAGGAAACTTGTTCAGTTGTTGCTTGATTCAAAACTACCAAAGACCAGACAACATCAAGCCAATCTAAACTACTTGGCATATCAGATTCTTTCAACGAATTCGTTACTTTCTGAATAAAGATTTTTTTATATGACATATAAGTATAACAGGAATTTCGTATTAATAAATAGGCCTTAAATTATATTCATAAATATAGAATCATACCTGAAACAAAGTATCTGCATTTGAAGGACTGTAACCCACCGTTGCCAGTGTCAATAAAAAGGCACAGAGATCTTGTGGCCTCATGCCTTCTGAGTGGATGTCGATCCAGTCTGATAGAGTATCTAAAAGAGGTTGATCCTTGTAACGTAACAGTCCTAGAGATGTTAGAATAGACCCTATCACAGGACTCTTATCGGTTCTTGGTACAGTCTCCAAGAGGCCAGATGATATTTTTTGCATTAGAACCTGTGAAAGTATTGTTAAGTGATGAATAACATTAATGAAGGACAGTTTCAAGATTGTCATAATGTAAAGAATAATTTGTATGAGATCTTCCTGTTACATTACCTCATCTGGGAAACTTAGAATTGCCATGCTGTAGAGTAAATCAGCTGACTGTTTAATCGTAAGTGTTGAAGAAACACGACTAATATTATATGCTAGAGATCTCAATAATGGTATGGGTCTTCGCTTCTTCTGAGCTAGCGCAGTCATAACCTTCGTATGTAAATTGAATGTAATTAAATATATTTATTGTATTATATATAAATATAATTATAAGAACCTTTATCATTTCAGGTAAAGAAATATCAGAGACTTTCTTTGTAGCCTCATTAACTTCTGTCAATCCAAAGAAGGTAGCCAATTCATCAATACTATGCTGACGCCTTGCTTCATTTTTTGCAGGATGTTTCTTATTTACATTGCCTATTAGCTGGCATAAGTTTAAAAATCGCTTATCCATTTCAAATTCAGATAATTGAACTTTTCCATGGTTTGACCACTCCATAAGAGTAGAAACGATTTTGAAGGCATTCTCTCGTGTGATGTTCCTTTGATTTGCAATCTTCAGTAATTCATTAACAGTTGTGGTTGATGTAATGATTAAAGTATCATTTTGTTGTGAATCTTTGACTTGATCCGTGTTCTTCAATGATTTAAACACTGCTTGTACCAATGGATTTTTAGGCATGTTATTTTTTTTGATAACACTAACATGTTTTACAGTAGGCTCCTGTGCCTCCTATAATAAAATATTCAATATACTCACATTTATTAGTACTCATCGCAGAAAGTTGACATCCTAACAGAATGGAGAACTTACTTTGGAGGCTGTGGTTGCTGGAATGGCGGCAGCTGAACTAGCTGCCAATAACTGTTGAACAGTAATTCTCCAAATTGGTCGAGGACAAAACCTCACCGTTCCATTGCATAAAGCACCGCTAAACTGCAGCATTGCCATCAACCTGCAGAAATTTATTTATATAACAGAAGGGTTGGGACATACAAGATATTCACTGACAAGTAATAGGAACCCAAGAAAATGATTTAAAAAGATTAATCAACGAAACTTACACTATTTATATAATACTTTAAACTGTATGGTCAATTTTTAATTACAATATTTTTATAATTTTTCGGTATTTTAATAATACATGATTAGGTTAAACAGACCTATGCATTTGTCCATTGGTCAAGAATTCTACTAGATCGTGAAGTCAGAATTATTTTTGCTAGATGTACACTTTGCTCTTCTTTATCGACAATTTTCATAGAAGACTTGCAGTTATAGCAGTAAACTACTTTACGATTACATTTAGCACTAATCTTGATAAATCGACATGAATGCAGCAAGAGCCATTAAAATAAAAAATAAAAATAATAGCTATATTCATCTTACCATCATGAATTCACGTTGGAAAAACGGGCACAAACATTAGCATTATTTTGTAGAGGTCTTTCTTCTTATAAATGATTAGCATAAAATTTGAGAATGTATACCACAGATGGAAATTTTAGAGATTAAATCAATCAATATTATAATAATATTTCTACATTCTACGCCCAATCCTGTGATATTTAAGCAACTGCTTCAGTTGTAGGAACATATATTTCAAACTCATGTTATTTGTCTTTTGAATGACTTTGATTAAACATTCTATAACGACTCTTATTAGCTTGGCACATCTCATTGGAGGAGGCAGCTATAAGGAAAGAAAAGAAATATCCTCATTAGCTGCGAGACTATGTGATTACCTGAGCAGAGATAATCAGGAAAAGATATAAGAATAATAAAATGACAATTTAGTAAAATTATAATATCTGCATTTTCATGTCTTCATAAATCCTTATGCATAGTTGAGAACTCGGTAGAGATACATAAGGCTACGTCGCAGTATCAACCAGTAACGACGGTTTTTCGCAGTTTGCCGTACGCGTAATGATCCTGTTTCTTTGTTCCATGAATCTCTGGTAAATATATATATATATATATATATATATATATATATATTATTAATTAGTTAGTTAGTACTTAATTATTAATTTAGTTAGTTCGTTAAGTAAAACTTTTAATAATAAACAAGTAGTTTTAATTATCCCCATTGGAAACATTCTGTGGAATTCAGTCTTTTGTATTCCCGCGATACCCCAGGATACCGTCGGACTCGTGACAACTGGTGACAACGAATTTCGTGATTGATAAAACGTATGGAACAAAGTAAAGTTTGAATTTCATAAACACATCCCGCTTTGGTCATATGTATATGTAATACAAAGGACAAACACCGTTTAATCCAGTTTAATCCATCTTCAACGGTAAGATACTTAAAATAATATTAATTTCCCATTATCTTTCGTTATTTATTCTTAACCTTGTCAATTAAAATGTAAATCACAATTTGAATTCCCAGATTATAATTGGGCGTTGACAGTTACTTAGTTTAGGATAAAGGCCTGCTTAGGCAGTAGTTGTCAATTAAAGAATATTTTGACGAGAAGTCCTATGGTTTTGATATTTATATTTATCATTAAATGTTGTGGGCGAATTAAATGAAAATTGTACGATATGTATAGTGGAATGGAATTAAATAGACTTGGAAGGTAAGATTGAAATGTTTATAAAACATGCCATTTTAATACAGCACTATTATAATACAATTCGAATATATAAATAGCGTTTAAAATATAAATTTACAAATGCAACGTAAAACATGTAAAAGTTGAAAACAGGTATAAGCAAAAAATTTACGAGTTAAATGAAGACTACATGGATAATTCTCATAAATATACTAGCATAGGTAGTATAATGTTAAAACAGGCAAGTTTCCCATGCCTCATTACATCATTTGCACAACAGGTTTATAATTTCAAGTTCTTTCAATATATTTTTTAAGCATAATTATCATATAAATGCTTTTAGAGGACACTGCGAAAATTAAAAGTAAATATAATCAAATGTCACATTTCCGCAATGCACAACTTCCACGTTACATCAGTTTTAACGTATCATGTTTTACATGTAAAGCTTCTTGTATCATGTAATAATATATGTACGTAGCCAAGGTAAGTAGATCACAACGCTTCACTACCTGTAACAAAGTCTTACGCTGTATCTCTTTTTTTTTAAATAGCTTATTTGTTAGATAGCTTATTTAATTAAAAAATTACCATTTATCATCTGTACCTGATGTGTACATGTAATCTTTGGAGATGTACCAACTAATATAGAATCTCCTATGTATTGCTAGCTGGAGATGATTTTGCCTTGCTACTATCTGCAACACTTGTCCCTGTCAAAGATGTCTGATCTTTTGTTTTGTCGACTGTAGCTATTGAATTATTACTATTGCTTTCACCAACTTTCTCTTGCGAGGTGGATTCTTCTTGTTCAGTGAATGGCATTTCTAAGGAATCTGAGGAAATTCTTCTCATATTGTTAAACTGATCTGCAGCATCAAAATGTGCTTCTTTTACATCTCGGACATTATTCAATGAGTCTGAACTCAATGACGGATAGTCCAGAGTTGTCTTCATCTCTAGAGAATCGGAACTTCTGCAAAGTGGATGATGCTTCTTCTCAGGATTTTCTTCTAATTCCAAAGAGTCTGTACTAGTTTCCATAATATTTGCTTCTTTTGAAGTTTGAGCATTATCAATTTCCAATGGAACAGTTGCAGCAGCTGATCCAATTTTTTCCACATCTGTTATCTCAATCTGAGAAATATCTTCAGTAGTATCATCCTGTCTATCGAACTTCTCTACGTTAGCTTGAGCGATACGTATTATTTCATCTATTTCCTTTATCCTCTTCTCGTAGTCATCAGAACCGGATGTGCTGGGATTAATAGAACCAGGTGCACTACTCTCAGCTCGTGCTCGCAGTAAGCTTTCCAGCTTGTATCTATTTTCTGGACTTTCATGATCCAATAAATCCTCCTCTTCTCGTGCTTTCAATTCAGCTTTATGAGCTTCCTTACATGCGTATTCTAATCCTTCAAAGTCTTTGAGTGACGACAAAGAAATATCATCACCATGTCCAGATTTACCAGTAACATACCTTCTAGGTAAGCTCCCATTGTTGATAGAATCTTGAGAGCCGCATTGCAACTTCTTGGCATTCTCAAGTGCTACTGCACTTTCTAAATGTTCAAATTCTTGCAGTGAACTCAAAGAAATATTATCGTGATCGGATGGTTTCACCAGATATTTCCGACCAGCCAGGACATCATAATCCGGTGTACTTCCTAAACTGCCACGCATACTTCCTACACTACCAATGGATTCCTTGTGACTTCCTAGACTTCCAAATCTGCTGCTGCCAGCTTCAAAATCGGTTATTTCCTCCTCCTTAATGTCCTCCAGTGGTCCACGATCATATTCAATGTCATAAGCTCGAGGATCATTATGGAATTGCATTTCAATCCACTTCTTGCCTTCGTACTGTTCTTCATCAGAATACGACTGAGAATATTGATCATCATTCGAAGCTTGCGGAGGGCTTTCCTCAGATTCGAAATCGAATAGATCGTTATTTCTGGAAGCTTGACTAGTAGATACTTGCGAGTCATCTTTATTCTCTGTTATTAAATTTTCAAGATCACGGTCGTAATTCTTGCTCGTAGTATAAGAGAGAGCACTGATCTGTATACTCTTTCCTTCAGAGTCAAATTCTTCAGCTTCTTTTCCAACCTCTTCAATGACGACAAAATCATCAATTATGTCAGGTTTATCGACAAGCTCAAAAGAATCACTGTCTGGCGAATGTCGGTCTGACTTTTCTTTCTCGATTACAGTTTCCATAGACATTCCTGAGGTGGATGACGTAGACATGCTCGCTTGTTGGATTATTGATAACATAGATGATTGTAATCCTTCAGCAGCATCCTCAATACTATCGCCGATACTACTCAGCTTTGGTTCCAGAGAATCTGCATCCATTGAAATTGCTTCTGTCTTTACAACTTCTTGTTTAGTCATGACAGAGGCTGAAACATCTTCTTGTACTACCGTCGCTTCTTCCTTGGAGATGACTTGGGTGCACACACTTTGTACTCCATCCTCGATAACCCGTGATGTCATTATGTCGACTGACTGAAGTACTCCGGGGGGTTGAGCCAATGTGGACGTTGAGGAATCACTAAACTTATGTTCTTGGGTCATTGATTGTTCTTCTGATTCAACAGGAGCAGGTTCACCATTGTCATCAAGGATTTGTTGGAATATCATCTCTGAGGATCTCTTCATTCTACAAGGCATCTCACTGGGTGCCTTGCTACAATGCTCATTTACTGGTGATTCATCTATTGGAGAATCTGAAGTTTTAGATGCACTGACTACATTCGTCATTAGATCATCATCCAATGCAGTCTCCAGATTTTCATCAATTACATCTTTATCGATGTCGGCTTCGGATGCTACAAGAGTCTCAGACAGTTCACTAGTACTATCTATACTTCCAAGATGACCAGAACTCAAGGAGTTCAGCGACTTAATAGATTCGCGAGAACTTAAGGAACTTACAGCTGTATGATAATCCTGGGATGTTGGTCGTGATCCTGAGGAGTGTTCAATAGACATAAGAGCTGTCTCATACTCGGAGACAGTACCTGAAGGTATACAGGACTGAAGAGCATCGATGTCTGATGAACTAGGTCTGCTGCCACTTCCAATTTCATAGTCACAGGAATGGTAATTACTACTTTCACCGGAACTTGAACCCAGTTCACCTTCGCTTTCCGACGTAACTTTCTTTGAAGCTCTGGCTGGCTTGTGTCTTCTTCTTGGAGCTGGTTGCGGCGGTATCAAGGAGAAGCTATCATCTTTATTGTCCACGTCTGAACTTGATCTACTTGCTGGAACAGGGACAGGCTGCGTTTCATCAAGTTGCTCTGCTACTTTAGTATGGACGGCAATTTGAGTTTCAGTTTTAATTTCAGACTTATCGATTTCAGTCGTTAAGGTAGTTTCTTCTTTCTTTTCAGTTTTTTCAAATTGTTCCATTTTACTAGGTTCTTGAATAATCTCTGATACCTTTGGAGTATCCCTCGTTTCTATGGACTCGACTTGGACTCGTGGCTTTGCTACTGGGGATCCTGTGGATGGTTCTGCGTCACTGACTTGCTCGACCGATGGAGCTTTGTAAAGAAAAGGTAGATCGTTTGGTATTGATTCTGGTTGTAATTTAAATTGAAATTCTGATGGTGAATCTTTTATTTGAAAAACTGTCTCGTTGTTCTCCGTTAATTCTTCAATGAGGTCTTGTTGAGCTGCTTCCAGGGACTCCTTGACCTCAGCAATTTCCTTCTTGACTACTTGATCTAAGACAGTGATGGCGTATCTTGCACTTAAATCGACACTTCGCGTGTCTTCTTTTTTCATTTTGAAGGCACTGATATGAGGAGGTATAGGAGCGTGTCCCAATCTCTCAGGTTTTTCAATTGTTTTATCTCCATGCTTCTTTGAATCGTCATGCGAGCTCTTTGAAGCCGTACAAGTGTCCCTATCCTTTGATTTTGTTTTGCTTTTTATTTTGTCTACTGACTTTTCAATTTCTTTTACGACTCTTTCGGGCTTTACTTCAGGCTCCACGTGACACTCCGTATCATCTTTCTCTTTTTCTTCGATTTTCATTTCCCCGCTTGTCTTCAATGTCTCTTTCTCTTTACTTGAGTGCAATTCCATTTCTGAATTATCCGCTTTGTAATACTCGGGATTACGTACTGATGAATCCGATGTTGTAATCTCATGCAATGAATCTTTTTCTGGAACGTTGTCGTCCCTCTTTTCTTTTTTGTGTTCCTTCATTAATTTTTCCGATTCATCCGTAATGTCAGTTGTCATTTCCATTTCTTCCTCTGCGGCTTCAGTGGATTCTTTGTCTTCTACCTCATCGTATTTCTCCATTACTGTCTCTGACGTAGTAACTTCAGCTTGTAACTTTTCCTGTACTTCTTCAAGTTTTTCATGCTCATCCATTCCGTAACCTTCGGTAGGAGTCTTGGCGTCGTATTCTCTTTGCAAAGTGTCCATCAGTTCTTGGCAACTGGTATCAAGTTTATTCTCTACCAATTCATTTTCAAGTTCTTGATCACTCACTGGTATAACAGTGAATTTCGTTGCTCGTCCCGAGTGCGTCTTATAGATTTCAGTTACCGTCGCCTCCTTTACAGAATCCACTGCACTAAGATCCCCAGATGATTTTGTGATAGATCCTTCTGGTTCTGTAAATTCCAGTGACTCATCTTTCTGCGAACCAAAACTTTGCATTTTTCTTGATTGATACTCGTCCAGTTCCTTGTCGAAGGCCTGCGAAGGTTGCAAGGTTTCTGATATTTCAATCTTCTCATCACCGATCATCCAGTTCACTGGTTTTATTTCCAAAACCTTGGCCTTCGCCCTTGGAGAAATTAATGGTGGACTCTCCATCTCAAAACTGTCACTTCTTCGCATTCCAGTTTCAAATTCTTTAGCTCCTGCCGATGCCGACCTTTCATGGGGCAGAGAATAATCAGTGTCAGTCTGTTCGGAAACCGTGCTTGGACTTACAGTTATGTCACGGTCGTGACCGATCCTCTCTAAGGAGTGAACTGCAGCGCTTTCATGTAGCGACGAAACTTTCTCATTTGAGGATTGCTCGTAAGAAGTGCCAGAAGAATCCTTAGGTTGCTCGTAACTTCTTTGTTCGTCCATTTCTAAAGATGGCACATCCATGGAGTCTTGACGAAGCTCCTCCTTGACCTCTGGTTCCAGGATCTCTAGAACTCTGGCACCGGAATGTTCATACGATGAAGCTTTTCGAAGTAACATTTTCCTCGTGGACTCTGTCGGAGGCGCTTCATCCTTTTTTTCAGCAGAGTCCAGTCCTACAAACTTTGGAATGTCCTCCAACTCATTCGATTCAACCTCCAGTGATTCTTCTAATTCAATGTGTTCAGACATACTGCTAGGACTCATAGTGATATCACGGTCCTGTAATCTGGTTTGAGATGACGAGAACGGTAAACTGTCATCCTTTTCTTGTGGCGATGACTCCTCGTCCTTTGTCAAATCTTCACTGATACTTATACTATCGCGTGTGGATTCCTTCTCGAATAAGTCCTCCGACTTGCCAGAAACTGACTTCAGACGTTCCGTAACTCCATGTTCTGTTCCGTAACTCGTTACATTCGTTTGAAAAGTCCCACTCCTTTGCATTATACTTTCAAACTGTTTAGTCAAATCATCGGCCAGCTCTTCGTCATCGAAATCGTAGTTTTTAGTCATCGATTTTTTCACTTCACTTTCGTATCCTTCCTCGGCTTTCTCACTTGCAGTAGCTTCCGGCGCTATGACACGGTTTTCTATTTCCGTTTCTATCGACTGTATTATAGTTTCAGCAATATTACGAGCCTCGTATTCCTTAACTGTCTTCTGATGCTTCTCTTCCAAAGTTTCAGGAACCTCCGTCGATAAGTCAGCTAAATCTTCCTGAGTCCTCGTACCAGCAGTACCTGTGGCAGAGTCCTTAGGGATTACAGTGGTAACGTGGTACTCCTTAATCCGGACGCCTCTGGAATCTTCTTGGAGCATTTCCTCCTGCACTATGGCCTCGCGTACAGCCTTCCTCACGTCTGCGATTCGTGCCAAAATTTCATCGGATTGTTTCACATTACCCAAACCTTTCTCAGCCTCTTTTAGATCCTTTTCGATTTTGAACGACACGCCGACGTCCTTTTCTTTGACTCTACTCATTCCCGACTCTTCCATCGCTATTCCGTCTTTGTCCTCGAGTGACTTGAATCGTTGCTCCTCGCGACTTTCCATACCGGACTGGGTTGCGGATGCGTCGATTATCTCTTTTCCATCTCTGAATTGCACCGAGGTCTTCTGCACTCCTCTACTGTCAGATTCTTTGACCCTCTTCTCCTTCTCCTCTATTGTTTCCGTTGGCGATTCCTTTGTCAACGTTTTCTCAGACGTTTTTCTCTTCTCCACGTGTTCCTTCTCTTCGTGGACGATTATCTTATCAGCGCCTGACGTTACTTCGGAGGAGATCACTTCCTTTGCCTCCATTCGACTTGAAGCCTTGTGATCGACCTTCGAGGTCATCGTTTCAAAATCACTTGGTCTCTTTGTTGCACTCATCCCTTCGAAGACTCTGAACGCCTCTCTGGGATCTACGGCAGTGAAAGTTTTTGAGTATGTTTGGGATTCGCTCTTCGAAGTATGTTCGTACTGCTGGGATGACGTGACCTCTTCTGTTCTTTTGGTTTCTGTGACACTACGAGTTTCGAATTCTTTCTTCGGAAGATCTTTCTTTGCGTCCTTATCGGATGCTGCGGCCGGGGACACGTCGTGTATACGTTTCGGAATACGGGATTCAAATTCTTTACGTTTTTCAGAAACGGAGGACGCTTCCTGTTTTTCAGTTTTTAAATCGTCCTTCGTCTCTTCTGACTTCGGCGATAGTTTTTGATCAGATCTTTTTGCCTCTGATGGTAATGGAATTTTTGTTGCTGGTTCGTCCTTTATTTTTTGAGTTCTATCCTTTTCCGCCTTTGCTGCCGATATCGGTATACGAGATTCGAATTCCTTTTTCACTTGTTTCTCTTCGTCCAGGTGCATCTCCATCGTTCCTTTTTCTACCGTGCTAGACATTTCTTTACTTTCGAATGTCATGCCATCTTTAGGTATGAGCTCTTCGAGGTTATGTCGCGCTTCAAATTCTTTGAATAATCTTCTCTCGTCTCCCTCGACTATTGATGATTCCCTCATTTCCGTTTTCTCAAGTATTTCTGATTTTAATTTCGACGCAGTGGATGTTACGGTTTTTTCATCTTTACACGTCTTGTCCTTCGGTTCCTTCAATTCTTTGTCTTCTACTATATTCTGCTCCATGTTCGTATCAGAACTAAGTTGACGTTCGAAATCTCGTCGAATCTGTTTTTCCTTCGCTTCTGCGGACGAGAATATCTTAGCGTCCATTTCGGATTTTTTCGTTTCTTCAATTGCATGCTCTTTCCGCAACTTGTTGTCGTCCTCCATTTTTATATTCATCTCTGACAATTTTTCTGATAAGACATCCATTTGCTTTGAGTCAACGTCTGCCCTCTCCGCCATAGATTCTTTGACGTCCCTTTTGAATTCAACTGTGATCTCAGATTGGAATGTATCAACTTTTTGCTGAATGTCATCAACGTGCTTTGACATCTGATCCGTTGATACGTCCTTTACTTTAATTTCCTTTAATCTCTCTTTCTCGACGTCTTGGCTAAATTTCCTCTCATGCATAATCATCTCTTTGCAAAAGCTAATGGAGGATGAAACGTCCTTTATTCTTTCAAAAATCTCTTCTTCTCTGACCCACTCTTCGGCTTTCTTCGTCGAAGCGTCCTCTTTGATTGGTTCTTTTCCACTTTCGGCTTTCTTCGTTTCCTTTATCCTTTCCTCAAAATCTTTTTCCTCAATTTCTTTTTTCTCAACCTCTTTTCTCTCAATTTCTTTTTCCTCAGCTTCTTGGCTCTTGGATTTTATATTCATTTTTTCAAATACCACCTCTCTGTCTTCCTTCGGTGTTGCTTTTTTATGCATTTTCTCGAACACTACAGGACGTTCAGCTCCTTCCTCAATACGTTCTTTGATCTTCTCTAGAGTTTCCATCTCAGCTATATCTTGGCCAGCTCGCTTGCGTTCCTCCATTAACATATCCCTGCAAACGCCAATAATCTCTTTGGTAACAGGAATCTCTTTTTCTCCGTGAACAATAATTTGATCCTCCTTCGATATCTGTTCCGTGACCTTCTTACTCGTATCAGCAAGAACCTCCTTACTATCGATTTGACTTTGTCCAGCAGTACTAGAAGTCTTACGATCCTCCGATTGCCCAACAGTAGAATCTTCACTCGTATCATCAACAGTCTTCTCCCGTTTGATAAAATCTTTGGAAATCTCAATAATATCTGTTTTATTCAAAATGGCCGAATCGAACGTCTGCCCCATAAATTTCTCTTCTCCAACAAACCTAACAGTTTCCCCCCTCACGGATTCTTCTTTCAACGTCTTTCGAATGTCTTCGCTTCTAATCTCTTGGGTCCTCTTAGAGAGCACAGCCTCTTCCCTAAATTCTTCTCTCTCCTCTATCCCCAATCTTTCAATTCTCTCCACTTCTTGACTGTACGTCGCCCCCGTATTAAGCACTTCCTCTCCAGGCTGTTGCGCAGCTTCTTCAGCTGCTTCATCCGCCTTGGAATCTTTGACCGATTTATCCTTCTCTCTTATAGAGTCCTGACTCTGCAATTTTGGTGCCATCCTCGCAAGGGTCATCTCCCTCTGTATCTGTTCTTCAAAGTAGTGAGCCTTTTCCGCCACGGAACACTCCGATATGTCCGGGATGTTCATATCTTCCATTGTCTCGGATCTACCCGAGATAGCTTCGGTATCTTCTTCCGATACGACGTTCTGCATGCACTCGCTGTCACTCTCGTTGATTGTTAATTGGGACGTCCTGGAGACCTCGGATTCGGAACGCTGATAACTATCCCGTTTCCTGGTAATATCCTCCCAAAACTTCCTCTTCTCGGAGTACGTCTGCTTCTCGTTTATTGGTGATTTGTCGTCGTATCCTTCGGCGCTCCCTATCTTATTGAGATAACTAGCATCTACGGATTCAAGGGGACAAGAAGCCGCTTTTTGTGCAAGGAATTCGTGGATAGTGGCGGCATCTAGAACAACCAAGAATTATGCTCATATTACTTTTTTATTAGCAACGCAAGCCGAGTACAGTTATCGTTACAATCGATTTCAAGGTTGCTCCAAGCATGGCTTTTGTTTCATTCGTATTTTCATCTCAACGCGAACGCAATTCAACGTCACCTCGTATAGTTTTTCGATTAAACTTTTGGCGTGTATCGACCTTTTTCTATTTACACATCAACGATTCGGTAAATTCGAAATAAAGTACATCTACAGTGAACTCTCAACAATCTCTATAGTTATGTGTATATGTGCATTATATATTTGTAATATATATATATAAACTTGTCAAAGGGTAATTATGAGGACGTGCGGCACTCACAACGGCAAGCCGATGTATTTTTTGTTTCCTAAAAAAAAAAAAAAAACTAAACCTGGAGACATGTGGCATTGGAGTCTAATCTAGCCTGACGGAACCATTCCCTAGTCCATCACAACTTTAAGTGTCTAACATGAAATTTGTTTGGGAAAATTCGGTGTGAGTGCCACTTTATATGGGTGGTCCTCATAAATGCCGATACTCAAGACGAAAAGTCCTGAGAACTACCCTTCTTAAAAAATATATGTATACATATATATATTTGCAATAATAAACTTTTGAAATATGGACACGATTATCCGGCTGTCTTTTTTTTCTCGTATGACATATACTTTTTCATTGCGGTATTAATATCCCATATGGTTGTCTATGATAATGTTGAGGACGGCAGTTTTGTCTGCAATGGTAACAGTACATAAAAGTTTGTATTATTATCGGCATATCGCGAAGGAGAAAAAAGCGAGGCACGCTTTTTTTAATCAATATTTCTCGTCCTTCATATAGTTACGCTGTATTATATGTAGTCAGAGTGATAATTTAAGCAAAGGACAGTTAATTAGTCGCTTGCATCGATTATCATACAAAGTGTCGAATAGACGATAAATTGAAAACAAAACGAAAATATACGAGCTCGTAAGTTGATCTCACGAAAATTATCCGCGCTACGTAATTCCGCGATTGCCCATGGGAGATTTATTTATCTCGTATACGAAATTTTTTTTTTTTTTCTTATTTCTCTCTTTTTACTTAACTTATTCATTCCACATCCTCCACATCGGTATGACTGTCACTTATGGCATCGTCCGTGACGTCCTTTACGCTCAAAAAATTCTCCATCTTGTTTAAGTTTCTCATAACGATCTGTGAGGCGGCTGATATCTCAAAATCCCCCTGATAGTCATCTCGAAGTCCACAAGCACCATCCTGATCCTCGTCCTCGTCAGAAGCGTCCATATCCTCGATATCGGTGGTCGGCATTACAATGATTTCCGGTGCGTTTGAATTAGGCGGGAATTTTGAATTCTCTCCGGTGACATTCATGCGGCGTCTCACTTCGATAGAGAAAGGACCGTCGCCTTCTTTCGTCGTGATGGTCTCATCGAATTCCGCAAGTAGGTCTGACCTTGCTTCCACGTAAATCGTAAAATGGTCTTCCGCTTCGTCATTGGACATGTCCTCCAGGTCCGTTTCAGCCTGACAGATATTATTAACGATGATCAGATTCTTCCGATCCGTTTTATCAGTGATTTCAAGATTTTCCGGATCACTCGTATAGATCTCGTCCACGTCTGTTAGATTTTCCACGAAATTATTTCCACGCTCTCCATCGGGAGTCTTGCATGACTCATCGATAGCGACCGTGTCGCTTGTACCATCTGTCAGTGTCACGGATATTACGGGATTCGACGGATTTTGAATTGGCAAATTGATCCCGCGCTTATTTGGACTTGGATTGCGCGGTTGGGTCGAACTCGTAAGGGTGAGTTCACCCTCGGAATCAGTGTCTGAGAAGTGCAGCGATGAATTATTCATCATTGCGTTTAGGCGTCTACGCGTTGACCTTGACTTTCGTCTGACCTTGACGTTGTCACTCTTTGAGCGGGACGGACTCGACGAGACCGACGACTTTTCATTGACTTCGTCGTTCTTCTCTTCCAGAGTGGATCCCGTGCGACAGCTTACTTTTTTCAAATTCTCCAATTCCTTCGTTTGGCAGCTGGCTGGGTCGTCTGTACACGTTGGCAACGTCGCGACGCTATCTTCCGATGCGTTTGCCAGTTCTGGTGCTTCACTCATGACGACTCGATTTTTTTGCTCTATTGGACTTTTATGTTTGGTTTAATTAAATCGCGGATTGTAAACGGAAATTATAAGCGAACTCAAAATAACCTGAAACGGAAAATGAGAAAAAAATCAAAATTTGAAAAATTAAAAGAAATTTCGTTGGGTCTGTGATGAGACTCACGTGTTTTTTTTTTTTTGAAGTCCTAAAAAATCGCTCGGTTATATATATATATATATGTATATATATCTTTATTTGTAATTTAATATGCCATTGCGACACAGTACAGTTGACGGTTTGCTTCGTACTAAGAAATCCGTTATGACTCTACGAAATGTTGTTGATGAAGTTACGCTTTATTGAATTAGCGAAGCCCCACTTGATAAATAAGCCATAAGTGGATCGTCGTGGTCCCGTTAAACAAAAATGGATAAAGAAAGAATTTCCAGAAAATCCGCATAATTAAAAAAAAAACTGAACTCAATTATTCCTTTTTATTATATATAGAGTATAAATATAGTTTTTTTCTTCATCTTTCAAACCGTAGATTTCGTCTGGTCGGTTGTATGATTTTCGAAATTAAAAAAAATTTTAATCATTGTACACGTATTATAATATTGATTCGTTCAATTAATCTTTGTATTTAAATTTTTAATCTATACTTCACGATTATTGTGTTGCGCCAGGAGTGTCCTGACTCCAAGAAAAGTGCGAACGCCAGGCCAACCAGTCCGCGCGTGCAAGAATACGTTAGTTCGAACGGAAGACGGCCTGGCAACCGATAGCTTGATACTAAAATCGCACATTTTACGCATTTTTAGAAGTGCAGCTTATGGCTGCTGCACCCCCAAGAATGAGACAGTCCACAATTAGAATTCAAACGGATAAGCTGCTCTCGTGGAGTAGACTCTGTACAGGAGATATTCTCCATTACCGTACGGTACTTATTGTGAGTCATATTTCACGTCGATCAACGTCGTATCGCTGTATCTATTTCTTTTCCTCCGTTTGCTTCAATAAACCGTCACTGTTTTGTTATATTCACGCGAGTTCTAATTCCTAAACCGGCACCAATCCCAATAATCTCTTAGACCTAACCTCTCAACCGAACACCGTCGTCGAGACGCTCGGGCACAACGACTGTTTATTTTTCAACAAATCATGTCGTGCATGTTCAGATTTTTAGGCATTAGATCACGTTACGCACTCACTCAAAAATTCTTAATGATTTCTTTTTTACTTAAAATAATTCTACAGCGAATAATAATCTTTGTCATACCTGTTTGCTCTTTCTGTAAAGTATCGGTTATGAATTTCTGTTCACATGGAGAGGTTGATTTTGGTTCGTCCGATTTTTCCTTGTTGTCCTTCTGATATTGTGATTGGAACCGGTCAATCTTTTGGCTGATGATATTAGAATCCTCAAAGTCTACGTAACACGAATAATGCAAGTTACAGAAGTAAAATTGAAAATCAAATAACTTTTTGCCGTTACAGAAATTCTGATTCACGTTAAACTTACCCATTTTTCCGTCGAGTTTCCCTTGAATTTTTGTAGTGCTCATTATTTCCGGAAGTACTATATTTAGTATGCAAATTGGCTGCTGAGGGGGTTCCCCTTTGGCTATCTTGGGCTCCCGCATGAATAGCATCCTGGCCACTGGATCCAGCAGGGGATCCTTGACTTTTACATGAAAGGACAATCTATTTTGACGGAACGCTTTAAAAGTGAATTTCAATTGTACTCCAGACTTGGTTACAGGCACTAGGTTCCCACTGAATTCAATATAAAGATCTTTGCCGTCCAATGCCTGAAGGAGATAAGTTTTACATTGAAAATAAACCGAAGGACCATCAAAGCTACTGGATTTAAATTTTATCTTAAGCGACGTCACGTACCTCCACGTCACGGCTTTTGACAATTTCCAAAAATTCTTCCTGCTTTTCCAACGTATGCATTCCTTCCTTGCCGTCCGTCATACACAATATTCTCAACGTTGCTTCTAGAAGGTCCATTCTCTTTGAGTAAATGACAAAACTGCAACAATACATTGGGTTTAGAAAATTTATCTTCTCGTCCTTATTAAATAATTAGGTATACTGTTTTACGCACTTTGTAATAAATGGTACGAATAAGGATTCCTTGTATAATTCCGTGGCCATTTTTGGTACTTCGCCAATATTTCGACAATCCATTAACCAAAATCTTGCCGATACCGTAGTCGTGAATGAGACTCTGTCGTTCATAAATGTCAAAGGCGTCGATCCGGTAACGTCTTCCCACTGAGCTTCACTAGTACCACCTTAATGATATATATCGTATTAGTATATTTTTTGACTGAAACATTTTTCCAAAATTACCTGCGATACTGCATAATAAACGTAAGGTCGGTGTTTCACCGCCATATTGATTAATCATTCCTTTATTGGCAGCTTGTGGCACTGGTATCGTCAGTGTTATTGGTTTATGGAATTTTCTTCTTCGAGGCTCGATCGTAATTACCGGTGATACTGCCACGCAATTTCCCAAAAGCTTAGCGGTCAATTCAGCCGGTATTACATGTGCCTAAGATAACAACGATATTACCATTATAAGCTTTGTTATCAGTAATTGGATATAGATTATTGTTTTTGTGTTGATTACAAAAGCACCTGTAATCCAACTTTGATTTTCTTGGTTAATGCCCCAGGTGGAAATACAGCCTGCACGTGATCGACAACGCTTGAAATCAAAATTCCACCCTCAGCTCCAATTACGTGAATTTCTTGTTTTATTCGTGTTACAATAGCAAAGTATTGTGGGAAATCGGTCGTTATTATTCGTGTTATTCTCCCCGCGTAGGAAGTACTCATTTGAGGATCTAAGGATATATATATATATATAAATATTAAATTACCATGATGGAAATGAGAAAATTTCAAGGCAAACAAGTTTGTGATGACGTATACATATATGTGAGACAGTCTCATGACGTTCACGCAGCCATGTCTTTAAATTGAAATTGTAGATTAATACGTGGAAACAAATACACCGTACCGTATGGTGTGTTCATCAAAGTATCATCGTTATCAGCAGAGTTATCATGTTCCTTCCACGTTTCGCCATTTTCACTTCGTAAAATAATGATCTCGCGTTCCTTGCCTTGTACGGAGGCAAAGTGAGGCACGTCAATTAGGACAGGCCTGAAGAATATATTTTGAAGGGGATGACCAGTGGATAGATATGTTTTTAATTATTATTTTAATTAATCAATATACGAAATTAATCATTTTTAATATTTACCCTAAAAATGTCGCACTGACAGGTCCCATTTCTATTATGCGGGTAGCTAATGCTTCGCCCTCCATCAAGGGTGGCGGATTAGATATTTTACTTGGTTTTACCAATCTGCATGTTACCCTTATTGGCATTGTCGCTCTTCGGGGTGGAACGATTATGCGAATTCCACTGTGTCTGCAACCCTTCATTGCACCGCCACGTGCATCGACTAGGAAACTTACTAGGAATCTGATGAAAATTATTAATTTAATAAATATACCTTTATTACTGTGGTAGATAACGTTGCGATACTTACGATCTGAAGTGTAATCTCCTGTAAGGATAATTAAATTTGATTAATTCGTGGATTAATTAAATTTTATAATTAACAGTCTCAAAGCTTACCCCAAATTCATACTGTCTTGCATATCGAAATTTTCTGCCGAGCAATAATTGCTGCTTTGAACGAACTCTTGTTTGTCCTCTTTTAAAACTGAAAATATTCCGATTTTTAGTGTGAGACAAATTTTTATTCCAAATTGTTACAATTTCAATTGCTTACCTTGTCTATGAATGGGATCATCCCTCGTTACGTCAATAGGCAACGAATCGTCCCTCAAGCTTTTCATTAAATCAGCAGTCAAGTATCGATAAGGTTGTTCGCTTATCAATGTGTCAGAACCTAAGAATAATTTGAAAAATTTTAATTGCAGATTATAATACGGGGATAGTCTGAACAGTGAAATATTACGAACAAGAATCCGTGTGGTAAGTTTGAAAAAAAAAATTTGAAAATTTATATATCTCATTCCTCCGTTACCTCCTTCGTCATCCGAATCGGACATAAAGTTCGTTTCTTGTAAACTTTCCGGCGCGATGACTTTGTACTTTTCCTCCCAGTTTTTATTGTTGGGTGCTAAATTGTCATAAGACAATCCCTTGAGTACCTCCATCACAGATATATATCCTAGTTTTTGAGCAATATTCAATGCTGTCAAGCCGTCCTGTAAGAGAATTTAAAAAATCCATAATCGAATACCGTTTACGTGATTTATATAAAAATTATTAAGATTCACGTAAATTCTATCTACCTTCGTACGTGCTTTCTGAGATGCATTTCCCTCCAGCAATGCAGATGCAATATGCGCGTGTCCCTGCTGCGCCGCCTGGTGCAACGGCGTATAATTTTGATCGGTTCTCACATCGATCTCAGCATTGTGCTTAAGCAGGAAACGTATCATAGATAAATTTCCAAAGTGTGCGGCAACGTGAATCGGCCTGTAACCAGTTTCTGTTTGACTCTCGACATTCGCCCCATTTTTCACGAGGATCGAGGCTACTCGAATGAAATCTTCTTGAGCGCACAGATGCAGCGCGGTTAATCCATTCTGAAGTGAATTTATAAAGGTTCAGTAACGACTGTAAAATAATTTTTTTATTCAGACCATACCTTCGCCCTGTGATTTGGATCTGCGCCATGTTCGATTAATAAATTTGTCATGTCGTAGTGACCCCTCTGAGCGCTCAGATGTAACGGTGTGAATCCAGCTTTAGATTCCACGTTCGCATTCGCACCGTGCTCCAGCAAAGTCGATGCTATGTCCATCTGAATAGATGAATAAAATTTGTTCAATACTATCTCATTTTTTTCATTCATTGGCACTCATCACTCCAACCGGTAGCAATGCTTCCAAACGGCCAAGCCAGCGTTCTGCACAGCTGGAGTGATGAGGGTTAATCATTTGTTTCTGCTGATAGATTATTGTATTGCCCACCTGATTTTTGCGAGCAGCAATGTGCAAGGGCGTAAGTCCATTTTGCGAAGCAACGTGTGGTGATGCACCTTTGTCTAATAAAAGCGTAGCGACATTTGGATGATCGTAGTGACAAGCCATATGGAGCGGTGTAATTTCATTCTGAAAAATTTTTCAAAATTTTTTTATTCCACTTCCCATACACCAATTTATCAGGTTTCAAATATCGTTGTACGGTCAATCTTCAATTTTCATATCGAACGAACCTTCCCATGGGCATCCAAGGCGCTGTCTTTCTGAAGCAGAATCTTGGCCACATTTATATTACCGTATTTAGCCGCTATGTGCAACGGGGTGAAACCATTTTTCGTCGAAGCTTTCAGCGATGCATTATTTTCCACGAGTATCGCCGCAACCTGTTGACGATACGAATGATTGAGGATATCGAAAAAATTACGTACAGTAATCAGTCAGTAAGGATTATAAAGAAAAACACACAGTATCGTCTCGAATGCATATTAGTATCGTGATTAAACGTGATGAAGGTTAGAATAAAAGAAATCTAACGTAAATTTATTAGCGTTAACTCGATTACGCAAAAGCACTGTGCTTACCTCGTGAAATTAATGCCTTTTCAAAATTTCCCATTAAATATTCTAGAACCGTACTAGTGCTGTCGCGAGAAAAAGAAATTCTACAAAAGTCCTCGCGCACTACGATTACTAACCACGTCCAAACTGAAATGACGTAATTTTTGCCCGATGAACAATGACCGATCCGGCAAACTTATGATATGGACTTTTGCCCCGTGCAATTAAAGTGCTTGAACTCGATAAGGCTGAGATTTACTAGAACAATATCAATTTCTATTGTTATTGTCGGCCGGTAGCGATAACCATTTTGAAAGAAGATTAGATACGTGCGGTTCTACAATCTCCACATGTGGTATATCGCGTTACCGTTTGACGATCGTTCGCGATCAGTCATTGTTCATTGTTCATACGTTACCCAACGTCGACGTAGTGTGCAACGAAAGAAAAAGAGGATATAAATAAATAAAGGTGCTCCCCCTGCATTTATTTTTCGATTAACGCCTTAAACTGTAAAATCAGGGTCTACAGTAAGATAAATACAAGGATAAATATAACAAGTGAAAATTAACAGGTGGTGATAATTCATTCATATGAGGTACTCTCGATGTCGCGACCAAAACAGATAAATTGTATTTTGTGTATTTATGTAATCCGCGATTTTTGATATCTCTTTGTACGTTACCTCCTCCTGGCCCTCTTTCGCTGCTATATGCAACGCCGTGTACATGTCCTTCGTAGTCGTGTCGACGGCCGCGCCGTGTTGCAACAGTAGCATGACTATATCTACGTTGCCAAGTCGCGATGCAATGTGCAACGGAGTTTGTTGTTCCTGTAAAGGAATGACCGTAGCTGTAGGCCAAACGTTAATGTCAACAGATCCTGCATGACGTGTGTATATTTTATTGAAATAATTTATTCGATCATTTGACTCCACGTGGTTGTGCCTGATTAAGTGGATTGATATGCTGTAATATTTTCGAAATTTTTTTTCTACGGTTTCAAAAATTAGTGTTTTCTTTTTTTGTACATTTATATAGATATATACGCGACCCTTTAAATAATTCTCTCTCTCTCACACACACACACACACACATATGGATAAAGCTCATTAAAAACAGCCCTCTCTAACATTTATTATCTCTACTGCTAGATACGATGTCTTTTTACTATGTATAGTGTCACGATGAGTGTAAATACAGTGAAATGGATTTCTAATCCATTCGTCTACGGACACAATCTTCTAAAAATAATTCTGAAGTGCACGCGACGACATCACGAAGGATGTTGATTATTTCGAACGCGCTGTAAGATGAAAGCGAGAACACACAGAGAGACTGGTTAATGGTTCATGCTGTTAATTTAGGTAATAACCGACGCATTCAGGAACTATGATGGCGGGTTTGTACATATAGAAACATACTATGATAAAAAGTTGACGGAACGAAGTCGAAATGAGAATAGGGTGAAAAGATTTTAGTTACGGTGGGGGGATGAATTTTTTGTTGGATGACACAAATAAAAGGAGGGATATTGGTTGCCCGGTTTTAATGGTAGGTCATAGAGACTCATTAAAATCTGATGCGACTAGAAGCTGGGTTTTTGGCGTTTATTGTACTTACCCTTGCACGAGCATCGACCTTGGCTCCGTTTCTTAGTAAAATTCGAATAATGTCGGTCTGATTAGCTCTAGCAGCTAGATGAAGGGGTGTTTCACCCCTGACCGTTGGCACGTCGGGATTGGCTTCGTGCTGTAGTAGGAATATCACTATATTCATACATCCCATAAAACTGGCCACGTGTAACGGAGTCAGCCCGGACTGTAAAATACACGTGTTTTAGATTAACATTGTTATTATTCGATCGAAAGCTGCCTCCTGCGAACCAATAAAATTGGCACACTCTCTCTTCCATTGTTCCTGGTGAATTCAAGCAGTTACGAATAACATTAGCGAACACAAGCGGTCTCTCGTTCTCCTCGTGCTCAGCCGAATATGGCTTAGACGATTTATTAGTCTAATTGTATTACTCGATGTGCAAAAATAAAATACACGAGCCGTTAACCAGTCCTCTACTCTAATTGCGTGATCTTAATACGTTATAACATTTTGCTGCTCTCGGTGCACTTTACAGAAGCCTTATCAATTATCTTATTAATCTTACTGCATCCTGGACCAAACTTTATATACAGCCTAGAGTGGCAAGTATATACAAAGCCATATTAAATTTTTTTGTTTTATGTAATCGATGAAAAATCAATTAGATCCTTTTTTTACACAAGTGTCGAAAAATTTTTATTATTATTGTTCAACTGGCCTTCCTTCGATATTCGTTAAAAAAATGTAGCTTTTGTTAACTTTTTGTTTTTCGATTAACACAAAATTAATTACCTCCGTAGTGGACTCGATGGAGGCTCCGTGCTTCAGAAGAAGCTCCACTACCTTGATTCGATTTTTTTTGCAAGCGATGTGAAGTGGCGTGAAACCGTTAAGGGCGCGTGCATTGGGATCCGCCTTGCGATCCAAGAGTAATTTTGCGACTCTAACGTGACCGCAGTGTGCAGCCACATGAAGCGATGTCAAATAGTCTATGGTAACCTCATCGACTGGTGCACGATGATACAGAAGAACACGTGCAGCATCCACGTGGTCTCCTTGAGATGCCATATGAAGTGGCGCTAAGCCGTTCTAATCAGACAAAGTTAATAAATAATTAATTAATTTTGTCTATTTTTATTTATAATCGTTCTTGCCTACGTACTTTCGTTCGTGCACTGATCGGTGCTGAATTTTCCAAAAGCGTCGACACCACTTGGTCGTGACCCGATCGTGCTGCACAGTGAAGCGGTGTCAGGCCGTCTCGTGTCTTTGCATCGATCATGGCTGAATTTTCCAAAAGTATTTTTACCATGTTGTTTTTTCCCCATTTCGCTGCCACGTGTAACGGGCTTATGTTGTGCTTGACGGAAAAAATTAATATTCACGTAACAGGGGTTGTTTTTTCTTGGTATTTGGATTTTTATAAAATATTTTTTATTTTTTTTTTTCTCATACCTTTGCTAAATAGTTTACGTCAGCGCCCCGTTTTATCAGTAATCTTGCTATCTCTTCGTTTCCATAATGAGCCGCTATGTGGAGTGGAGTGAATCCACTTTTCGACGTGACGTCGGGCTTATGGTCGTTCTGTAAGGTTTTTTTGAAAATTATTTTGACAGTTTTACACGCTTCAATGGGGTATTTTGATTTTGATTTTATTTTACCTGCAGCAACAAATCAGCAGCTTTGCAGTCATCTTTTTTAGCTGCAATATGCAATGCCGGTAATCGTACTTTCCCTTTGGAGTCGTTTTCGAGTAAGACGCTGACCACTTTGTCATGGCCTTGTTGCATGGCCACTGCCAGAGGTGTAAAGCCATCCTGTGTAATATTAATTGTCGTTATACCGTACTTTTATGCAAATCCGATGAAATATTTCATTAGCGTCGGAATAATTAATTACCTCGGTAGCTAAACTTTGATTAGCCTCGTTACACAGTAAAATCTTTACTACTTGGTCGTGATTCTCTTGGGCAGCCATATATAACGGCGTGAACCCATTTTGTGATTGGATATTAACCGCAGCACCATACTGAAGAAGGATATTGACTATCTCGGCTTGGCCGGCTGTGAATTAACAAGTAATTAATTAAATGAATGACCTTGAATTAATTAATCGAAATATTCACTTGTTAATACTCTAAAGTGTTGTAGTGTAAAAAAAAAGAAAATTCTAATTAATACTAACACTAACTATTATACTAATCGATACGATTTCGTACAAAGCTTCTATTGCCCTGTATATAGTACATGTATCAGCATTTATTTGCATAAAGTATTTTCTTCGTTCCCTGCACTACTTACCTAGGGAAGCTATATGCAATGCAGTATTTCCCTTCTTGGTCGCAGCGTCGACTTTGGCACCCCTTTTTAATAATTCTGTCACTATCTCCACGTGACCATCCTTCGATGCTAAATGCAATGCATTTAATCCATTCTATAAAAAAAAAAAATTATATTTTAATTACAACACGATTTACTTGCCCAATCTAACTTCTCGTTTATATTTACCGAATTGGATGTGTTAATGTCTAAATTCGTATCGAGATATTCGATGACTTTTTCGAGATTTCCAGACCGAGCAGCTCGAAGAAATGCTGTCGTGTCGTCAGCCTGAATGAAAATAGGCAAGAAAATTGTATTACTTATTTAACGCGTCTAAATATTCACTGACCCAATTTACGAAGTTACGCAAGGTAAGGGAATCGCTTGTATTTTTTAAAGGGGATATAAAATCCTTCGTTTTCATTATTGTTGCTCAACCTCGGTGTTATTATTTACGGTCGCATGACGAAGTTCTTTAACGATATCGATCTCGTACCAAATCGGGCAGCTATAATGCTTAAGGGTAAAGAAGGGGTATACTTATGAGTTGCTGATATATTGTTAGTATTCACGTTAAACTACGTCACTCTGCTCGAGGAAGATATAAGAGTGGAGAATAATGGTGAAGAAATATTTTTCATGGGGATGTAACAGACTCTATCATCCTTTATATTTTTCAAAAGTAATTTAGGTTGATGGAAATTTCGTAAAAGTCGTAAAAAATTTCGTTTCAGTCTGACTATAGCTAGTGTAATTGCTACTGGTTTATTTATTTAGTATCAAAGGCGTGCGGTGCGGGCTTTCGGGTTCTTCGGCCCTTAGGGTTGTTTGAACGAAAGGGGTTTAAAAAATGAGAAAGATAGCCGAGAACCTTCCATTCTAACAATTGTGGTTCACCCCCTATTCACGCTATGCAACGCTCCGCTATGACACAATCGATCCTCTTGGAATACTTTATCAAGAGACCATGGTTTATCATGCTACGATAATAAAAGTATATTCAAGCTTACCAAAAACGAAATAACGACAGTAATAATATCTTTGCAAAAGAAAAATGTATCACTCTATAAAATTCCCACCCTTTTACCCGAACGCCCTTAAAATCCATACCAGCCAATATCAGGCGGCCTCCCAAAATTGACTGAACCTTCTAAATCCCATAAGCGATATATGATTACACCGTAATAAATAATTTTTTATAAATTTATTTTCATAACAATTTTGAAAATTCACAAGGTATATAAAATTTGCAAATTTACAAATTTCTTTATCGAACCATCATTCAGACACATACCCTACCCGACATATCCCTCGTTCCACACTCTTATCATACCTGATTAGTATTATCAGTGACCATCCTGATCGCCTACAGCCCCGTATCCACGGAGCGCACCACAACGAGCCCCTATAATTTTAATTCACCACTTGCCGTTATCCAGTAAAGAGTTTCACGTCGAGTCACCATACACGCGGCACCGGGAACGCCAAAAGCAGGAGGCAGCGGCAGGAGCCGCCCCGTAAAGAAACAAGGGCGCAGGCTCGATGGGCAACGATTACGCGAAAAGTATGGGGGATGTTTAGCGGCGCCACGGGCCAGTGCCACTGGCCCACGGGTACGTGTTTCAAAGGCGCGCACCGGCTACATACGAAAACTGTCCCTGCATACGCCTTCCGGGGATGCCCGATTATGGGGGTGGAATAACACAGCCACTGCGTCTATCACGAGACGCGCATATAGATCTCCAATTTCGAACGTGGCAAATTCTCTAAGGTCGACTTTTGTCACTCATGGATAAGGGCTTGTACGGATAACGCGTATACTTGGACTTGGACTTTGCTATGCTTCGACATCGGAGGTAGGTGCGACTGCGTTGCCACCCACTGCGATCAATAAAGCCTAAGACTGGCCCCATGTCACGTGCGAGGGTGACAACTGCCTGCCTACCTACCTACCTAACTACCAACTTGACGGTGGCCATGCTTAGAATCAACCCCTGTCTCTAGCATTCACTTCCTTCTTCATCCCTTTACTCATTCGCAATGTCATACCCTATCTGGGCACACGTATGCGTGGACTTTTACTACACCCTGATATTTCGATCGAAGGGTTTGACACACCCCGCTTGACCTCGACGGCAGTAACGTTCTTATGTCAGCTTATAATTACCATAGTGATCACTCTACCTATTTGAACTGTCCTTGTATTATGACAGGAGATCGGCTTGATTGGGGATATACCTTTCTATTTTGATTTCAGGTAATCATATTTATGACGGTCTATCGTTATTTTCTCGTAAATTCGATGCTGATCGAAAATCCATTTTTAGGGTACCAACTGTAATTTATCAAACGCTTGACAATCTTTATTGTCCACGAAACTTATTGTATTTCGTATGATAATCTCGCTGAAGGTTAGAGTAGTTAGTGGCACGTGGTGGATTATGACAGTTTTTACCTAAAAATAGAAACAAGCCCGGCCTACTGAGGTGTGCCAATAATAAACTCATTTCACGTTATATAGTCGGAAAATGATAGATAGGAATACTAGAAAAAAGGATTGCTAAGTGATTGTTGATCTTTGAGTAGAGTAGCAGCTGTCACTGTTATTTCTTGTTAACTACATGTTCAATTAATCATTTATTTTGTTAAAGGATTCTCGTGCTGTGTCAGTACGTATCAATATGTATTTGCGTGTTTCGTGCTGTTATCTTGCCACCACTGCAAACTTTTACTCAGCTGTCGTTATTACGTTATACATTCATTATGTCAGAAGACGCAAAGCTCGTATGTTGGCCAGTATGCTCGATCGGTCTGTACGAAAGCTCGCTAGCCGGTAACTAATTTTTATTCAGGCGCCTCGATGTCATCGCGAAGACATTTTTCGGACATTTTTTGATCCCTTAAATAATGCGTTATTGATATTACGTTTTATGAAATAATTTACCTCAAGCGTTATGATCGGCGGGAATGCGTCGTCTGCCGTCATTCCTAAATAATAAACTGTGAACTTCGTTTGATGGAGTTTATGTATACGAATCTCTCTTGTAAGCTCTATACTGAAGACATAAGGCTCTCCATTTATTTATAGAACATGTACTATTTGCGAGGGTTTTCTGGTGGCTACGCTTCAAGCTTCATTATCGGTTCTTTCTCTCTCTCTCTCTTTCTCTCTCTCTCTCTCTCTATATATATATATTATTGTTAAGTGTCTCTTGAAAGTTTTTTTAATCTCTGTCAACATCCTTCAGGCATTATGTTGGACAATTTTGTGCCCGGTATATTATATGTATATGGCTGAATAACGTTGTGTAGATTTTCTCAATGATTCTCTGGGAGACTTGTTGCGTTTGTGGACATTCTTTTAAATGTGTGCCATAGCTTTATTCAGTACGATAAAATTATGTCCTGGCAATGATTCATGGCAGCGAGTTTTTATATTAGTTAAATTATTATTTTTTCAGAAAACAAGTGAATATGGTTCAACGTTGTATGGAAATAACTTTTTTTTTTAATTTTTTATTTGTATGTAATTATTTTGATTTCTTTGTAGATTAGCTTCAAATTTATTGTAATTAACTATTTATGTCTGATTTAATATGCTGTATATTTTTTTCAGACCATTTTTCTTCCGTTTAGTATGTCGTACAAAAATACAATTGGATAAGAAGTGGACTACGTATTTGTTTTTAGGTGTTAGCCAATTTTGAAAAAAATATGGTACGTATATGAACTTTGAAAAATATGGAAGTTATAAAGTGCGCATGTATATTCTGTGCGCAATATATTCTTGTTCTTTGATTTTGTGTTTAAAATATCTGCTGATGCTTATTTTATAAGGTTTGACTACGTTTTTAGGAATGCAGTGCTGCCTCTGATTATTTTCAAAATGCCACGGTAGAGGAAACAAAATGCACCTCTTTCGTGAATTTATCCCGAAAAGATATTAACGAATCGGACAAGGAAAATGAAAATCGTGAAAAAAAAGTTTGGGTTAGTAATAATAAATTCTATTTTATTTTCTACAGTCTGACTACGTTTTTTATTTATAGGAATACAAAACACTTTTGCGAAATGCATCAATAGCTTATACGTCTAAAAAATATGTAATAGCTTCATGTTACTATAAAACTGCATATTGTTTGTCATCAACTATACAAGTAAGTAGTTCAAGTGGATGAATTTTATCGGAAAAATATGGCATTATTTTAAATACAATGCATTTTTCGTTTTAGGATACTCATATTAATAACATTTGTATTCGCTATATGCTATGTATATCCGGATTAGAATCCGAAAAGTTAGAGGATTTAACAGTTATAGTACAGCATCTAATTTCATTGGAAAAAAATATACAGGAAAACGACGTTCATTTTCCTGCAGTATATTATGCACTTGGTAAAGCTCATTGTAAATTATATCGGTAAGTTTTTTAGTACGTTTTTTAAAGATATTTATTTTCAGTATTCTTAATGTTATCCTTGTTGCAGGTTTCTATTAGCCTACGATGCTGTTAACAAGGGTTTTGCATTCTTAAATAATAACGTAAAAATTAATGAATATTGTATTCCCACGACCAATACTGTTATACCAGAAACCACACGGGAAGGATTATTAGTATGTATAGATATAATTATATTTAATATTCGAATTATTGTAATAATTTGTTATTAGATTCACTGTATAAAAATTATGTACTACTTGCAGGTTGCACTTGTACAGTTAAAAGAGGAGTCCTCCAGTTGGCATCGACCTGATGCTGTTTGTTGCATGGATGAATGTTTAGATCATTCTCCACACTATGCGCCTTCCCGTTATATATTTTTTAGGTAATATATTTCATTGCATTATAATAGATGAAAATCAATTCATTCAAATAAAATTTACCTGCTATGTCGATATCAATAATCCCTTTGTGTATCAATAGTGATCCAGCTTTTAACGGAATGGTCATTCTTACTTGTAATAACGTAACTCATCCTTGTGTTGTCAAATTTCATCAGTCCTGTTGGAAACTTAAAAAGGAACAATTGTCATCAATTAAAAAATTATCTGATAAGGTAATTAACTACTAACTGCTAAATTCGATAATCATATTAAGTTCCACACGCGTTGAAGGATCGATAGAGCTGTTACCTGATAAAAGTTTAAAAATTTTTATTTTTTTAGGATATTATTGGTTATAAGTGTTTTACCCCAAATTGTGAGACTGCTCAAGGTGTACCTAGTATTATAATAAGGGTGGAAGTGGTAGGCGAGGGGGGAAACATTAAAACCCGTTTCGATGCACCAACCAATACTCATAGTTGGCCAAAACGTAATCCTGCTCCACCTAAAGGTGCTATTAAAAAACAAGTAAGCGTATTTTTTATCATCAAATGCTATTTCTAATATTTTTTAATATTACTATACCTTACTGCATTTTTTTTGTAGAATAAGGTCAAACAACAAACTCCAAAACCCAGGAAACTTGGTAATCCTAGTAATTGCATAGTACCTGTGCAGAATTCACAAGTCAAAGAACCGCTTTTCAACGAAGAGTAAGCGTGGTCAACACATTCATTGAATTTCTGATTACTCGTTAAAAATAAGTAGCGTTGCCAATGCCATATCTTTGTTCTTTACAGAGCCGAAATGAAATGGAGGTTAAAAAAACTGGCTTATCTTAGAAATCGTAATTTTGGTATTCCGGAAGAAACTGACGTGAGTTTTCTTTTATCACAATAATTTGCTATACAGATGGTTTGACAAAATTATGTTTATTGATACTTCAACTATTTTCATAATATCATTGGATTGGGTATAAGATACTTATGCCAAATGATCGTATTATTTTAGTGGAGACCAAATAAGGAATGGTTTGGAAATTCATTTATGAAAGTAATAGCAGAAGTTTTGCCAAATCCTGATTTTACGAAAGACGACGCAAAAACATCTTCATTGAAATCTTTTGTTTTTTCGTAAGTAAAAGTTACGAGAGACGTATCGTTGAGAGTATGAGATCCGTGCATTAATCAACTTATGTATTTGTCATTAGATTAATATATGCTTATATAGAAAAGAATGGACCTGTTAAAAGAGCAGATGTTTTAAGAATGTGGAATGACACAAAATTACTCATCGAAAATTATAATTCTGTTCTTAATGACTCTGAAGGCAAACAATAATTCATATTATGAATATTTCATGCAGTTTTATAGTCCAATATTTTATATAATATAATATTACATATTTTAATATTTCAGATATTTTTGATTTTCTCTTGCAATCCTTGAAGATAGTGGCGATCGGTGAATACCTTTGTATTCCAAAAATTCTTCCCCAGCTATATAATATAGTCAAACAGGAAACGGTAGTCTGTCTAAAATTCTTCATTGACAATACATGCACCAATAACATACAGGATCAACCCGAAGAATATGAAAAATATGTCGATGGAGGAACTTTGAACGAAGTAGACATATATGAAGATACATATGGCGAACATATGTATGAAGAAGAACCGTACGAAGAAGACGTGCAAGAAGATATTCTTGGTAATCATATACGGCAAGAATTTATTATTCTTGTATACTAAGAAAATATTCCTCTTTGTTTAAATAATTTTAAATAACTACTTTTTTTCCTTTACAGGAGAATGTATGGTCTCCAATTATAATTCTGGTACTCCGGATCAAGAAGTTTCACCTAGAGATGAAGAAGATGGCTTCTTACCGACTGATTTTATATCTTTAGACAATAACATAACTTCAGATCAAATAGAGGCAAGTACAATCTCAGATGTAAAATCAACAGACGCTGTCTGTTCTTCTCAGATCAACGAGCTTGAAGTGATGACTATTACTGAAGATACTGAGATATGTCATCAAGCGGATATTAAAAAAAATCCAAGTATCGACGCTGATAAATTACAAGAATCGATAGCAAATAAAGAACATATTGTTGAAGAGTCACAGATTAAGGATGTCATTGCAGCTACGAATGACAATGATTTCATAGAGTCAAATGACATCTTGGATGATAGCATACAGAAAAAAGAAATAAAAGAACAGTCGGAATTGAAAAAGGAAGCGGAAGAAGTACCTTCCGGTGATAATAATTACTTCGAAGCAAATGAGGATTACCCAGAATCAACAGTGGAAAAGTGCACAGACTTCAATGAGTTCACATGGAATGAATTATTTGCGGTATATACGAATGAGATTGACGATACAAACACAGTTCATAATAAAGAAAAAAAATCACCCGTGAAGAAAAATGATATAAATGCTTTTAACGAATGCGAAAACGCAGATATGGTAGTAGAGGTTTTGAAATCGAAAGATCTGGTTCGCAGTTCAACGATGCATAAAATGGTATTTTTTATAATGTACGTTTCGTTAAGGAACCGTATTGTAATACAGGAAAATCTAAATTTTAATATTTCGTTGTAAGGATCAAACGAAACGAAGTACAATGGAGTCTAGGAGGATAAAACGTAAGTACAGAACGATCGTCAAAAGAAAGGGAATGTCCGTTCCGCGGGTACGTTGGATCAAGAAGAAGAGAGTTACGATAATAGAAAATAAGAAGACGATGAAAAATGAAATAGAACGATTAAAAAAAGAAAATGCAGAGTTGTTGGAAAAGCGCAAAGAAGAACAAGAGAAGCTACATGAAGAATTAGAAGATTGTAAAAGAGTCATACAGCAAAAAATATCCGAACTTAAGTAAGTTTAATTATAACGTGAATTACTTTATTATGCATATCTAATTGAGACTTGTTACGTAATGTCATAATTACTCCAGGATGACTAAAGATAACGAAATTCATAAGAAACGAAGCTTTTTAAAGAAATGTTTGGATTCACAATACAACTCCAATATGATTGCACTAGTTGCGTAAGTAATTTCTAATCCAATCTAAAACATTAAATTTATATACATATACATCACCTTATGATTTAATTTCAGAGCTGTTAATCAATTTCGTGAGTCATTAGCCATCGTAGGAGGGATGCAAGACTTATTAGAAAAGATAACAGCAAAACGTGTCTTTACTGGCGGTGCAGAAGTTGAATGGCAACAATTGATTGCCCATATTCAATTGCAATCGAATGTTTTGGATGTAGGATTACAATAGTTTCAGTATATAATATAATAATGATAAGGCTACGGTTACAATGCCGATTCGTTTCAGAATGAATTCCTCAAACTCAAAGCCGACTTGGAATTGAATGAAAATGTCGAAAAAATGGATTTATTTTCGTTACAATTACAAAATGTGCATACTTCACCACTTCGAAATTTATCAAAGATCGTCGAAACAGGATTTCAGTCATTGATTATGCATTATAATCGTGTTATACAGCATATACAAATGACTAGACCTGGTGCCTTGATGAATATGCCAGTCCAAAGACCACCGTTAATGCAGCAACCTTATATAGGTTATCCATTGCAATATCCGCCACAAGTGGCAATGCCACGAAATTCAGTAATAATTCAAAATCAAGGATTACCTCCTCGTATTCCAATGCATTTAAACGCATACAGAATGGAGGGTAACACCTTAATGCAAAATGTCCAACAAGGTAGCTAATTATAGTTTCAATCTATAATGATATAGAAAAATTATTGTTTAATATTATTTTACTTTGATAGTGACTCCGGAAAATGGACAACCCCATATTTCACACCATAAAGGCAATGATAATACAGTTATAAAAAAAGAGGATACTCCTAAACAACTTGAGTCAGTTAGTGAAAATACTGAAGAAAATAATGCAGAGAGTCAAGAACAGCTTGATCTTTCAAGAGAAAGTGCCGAAGAGCTTCCAAGTGAAAATACCCTGGATCTTCCTACTAAAATACATTCACTGTTTTCATCAAATATTCCGGCGGAATTGCTTTCCGAAGGCACAAAGTATATCTATAATTTATCAAACAAAAAATATCAAGATGTAGCATATAATTTTTGTGTTACCTTTTCATTATTGTTTCAGGAAAAGAAAATCGCGGAAACCAAAGAAAACTGTTTTCATTGACGATGTCCTGCAGCGTTTGCGGAAGAAGTATATCGGTGTGCTCGAGTATGTTCTATAAAATTTTGTTCTCAATAATAAAAACTATACTATAATTTTGATTTTATGTAATTAATACTTTTATCCAGATCCGATCTACTGGATAGTATATTGGATGTGCGTAGGCAGCACAAGTCATTAACTGGAATGAAGGTGTCCGTCATTATTGAGAAAACAGCACCGTTCATTGAAAGACGTCAAGTTGCTCGTACGAATGCACAGTTTTTTTTTATATTTTATAATTATTCCTGCATGGATGATTTTCATTTACTTGACCATATTATTTTTTTTTTTTTAGAACTATGCGACTACACGAGGCCGATAAAGACCGAATCGGCGGAAGTGTTTGTTTCTCCATCTCATACAAAGAAAAAACGTCGTGAAATAGTAGTACCATCATCACTCACAACATCGCAAAGTACTATTAATGATACAACGTTCCCCTTGTTATCATTATTAATTTATGGTTTTATATTTCACAGATTCACAATTAAATGTACGGAAAGCAGTTGAGCAAGGTGGAACAATAAAGAAAAATCCATGGGAGATTATAAATGATCAACGTAATAAATGGCAAAAAGAAAGTCAAGAAGTTGAATGTAATATTTGCATTGAACCCATGATAACCAATGCAAAACCTATCTATACATTAAGTTGTCAACATGCTTTTCACAAATCGGTAAGATTATTTGAAAAAATCTATCCGACTTGTCACAAGTATATGTAATAATGAAAAAAATCTGGTTTCAGTGCATTAAGAGTTGGTTCCGGCACAACCAATCTTGTCCAACATGTCGCGTTCACTGCACAATAGACGAGGAATTTCCACCTTTACCGTAATAAGTTTCAGATGTTTCGTTAGTCACATACAGATAAGTAAAAATGATTTATGACGTGATATATTTTTTTTTTTTCATTTTTTACGTATGAAATACTATATTTTTTATACAATTGCTTACTGCGTACGTCATATCTTAAGAGAACAATAATCAACCTAATTTTTTTTCTTTTTGCTCTTGTTCCTAAACTCATATTTCACATGCGTTTATATTAAATGTAAGCCAATAATCGATACACACAGGGCCTCATAAAATAAGTTCAGTCATACTTCATTGAATGTGTTCTGTCTTTAGATACATAGTTTGTTGTGTATTATCACATCTTTTTCCTTTTATTCATGACCTCAACAAATCTAAAGCAGTCAGTCGCAGTGATATAACAAAGACATTATTATTAACAGAATATCTATTTTTTATATTTTAATAATAAGTATTTCTATATTTTTTTATAATCTTACTAATGTTCTTATAAAAGTATTTACCGTTACCATGTTGGAGTAACAACTCAGTTAGTTCCTTGCGTATGACATTATTAAGTTAAATAAAGCATTCACATGATGTGAACATGTTCTTGACCAAAGTTAAAGGTCCATTTTTGATTACCATATTAATTAAATTTGATGTTCCGTTAAGTATCGTATCAAATTAATATAAATGATCTGAATTGCGATCAAATTCCATGATAAAAGATCAATGGAAACTGGGAATATCAGGATCCATTGTTAATCGGTAAGATAAAACTATACCAGCGTTACAAACAAGTTATCAGTTTCATTCAATGAAATATAATGTGAACAGATACAATTAATCCTATTCAATAATCACTATAAATGTTGAACAATAACTACTCCGTTTAATTGTCGATTACAACTGATTACAACGAATGTTAGAAACATACTGATTGTCACGATGACACTTCTAGCCATACAAACTATGGTACTAACTCTAACTAAGATTAACAAATGCTCTTAACTTAACGTGTGATTTAGTTATATTATTTTACATGTGTAGAAAAGTTAAATTTTGATTTAATGCAAAAAATACATGTGTATATCCATAATATGGTGTATTTTTCGCGACACATGAAAATTATAAATATTTGATAAATTTTCATAAACATAATTGTCCTACTACTTTATTCGAAAATGCAATTTCAAGGAGAATTATTATTAATTAATTCCACCAGAAACTAATAGAAAAACTTGGTGTCAATCCAACGACATGATGCCACCATCCAGGTGGGATGAATAACATTTCTCCAGGACCTAAGTAGCATAATGAACCTTTAGCTTTCTTAAAATTTGGCCATTTCTCAAACTCTGGGTTCATAGGATCAACCTGGGCAGTATTAGACAAGAGTCGCGTATCATAGGGATATAAGTTCAGACTATCCTCTGGACTATACAGTATGATTCTCTTGTAACCAAATACCTAAATAAATTTTGGGTTAAATACTCTGAGCCATTTTTAATCTAGAAATTAAATGCGTACCTGACATAGTAAGTTGTTTTTTGGATCATAATGTAAAGGAGAGACTGTACCATTTGGACCAAACCAGACATTTATATCAGGAATTGATGCTTCATCTTCTGTGTCAGAAAAATTACAGTAATCCGGTATTGCAAAATCATCTTTTAACTCTGGTATCTGTGAACGAAAAATGTTTCCTAGCATGAGTGATTGATTTTGATTAATCGATTAACTACTTGTTTTTTATATTGACCTGTTCAAAAAGCTGATGTTGAGCTAAATATCCTACTTTATCGCTTTTTCCACATATGTGTGAACGAATGAAGTCTGAAAAAGATATTAGATGCTGGGTCCAATCTTCTTCTGTGTAACGAGAACCTATTTCAATAGGTACTGTCCGAATTCCAGCTATTCTTATTAAATAGTCAGGGTTCTGCCATAATTCTAAAGCTTTCCAATGTTTCATACAACCTGTGAATTTTAATTTTTTTTTAATGATGAAGCATTTGTAGAATCATGCGAAACCTATGCTACAATTACCTTCTAAAACCGCTGGGATTTTGGGCATGAATATTTCTCGGTAGAATGTTTCCATTGAAGGTTCGTTATAAAGAGTCACTGGAGCAAATCCCGGAAGTAATATCTTTGATATTTCTTCATTGTTGATTAATGTTGTTTTATAATTTTCAGTTTTTAATGTTTCCTCTATTGTGATTATAACATAATTGTATATCGAGATTAAGGACAAGATATTTTATCCTTAAGTGACTATTTTTAATAATTCCACTTACCAGGTAATAAATTATTTAGTTTTGAAGCCATTGAAGTTAATAAATTAGGAGAGCATGGAGGTGGTGCTCCTAATAAAATACCTTTATCTACCTGTTTAATGATTTCTTCTAATATTTTTTGTTTATCTGCTGATTTCTCGCTTCTACTTTCATATTGAATTTCTAGCAGGATGGACTATATAGAACGAAATCAAAATAAATTGACTCATATTCAATTTGATGTTTATAATAGAATTGTATACCTTTAAAATAGTACAGTATGAGTAACAGTATCTGTATTGAATTGGAACATTTTTCCAATATCCTGAATTAAGCATTTCCCATGTGCGATCTAAGCAAGCTTCAATTCTTAATAGTGAATTTTCCACCCACTCAATAGTCAGTTTTCTTCAATGAATAATGTCAGTTATATCATTTTATAAAATGCTTTGCATTTAAGTAAAAATTTTTTATATTTACTTGCTGTTCTCATAGGAATACTTCAATTTCACTAATATTGAAATCAAATGTACTTTAATTTCACTGGGACTGTTTTCTTTAATATCGTTTGTCAAAGCCTCCCAAGGAATAGAACTGGTAGTTACAGGAGCAGAAAACATATTCTCTGAAAAGTGTATACAAGGAAAATTACAATTTCTGTTGTAAGAGTACAAATTTTAATTATATATAAATGCTTCTTGTATACACTGGTTTACTTAGGTATGGCCATTGTACTATAATAAAGTCAGCAATGTAGTACAGTATCTTCCCAGTTAACGAAAAGGTCTTCACTCTGCAGAAGCTTTCGATAAACACTATTTTAGTTCTACAGATAAAGAATATTTTCAAGAAGAATGCTACCATACATAATGGTATGCAAGTACCAGGACCATTACACAAAATAAGGTCTGGTTTTTCTTTCCAGAGAACGGGTATTGAATCAAGAATGGCTACGGTAGTTGTCCAAATAGCTGTAATATACGACTGACGGACTTCCCGACTACGGTATATCTGAACAATCCTGTAGTCCTTGTTATCTAATTCTAACTCCTTTACTTTATCTCCACTAATTTGGTCTGTACGCGCCTGTACATATATTCTTGGTGAATAATTTTTCAAGTCAATCTGAGAAACAATTCGTAACATCTCTGCAGTGTGTCCTCCAGAGCCCAATATTATTAATGTTTTGGCTGGGTGTATTCGAGATCCTTTTTTAGGCATTTTTCCATTTGCAAAGAAAATTAAATACAGTACCCTTGCTTGGAAAGTGATTAAAGCCAAAAAAAATATGCCTAGGAGATTGATAATCATAATAGTCTGATAGTTTTTACCTGCAAAGAACAATATAAAATCAATTAATATATATCAAATGTATTTAAAAAATTGCTATTCAGTAAAATTATGAATTACTATATTCTACATTTGTTTCAAGTTTTTAAAATAGAATCTTCAAATCCCTCTTTGATTAGTAGCAAATGAAAAGGTATTATTGGGCAAGTAGAATAGTTTAAATTTTAATAGTGGTATGTTCATATATTATGAATTATGTTGTATTATGTTGAATTTAATACCATTTGCGTGTTAAAATAATTGAAATATATAATGATCGACTATTGAAAAATGGTACGCTGGGAAAGTACAAGGAAATTATATCAAGCTTTAATACCAGTTACTGGAAACGTTCGAACTCGAACAAAGAACTGATCGGAGCGCTCAAGTATTTTGTGAAGTTTACAGCGCCCTTAAGTAGTGAATTTTGTAAAAACAGGGTGTAAAGCTGTCCATAAAAAAACCTGATAACACAGCTGTCGTACGAGCTTCAGTTTACTTCGTTCAAGACTTCAAATTAAACGAAGTGTAACAATTTCTTGTATACTACATACATATAAGATATATTGGTGAGATATATAACTTTACTGTATAATAATGTGCATGGTTGATTCTAACCTGTAACGTTATGACAGTAGTAGAAAAAAAGACGATTATTTAAGAAATAGCGTTTGATGTTAAATAAATTACAAATAAAACGGATTCAACGTGGACACAATCATAGCCAGTAATTTTCTAGTGTATCAGATCGATGCCATCTGCTGGAAATCATGAAAAGTCAATCTTTATATAAAAATGTCATATGTTACGTATTCAGTCATTATTCGTACAAAATAAGATTAGTTGATCCATTATTTATATTTTTCATTGTAGAGCGAGTCGCCACGTCATCACACAGTACTGAATTTGAATGTCAATTTGTCACTTAACCAATAATTTTACATCATTGGCTTGAAGTGCCGATCTCAATGTACCAAGGAAAATAAATACGGTTTCAAAACGTCGAGACATGTGCAACTGCTACGAAGTACTTTCAGATGGATGACAGGTAGTACAAGTATGGATCAGAGTAAGAAAGCTAAGGGGTCTGGTAGTGAATCCAGCCCCGGAAATGAAGCTGAAAGTTCACATTCAATAGAGGTATGCTAGACAATAGATGACATATATATTTAAGAAGAATTTGATTTTATATGTTCCATAATTTCCAGGTAGATAACTCAAGGTCAGTCCTACTCAAAATAGCTACCCTGTATGCAGAACGCCTCATGAATGATATCTGCCTTGTAGTAGATGGTGTAGAGTATCCAGCACACCGCCTTATTCTTTGCGCTTCTAGTGATGTTTTTCAAGTAAGATATGAATGTGTTGATACTACCAATTGACTTATAATCTTAATACTATCGTAAACGAATGAAATATTCTCCTCCAGGTGATGTTAATGAGTCCTCAATGGAGCGAGTCTCAGGAAAGCAGGGTAACGCTACAAGAAACACCACAATGTGCAGCCATATTCAGTGAATTTCTACGTTACTTCTACACTGGACAGATAAGAATTAATTATGGTGTAGTACTACCAATTTTATCCTTAGCCGACAAGTACAATGTCAAAGATTTAATTTCATTATGCATCAATTACATGCAAAGTCATATTGCAGTAGCAGCCACACATGGGACTCTAGTATCGTGGCTAGAGTACACCTTAAACTGTGGCCATCATGATATTACACAAATGTGTCAGAACTTTGTTAAGTGGAATTTTGAACTTGTAGCAAAGACTCCTGACTTCGGTAATTTTGAATTGGACGTTCTCGTATCCTTATTACACCAGAGTAGCTTAGTGATCAAAGACGAGATGACATTGTACGAATGTCTGGAGTCATGGTTGGATCTTCAAGTGAATCGCTTGAGAACCCAATTATCACCAGCAGAATTAGAAGCGACATTAGAACAGTTAGTAATTGCAATAATGACACCCGTTAGATTTCCCATGATGTCTCCTCGACAATTAGCAGAGTTACTTTTATCACCATTAACAAAAAAATATAAAGAGTTCTTTGTCGATCGAATGGCTATTGGAATGTATTTCCACTCAGGTCAGCACGAAAGAGTAAAAGAAGTCATTAGAAATGAAGAGGATAGTGCTTTGCTCTTTGAACCAAGACTCTACACAGTGGATACATGTAGTTCTCTGCTGACCATTGAAAATTTTCATAGCCTACCATCATATCACACCAGAACCCTGGTATTCTCGAGTCACTCCTATCTAGCAGAGTATGCAGGTGACCGAGCTTGTGAATGGGTCGTAGACATTTACCCTAAGGGTGTCTGGTTCAAAAAGTTCTACCTCATAGTATGGCAGGGTACGGTTGAGGTACCAGAACGCGTGATACGCTCAGTCAGGTTGTCATTGACATGTAGGGAACCACCACAGAATCGTGAATCTGATATGAGGGTGAAGGTGGGTGTCTTGTTCTATGGACTTCAGGATGGTGTTGAGCATATTGCCAGGGTAACTGAAGTGATACATCGATTTAGTGCGGATGACCGTGTCCTGAACTTAGACGATTTGTTGCCGTTTGAGGAACTCAATCCCCAACAGGGTTCTGTTCCTTCTGGGACTGCTATCTCACCACTTCTTGTAGGTCCCAATAAAGACATGCTCAAATTGCACATTGTTATCTCACCAGCTGATTAAAATCAATTTGATATTAATGAACATTAGATCTTCGCGTAATTGAATTATGGTGCTTTTTAATTCGTGGTCAACAATCAATATGTAAGATACAGTAGACACGATGAACAAAGATTCTGACATACATGGGTTAATATAAAGAGAAATGGCACTTTATTTATTTTCATTCAATTGTACTTGAAAAATACAATAGGGCAAGATAAAGTATGGTATCTTATATTACAAAAACGTCAGGTGCAAGGAGTGTAGGTATCAATTGAATTGCGTGTTTCATATTGAATAATGAAAAGTCAAGTATATTTAGCATAGCTTTTTCCAAACGTACACCTGTAAGGCGAAATAATGTCTCAGTATAGAAAAAGAAATATTTTCCGTTTGTTTACTTCTAAATAAAATTCTAAATAGCTACTTAAGGTAGGGAAAGAAATTTGCACAGTGACAGTGTATCTTAGTATATGTAGATTTTGTGAAGATATTGGATAATAAGAATTATTAAGAGTTTACAAATTTTATTTATGATAAATTCATAAAATATTTAAAGTTATTCTACTAAAATTCCATAAAATTGGAAAATAACTGACAATATGCATATTTATTATACTAGTTCGTTATCAAACATTGCATAAAAACATCAGATTACAACCTATATATTTGAACAAATCACCATTATTCTTAGATTTTTCATATAGCATACTGTCACAGTGGGCGAAAAGATACTGCAAAACTATAATTGGGAATTGTATTAAAAAACAAGGATTTATATATTTAAAGATATAAGGACAACAACTTTATGAATTAATTTATACGTTAGAAGATATTAACATTTGTTTCTTGTTTTTTCGAGCTGAAATAGCTTCTCTATAAGAAATATCGTTTCGTAATGACATGTCACGAGCACTGTGCAGTGCCGTAAAAATAAACTCCATAATCATAAGAATTGTGTACCTTGAAAGTGAATGGTGCGATAAGAGAAGGGATTCCCTGATATCAGACTGACACAAGTATAATTGCGATAACATATCGTCACACTGTAGCGTCTGACATAATCGCAAAAGAATAAGTACACACATTTTAAATTGCAAAAATATTATGTATCACCTAATTGTTTTAATTTGACCAATTGTTCCTTCTCGAACTAATCTTGTCACTTAGTGATATAGATTTATGATAAAAATATTGCTATTATTGTACTGCCAGTAATAAAAAGAAATTGTATTTGTTATAGATTGGTGGATTCTTCTTTGTTTCCTGATTGTTATCTAATAACTGTAAACTTTCAAGAAATCTATTTCCTCACGGGATGAATGGGATGATCCATGTGAGATAAATCGGGTGGATTTTTCTCAAAATGACTAATCTCACGCATCCCGCCAGCAGCGATTTCCCAAAGATCTGGATACTTTGTTTTAAAGTTGTTGTACCATTTCTCTACGCGTGGCCATGGTCCCAGTTTGAAGTCAATAGCCTCCAGGCACATAGTGGCTGTGACTAATGGAAAGTCGGCAATGGTCAAGTCATCTGAAGAATAAGGAACAATTATAAAACAATTAGATATTTCATTTATTTTAAAATACTGTAATGCAATGGAATACTAACTTCCAGCTGCATATGTTGAATTATCACGTTTTAGATAAGTCTCGAATATATCTAAGCCCATCTTCATCTTTTTCAGACCCAAAGGAGTTCTTTGATAATCAAAGAAAATCGGTGCCATCTAAACAATGCATATATAACTTTGTTATCTAAGAGACAAATACTATAATATCTAACACTACAAATAATAGTATGTGGATACTCACCACATACTCAGAAATGTTACGATAATAGAGAGCCAAATTGAAGCACAGTCTATGATTGACAATGGCTCGTGATTTTGGATCCTTAGGATAAAGCTTACCAGCCGTATCATATTTATCACCCAGGTATTGCAAAATGGCATTGCTACAAGAGATATTTAACTATCATACTCTATTTTATCATAATTACAATCGAAATACTTTACCTCTCTCCCATAGTAAGATCATCATCCACCAGAACTGGAATTTCTTTTTGTGGATTTAACTAAAGTATGAAAAATTTGTTTAGAAAATCGACACAAGCTTACTCTAGAAAAATTATCAAGAAAAATACCTCTTCATATTCCTTAGTCATATGTTCCCCTTTGCCAAAATCCACATCAATCAATTCATAATCAATTTTCAAAGCTTTCAGTGCCTGTCGACAGGCAAGAGAAGGTGGTCCATCGGATACTGAGTACAGCTTCATATTTTCTAAAACAAGAAACGTCCAATTAATTTCTTTACTTTGGTGATAAATATAAATAGAAAACGTCTTACTAACAATTCAGATAGTACGCCCGTACTGTCTTCAGCAGGAATGAAGTCGCGAGATAAAATCACGAACATGTACTGGAAACACCTTTCACTTATTCCTCCCACAAGGTCTGATACGGTAATACAGTCAACTTTTCTTAAAGAGGTGTTCCATAATTTCACGTTTCCCCTCCACGCTCTGTCTAAGCCTTCTTGCTGCGAGGGGAATGACTCCTCCTTTCTATATTGAAGTGTTTGGTCCTTACCTTCATAGGGCGCGGTATGGCAGTGAGTGTTCATACCTACCGACCATGCCTGTTTATCATCTTAATGATAATCAGTTTCTGTTCAAGTTCGATTTTCTCTCATAATAAATTAGTTTTACCATAACTAGAATCCACCTTAGATATTTAACGATGAATCACGTATATTCTTGTACTCGATGAGATACACTAGAGTAACGATATTTATACTGACAAATATAATAACACCCGCATTAGTCTCTTGTCGGATAATTGACAGCTATATTGAAATATTATAACCGTTGAGAATATATCTTTGAGAAAAATAATATATATATAGGATGTTACTTCGCGTGTAGTCTTAACTATAATGTATTTAGTTAATAACACGTATTTCTCTTTAACTATTCCAAATCTGTGAAACATAATAAAATTTATAATCCGAATGAGCAATACATTTTTTGAATCTCCTCATCAACGTAAGAAATCGTGAATAATCTTATTACACTTAAATGACGACTATGAACACCTGATGAACAATTCAAATTAATTATTTTTAGATGGTTGTACGTTAAAATGTACTAAATATCAATTACAAGTCTCCCTAAGATTATTTACGAGTCTTGTAATTGTCTAATAATAAGATACATACGACACCTGGCACACAACTGAGAAAATTGCGTTTAACCCCTTCGACGACAAACAGAATTGAATCAGTTTGTATTCCAGTGGACAAAAAAAATGTAACTGAATTTCAACAACTGGAATCTAAGGTATTTTTGGGTTCGCTAAATACAAATTCGAAGTAAAAATTCTAAAATTCAAAATGAATCCAATATTTTACTGAAAAGAACGACATTACGCCACATAGCGTCAGTGCCGTCGAAGGGGTTAATTACTGAAATCTTGCATCCCTTATTTAAACATAATATTCGCTATGCATGCACAGGTACGAATTCGAGTCTTCAAATAATAGCCGGCTGTTCCAGAATAGAACGTTTCCATTAAAAAAACAATAAGTCCTTTGATCGAAGGTCGCTATTACATTATAAAAAAATTGAAGAAAATCGACAGAATTGTACTCTTATTATAACGTCATGAAAAGTTACGAGATATTGTAGCTATATATTTTCACAACCACCTTGTATCAACTCATATAAATATGTCCTTGTATTTCCTCAGCCATCATCATAAACGTCGATCATCCCTGTTTCCGGAAACGCATTGACTGAACAATATGTCAAGAAGAATTCAATCTCCTGTGTACATTTAACAAGAAGACTCAGACCACCGCACAGCAGCGGCTGACAATATGATATAATTCTGACTCTATTGTCAATTTTCATCTCTATATTAAACATACTCGCGCTACCTAATTCACTAGACGTGGACCAGATCATCGAGAAATCAAGATCGGCTATGCATTTGATAGTGAAAGATGACAACAATGGACTCGGTCACCGAACCCTTCCGGAAGGCGAACGAAGATGCGACTTTATATATCCGGTACGATAATCAATTACGTCACGTGATGTACCGCCTGGCACCCCGTGCCTGTGTCTCCTGCTCCATCTGAAAAGAAATCCAATGATCATTAGAATTTTTAAAAATCTTCAAACATTGATTTACCAGTTAGCATGCAGACCACTCTGTACCTTCCGTATCTCATGGATTTATTTATATCCTCGTTTTTATACTATTATCTAACATACACTGAGAGACTGATAGATAGATAGAAAGAATGATAGATAAGTGAATAGAATATAGTTTTCTTGTGGAAAGAAAAACAAAAAACAAACATTGAATATCGCTCTTATGACAGACGCCACGATGCTTCATTCCATATGTATATATAGCACATTCAAAAAGTCATTAAGAATATTTCTAAATGATGTATTAACGTATCACTACGAATTTACGAGGATTACGGTATTCACGCTGACTTTATCACTGTCTAGAATATGGATCTGTAGGATCTTCACGTCTCTTATGATATATACTATTATATAAGTACATCTAGAAAGAATATATATTCTGAACTATACCGTAGCCGTTCAAATTGTACACTATATAATATACATCGAGATTACAATACCTATTAATTTATTACCTGGTAGTTATACTGATAAGGTACATACGTTTACATACACCTGGCAGATACAGTGTGATCTAATCGTTATAGCAGCACTCGGTGATACCTCGGCAATGTAATTTATACTCTAGTAATATATATTTCAATAGTTTCAATATATCAAGGACCGTTAACATAGATCTGATAGTAAAAGTATATCCGACAGAAGAGTGATAATCCTTTCCCAAATAGTGAAACGATTCAGTAGAGTCTAACGATGTTGGTTTTAAAAAAATGTGTAACTCCCTTACTCATCAGTTCTGTAATCCTTATCGCAGAAGGTTGTCAATGAGTTGATCAGTAAGTGAAACAGAAAGTTAATATGTAAGGAGGCACAGAGAGATAGAGCAGTGCCATCGGCAAGAAGCTACCAGAAAGCTTATTATTTATTGAATCTCAATTTGGTTAAACGTATTTTAGGTCATACCTTGTTGAACTTGAGGGGCGATGAACGAACGATGATGGTTGTTAGTAGTGGTTGAGATTGAGGTAGGGACGCGATGCGAGGGTTCTGAGGATGAGGAGATGTTGGCGTTATGATGATGGAGGATGTTCGTGGTTGAGGTGGTGGTTGTGTTGTTGTTGGTTGCGGAGAGTGGAAGGAGGGTTTGTCCGTCGCCCTGAGAAGAGGAGACCCCGTAGTTCCGACGAAATTGACGATGCTGGATCGATTGTCTCCGGCTCCTATTGACACCCCTGTCAACCCCACGATGCTGCGAACTTGTCGTACTGCATCAACCCCATTGATTCGTTCGTAGTAAATTATACAGACCCATTGTGATACTCTTACTGCATTCTTTACAGAGCATTTTACAACCCCTACGTACAGTGTATTGTACTTTAACGCGAGCAAATCCCTAGACGAACTAGTATGATTTCTGCCAATTAGTTATAATGTAGTAATTTTTATTTATTCCTTCCTGTTTTTCTCCTGATTAATAATTGCTTTTCTTATGGTTGCTAACTTCATAAGGATTGTTATTACAGTCGGATCTGCGATACTGACAGATTTCGATGCACGAAGCTTCGGGCGCTGACCGTTTTACCTAACCTTTTTGTCTTCCAATCGCGTATAGTTGGAGAGAGTGGTCTCCCTAGACGAAGCAATGCGCTCCACAGTAATTTGTAATACATAGAGGGTGCATGCATAAATAGCCCCGTGTGGCCCCGTGGTTTAGCGACGGCACTGTTAACGCTGTCAGTTTCAAAGGTTATTAAACGGTCAGTGCCGGAGGTTGGCCAGTGCCACAGGTGTCAGTGCCACAGGCCCGAATGTACTTGTTGCACTCATCATTAATGAATGGGTTAATTGGATGCTGTTTTAATTTCTTTTCGCCTTTTATTTTTGAATGACAGCTCTCACGCATCTAATTCGCTTTAGGTACACTATGATTAATTTGTTCGTATCTTATACTTGAAATTTGATACATTTAAGCTCGTTATGTTGTGTGATCGCATGAATTTTGTGATTTATAAGAAGTGAGGATGATTAATCATGCCGACAGGTCGAAGAGATAAGCTCATGCACGTTATTTTTTTTTGTAAGCGGTGCGCACCTCAAACTGACGGAAATTAATTAGTAACGAGAAAGTCCATGCACCCATTGATAGTATTATTCTTGTTTGCAGATTACCGATAATTCACCTCTATCCTGGTTTGATATTATTTTTTTTGTTCCTGTCTTCACTTTTAAGCTCACTCTTAATATCACTATAATATTTCACTATTGACATTATAAAGAAAAGATACGAAATACACGGACACTTCACTGCTCAACTTAATTAACTGTTGGGTTATCATTGTTAATGCGTATGATATGAAGTAATGTAATCGTGCGCTTGCTTCCGTAATGGCAGAGAGAAAAATGAATTTTCGAATGATTCGACTTTTTAGGTGAATTTTCAGTACGATCAAGCAAACAAGATATATGCGATGTATTTTCTTACCTTGTACTGTGACTCATGATGACTATGTTTCTGTAACAGCATATAATGGATCCTGATTGTTGGGAAGCGAGTGATGAAGTGTCGATATCGATTCACACACAATAAATAAACAGTTCAGGCAATGAACTTTTATCAGACTGTCCTTTCGAACATAATGTTTCTCTTAATAGTTCAAGAATTGGATCCCTTGTTGCATTGCATCACACGGTAATAAGTTAACCTCAATATTTCGAAATCTTTACCAACTGATTATTAGTACATACAAAATACAAATCAACGGGGTGCATTAGACTTTAACGGTGAAAACATTGAAGTTAAAGTGATTTAGTTATGGCAAAAAGTGGTGCACGATTAACTAAATTTGTATGTCCTAAATGTGCGTAATATGCCTAACACAGTCTGATTTCAATGATAGAGCAAGTGTAGTTCATTACACCGAAAGCATCAAATATTAATTTCGTAAAATTAGCTTACTTTTAGTTGAATTTAATTTATTGAATACTTATCATTATTGCATGAACTGTCGTGATATTGTTAACACCGAAGGTCATGACGTGCTTTCCCTTAAAGATATATGGGTCAGAAGTATACAATAAGTGAAAATTCTAAATTTTTATATATCATAATTATTGATGTTGATATCTATACGAAATTTCAAGGCTTCTCACGGACTATTTAAAAAAAGATAATTAATGAAAATTGGGATTGTTGTCCCAGTGGCCAAACGTAACTTGTGTATTGATAATTCATATACTGACATAGTAGACTCTCTCTTGACGCCCCATACATCCTTAATAAAAATGAAAGGATATAAATGTGCTTTTAGAAAATTCCCCTTTGCTCCAAAGTATGTATGTACACTTTTCAATTTAATCGATAAAACTCGACTAGTCCGTAATTACTTATCCAAAAATAAAGAATGTCACTATTGGAAGTTTCTAAACGAGAGAACAAGTACGAGAATAAATAGAATTTCTAGAGCTTCTAAAGTCTTACGTTAATCAACTATAGTACTAATAGTATGATATTGACAAAAAGCATATATATATGTATGTTCCCACGAATAATCGCGAGACAATCTCAAGATATTTAACATACACTCGATATGAAAATTTAACTTATACTTTGAGCAGACTGAAAAGATGGTGGAAGAGTGTAAAAGTAAGTAATATATATATATATAGGCTATCTTGTCAAGCATAATCCTACTTCAGTGAGACTACGCGCTGGCCTCTATTTTGGTGCAAAAGTAAACGACAGTTGGATATCCTTGCAAGAGTATATATATATATAGATATAGGATGTATATATAAAACTCTAAGAAAACTAAAGACTAAGGAAAATTAAGTGTAGAATTAAAATGCATACCATGAGTCTGTTATGTGACAAAATTTTTAAATACATACCGAAGTAGTCTCGTTATGTAATCGGGCCAGTTATCCGGAAACATCACGAGGAAGAATCCAACAGCAATGAGGATCATCCCTGCCAACTTCATTCCCACAAAATGGGCTCCATACAGAACCACGTCCAGGGCTGTAAAAGAGCAATCGTGTATGAGTAATGGTAGAAAAAAAAAGTATTTCAATCTTGTAAACGCATCGGAAATTGTATTATCTGATTATTATACCGGCAGATACTGGTACAGCTGTGATTAATCCCAGGGTGATGAAGAGATCATAGGTCAATGCGATACTGAAGTTGCCCAGCATATTAGCAACTGTAATAATAGAAGGATATATGGTAATTCCTACTCGGTAATACCTTATTCATCAATTCAATTAATTAATGACTGACCTAAATGTAAAATACTGGCTGCAAGTAATGTTGCCCATGGTAATCTCGCCCAATGAACACTTTCTGCGCCCGAGAAGTACAGAGCCAAACACACGGGCCACAGTAATGCAGCATTGCACAAGCCGATGAGTGAAAAAAATAAGGACACCTGACCAAACGTCGTTTCGCCTATAACTTTCTTAAACAGGACCTGTATAAGAGAGAAAATGTTTTTTTCATAATTTTATTTAAATTACTGTATGAGTCTTGTATGCTGAACCTGTGAAAAATTCTACCTTATAAACGGCGGATCCTGCAGCAGCAGAAGCTGCCAAAACGACTCCACCCAAAGTTGGACTTCCTGTGATGCCATCCATATAAGCTAAGAGGGCAATTCCGGTATCACACAGAATGACTGCTACTATCTATGGATTTTCAAACAATTATTACATCTTTTGACTTTGGCATCTTTGTTTAATTTGATAGAAGGTACTTAAAGAAACAAGAAAGGTAATACTGACCCTTACACCAACAAACTGTTCATGCAAAATGACCCATGACAGAAGATAGACGCAGGACACGTTGGTGGCAAAGAGTGCCATAACATCAGTAGCCAATAAAATTCTCAGAGAATGAATATACATGTAATTAGTGGCAACCCAGAGTCCGCAGAAGAGGCTGCACCTGGTCAAGAAGCGTCCACCAGTGAAGCCTTTATCTCGAAATCCTCGCAGACTTTCCGCAACGATTTCCGAGGGGTTAGAGCACTTGGTCCTAGCAGCTCTGCAGATAAAGTACACTGGGAAGTACAGTACAGCCCAGTTTGTACAAAACCACGTTGTGAAGAACGGAGCATTGTATGGAAGCACCTAACAAATAAGAAAAGTTCATGGCATAAAATACTAGAAATCGTCACTCGTATCCCACTGACAATATCATTTCAAATAATTACATGGTGATGAGGATGTCCAGTCACTGATGAATTCAATGATGGCGAATACTCAATACTCTCTGGTTTGCGAAAGAATAAATATCTAATACAGTGAGTAGCACCGACCCAGCTAGCAGTTACACATATAGTAACACATACTCCAAAATATATCTGCAATTAATAATGTAAATATCAATGCATAATTAATAAAAATTACCTATCTATCTAATATCTACCTTTTTGGCGGATTCCGCACAGCAGGACGCGTAGCAGGAGGATGATGAGCTTTGTGGATGTTGGTAATTAACGGCAGGGTTACTTATGAGGCACGAGGGTGTACTTGGACCTTGACTTTGTCCTTGTATCTGACCACCTCCACCTGGACCTCCAGGACCACCCCCACCGCTGCCAACCCCAGAGCCAGTTGTTTCTACTGACCTACAGCTCGATCCAGAATCACCACATGTTACTGCTGTACTGCAACCTTGCTGTTCACAACCTGTAAAGAAAAAGAGGTTTGATTAAAACATACAAATTGATTATACCTTATCGATTAATTATATTCGCCAAATAATCTTACATACCAGATGTGTCTAGAACGACTTGCACAGGACTTGCGTAAGGACCGTTGTTCCGTTGATCCTCGCTAAGGACTATACTGGGTGCTCTGGATCTTCTAGGATGAAATATTGTTGGTATCTCACCAACTCCACCACTGCCCATTTCTGAGTTCACTGAAATTATTAAAATTAAATCAATTATCATTGAAACCTCGTATGCTTATCACCTAATGGCAATCAACTAACGCGACTCATAATTTATTCATGGTTTCTGAATTATCACAGTGATTAGAAGTTGCGTGCAGCACAGTAATTTCATTTGAATCGATTGCACGATACATAAAAAGGAAAGAACTTCACAGGGTGCACGTAAAATACCCAACGATTGTCACGCTAAGAAAATTAAAGCTAGTCCCTGTAGTAATCCAACAATTTTGAATCGTTAAACTCAAAAAAATTACAAAAAAATCACCCAGCCATCCCAGTACTACCAATTACAACAATAAAATTCAACAGAATCTTCCCTCCTAATTACATTCAATTAATCGATCAATTGAAAAGAAATCTAATATAGGTAAACAATATAAAAACAATTTCTCTACCTCAATGATTATCCCAGCTGAGCGTCCAGTCAAAGAGGTGCAGCCCCACTTGATACGTTTCCATAATCCATCCTAGATGTCAATATCACGTTGCACAGGCACCATTGGCATATAAATATCACCAGTATCCACAGGGTCGATTATTCAATTCGCACATCAACGTTTTCTATGGCTGCACCCCAATTAGCAAATTCTCTAACGACGTTCCAATAAAGCGTCAACCCATTAGAGTAGTCGGTATACCATAACAAGACAAAAGGGTTGACGTGGTGTCAAAGCTCTACGACACAGTACAGGTATAAGGATTGAAAATAAAGTCCAAAGGAGTATCATAAACCCTCGACAGGAATAATCGACAAGGATGGAAGTTTCGAATATTGAAAAATGAATATACTTTGAAAGACTCCGTGGACACACTGTTTCGACTACAGTAGATACGGCTTCAACTCCCTCCTTGTTACGCCATTGATTACTAGGCCTTGGGTATGCCACAGTACGTGGTGCATTTGCTTAGGGCGACTGCGCGAAATACTTTACATCTTTTAGCCTTTTCTTTTTATGAAATTTATTGTACAGTGCAGCACTACACAGGAACAGAAGGGATGCTGATAATAGGATAAATAAAAAAATGGATATCTCAAGGGACTGATTGTATATCCATGAAAATATAAAGATCAAAGCAGACGACGGTAATGATAAAAAGACGTGTATTGTTATACGTAGAAAAATATTTTATTGTTTGTCTTCTGAAAATGAGAGACTTGATGAATTACAGTGATGTGCATGATGGGACGGTTTCTCTTGTTTTTTTAATTATTTTTTTTAGTCTCTGGTATTCCTTTAAGAATCTCCTTTGATTTCCTGCAGGACCACCTGCGCGCAATACCTTCTCTCTCTCTCTCTCTCTCTCTCTCTCACATACACACACACACTCTTACATTCTCTCTCTCTCTGTCTCTCTCCCTCCTTAAAAGGATTCAAGTACAAGTAGACGTGTATACATAGTACATTCATAGAGAATATAATTAATAAAGTGTAATAGTAAATAACAGATGGTCGACTGTCTCTATGCAGCAGCATGGGGATCTCGTACGTTAAAAAATAAATAATTATATCAATATTTATTTACCCAAATAGTGGCTAGAATCGATATTTAATCCAATGATTTCTCCACGAGGATCAACGAAGAGCTATTTATTAATTTACGTGACGTACGCAAATAATAAGTCTTTTGCACACTCAGTATGACGTTGCCATCTGTATTTACTATGGTGACAGAAAATTAGATCAATAAATTAAATATCGCAAATATAGAAAGTCGTAACGCGGACTAGCTGCAACAATTATCACAGAATAACACAGAATATCATTCTAAGGAATGATCAGTCTGCCGTACACATATATATATACATACATAAAAATTAAAATAGTAAATTTGCCATGACAAAGTGCCGATTAATCAGCTTTGATTAAGAAACAAGACGCTTTTATTTTTTTTAACAGAAATATAAATAAAGATTACGTCATACTCTTCGTAAGCTCATGGAAGCTTTTAAAATTGGCGCCAATTCTGAACTTCTCGATTTATTATTGTGAAATTGTATCACTTTTATACGCATGGAGAAAAATACATATAACCCAAAAAAAAAGATCTTAGAAACTTCAGGATACGAAATGTATTTTAAATATCTCAAATTTCTTTCTATCCAATCCTATAATCTCGTATATCATAATCATCCACGTGCAATTACTGTGACTGTGTTATTCTATGATACACCAGATCGAATCGTAGTGCACGATATCGATCTTACTCTAAGAGTCATCGCATATCGTGTACACGATGAAACGTCAGTACTTCGGATGGTCCTGTTGGATCCGATGATTATTATCATCTACGACCTATATACTGACAGGCTATGGCGAACATCACGAGAAAAGTATATATAGCACACGCATGCACATTAGAAATGAAAAAATATTCTTTTCCGTATTAAACATGCCGCATAGGGACGTTCCAACGAACCCAACATTGATAAGGCATCTTTTGCATTAGAGACAATAAAAAAAATAAAAGTCACACAAGCATGAATTCCTATGAAAATAAAATCGCACGGTGACCATCAAGCAAAGAGACGTCCATAATGTAAATTCAATGGTTCTTAGATTCGTATACGAATGGCAGTGAGTGGTATAGCTTGCGAGGAACATGATTTTACGTTAAATAAAATAATAACCATACGAGTATAATAGCGGTTGAACAAGTACTTTGGTTGGGTAGATATAGAGTGATGAATTTGACTGCATTTAAAATCTACCGGAACAGCGTGAAAACCATGCAAAATCGTAAGACGTCGATAACCGTTGATAAAAGGGTAAGTAGCGTAATTAATTCTATAGTCTTTTTGCTTAATACTTTTTTCTTAATCTACGTAAACTTAATTGTGGATTGGTGGAACAACAGCCGTAATTAGTCGCATTGGCGCATATATGTAATACGTTATATTCAGTCAATCGTAATAGAAAGTCTAACATATCCAATATACTATACACGTTACATGATAAAACGAAAGGTAACGGCTAAGGATGGTATATAATCTAACCTGTAAAAAAATATTCTTTAACAAAGTATTCTCGTTGCGCGACAATACAATTCCCGTTATATACAGCGAGTTTGGTGCTCTTACAAAAGAATGATAAATAATACGACACATTGGAGCGTATACAGAATTAATCAGTTATGTAAGACGCTGCACTGCCATTAGATCCTTATATCGATAAAGGGGATCATCGTTTAAAGTAATAAATACACCTCTCGTCTCCGAAGAGTTTTCTTTTTTTCTTTTTTAACAACGTTAGTCGAACATAGTTAACGTTTCTTTTAGGTTCACGAAAGGTCACAGCTTCGGGGAATTTGTTTTTTTATGTCCTTTTGTTTATTTAGCGAGCGAGCGATGAGAATTATTTACACATATTTTTCACATAATAGACAATGATTCAATATAATTAATTCGTAATCAAGAGCCTAGGCAACGTATTAACAATAAATAATTACATAAAACCAGATGCCGAAGTTATTAAATTTTTCGCCGATATTGTCATCTAATGTTTATTAAGCTTCGTTATCATCGTTAATCTTCCTTCATCATCGTCATCATTGAATTAATTTTAAGAGATAATAATGAAACCGTACATATTCTAATTCAATTATTAATAATGCAAACCTTACTGAGCTTATCTTTCTGTAACTTGACAACAAAATGATGTAAGGTGAACAGCTACTTTCTTTTATCTTTTTAAATATTTCCCTTTTTCCCGCGCACTCTCTCTCTCTCTCTCCCCCGCGCATTCACTCTTCCTCATTCTCATGATCATTCACACATTTTTCTTTTCTCTCTTCGTACAAATACGCAATCTGGCGAATGTTCGTTAACGTTATTCCTAAACAAAAAAGAAGAAGATATATCACATTTATTTTTCAAACTTTCCCGCGCGATTGCCTATCGATTTAAAATCAAGTGTATCGAAAGTGACAGGTATAACGATAGTCGATTTAAGTATAAGATGGCCTACTCTTTGATAGTCTAATGATTATCTGGATCTGTCGTTTACTTAACAATGACTATAATCGAAGCAACATTAATTTGACTGCTACGTCAGGCGGTAATCATCGACTATCATTCGTGAGAAATATTAACCGACAGAAAGAATTCGATACTCGATGATCTTCCGACCAAACGACAGCAGTTTCGTTCGTTTTAATAAGTGACATTGTACTAAGCCCGTAAATACAAATTTCATCATTGCCAGAATATCATTCATACGTTACACCGGAGTTATCCTGAATAGAGTACTCGATAACTAATAACGAATGCTGTCTTCTAATGCGATTTTCGTATGCACTTTTTCGTATTATTGTTTCTGGACTTTTTGTTTTTAACGACTACGCGCAGTCAATAGATTTAATCAAGGCACATTGAACCTGTCCTACGTCATACAATTATACTGCTTGGGCAATATGTAAAATTGTGTTATCAAGTTTCGTTCCTCGCGTTATCGGAATATGCGAAATATTAACTGTATTTACTTGAGTAATTATCAGCGTATGATTTTAATGACAGGCAAAACAGACAGGCGCCTTTTCATTGGATTAAGGTGTGTCATCATTAATTTTTCATTCAACCGTAACGACGTTCATCTTGTTTGTAAAATATTATCGCAATGAGTGTCTAACGATGAATGACGGTTATGTTATCATGAGCTACGATTTGCCGTGAGGATGTTCATATGTAATGTATATACATGCGGGTATAGATCAGATCAAGAGTTCGTATCTCAAAATAATATAACTCGTGTAATTAATTGTAACGCAATTAAAAAAAGAACAGAAAATTTTTTAAGTAATTAACTGTGCCTAATCTGCTCAAACACTCTTGGTCCGTTCGATCGTACTAGTGAAATTTAAACGTTTCCCTCAAATACAAATAACACTGGGTTTCTCTACGTTTTCTTAAATATCTATTTATAGTGACCTCGTTCAACGTATACGACTATTATACAATGCATCATTAATTCTCAATGATAGTCCGTGTATACGAGAGGTTTAATATACGACTGATTTATCATTAATATGTAGTATAAACGTGACTCGTTAATGATCCCGTGTGACTATATGAAGTTTTTGAATTTCTTTGAGTATTATTTTCCTCTCTAAATTATATGTGCATATTTAACAGTGACTTGCATAATGCTAGATGCATTCCTACAGGCAAATGTTATTATGATCCATTGGTACATGCAGAAAGACATTTGTGATGTCAAAGAGTAAAGTGAATACGATCAAAACGAACAATCATAATATCATTGAGAGAAAATTCGAAGAACGACAAAACATTGGTGGAATTTTATTGCAGTCATAAAAATTCGTTCAATTTGTAACAACGAAGGAAATAAAATAAAAAAAAAAGAAGTCAAACGAGGAACATGTCAGAGAGTGTGAATTAATTTAGTTTTATCATGGTCAAATACACCAGTGATTGACACAGTGAATTATGCGATTTCTTAAATACAAAATATGTTGCGTTGCAAAAAACATTAACTCCTATCGACATGTTCGGTAGATCCGTTGATAATAATAATTATTGTGGATTTTATCCCAAGAAATATGTATACTATACGTATGTCTGTACCTGTACGTACGTATCTATTTCTCCCTAAATATATATTTATATCTAGATATATATAGATATATCTATGTATTTAGGATATATGTACACATTTTATTCTACAATTGACACTATACCGTATGCTCAGTATCATTTAGAGACAAATTTTTGTGTTTTACCTTGCGGCTTTGTCTTTTGGAAGCCTTCCTCGATGCCTTGGCCTCCCTAGTGTCTTGCACTGGCTTACTAATACCTAGTCTGAAGCGTATGGGAACCTTGGAGTCCACAGTTTCATCTGAGAAGAGTGAAAAGAGAAGTGTATTAATAAAACAGAAAGTAAACGGAAATATAACGTAGATAAAGACGGGAGCGTAGATGGTGAAATAATAGTTACAGTTAAGAAAACTAATTGTTCGAAGCCATTCGTGTCTTGTTGTTCTCAAAATTTACAAGACAAATCTCAAATAAATGTCTAGGATTATGTACCTTCGGAATCATGTAATTCGGAAACAGGACGATGAAGCACAGTCACGCGTCTCACTTCTTTTTGATTCGCTATGAAATACAAGATTCCTTGATTACACACTCATTAAATGCAGTATAATCAGAGTGAATGAGGCTTTTTTTTGGTGTTGTTATCTGATTTAACAGGATATTGAATTTAAAAATAGGAACTGAAACGATAGAGAAAAATTATGAATGCTTACATTTGTCATCGGTCTTAACGATGTGTCTTCGATTTACTTTTGCATTAGTTTTAGCGGCTCTGTAAAAAAAATAATGTGATTAAAGATAATGATTTCTTATAATTAATGAGTTTGGAAGAAATTTATTAGAATACTTACTCGCTGACAACTCCTTTGAATGCTGATTGTACGAGTCTTGCAGATTGAATGGGCGCTGTTCTGTTTAATCTCTCAGCACGCCTTCTGCTGAGTTCAGCACGTAAGTCACCTTCTTCGTCGACTGTCAGATCCTCGATGATAGTTTCTACCTCTTCGTTAGGACCATCCACGTCTTTGTGCTTCTTACATTTCTTCTCTTTCCCAATACGCTCTGAAAGAGGCAATTCATTTTTCAATTTTCCAACTTGATACAGCTCTTTGTCCCTCTTCTTTTTCTTTTTCGATGGCTTCTCTTTTTCGATCTTCACTGGCTCAGGTTCTTCGCACACTGTTACTGAACTTGCAACAGTAACCACAGATGTTTCATCCATTGATTCTGGTAAATCCTCAAACTCATAATCCACATCTAAGCACAAATCTGATTCCGCTGCATCGTACTCTACAGGGCTGTTAGGAGCTTTTTTTATAGCTACACTGGTAGTTTCCTGGGTGGGTTCTTCTGGAGGTTCTGGTTTTTTGGATGTACTGTCTTTTTTAGTTAACTTGATTTTTTTATTAGCGTGAACAGGATCTATAGGTTTTGTCGATTCAAACTTGCGGCGTCGAGCTTCCAAGATTGGGTCGTTTACCACATTTTGGGATTCCTTGTTAGAGTCAGTAACTACCACAGTAGGTTTGTCGGGCACGTCTTCTCTTTGCTTCAGTTTTGTCCTCGTGTTATCTGGTGATTTACCTTTTGGTACCGGAGACACATCCCTTTTGGGTGGAGGGTTAGTAGGTCCGTCAGGAGTAATAGAGCGTGCTCTAGGCTTTCGAGACGATTCCTTCGGAGACCACTTCGGGGATCGTCGTCGTCTAGGAGAAAGTCTGGGTGAATTTCTTGGTGAAGACCATGGTGACTCGTGCGGTGATGGTCTAGGGGATCGGATACGTGGTGGAGATCTTCTAGGAGAACGTTTTGGAGACCTAAACCGCGGAGAACCTCTCCGGGGAGACAATCGGGGAGTTCTCGATCGAGGTGATGGTCTTCGTGCAGGTGACAACCGACGGGGTGATAACCTCGGTGACTTCAACTGTGGTGACAATTTTGGAGATCTCGATCTTGATGAATGTCTGGTAGGCGATCGTCTTGGTGATAATCGTGGCGACCTTGATCGTGGCAGTCGTGGTGATCTAGGTCTTGGAGACATTCTTGGCGATCTAATGGGTCTTGGTGATCTTGATCTAGAAGATAATCGGGGTGATCGTGATCGTAATGATCTGGGTGACCTTACATGAGATGACGCTCTAGGTGATCTTCCTCTGGGTGATAATTTTCTTAATGGTGACCTTTTAGGAGATCTGTTCGGTGACCGTCGCGGGGATGATCTTGGTGATCTTAAACGTGGTGATAGCCTTGGTGATCTTGGTCTTGGCGAGAACCTCGCTGGAGACTTTCGCGGCGATCGGTACCGCGGTAGCTCCCTTTGTAATTTTCTTATTTGTCTAACTGGTGATCTCCTCGGTGATCTTCTCGGTGACTTTTTTCTAGATCGAGACCTTGGTGACAGTGATCTTCGTTTATGGATAGGTCTGCTGGCGGTATGTGGTGACACTGATCTCTGTTCATTTTTTATAACAGTCGCGGGTAATAACTGAGCAGGACTATTGCTTTTGTTTCTCCTTCCCGTTTGCTCTGACTTTGTTTTTTGATTTTGACTTTTGAGTGATTCCTCGCGTCTCCTTGGTTCCTTCTTCATGTCTTTTCTCAAAGACTCCCGTCTCTTCTCTCTTTTCTCTGACGGTTTGTCCACGTTCATTTCTTTCTCCATCTCATCCATCAATCGCTCCAAACTGTCCTCTTCCTCAAGATCGGCCATTAATAAGACGTCGTCGTCATCATCATTGTCTTCATCGTCATCATCCTCTTCGGTTCTTGGAGGACTTTCTTCCGCAGCACTTTGGTTTTCCTTATCAGTTGATTCTTCATCAGCGTCAGCACCATCCATACCTATAGATTCCGTGAGGACCTTTTCTGATAAGTCATTCTTATGATCTCCAAGATCTTCTTCTTCAGATCCACTTGCGTTGTCTTTGTAACGATAAAATTTTGATTCTTCTGAAAATATAATATCGATAAAAAAGTAATTAAAAAACTATATGGATAAATAAGATACATAATTCTAATAATCTTTTGGTATCCTACCAAAACTCTTTTTTTCTTCACCAGAATTTGCATCCTGCAGTTTAGAAAGGCTTGATAATTCAGTCTCCTTGGCAACAATATTTGCATCCACGGGGACTATGGTTATCAAATTTGGATTACAAGGACTAGGATAATAACATGTCTGAAAAATATTAAATGGAAAAATAAATCAATGGAATAATTGAATCCAAAATTCTTGTGAGATAAATAGATGTATTATTATATGAATATTTACCCCATTTTGCTTTTGTATCGGTGCATATGTTTTTTGGTAGAATCCTCTGATCGGAACTTTTTGTCCTTTATAATGTGCTTGTGATGGTTGAGTAATTTGTGGAGCAGTTGTCCGTTGTAATGGTGAATATTGTCTTTTATTCTGAAGAGAGTCTTTTGCCCTTAATGTTTGAAGAGCAGCTAACCTTAATGCCTCTAAATCTTCGTCGTCATCATCCTCTTGTTTATATTTATGATGCGAACTGACAACCATCTATATATGCAAAATAACAATGAGACCGACACGTACCTGTGAATATTTTCTTAATATGGTAATACACATGAAAAAGCATACAATCTAAAAAGTCTAGTTATGCACGTAACTGATTGTTGTACATTATATCACAGGTTGAAAAAATAAATATAGGAAACGTATTCTCTCATGAATTACATTCAGACAAGCGAATTTTATAATTGGTAAATAAAAATTAAGTTGTCCTCGGAAAAAATCTAAGCTGTAAAAAAAATACAACAGTCCACCATGCTCCAAAATACAAACTTACACGTAGACAAAAAAAATATAGAAGAAAAAGTCTATTATGGTACACGAAAACAAGACACGACAAAGAATTGTAAACTAATATCAAAAATTTTACCTTTTGACGATAATCCATTTTATTCTCTGTGCAGTGTAGAAAAAATCGCTGATTTTCGCAGTGAACACCACGGTTCAACAAATGCATTAATATTTTCGCACAGAGCACTGGCGAAATTATTCTAACGCTATGTACAATTGCGGTACGCGCGCCGATCTACATCGCTGTTAGCTCACTATTACTTCGGCAGAATTTTAATAATAATTATTCGTAAGTTTTCTGCACAATGTTGCTTACTATATTACCCCCCACCATGCATAAATAAAAATGGCGTGAGACCACTCGTGAAATCAACGACACCAAAACCAAACCCACCAAACTAGCCAAAGGGGGTGAATTTTCATGATTAGTATAAGCGACATTAACGACGCCGTCTACCAGAACTTGAGCGAACTGCGATATTTGTTGAGGAGCGCATGAGGAACAGGGAAGCAACGATGCACTCTTCTCTCTCGGATCATTTTCGAACACACCTATAGTGCACCGAAGCAAGCAAGTAAAAACGCTTTCACAAATGGACCGTTTGCATGCCGGTTTTCCATTTATGAACCTTAGGTTAGTGAAGAATATGAACTTGGCATAATGTACTGTTGTCGCTCTAACAGTACAGGACGCCATAGCTGGCCATAGCAAGGTGGCTATACATATAGTGGTTTTGAGTATTTGTGGTTAAATTAATGTAATCATTAAATATTTTAGACACTGATATAAAAAAAACTTTGTGCATAATGCCTGCACAAGAACTGGCCCTCCCGGAGCCACCAGCGACGGAGTCTGAGGATTCGGCTCCGTCCTCTCAACCCATTGTTGGAATTATCTATCCTCCTCCGGAGGTTAGAAGTATCCTTTGATTCCGATATTGTTTTTTGAAAGATATATCAGATCTATTGTTAAAAATGTTGAAAGTGCTTATATTAGAAGAAGTTAATGTTTCGCATTATTACAGGATATGTTTACTCTTCACGATATAATATAATGGGCCTAACATTGGAAACACATTTAAAGTGTTGAAGCTCTTTTTAAAGAGAAAAACGGAAGAAAAAGGTCGAATAGCATGTCAGTTTTACTTTTCTAAAGTTAAATAGTTTATTACATCTATATAGTTTTCCTTATACAGTGTAACAGATATTGTTGACAAGACTGCAAGTTTCGTGGCCAGAAATGGACCAGAATTTGAATCAAGAATCCGTCAAAATGAGCTGGGGAATCCAAAGTTCAATTTCTTGAATTTTGGGGATCCTTACCATGCATACTATCAGCATAAGGTAAAGGAATTTAAAGAGGGTAAAGGTCAGGAACCACTAGTCGCTCCTGGAGTAGGTAAAGCTGTGAATCTCGCTGCTCATCAAAAACAACAAGAAATTCTTAAGCAAGTAGAACAGCCGTTTATACCAAAGGATCCACCTCCAGAGTTTGAATTCATAGCCGATCCTCCATCTATATCAGCCTTGGATTTGTATGTATTATAATTACTCAGTTATTTAAAACCATGAAACTTTTTAATTATTAATTATATTTCCTAACTATACTTGTTGCAGAGATATTGTTAAGTTGACCGCGCAATTCGTGGCGCGTAACGGACGTCAATTCCTGACAAATTTAATGAATCGCGAACAAAGAAATTTCCAGTTCGACTTTCTGCGACCCCAACATTCGCTCTTTCAATACTTTACTAAATTACTTGAACAGTATACCAAGGTACTCATTCCACCAAAAGATTTACTACCACGACTTAGAAATGAAGCATCAAATATGGATAAGATCCTCGAGCAAGTAAAGTATCGCGCCGAATGGTTAAAATATCAGGAAGCACAGAGACGTAAGGAAGAAGAAGAGCTAGAGCGTGAGAGAGTCGCTTATGCTCAGATTGATTGGCACGACTTTGTTGTCGTCGAAACTGTGGATTACCAGCAATTCGAAGTTGGTAATTTTCCTGCACCTACGACACCTGATGAAGTTGGTGCACGCGTACTGATGCAGGTAAGACAGTTCGTATTTGAACCGCTCAAACATCATTATATTTATTTCATTGATGAATTAATATTTTAGGAGCGCATAGAAGAAGGAGAGGATGTAGAGATGCAAATCGAAAGTGATGGAGACGACGAGATGCAGAATCGTACAGAAAGCGAAAAAGATCGCGCTAAGGATAATAACCAAGTAACTATTTGTGACATACTTTGAGAGATAGACTTTAAAACTTATTTATAATAATTGTATTACAGGTGCAAGACATGGAAGAGGACTCGAGCGACGAAGACGACGTATCTCCTCCAGGAGATTCTCAGAAATCTAAGGACTTGAAACCACGCGATGCTAGTATGCAACCACCGCCATTACCACCTACTCCAGGAAATGTAGTAGTAAAGAAAGGATACGATCCAAAACAACATGGTACATTTTCTTCACCAATTTTGAAGAACGCAATTATTCATAAAAACTGTGAACCATTTCTATATTCTTATCTATTCTTTCAGCTATTAATAAAACGACTCGTCCAGTTGCTCAGGATGAGTACTTGATCTCGCCTATCACGGGCGAACGTATTCCTGCAAGTAAAGTACAGGAACACATGCGTATTGGTTTGCTGGATCCGCGCTGGGTGGAACAACGCGACAAGCATCTGGATAAACTTGCCCAAGAAACAGTCTTCGCACCTGGTACTGCTATCGAAGCCAGTCTTAAACAATTGGCCGAGAGACGTACTGACATCTTTGGTGTTGGCGACGAGGAAACTGCAATCGGTAAAAAGATCGGCGAGGAGGACAAGAAGAAGGATGACAAAGTTACTTGGGACGGTCACACATCCAGTGTGGAAGCTGCTACAAGAGCTGCTCGTGCCAATATCACTCTGGAGGAGCAGATTCATCAGATTCACAAAGTCAAGGGACTTCTTCCCGATGAAGAGAAGGAGAAGATCGGTCCAAAACCAGCCAATCGTGCGGCTGAATTGTCTCATATGGCTGCTGCAGCGTCGAAGCCACAAGCCACCCTGAAGGCACCACCTAAGCCACCAGCTCCAAAACCTGTACCCGTTCCAGCACAACCACCACCACCTACGATGAGTATGCCTACCATGGGAATTCCACAGCAGATGATGCCACAACCGCCGATGATGATGATGGCTCCCATGCCACCTATTAGACCACTCATGAGTAAGTACACTTACTGTAGTCTAATTATCCGAAACTATATGATCATACAGATATTTTAGTTAAACTATTGAAAAAATAATTTTTCAGCACCCGCAATGTCGCCATTCATGCCCACGCCGCCTCCTATGCAACCTCCAATGAATCAAGCGGTAAATAATGTTTACTTGATATGATCACGTCAATCTTCATTACTTACATTCATTCTCTGTGCATAGATGGGAATGAAGCATCCTGGAGAACCAATGGAAGAAGAGCCCCAGACGAAAAAACTACGTACCGAAGATTCTTTGATACCTGAACAGCAGTTCCTGGCAAGAAATAAGGTTGGTTTTTCGTTTTATCTTTACGATGCTAACACTTCACTGAGAAAATGTTATGTAAACAGGGACCAGTACAACTGAGCGTAGCTGTACCCATGATGACGGAGAAGGCTGAATGGAAACTGAATGGACAGACATTGAACATCATTCTGCAGCCAAACGATACAGTTGCGACCATGAAGGCGCGTATTCACGAGCAAACAGGAATGCCTCCAGGCAAGCAGAAGCTGCAATACGAGGTAAGAAGCACCAGAAAAACGAGACGGTACTTAAATTAATAAATTTTACGACTGTCTGTCTTTCAGGGTATGTTCTTCAAGGATAGTAATACATTGGCTTATTACAACTTATCATCAGGTAACGCAATAAATCTTCTACCGAAGGAGAGAGGTGGCAGGAAAAAATAAATCTTTAAATCATTTAATAATTTACTGACTGTACACGTGCATAAAATGTATATTACTTTTATTATGTCCTCGAATTATAATATTTCGAAAGACCATCGTCTATGACCTTTCATTAATTGCTACTCAAGTGGATGTCAAACGTTCCTTAATAAACTGTACACCCCTCGGTATATTGTGATTGGATAAGAAAAGCTTAATTAACAGTGTAAATGACCCTTGGTTTTTTTTTATTTCAATTAATATATATTATTTTGTAATAAGTCATAACGATCTTTATAAAATCTCTTAGATCTATGGTACCAGCTGCCTTTTGTGATTGACATATACATAATTATGCCAATGAATATTAACTAATTAAATAATAGTAAATTGTAGAAAAAAAAACATTGCACTAATTTTTATCAGTACTTCCGTAAAACGCTTAAGTGGTGTTCTGCGTGAACTATAAACACACAATATGTAATAAAGTTTAGTAAAAGCAAGGTACTATTATTTTTTTATTGAATCCTGATAATATTTGTGCGCAAATTGATCAATAGGATATCGCGATATAAATTATTCGTTTGGTTGCCACTCATCTAAAGCTATGACATGGTTTCATGTATAGCTCTAAACAAAAATAAAAAATACTAAAGCGTACTCTTTCAGAAAACAGTAAGAAAGCAAAAAGTTTAAAAAGTCATATATAATACGAATTGCACAAATCTCTTATCAGTAGATTATTATAAAAATTCATTAATACGGACTCGCTCTGAATGTTGACATGTTTGTGATGTACATACCATAAAACATATTTCGGGTGAAAAATGCTGTGATCCTCTATCTACAAAGATAGGACGAGTGAAAGAGAATCTAGTATAATATCTAATTATTTTTTACAACGTTGTACATAAAAGCATTAGGTTTTTTTTTGGTATTTATATTCATTGGCCCTGCTCAATGTAAGAAGCTCGATATTAAGTATAAAGAAACTTTTTCTGTCTCTTTCGTCTTTCTATAATCTCATCGTACAGAAATGGCGTATGTAAACGATTCACTAGCCCAAAATGGAATGTTTCGTTGTCTTCATCATCACAAGTTATGAGTAATTATCGTCTTATGACTTAGCTAAGAGTTCCTCGACGATCTTCCTGTATCGTAAAACCATTGGCTTGTATATCTGAAATATTCCATCAAGGTCACCACTTGTATTGTAACTAACAAGAGGGGCAGATCGTGCATGAGAAGGAGCCTTCTGAGAAAATTCACTTAAGCTTTTCAACTTACGGAGTCAGCATCATCGTATGGTTGACACGCGAGTGTTGGCTCTGGCAGACTCTTTGTTATTTCGTCAAAACTATATTTATCGCGTAATAGACCGTGCTTCGCCTGATACGCTCCTCCCATCATTGCGGAGTTCGCTACTTCCTAAAAGTCACGCGGAAATCATCTCTTTGCTAAATATTAAATGTTCATCATCTTTAGCATATTTGCTAGAACAGAATCTTACCGAGACATAAACTGGAGAATTGAATACATCAGCGAGCACCTGAAGAATTGCTTTGTTCGTAGATGCACCACCGGTAGCAAATATGCGAGTATGAGGTCCTATTAATCGAGCAATTAATTAGTATACATAATCATAAAAAAAAATATATAATAAAAAGTAAATGATTACCTATGATAAATCCAAAATCTTCAGCATGAGCTCTTTTAGCTATAAACTGACCTTCTATAAGCGCACGCACTTCAACTTCCTTTGAACTGTACCGACTGATCTCATCGTTAGCTTTATTAAATCTATGGTCACCAATCAGGAAGGGAATAATTTCCTGAGCGTCGTAATAAAGTGCAAGATTTCCAAAATTTCCTCTAGGAGTACTGTCGAGCAATTCTTCAAAAATTTGCCAAGAACCCTGTGCTGCTGTGTCTCTGATTCTCTCCCTCGTCAGGGAACCATTCTTGAAGCTGTAACGTCGAAAAACAATGTTCATACAGATCAAAAGATTGTATGTAAAGAATATGGTAATCTGTTTTACCAGAGTAATCCCATGTAAGCCTCATCGTCTATAGGATTACACAGAACGTGACCTTCCACCACAGTTTTCGGTTCGTTAAGCCAAAGGAACAGAGTGTCGCTAGTGCCAAGACTGCAGGCGACGTCACCTTCCTTTAATCTCATACCTACGTAATGAAATCTGTATCTGCATTATTTATTTAAGGATATTCATTCACATGGATATATGGATGTTCATGTATATCAATGCTTATCTGAAATCATTTCTAATATCTAATGTAAGTACTCTAACACGTACCCACCAACGAGCCAGAATTATCTCCAGTAAATGCTATTACTCTACACTTTTCATCAAATCCAAATCTTTCAACGAAATAGGATGAAAGAGGACCAAGATTACTATACGAGGAAGTAGGTGTACCAAGTCTGTCTCTGAGATCTGGAGCGCAAGCCTGTATTGACAAAAGAATAAGTTTAATTAATACAAGAGTTATGGTTATCATTTCTGTTATTAAAACTTGTAATTAAATACCTCCAATGCTTTTTGATGCCAGTCTTTTGTTCTGATATTAAGTAAATTCATTCCTGATCCATCGGACCAATCTATAGGTGCAAAGTCACCTAGGAAAAGGGATGCTGCGAAGCTACTGATCAGAGATATTCTCTGAAAGATATCATTCCCAGGTAAAATCATAGAAATATACAATAACAGTTTATATCGTTGCGGAAGCCATAAAACTTTCGAGGAATGGAGGAGATTGTATTAAATTATTTAAGGAGAACTCAAAACGTTTTTCACTTTTATGGATATATACCTCGGTGATGGCATAGGCTTCCGGCTTCTTCTGCGCTATTTTTGCTATCTGTGCTCCTGAGAATCTCTCGTAGGCCCGAGATCCTGTTATTTCGGCCAATTTCTAGAAGGAAAATGTTACATCACTCTCTTCTAGTTAAGTATGCAAAAACCACAGATTATTTTCAGAGGTAAAACTTTATACGCGAAAGTAATTAATTCTCACCAGAGGACCACCGACGCCATCTTCGAGGCGTCTGCATTGCTCACTTGTACTGGAATCCATCCATACCGGCGAATGTGCTACTGAGAAAGACATAGCCAGTTGTTCGTGGAGAAATTTATTTGGATCCAAATTTTGCAGTTGATGTCGGCTACCCTTACCCCAATAGACGGTACCATGTTGCTACATTAATTACAATTGAAAATAATCAATTGAAACTGAAAAGTATTCTTAGACGGAATAGTTCTCCGAACTGAGTTCCATCTATTTTCGATTGGCGGTTACCAGGAGAAACTTGAGAAACTTCAGGAAAGTAATAGACTGTTTACATTCCGTATTTACCTGAGCGCTGCCAGAAATAGCAGCCACTTTACTGAAATCCACGCCACAGACCCGCAATTTATCAAGGATCATGTCCAGGGCTTTGACCCACATCAGGGTCGGAGACACGGCTACGTGAGGTTCTGCCTTCCTTTGTATGACACCCCCGTAAGTCCTGAAAGAGAGACGAGAGAAAGAAAAAAAAAATAGTCAAAATCAAATGCTTCTCATTATTCTCCGAGTGTTTTCCAAGAACACACGAAAATAGTTTCATGCCCGGAATAGATGAGCGATTGCCAAAGCAGATCGTGCGCAAAGGATCTTGATTGATCGTTGATCAAATTTAACCAATCGGCGATCAAGATAAATTCAGGTTGCGTTAATCAGTTAACAAGAAGATACGATAATCACTGATAAATTACTGTATCCTACATGAAATTAATAAGAAATAAAAATGCGATATATAATATAAAAGGCATAAACCAGGCGAAAGAAAATGATTTCACAAATAATAAATTCTTCAGCAAAACATTTTAGTGAAATTTTACCTGAACTCTGGTAGATCATTATCAAATTGCACGCTGGTTTCGTGAAGAACCTTGAGTTCGTCGTCGACCACTACAGCCTTTAACTGTAAAGAGATAAAAGAATGAGGAAGGTAAATATAAAAGAAGGAAAATATAGTATTCATAAAAAATAATGATTTTATTCCTATTATCCTAATGAAAAACAATTATGTCCTATGGATGCTCATCGCTCACTATTTATCTCATCGAGAAATGTAGATATTTTTACATTATAATCCAGATTCCCCTATGAGAAATACACTTTCGCTGAAACAGAGATACTTTGAAATTTATTGTCGGCATAAATTTGTTTCTTGTTAACAACCAATCTACGCCAAAATAGAATAGACAATTCACCGGAGATTACATACAGAACGTATTGTAAGCCATTATAAATCAGACGATTACGTGCTTCCACGATTTCACATGAAAGTATATTGGATGTTTATTCTTGTTATTTCAAGATAGTCTGAGTACATGGATAAATTGATAAACCCTAAATTCTGTTGTTAACAAGAGAAAGAAAGAAAAAATAATTAAAAATACATAATAACAGTAAGTGTAGTGGTACTGTAATACGAATGAGTCAACTGCTCGGTATTTATGTAAAACCGTTGGTTGTAAAGTAAAAATAATTTGTTTCTGTCGAACACTACAAATTGCTATTATTATATAAAATAAAAGCAACGCCTGACTCGTGAGGATTTTACTGCTGGGGATAATCGCGAACATCGATGACGAACCGATATTTATGGATCAGAAAAGACTCTTCGATAAATTTATATTAGAAGCGGATAAACGACGTATGGAATATTGAAATTAATCGATGGAAGATTCATATAAACGCTCCTTATTCTTCATAGTTGATATAATTATTTAATAAGAAGAGTATATCGCGATTATCACACTGTCGTAAGTCATCAGCATATTTCTGGTATTGCGTGTTATCAGTAAGTGATAATATAGTGACCCGGGTCTGGTACGTCGTGAAGTATCTCCTGATAGAATTTCAGTGGTAGAGTTAAGCAAAGATTGCTGTCAATTTATATTTAATAAAGAAATAAAAATGTCTTCCCAGTAAAAGCATATCTGTCATTGATAATTTACATGGCGATAAAAATCTAATGATGCACATACGGTGGATATTTTAAGTCCTCTGGTTATCTATTTTAAATGCGTAATTTGAGAGAGAAATGAATCTCTTAACAAAATCTTCAACTTGAGACAAAAGTTTCACAGGGTATGCTCTAACGAAATTCCAAGTGCTTTAGCGTGTATGAATTTATTTTAACGTTAGCATTAGAAGCGGCCAATGGACATTCATATTTCACTCCGGAAAACTATCGACTCTCCGAATTGGTAATAGGCGTAAAGCTCGCGAGCGAGTGTCTGTCGAATATAACGGGGAGTCACGACCGAGAAATGGCCACATAAATATTTCCTCTATTTCGAGGAGGGTCCGAGCATGGCTCTTCAGCCATTTCATACAGTGTCCATTTGTATTTATTGCCATCATATTGGCTCCTTCGAGGATTCAGATTACCCGCGCTTTTATACGCGCATGCGTAATGCATATTGGCTATAGCAGCAATAGCACACCTGTAAGAATCATCATGGTTGATCAAAGGAATGCCACGGTGTGTCGGAACGATGAGCGATACGTATTTTAAAATCACTGTGTATCTAAATAATTGTTATCACAAGCACGTCCGAGAAGGAAGAATTCTGATTAAGTGAATTTATATTATGAATAATCGAGTAGACGAAGAGATTGAATACAGACTGTGCCTACTTGAATCGCGAACTTGTACTCGAGATAAGCCTTACTCCGTAACCTAGAAAAACAGGCCTTGATATCTGACAGTCGTAAATCACATACTCGTGGCATGGCTTCTAACAGCATGTTCTCTTTGTTTAACAAAATGTAGATATCAATGGGGAGGCGGTGTAATTGTTTACCTGCTGAGTGCTGAGATCTAGGCCTAAGTATGTTGCGTTTGAAGCAGCGCCCATTTCGGTCTTGGAACGGCACGGAACGTTACGGTACAGATGGATAGTTTTAACTTAAAGGAACGCAGGACCACACGGACCGTGACACAGAAAATGGCCTACACTATACGTATGTATTTGTTCCTTTTAATGGCGAAGAGTGTTCGGCCTCCTAGCTCACGACTTTAGGCACTAAACTGGAACGGTTTGTGGACTGTCTATTATCATTCTGTTAAGAGTGGGCTGTTATGTACGCTTTCATAACTGCTCTCCAACATATAGGAACAAAATGGCATAATGCGCTAATCTTATCATTATTTATAGTTATGTGACCCATTGCGTAAGGGTGATTAATGGATTTTAAAAATTGAATGTAAGTGCGAAAGTCAGTACTCGTTCGTCTTTGTTGTCTTTACACAGGGAGCAGGTTATCTCATGCCGTGGCGCCTTGAATTGCCATCGTAAAAGGCACCTTTATGTCGATATTACAAAACTCTCTTTTACTAGTACAATCTGCTTTATCGATAAGCTTCAAGGTACCCATGCGATTTTACCTCACATTAATTGTATTTAGTTGTGTTATCCACTGAGTCAATTCAAATAAAGTCATATGTAATTATGATCATTCTTACTAAACGTTAAATACATACATATATCTTTTTCAGAAAATGACTTCTTTATTGGTAACAGATATTGTACGTAGAGATAAGTCTCCTGTAAACATAAGGGTGGAATAAAAAAATTTCAGTATGCTGTAGTCGACGTGTACCAGAGGTAAAAATACCTAGACTCTAATGTTCCCACGCATAACTCAATTGATCCTTTTTCTAATCAGTCTCTGAAGGAGACCCACGAGAATATAGGTATACATGAAAGAACGTAGAAGAACCTCTCTTCGGCATGATAACGTAATCCAGACGACGTCTCGACATATGTCCGTATTGTTTCACTCGAAGTAAAATTATCCCTGGCTCTGCGAAGTCAAGGTAAATAAAAGAAGAGACCAGAAGAAGTTAACGAGATAATCCTACATAAATAAGAAGGTCTTCTATTGGTGGACAGAATGTATAAGACGATTGTCTAGAATGCACTTTCCCCATGGAATTAGCTCGTCCCAATAAGATTCCTCTTAAATTCATAGCCATAGTCGGTATAGACATCCTCTCCGTAAGATGAGAGTACGCGGAAACCAGGAGACAAAGTGGAGCAGGACGGGATAAGAGAAGATACAGATGATAGCTAGATGAGTTGTGTGCGTTAGAAAGAGACAGAGTAAAGGATGAGGATTGTTAGTTTACGTTAGTCTGTGCAGGAGTTTGTTTGCGTAGTCGAGGATGGCAAGAGATCAGAGGGTGAGCTCTGGGGTGCCAGGGGGTCTAGCCCCTGTCGGTTCGTCTGTCCGCCGAAGCGACTGTCTGTCGGTCCTGTTGCTCTATAATCGGAGTATACGGATAATGGTTTGGGTTAGGAGACGCGGAGCCGGCAGCGAGACCCGACGAAGGTTTCTGACGAGACCGCTTCGGCAGCCCGAGGGCTGCCTTTTCGAATATTTGGCAAGGGCTCCGAGACGCTCCTTACTCTTCATCCAAACGTATGGTGTTTACCGCTCTAGGGCCATCCTCTTCGTGGTTCTCTGACGATACCGGTCACCGATCGCAGTGAGAGTACTGACTAGTACAGCGATGATATCGCAAATCAAATGAAAATTATTGACCTTTGCTCCTATAACGTTGAGTGATAAGCATTATAGCCATCTGGAGGGGCCTGTATAGATGCATTACCCATCTACCCTCTTTGATTAGACGCACTTGACTCACTTATTATGCTCATTTCTTTGCGGTACATCATTTATATGGCCATAAGATTTCTTCCTTTCGAGACGCAGGATGTATCGAATGTTGAATTTACGTGTGCATATATACATATATATACTGATACATTTTCAGGTTACGTATTCTGATGAAAAAGGGAAGTAGACTCCGCTGATGACTCGCCAAATAAAAACCATCCTTAGAAATCGTCCAGTCCGGGTCTCTTATCCCTAAACCAGCATCGTCGATCTTCATCGTGGCAGAGTGTAAACCGAGGACGACGACCGATGTGATTTTTCCGGCCGATTATGGCGTCGCCATTCCGTCGTAGGAAGAAAAGCTCGCGCGCTTAGCTCCGGAATACCAAAATGAACAGTAACGTTCTTTTCCCCCAGGGTAGCTGGCAAAGAAACGAAGGACGGCGATCTCTGGGGTGACAGCCCTTCGTATACCTATCTTCATGAACCTCGGAACCCGTCTCCCGGATTTCTATGGGAAGGACGGTACCGCGGGTCGGTTTTGTCGAGAAACTTCTAGAAGGTTCTATATAGAACGCAGATAGCTAGTAGCTATGTAGATAGATATAAATAAGTGCAGCGCATTCGACATGGGATTTGAGCAGGGTCGAATAATATGATAACGTAGGTATGAGGTGGAAGGGAAAAGAGACATGCAGAGGATGAGTGTATGAATAGGGGAGGATGGGTTGCTCGCGGTGGCGTCGGATGGCGTCGGCGACAGCCGGCAGAGCCCCGTCGTCGCCGTCGACGGACGAAACGACGGACGAACCGACGGACGACGGACAAACGGACGAAGGGGCAGGCAGGCAGGCAGGCAGGCGCCGATCCGACCGAGCGCCGCTCACTTCGACGCCAACCAAAGCGACGACGACCAATGCAAGAATACTTCTTCTGCTGGCACCGTTTGGGGGTAGGAGGTGGCGTTCGTCGGACGCCAAGCAGGAGGGCGCCCTGTCCTGGCGCTCTCCTATGGCACCATGTACACCGTCCTTCTCTCTTTCCTACACTCGACGGTCCTGACCAACACGTTCAATGGAGTAGCTCCATCCCACTGTTTTCAAGTAACACCGATAGTCTCTCTATCTCTGTCTCTATCTCTCTGCTCTCTTAGTCCCTCTGTCTCATGCTCCTCTACGTATCTCCTTGTCCTGGACTAGCCTACACACCCTCCTTGTCTCTTCATCCTGCACCACACATCGCCTCGGGCGCGGACGACGGCTCCAGCGAGGGGCGCCAAGTGTTTTGATGCTTGTTACGTGAGGGGAACTTGATAAACAACAAGATAGAGTAGAACGGACTTAGACTACCCCTCGTGCACGGACCGACTGGCTACGCTTACATCGTTACGAATATATCGATGACCCGACACCCTACCACTCTACCCTCACCCTGGCCACCCATTTCTTCTTTCACTTTACGCCCCATCGTGGATAAAAGTTTTTTTACCATCCTTCATCTCTCTCGATTCACTTCTCCCTTTCACTCTAGGTTTTAGTCATTAACTACTCAGAGGGGTTGATGAGTTCCTAGTGGTACTGGATCCTTGACTCTAGGTAGACATCACGTGGCCTCGAGAAGACTCTATAACTCGGCGCGCACTTGACGAAAATAATCCTCGACTCTGGAGCCGATGGTTGGTACCCTGGTTCGAGAAAATTTTCTGCACGAGACTGCCTATTTAGAATGCTAGTGATACTGAGAATTATTGTTGCAGACGTTTTGTCCGAGTGTTAAAAAAAATTTATTATGAGAAATAGCCGTGCACCAAGGTGATTCTGACGTCTCATTGTTACCAGTTACAAACATCGGATGATAAACGCGTCAGACGTCCCAGTCTTAAACACGACTTGCGAGATGACTAACAATGAGTAGACAATGCGGGTAATTAGCGTGACACTGGGTAAGCGTTATGAAGTCACTTTCTGACGCTGTATGATCGATTAACGTGCCAGCCCAGGAATCAAATCAAGGATCACGCCTTGGCCGATGACGCTCTCTGCCCGTCAGCTACACGACCGGAGAAGGTCGCGTAACAAACATCATTTCTACGAGGATCGAAACTCCGGTGCGACGTTGCGCGTATCTGTTCCTGGAATCAATTGTCAAGCATCACCAAGTCGCGCCTCCAAGTCATCAGTCGAGCGTTGCGGAGTCATTCTCGCTCGTATTACATCAGAGTAAAATCTTTCGGGAAGACACGGATGTGAGCACACGATCGGGATCCAAGGAAATTCCGCCAAATGGCTACCAGGGGATGTTTCAATACCATAAGACACCCCTTAACTACGGGAAATGACTATAAGTCCAAGTAGAAAATCGTGGTTGGAAGTTGGGCGAAAGTGCGATGACAATAACGAAGCGCTTCTGTAGATATATAGATATAGATGAACAAGAGTCTTTGTCTATAGGAAATGCTGCCGAGTATTGCTGAGAGAATTTGCGAGTTTGGCACCCGGGTCTTTGGGGAGTTAGGGTGGGATTGGGTTGAATACAGGGAGTTTGGCAGTTTGGGTAGGGTGCTTGTTAAAAATATTTGCGCGACCAGTCGGAGACTTCCCTACGTCTGTGCGGGTATTTGTAGGGGGCCAACAGGAGGGATGTTTCTGGCCTCCCCCCTGCTTTAGCATGGCTGCCCGAGGTTTTCGTCTGCACTTGGGTTTGCCGCCGCCACTACTACCGACGCCAGTAGCGACGCCGTCGTCGTCGTCGTGCCGACGTCGTCGACGACGACGACGACGTCGTGGTGCCATCTCACACTGATGCAGCCACTGTGGCGCTGTGATGTGGTGTGGCAACACACCGGAGCATAGATACAATAAATGGCGTCAAGATCCGCGTCGCCACGACCTGGCGCGCCGGTTGTCGCCGCGATTCGCGCCGCGGCCACCCTTACAAATAGGGGCGCGCGCTCCCACGCGGCCAGTACCCGAGCCGACATCGGGTTCTTTGCGATTCTTTCTACTCTCGTACGATTCTGAAAACCTTTCATTCCACCGAGTCTCATGCTTGGATCTAGTCGTTACCGTGTATCTAAAACGTTATTCTCACCACTTTGGAAAATCTTAGGTATATTGTTATAAACTCTTTTTCATGAGTTTTATTTTGTTTTAACGTATGTTATTCGCTTGGTCTATTGTCAATTGTTTACTGTAGTGTTAAATATGTTTCATAGGGGGACTGTGCTAGGTCGACATGGTGAAAGTGTTGGTGTACTGTCAGAATAATTGTTTGTTGTGAATTGTCAATGAAAATCATAGTGAGAAAAAGTCTGTATCACAGGTGAATAATTGCAGCAATACTGTGCGTTTCACACTTTTAACATTACTTAATTTAGATGTCTGGCGCTTGACAGTTTTGACAAAGGATTATGGTGACAGTGCAATAGTGTATCCATATAGTCCTGTTAAGATCATATGCTTTTTTATGGGAGAAGCGTATAACAATACCAGCACTGTTCTCTCTACATTTGCAAATTCATATAATTTTTATCTGATCACTAAATAGTCACGTTATACAGTCTATTTAACATACTTCAATTGTACATGGTATAAATAATCGTATTTACTCATATCCATCGCAACACGTTAAACGTTCTGTTTTACACATCGTACCGCTAGTCACGAAGTAACTCAAGTATTTGCCAATGTTTAAAGCAATCATGATTCGGCAATGTGTATTTAAGTCGCCAAAACGACTGGTTATAATTGAAGCACCAAAGTTCCTTTAAAAATATGCCTAAAGGCTCTTAAGCTTTTCTTTCCAATTTCCCATTATCCTATTTTCCACGTCCGTCACTCCCCTCGTGGCGACTCTTCGAACTACATATTTGAACCAGTGCGCAGCGCATGCGCATCAGACGAGCCAATGAAACAAGTTTTCGCCGAGTATTCGCAACAAGTAGATCTCAAAGGGGTCCTTTGACCGTGAAAGTTTTAACGACAAAAAGCGTTAAAGGGTGCTGAGAAAAGTTTTAATCTCGTCGTAAGAGGCCACGTTGAAGCCACGGTAATCTTCCGTCTATAAATAATAGTCACAGTTATTCAGTATGTCACTTTGAGAAAAGACATTTACGCAATATCCATAGGTATAACAGAGGAAAAATGCATCGAAGGAATAGCTGAGCATCAGTCAAAGTCGATAGGGGAATTTCCATTAAAATATTGACTTCTTGTCTAGCAGCAGACAGGGATGACAGGATCCACATGTAAGATAAAGTACACAAGTATCTACGACACATACTGAACATCCTGATATGCGAGTTTGCATTTTTTTAGGTAAAGAAATAGCCTCTCGTTCAGCGATATAAGCTTGGTTATTCCCAGTCAAGAAAGGTTAGTTTGCTGTTTGTTTTGCGTGCGGACCTACATAGGTACATATATAGATAGCTAAGTAAAATAGAGAATGACAGAGAGAGAGAGAGAGAAACTCCAGGAGGCACCGTGGAAATGTTTTCATTGGTGTAGCGCGTACCGGCGTCCCAACGAGGAAGGTAGTGGCGGTTACAGTATATGTAGAGAAGCAGAAGAGGAGAGGCTGAAGGAGAGGAGAGGAAGGAAACTTCGAGAGAGGGGAGCTGGCGCCTACATCAGCGGATCGAGTGGCGCCAGCGCCAGGACCGGCCCGCGACCGCCGATATCACACAGGAAGTTACGAGCCGCACCTGTCCCATCATCCTATCCCTACCTCGTCCTGGCCACGCCACTACTTCCAGGGCCGTCTTCTACATTACGTGGTGCAGGTGCGCCTTGGACAATTTTAAACGTTGCTACCCAGGATCCACTACTTCCGGTTTCCCACAGCTTGCCATTTACAATTAGTATACACCTCTGGGCTATTTTATTAGTGGAACGAAAGACCCTCGTGTTGTTTACGAAACTTTTTCATCCTGTACGGGTACGTCTAATAGGTCGATTGACTCGTGTGACTTGGCTTACGTCCCTTTGCGAACCATTGCTGTTCTCTTGGTGCGTGTATTGAGCGCCAGGAAGGATCGTTAGAGCGTCGACGATCTCGGCGAGATGTCCCAAGAATGGCGCCAACCGCTACGGAATGGTTGCGGGAATGCGAGTAATTCTCGTGTTTGGAAATAGAATGAAATAAAAGCAGCGAATGAATGAAGCGTGGCGATCGCGGGTTTAGAGTCGACCGTTGCATCGGGATATGTTTGTATTCTTCTTGGTGTGTATATATATATATATATATATATATATATGTGCGTAGATACCGAGTCGACTGATGTTATAGACTTTAGGAGTCATTTAATAACCAAATAATACAGAATTGATATATTGGGATGATATTACTTTATGAAGATTTGCAATATTGTTGTAAATATATATTTCATGGGTTTACTTTTACCTCGTTAAGGACTGTGATGGATTTCGGTTATAAACAAGGAACCTTGATGGGATATTAATTGGGATATAGAATTGTGGTAGGGAACGTGGATGTGGACGGCCCTGAATACTTTACCGACCTTACCGGCAGGACAGACTGAAGTGCTGTGCAAAAGAGAGAGTGAGAGATGTCGAGTGTGATTAAGCGAGAGTGAGAGAGATGGAGAGGAGAGACTCCTTGCTTCGGAGGCCAGACGGCTGATTACTGACTGGCCAGCGCGATCTTCCTCAGCGCCAGACGCCAGACATACATACATATCTAAATAGCTTCCTAAATTCTATGTCATTTGAGAGTGAAATACAAAATGAAATAACGTGTCTAGACGACGTGCGGAGAGGGATACGAATGGATCCGAAGAGTTTGTCTGTTGTCCGACATGCGATGAATTAGATTTACCAGGGAGAAAAAAAATACTGTAAAAGTGTGCTTTACGCGAGTTCCGTCATTCTTAATAATGATTTTAGGTTTAACCTATGTCCTTATAACGCGATCTCTTTTTTTTATTACTTTATTTTATTTGGAACTTTTTTTTATTTAACAAGCGTATTTAGTAAATAATAAGAACGAATTTATACGATGAAATTGACATGAAGTTTGATAAAAATTATTCAAACACAATTTCAAGGCATTCCAGCTAGGATAGAATTTTATATTTTTGGAACGAGATGCGATTTAGGTCACGGGCTTACGTTCTTCCCTGCTTTTCGAAATTTCTTAAGAGCTGATTGTCGATGAGTGTTGCGTTCAGGGTTTTACGTGTGAGAAGTATTTTTCGTGTGGATTTACGTAGTTTGAGAATTTCTTTTTCGGGGGGATTTTTAATTATAAAATCGTCCGCGAACGACACGACGTACAGCGCCTCAGTTGCCAAATCTTGTTTGGGTATTAACAAAACGAGATTTCTAAATTTAGAAATTTTATGATCCACGATCCTGTCGCATATTCTTTTAGCAAAGTCGCTAATTCCTGTCCTATCTACATAACGACTTTCCGAGAGAGAAAGAAGGAAGCCGGTTGCGTTTGGAATAAAAACGAAAAAGAAAAACGTATTTCCTTCGATTATTTTATGTTTTCTTAGTCAAAAATAATCTTTTCTGAAACATCCCAAGCAACGACAATAATATAATAAAAAGTGAAAACTTTCTGTTGCAGGTTTGGCAATGCCACAGGTGCGCCGTGTTCACGGCTAACCGTGTAAGTATTATATATACATCCAACCCAGCAATAACGGCGCTTCCCTTTGACTCGCCGCTCGGTCTTTGTCATTTAAAAGTGGACGTGGGTGTTTATGAGTTATCGTGACTGAAATTCGCTTTGGAATGTTGACCCCTAGCGGGGCAGAGGCGCTGGCGTTGTCACTGAACGCTGGCTCCACAGAGAGGCGCTGGCGTCTGTCTGCTCGACCGGCCGGCCGGCCGGCGACCGCCCCCAACTTTAGACGAGTCCACCTTGCATTAACCCTTCATACGTTACGTTCGCTTTGAATTCGTATGATGAAAGATATCATAAAGTCCCTAACCATCCAGAAAATTTGAGAAGACAACCCTAATGTCTTGTTAGAATGGTACGAGAAAGCATTCCGTTCTCCAAATCGAAATTGAGTTGGAACTCTCAATGTATATATGTAAAATGCGCAAGCGCATAGTAAACCAGTTCGCTATCTCGCGAGAAACGTAAAGCAGAGGCTATAGCATCGATCGATAGATCTTTCCAGTAATACTCGTCACGCTAGTAACAAGTGTAAATTAATAAGAAGGCAATTGAATCGATTCTATACGTACGCGCTAGATAATCCCTAAAGGAGGCGATGCGTAATCAAGAGATAATCCAGGAATCATGTACTGATTAATAAAAAGAAGCAATACATTGAAAAGTACGTGCAGTAGGTAAAGTCAGTAAGTTCAGTGCGTATGGAACACAGAGGAGCGGGGCTACCTGCGAGAGCAGTGGAAGGAAGCGCCTCTAGCGGCGAGCTAAGGAACGATCGCGGCCATGTTTAACAATCTCCCTTGTGTGTTTAGTATGCTGCGGTCGGTGTATCGGCGCGCCGAGACGAGACGGACGGGACGAGACGAGACGAGACGAGAGGCGGTGGAGGTCGTGGTGCCGACGGAGGAGGCAAGTATGTGTTCATGACGGAGACCTCGTGCGTACTGGCCGAGTCGAGCTGAGCCACGAGCGGAGCCGTGGCTGAAACCGCAATCGTCCTGGTTGGCCCCATAACTCGGTATTCGTGGTGCGCGGCTGCCGCGGTCGACAATGTCGCGCGACTGATCCGCGCCAGTCGTTCAACACCAGAGAGATAGTGAGGACGGAATAGAGGTAAATAAAACTAGTGTGTGCACATGTGAGATAAAAGCCGCGGTCAACTAATACGAGGAGTTTACAATAGTTTTATATTGATATAGTGAGCCGACGGAGAAGAGACGTCTTTTACTCGAGGAGAGGATACCGTGCGTGCCCTCGGACTCTTCTTTAGTTCTTCGGTACCTACCTTGCTCTCTTGCTCTCTCTGGCACGCGCCTTACATTTCAAGAATGTGACAGTGCGTTCAAAGCATAGCGTGTTCATCCTCGCGCGCGGATACACACTGCGCGTATGGTGTTAGGTTATGTATGTCTGGTGTATTTAAAAAATGTTCATTGGTGCCCGTAAACCGATAAAGAGTGATCGGTATAATATTGGCGTGAAGGTGGTGTTATGTGGTGCCGGTGCGGTGGCGGCGAACAGAGCGAAGGAGCTGCAGCAACGCACTTCCATGTACGCCGTCCTTTTGGCATGCGTGCGAGCACGGGAGATCTTTGACCAAAAATCATCTATCCTCTACAATAACATTGCTCGTGCATGTTTTATATTCATACCGCGTGAAGTTGCATCTCTTTTCTTTTAACGGGAAGGAATTTAAATATTCATAAAGACAGAGAAGAAAAGAAAGAGAGGGAAGAAACAGTTTTACCCTTGAGAGAACAAGATCGCGCTCTCTCTTATCGCTACTTTTTTCTCACTTCCTTTTTACTTGAATTTTCATATTTAACGTTGTCGAATTAATCGCTGGTGTGATATACCCTTCTATGTAGACCAGAGCGCTCAATGTAAATGTAAATGAAGGTTCAAGGTGGCGAAGTGATCCATTCGTACGTGAGTGTAAATCTTGTGGTTTCGCGTGTATAAAGCATAGGACACATAAGTTGGTTAATCGTGAAAGATTTGAAATCTTATTCAAGAGATATCTACAAATTCCGACAGGATAAAAACTTCAGTGTAAGTCGTGAAACCTCAGGCATATTATAGGCGCCGTGAATGACCTGGAGACGTTGCTCATACAGCAAAGTGACCCGCCGCTTCTAAAGCCATAATAACACATTGAAATATCAAAGGTTCTCCAAAGTTTCCATTGAACAATCGGTGCACTGGCTGAAGGTACATCCCGAGTATCAGTCTCAGAACGGAGAAGTATAAGAATCGGAAAAAAGTTGAACGGGACGTCGCCGTGTGTTACGTTTCGAGTGGCGTGCAGTACGTCCACCTCGCTCCTCGCGTATAGCTGCACTATTTTCAGACTGGGTACAGCGGAAAGAGCGCGATTATAGCCGTTCCTCGAAATTGCAGGAGGAAAGAGACAGTGAACGAGGGAGAGTGACACATGATAAAAAGATAGAAAAGCCAGTGGATTAGCTCTTGAATAGTCGGTTGTGTTTTTCATTGTTGTTACACGTATATACCGTTTATATCTGATTGGTAGCTCACGTTCCTCTGTCCCAGGTCGAGACTTTTTCAATAGCGATAAGAAGAAGAAGAAGAAGAAGGTATACCCATTGTGGGCTCTACATCGTGGCACGAACTCACGAGTAGCGTTGGTGCCGAGTGTGCATAATATTCTTCGCGGCTACGTTGAACAGTACTGGCCCCCAAATGCACAACCGGGAAATCCTGTTTCATGTTCATGTTCTGGAGCAAACGGACGGTGCTCACTAGACGTCTTCTAAAGGCCAAGGTTCGCGGGGAGCATGAAACCGAGTGTGAAACTCAAGAGGATCATTTTTTCGTTGCGAACGGTAACAGTACGAGCCAAGTGCGAGCACGGGCATCCTCCTCCTCGTCCACCTCCTGCACGAGGGTTCATCACCAGGCTTACCAGGGTAGAGACAATGCCGAGGATCCCGATCGTCTACTGAGGTGCAAGGAGCTGCTCAAGTCTCTGAAGGAGAATCAGCTGGAGATGCTGCTCGCCGCCGTTGAGAGTTACGGGGCCGATCTAAGCTCGTGCGTCCTGGTGCCGAGGAGGCACGTGCTCATACCCGAGGACGAGGAACAGTACTATTATCAGGAGCAACACCACCAAGAGCAGACACATTGGCCACCCTCGCCGCCAATATCCCCAACCTCACCAACTCGGCGAACCCAGCAGCAGCAGCGTCTCTCGCCGACGGAGGAGCGCAATCCGGCGAAACCAGTTCGAGACCGATGTCGAGGTCCCCGAACTTTGGATTCGTCGCCTCTTCTCGATCCGCACCTGCTCTCCTGCCAGATCTGGCGGTGGCCGGACCTCGCCCACTCTTCCGAGCTTAAGAGACTTCCCGTCTGTCATTCCGCTAAAGATCCTGTATACATATGCTGCAATCCCTATCACTGGAGTCGGCTCTGCAAACCTGGTAAGTTTCAATGTTTTTTTCATCGACTTCTCTCGTTGCTCCTCCTTCTCTCTACCCGCCCCCCCCCTCTCTCTCTCTCTTTCTCATTCACTTATTCACTCTCTCTTCCCTCTCCCCCATATCTCTCTTTCTCCTCAGTCTTCGTTATCGTCTACTTGGCAGTGCTCCTCTCTCCGCTCTCCGACTCTGGGTCCTCTCCTCCTCATGGCACTCCTCGTCGTGTCCCGCCTTCACTTCTCCAGCGAGACCGACTCCCCGCTACTCTTTTACTGCTCCAGCTGTTTTCGCGAACAGCGACTCACTTGTTTGGTAAAGCCTCCGTGCACGTATACGTATACTCGGGCGGCTTGGTTCGACGGATCGTGCCACGATACGAGTCCATCCAGATCGAATTGCAAGGTGTAGGAGCGACCGTGTATACACACGCTAATGAATATTACTATGGAGAGAGGATCGGTTAACGTGATATCATCGCGCCCGAGAAAGTATCCTAAGATATTCTAGTAAACATTCACACGTCTTTTACACAGGACTGAAGAGGGAGGCACTTGGAACGGTATTTCAAGTAGTCTAGATCTGCTCCGAAGTACCAAGCACGCATTGAACCGGCGAATGATTCATCTGTATATTCATACTTAATACAGGAAGATTCTTCCTGCCCGCTAGGTGTGCTTTCAAACCCTAAACGGATTGCGCATTCGCAAATGCCAAGGTTCTAAGACGCATCTGCATTATTTACCTAACGAAGTAACCGGCCGTTATTTAACTTGGTTATTGTGACAGGGTAAACGGCCACAATAATTGTCACCTGCTCTGTCCACTAACGAGCCTAAGGACTCGGGTCAACAGGGGTCGGCAATTTATTGTCTATCGACCACCGAAAGTATTACCAGCCCGTCTACCGGTCTGTGCAAATACACCGGCAGCCACGGGTGAACCCAGACGAACCTTAAGGATCGAAAGAAACCAGGTCTACTCGTTTGTAGTATTCAGGCAGTGGAAAACCTCGGACCTCCTTTGCCATCACGGTAGCCGGCTGGCTAGCTCATGCCTGTGTTATTAGGATTGGACTGGTTTGATTTATTAACGATATCCTTCATGTTAATATATATATATATATATATATATATATATATATATATATCTGAAAGACCGGTAACATTGCTCGCATCGGTCTGTCTTATATGTGTATTTTAAAATCATGCCTCTGCCCAGGGCAACGTTTATTTTCTTTTCTCAACCTATTGTCTCACTGGTTTTTTAATACGTCGCGCCACGTCATTGTCAATAGGATTTTGAAATCCGCGCGTTTTCCGCCGTCGAGGCACACTAAATATTTGGGAGCCACCTATAAATATCGTGCGCAGACATCGATCCGTTCCTTAGCGATTATGCTTTTCGTATCTTCGTACGGGAACGAAGCGTGCGCTTAGAATTTTCCGGAAACAAACGAATCGGCAGTCCACGTCGATCGGCGATGTTTTTATTAGTCGACGATTAATCAGACTCGATTCGAGGTCTCTTTCGGGTTCGATGCCACTGTTCTGTCTATTAGTAATGCCAATAGACCTCCGTGTGAAGGTAGCTTAAAGGTATTCGAGGATCGCTTCAACCATTCCACGCTCATACCAGGTCGTAAACTCTTGTCTCGACAATACCTATCGGCTTACTCATATCGCTCAAGATATTCCTGGAGTCTAGTTTCGCCCCAGGTAGCCGCTAGACTTTTGAAAGTATTCTATGCCGAGCAGCAACACCTGCTGGAATCTGACCTGGGGCCTGGCAGTCTCGGCCTGGATTTCCTTCAGTTCCGAAATATTCGCATACCACGAAGAAACAAAAAAGTTTAGATGAATATAGATATACGTGCGTATACACTGCGAGTTATAACGATACCCACGCTATCCTACGTGGCGCGCAATGTCGGCAATTGTAAAAATTCATCCGCCCACGCGATAATCGCTCTTGGCAGCTCTACAGTCAGCTTCTTTGTGGATCTGATTAAGGAAACTTGTAAAAATTCGTAGTACAGCCTTCGCTCCTGACGTTAGCCAATTTTCGTTAGTCAAATAGATTTTTTTCCTTTTCTCTCCCTCCTTTAGTCCCATGTATTACAACAATTCGCTCGTCCACGTGTCTACCGTTCGTACGAGCTATGCTAAGCTTAAAAATAAAAGGACGCGTTACTCGAGTAGGTAAGGATCTCGGTAAGAAAGTTCGGGACTATATGGAACATAGAGAAAAAGTGTCTCGCAACCCAAGCGTAAAGATACGAGGTCGGACCCTTAGACGTAGCGTCCGCGAGGCGCCAGCATGCTTTTACGTAACGGCCCAGCAATCGTTTAAGCCGTCGGCGGGACTGTGTTCACCGACGTTCCCGTGTACTACCTCCCCTCCGCTCCCCGTACAAAGCGACCGGAAGGTAACCGGGCAACTAGACAGACGAGGACGTTCATGCGAGACGATATACATACGAGTCGAGCAGGTGACGACTTTACGTATGAAATAGAAGCGTCGCGACGTTAAAGCACTTAATTAATGTCCTCGTGATGGGAATACGCTTTAACATTCTTAAGCGTACACGCGTATTCTGCAAATTGTCATTCTAATGCCAGGTTACGGTGTATACTTATATATGCTGTGTATATATATATATATATATATAGTACGAGAAAGCCAAAGAACATAACCTAATCTACTATGTCCACTAGACACATATATACATAAGGGATATAGGCAGGAGCCAAGCAAGCGGCACTTACCAATAGCCGCACAATCAAAGTTATGGCCAGAAGGAAATGAATCTAAAAATAAAGCGTATATTGGGCGAGTCGGGTGCCGGCGAGCAGAGTGAAGCAAGAACGATGGGCCAGGAGGTGGTGGACCAGACGGTGAAGCGACGTGGTTCGGGGGGATATACTCTTGGCCATTCGGCGAGTAGGGAGAGAGAGAGAGAGAGAGAGAGAGAGAGAGAGCATGCTGCCGACACGGTAGAGGATAGCCGGGGCAGAGAGGGATTCTCGGGTCTCGGATGCTCGCCCGGCAGGAACGGCAGGAGAGGCAGGAGAGGCAGGAGAGGCAGGAGAGGTGGTACCCGGCGCCGCTGCGTGTCATTGCTGGCGCCAGCTAATTGTCGAGGCCAGCCGGCATAAGCCGAGCTGACCAAACCGAACGAACCGTGCATGCACTCGGGCAAGCAACCGTGGCAGCCGTTCCGTAGAGCCAGGCACGATACGGCCATTGCCGTATACCTTAACTCTTAGCCATTCATACACTCGGTCACTCTCGACACTCAGCCTGGGAAACGTGTGTTATCCTCACCCGTAACCTTTGGCGAACGGTGAGCTACCAAGGGAGACAGAGAGAGAGAGAGAGAGAGAGAGAGAGAGAGAAGGTATACCTCCCTTCTTCGATGCTTTACGAACTTTTATGCGCTTCGCTAAACCGGAACGAACGAATGCCCGACACGCACTTTGTACTTATTTCTTTCACCTTGATCTCTATTTGACAGATTAACGTATACGCATTGTTTTACTGGGAAGGTTACGAGTACAGTAATAACCTAAGCGGGCTTAGTGCGAATTGTTGGTATAACGAGATAACACTTGGCTCCACGTTCGCTGAGTTTAGAGATTTTAAGCAGACGATTGAAAAGGGTATCGATGGGTATCGAGAGAAAGTTATCTTCCTGGTGACGGAATACGTAACGCGATGGCTCATACTGATATAATTATTTTTGGGTATCGTTTGTTATCTGTACCTTACGAGGCTATCGGTTTATCTTGGATAAGAAGGGGAGGTATCGCGGCATAGATTTGCATCTTCGGGATGGTACTTCCTCTTGTTAACAGTGTATCTGTATTGTGTTCTACGGAGTAAGTTGATGCATGGCTTTTTTTTAACTGCAGACTCGTATATCGAGAGAATTTTTGGAAAAAGTGTACACAAGTATATGGGGGAGGCTAAGTCTGTACGTTGATTTCGAGGTTGGGTTCTCGATAAGGGATCGAGTACGAATGATCGTTTTCCCGTTTTCCGGTGGAATTCTTGGACGCCTGTCGCAAGGGCGTCGAAAGGCTCGATCTTGGGAGAGCTTCCCACCGGCGTCGCCAGGGGGACACTTTTCTTTTAACTCGTCCTATATTCCTCCGTCGTAATTGCGACAGCGGCATTACGTTACCTTGACGTTTTCAATATTCGCGCGCGCGCGCCGCTCTTAACCGGCAGCCATTCAGGGACCGATACGTAAAAGGACGAAAAACGACATACCGGTTTCACCCGGGAGCCAATAATAGAACCTCCGTTTTTGGTCCTGGAGTCTCTCCTACTATACCTAATGGTCGTCGGGTCTCCGCGTCACTCGTTACCCACATTCACGATACTTATTGTCCATTTCTATTTTTACACGAACGATATATTTTCACGTGATCGATTTATCCTATGACGTCTAGACTTCGAGTTTTTTTTTTTTTTCGTTTCTCATCGACCCAATAACTAATTGCATGTTTTCTTTATTAAATCGTTGAAAAACATTGATTTCTGTTTCAGAGTCGCCGCCACCCCCGTACTGCCTTATAGCCGACAGGCTCAGACCCGAAGGTGAGTTTTGATTAATTAAACCTTAAATAAATATCGTTGATCGTCATTAATTATGCATACGTAAGAAAAAAAAAAAAAAAAAAAAAAAAAAAAAAAAAGAGTTAAAACGAAGTAGATAAGAGATACGAAGAACGAGAAATTGAACGGTCAACTCGCTCGATTTCTCCATAATCAAAAATTCTGTATCCTTCTTTCGCGAAGGACATCGCGCAAACTCGATTTGCTGCTTTTGGCGGATTGAGTCCAACGATCATAATCGTCGCCGAGTCCTCGACGAGACGTTCTCGCGCACGTGAGAACGAGCCGTTGCGTTTTGTAAGGCGATACCGTTTCTAAGAACTATAGCTTGGTTTTCATGAGTATCGCCATTTCAGCGGTCGAGCTACGTACAAACATGGTGCTACGAGAGATCTTTTACTATTTATTCCGTGTATCTCTCTCTCTCTCTCTCTCTCTCTCTCTCTCTCTCTCTCTCTCTCTCTCGCACTCCATTGCTATCCAATTATTTTTCAACAACACTACCAACCCTCGTGCATCCTTCTCTCGCCCTCCTATATCCGCTATCGTACCGTCCTTCTCCTCGTCGTTACGACGCCAGTCCTTTCGATAGAGTACGAAACGAACCCGGTGGGCTCCTTCCGTAATTCGTCAATCTCCCTTATCGCGACCACTGACTCATCATGACCCTCGTCGCGTCTTGGACGATAACGATTAGTAATGGCAATTGCTGATTTCTCATTAAACCTCGAGAGAACGATATGTCCCTCTGGCGCGGCATGTTCTTCTTCACTGTATATATACAATTATACATATATATATTACAACGAGGTGCACGGCTAGCCCACGCTATAATTAATTTATCCACAGGCCGCCAGGCAGCGCTAGAGAGCTACAAATTAAAAAAAAAAATTATGAGGTCTGATCGGGATTCGAACCCGGTACTCTCGGACTACCAAGTCGGGCACTTACCATTGTGCCACCGAACCCACTGTCCGACCTGATAAGTTTTGTTTATTTGATGTTTGATCATTCCCAGGTGGTATCCCCTCTAGATCTGTAACGCCAGGTTACAATATATATACATTACTCCTACTGACCCATGGAGTGTATCATGATGATTATTCGATTTTCACTCTTTCATGTCAGACGGCATCTTTAATTGTCATTTAATTTTGACTCCGTTGGTATGGCTTTTTTTTTCTTTTCGTCTCCACGCTCCAGTATCAAATTCTAAACCGGTGCCTTTGCCCTGAACATAGGAGGAGATTGGTACGGTCTGTTAGTAGTATGCTTCCATTCTCTTGAAAATACTTAAGGCGCGTTCTCATCGTGTAATTACGGGGACCTCCTGTCGTCCGGTACCTTGGTGTAATGGCGATCGGTGTTTACGGGAAAGAGCGATACTGAAATGTCTCGAGAGAGACAGAGAGGTAGACTGGCCCATGGACGTTCAAGTGAGCCCCGGATAAATCAGTCTGGCTAGTACGTACGCGAGATGTGTGCCAACTTAATATGACGAAATAATAAATGCCCGCAGCTAGGAGCGTGTGCTCGCTGTGCTTATACTTATGATATACGCAGCCGACTACAGGAATACCATTACGCGTAGTGGTGAGGTCAATATCTTTTGTCGATAGAGTGGGGCGACGCATTCGAGTCTGACAATTCAGGGCGTTTCAATTTTTATCCACGTTCGAAGGGGCATTGAAATTGTCGCTTGCGATGCGAAACAATTAAACAAAATCGAGAGATAAGAGTGTCATCGAGAGGAACGAGGGACCACCGACGGTCTCAATGTGCAGTTACGTTGACAATAGCGGTATAAGGTTAAAATCGTTAATATAAAAGGCCACTGATCGCTGTCTCCAATGGCAACGGGTACGGAACTTCCAACTGGGGCATTCGGCGTCGATCAAAAGTCGACGCGCGTCAATCCCACTATGGAGTCGTCACGAGGCGTTATTAAACGACCCAAAGGCGAACAAGGCTCTGACATTTGCCGGCGTCAATCAATTCCGCGTAAAGTAGCGCTCATTGGCGGCCATGATTTACAAGCGGATACATCGCGCGGCGTAACCAGCGTAAATAAGCAAACGTCGTGAAGTCGGCGCCTCTCGCTATGGCGTTTTCGATGGTCAGTGACTTCAGAGCGACGCTTCGCGAAACACCCAATGGCAATGACGCAAATCGGTTCTTATCGCTGGGTGTATAACACAGCGTCTAACTTGGATCTGCGATCTTGTTTCAGTCGTTAAAATTTTCGGCTAGATAATAACGTCTCGGTTGTGCGCATTATCGACCGAGATACCTTTTTCTCGTGGATATTCAAGTCTCGACACGCACAAGGATACGTGCTGTACGTTAGGTTATGTTTTACCTTAGTGCCAGATAAAAGCTCGCATACCGAACGTATTTCGCTGATATAAAATGACATACCGAACGGGCTTTAACCGCGCGTATATACATACTTAAGCAGTGTTATGGCTTTGCCCACGTACGTATACGCATGTGGCTTTAGCGCCGCAAGTAACGCCGAGCTTACGTTAAGAGACTAGAGAGTGTGCCTACCAGTGCTACAGTACGTGTTGTTGTGGTGGGCGCCTGTCGCTTGCCGCCAGCCTTTATGCTTGCCTACTCGCTCTGCCGTCCTTGATATATCCCTCTCCTGTTTTCTCGACGGCTCGCCGCTTCTCCTTCTGTAACTTATACCACTAAGGAGAGCGAGGGACGGAGGACCGTGAGAGAGGGAGAGAGAGGGAGGGAGAGAGAGAAACGGTGATACTCCAGCACGCACTCCTCGGTCTGTCTAACCTCACCTCCTCTCCGTCTTACCCACGTCAACGGTGCCGCTCTGTCACACGCTATCTCTCTTAGGACTTTCCTTCTCTCTTTCTCGATCGGCTCCCTCTGCGAGTCCATGCTAGGCGGGAGTGGCTCTCTCGCATTCCAAGCCTCCTTCGCCATTACGTTACCACTAAAAATCAACGGTTTCCGGATTAGGAAAACTCTTGTCTCACGGAATTGTTTTTGCTCTTGGACGCCCTTAGCATCTGCCATGCCTTCCACGCGGAGTCCTTGATTGATTCGTACGAAATATTCACGCTCCATGTTTTAATACCAGAGAGCAATCCCAAGCAGACGGGGCCTTGCATATGGTGGAGACTACGTTGTTACTTGGGTGGTATCGACGATATTAGCCTGAAATCATTATCACCGATCGGATTCTCCCTCTAGGAATAAGTCTCGAAATATCTTCTGTTCTTGTCAGTAGGTATATACACGCGTATATACGCGTCGAGCCGTAATTCTCTAGGTACTGCGGGAGCCTTCGCTCCCGGGAACCCTGGACTTGGCATTCTCGGCAAGGAGCGCGCACACGAGTGACCTCGTAATAAACGGGCGGCCCTACGAATGGCATCGGGCAAGCGAGGAAACTCGCGTTGCTCGCGCCAATCGATTCTTAGAGCGTAAAGGAGGTTAGCGGACGATTCCATCGCGTTCACGTAGAACTACGATATCGGTATTACATGTACACTCCGCGTCTATTACACTTGGAGAATATGGCTTTTTAGATTTTAATACTTGTCGGGACTTATGGGTAATGGTGATACGACGGTAGCGCCACTGTCGGTCTTTTCGGCAATCCATTGAACTAATACTTTTAGTACGGGCTTGTATACATATTATATCTATGTAAACACGCCCGGTCAGCCGTTCATTCATCGATCTCATCGTGTTTGGGCCCGATCGGTAACCAAAAGATTAAAAAGATGTGATCATCACGAATAGACCTCATCACCTATGACCCTGGTTACTATACTTGCTTACTGGTTTGTTTGGTCACTTGGTAATATATTCCGTATGGATGGTTGGGCCTCGACGGTCCCAGCGCGGTCCAACGGCTCGGACGCCCTGGTCGGGGCCTCAATAACAGGAAATGCTTCTCCCGCAGGAATGGTCCAGGAAGATGGGGGCAAAGGGGGTACCTTTGGAATTTCGAAAAGAATGCGACCGCCTCTCGTTCGACCACTCTCTGACATCATCCTCTCTTTTAGTTAATGAATCTCGCCGTAGTCTAGAAGTGATTAGTTGGCCGATCCTTAGGAATTCATCCATCGAGGACACCCTTCACAATCCACCATAGTGTATACACGTATATAGAGTGTCGCTCTTCCTGTGGCATAGTACCTGCTTATATACACAGATACGCATACGTACACACTAGTTCCTCTTATTCTTCAGAATCCGTGAAGGACTTCTAGTTCACCCTCCTGCAGCATCTCAGACTCTCTGGGACCCACGAGACTATTTTTACTGTTCTACCTTGTCCTCGGACAATATCTCTCCCTCTCGGCACGACGATTATTTTCGATGATTCAGTCATTCTCCTTTGTCGTCGCGCAATACCCAATAGCGTCTTTTCGCTCATTCCGTCCATCCGATACATGCATTATTAATTCGTCAATTGTCATTGGAGATTATACGTTCGATCTTAAAAAAAAAAAAAAAAAAAAAAAAAAAATTTTTTTCCCCCGGAAAATTATTAAATTAAATGTATCCCTAAAAAAAAAAAAAAAAAAAAAAAAAAATCCACCGGTGGTAATCGAAGCTCAATAGTGACTTAATCGTATCTATACAGTCATCTTGTGTCATTGAAAAATTTCTCACGATCCCTTGCGAGGTCGTCGTCTTTGTCTTATTTTTTTTTTTCATACATCTCTTTACTTTTGTACAGTTCGATGCTGCGGAGGTGTGTACGCACCTTAAAGTTTTTTTTTTTTTTTTTTTTTTTTTTTTTTTT